GTCAAAATTTCAGGCACATTATAAGCCTGTGCTTCTTATTTTATTGATAGCCTGGTATTTCCCATAATGAGAGAAAAATCTTTTTCATCTCAAAAAACTGCTAACCAGGGAATGTTTCGTGTCTCCATAGCATTGCTTTATTATTTATTATAAAGTTTTGTTATCAACTAAGAAAATCAAAAGGAAGAAATAGAGTAGCCAACAGTTCAGCCATTGTCATTATGGCACAATGAGAGGAATACTCTCCTTTGGTTTTCTGATTCTCTCTTTATTCTTTATAACTCTCATAAAGAAAATATGGCCACCATTAGAGAGCATTGCTGAGTTGCAGAGGAATTGTCTCATAGGGCATAATTATATAGAAATTGATATTGAATGCCATTTTGTTCAAGTTAAATCACTTCTAAAATAAATACATATATATATATATATATATATATATTCAAAACATGAATATAGCAGCAAACAACTATTTTCTATGTAAAGATATAGTGGAGTCATGGTTAGGAGAGAATGTCTACTGGGTAGAGTGACTGAAACTGCTGTTTTTCTTATACATCTGTAAATTAAGGATTTGTTTTAACATCTGACTCAGTGAATAATGGGTTTATTTCAACCAAGCTGGGGTTGGTGATTGTTGGAAAGACTGTGGAAGGACAAAGTCAGTTTTGCTGAGTTTTAATTTTTTTCTATCCTCTTATTTTGGTCTGAGGAGCTGGTGCTCTAGTGTGACATCCAGTGCCAAGTAGATTTTGTATGTATAAGCTTTAAGCAATATTTAAACTAATTAACATACTTTTCATTAGGTGGGATATGTGAATTGTACTAGGGGGTACAATAGAAATGTCAGACTAACACACACACACGTGACCACCTCCACTCTGGACCAATTCATTCTCTTTGTCCCTCAGATCCAACAGCTCGTTTCCAAACTCCTGAACTGTTCAGACAAATCAAACAAAGGAATCCCGATCTTCACCTTAATTGTCTGCTGCCTGCAATTCCCACTGAGAGAGAAGATATTACGTAACTCATTAAGCAGCCTTCCTGTCCTCTTGTTCTGCGCTTAAAAGATCCTGATGCTAGACATTCACTAGGTAGTGCTTAATGGAAAAATTAATATGGGCAAGCATGCTGCAGTTTTAACATCAACAACCCCCAAACCAGAACCTCTCCTAATTCCCTCAGTTCCTGTTTAATGTATTGGCTTGCACACACACGCACATAGCCTTACATACTTACTCCATTATGCAATCACTGAAACCTTGTACCCTAAAAAGGGTTTGGCCAAGCAGATGGGCTCATTAAATGGTATTGTTTGTATTTCTGTGTGAGTGAGAGTATATGCACATGCGCATGGAGACATCAGCACGAGTATTTTGTATTTAGGTTTTGGTTTGTGTACCATTTCCTGTGAATTTATTCATAGAGCCTGTGGCTTAAAATAGTAAAAATGTTAGTTATTTTTTGGAGGCATGTAAAGTCTTAATGTCCTAATTTTATCCAATCGTCAGAATCACGAGAATCCATCTTTCCAGGCTTCAATCCGTGTGTTTGTGGACAGTATAGTGGTACCGATCCAATCAGTGTCCTTCGAGTAGTACTTGCAGCTATGGAGGTGGGCGCTAGGTGTGACACAGCAAGAAGACACTGTTGGTTTAACAACAATGATGGCTTGCCTGTAGACGGTGATAGACAGATGATTCATCCAATCAAGTGCCTGCCCTTTCCTAAACAGTTTCCAATAGCGACTTCCCAGAGGGCTCTGTGTAATAAACGTCTGGCGTAGTCAGGTCATTACTCCAATGAAAAGTTCTTAAATATTCTGTGAGGGAGAGTCCTGTTGGCTCACCTCGTAGAGCTGGCTCCCCATGTACCAAAGTTGAGTCCTTGCTGCAGCGGCTTCGACTCTGACCTGTGGCCCTTTGCTGCTTGTCATCCCCTCTGTCTCTCCGGCTTTGCTGTCACTCTTCGGCTGTCTCTATCGATTAAAGGCAATATAGCCCCCCCTCCCCCAATCTTTTCTTTTTTTAGAAAGAAATATATTATGGGACTTTGAGTACAGCTATCTTACATGCTAGCCATGGCTATCCTATCGATAAAGGATGACTATATGGGAACCTTTTTGTATTTTACCAGAAACTCCACAAGTTACAGACATCAAAAACACTGGAAAAGTGGGATTTCATATCTCCATCATGGTCAAGAAAAATTATATTAAATGTAAAAAGTAAAAATCTCCAAAGGACAACCAGTTGTTTTTCCACCATTGATCAGTTAAGTGGAGTTATTAAATGTGAAGAGCATTGACATCAGTGCTATCAGACAGTGAGTTGACACACACACACACACACACACACACACAGTCCAAGCTTTTCATGACAGCCAGTGAATATACAGTAGGGTAGCAGCGTGTCTTGATCTATTAGTCATTTACTGTTGCTCCAACGACGTAAAATATAGGAAGAAGATGACGAGAAGATGGTAGTAGAAGATGATGATGAAGAAGATAGTGATAATGATGATGATGACCGTGTGAAAAGAACTATTTCCACATAATCCGCTAATCTGGCACATGCTGAAAGGTCAGCACGACTGAATCACAGACAGATCACACACACACTCTCCGTAGCTAAACAGCTTAAACTACAGCGCACAGCACATTAATGTTTGTGTGTGTGAACAGTGATTAAGGTAGAGGCTCAGAGTTGTAAGTTTAAATGTTGTTACTGTAAAGACTTACTCTTGACATTTCTCCACCCATCTGGCTTCAGCATCATTTTCTAATTTATTCCACCAAAACATCCAGGCATCCTCCATGTTTCTCCACTCTCTCTCTCTCTCTCTCTCTCTTTCACCAGCTCTTTTTCTCTGTTCATCATCTAAACCACACAAGTCTCCCAAACTCTCTTCCGTGAGTGTGCGTGCAATGATTAGTATTCAGAAGTTGTGTCGTGTACACCTCTTTCTCAGCACTGACAGCCACAGATGTGATGAAATCTTCTGTCTCTGATGCTGTGCTTCTCGCAGTGTGACACTGCTACACACATACACACTTGCGTACAAATAGACTTGACTTGTGCATGGCAAATCAGTTTGGCGAGCATATCAATATGCTTTACAGTTTCATTCAGTCAAAAGAGCTGTCAATTGAACACACATAGAGGCACTGACACACACATAAACATACATTTTAAAGGTTGATGATGTTAAAACAATGATGGCAATTACCACTGATTTTGCTGCTCTCATCCAGATTACCTTATAAAGCATATTGTCTGGTTGTGTGTGAGTCAGTGAGGACATTCGTGAGCAGTGCATGTGTGTCCATCCATCCCTGGGGCTGACATCAAGTGCGCTGGCTGCATCAGTGGACTTCATTAATGCTAATAGCCAAGGCTTCACTCTCTCAGCTAGTTTGTTCCATTGTTCATTAACCTCAGTTCATTTAGCATGGGGCTGGCTGGCTGGCAGGGTTGGGGCCGCTGTCTCACCCAAACTCACCGGCCTCGAGGTAAAAGAGAGATGCTTTTTAACTCATGTTAATCCAGTGTTTATGTGATACTTCCACAGTACACATTACCACCTGAGAGATTCCCAGTACAACTAATGATGAGCTTTAGGGCCATGACACACCGAGCTGAGGCAATGACAAAGTCCAAGTGATATTCCATCTTATGTCACCATTTAACTTCTGTTTAAAGTCGCATTTGAGTGGTTTAGATTCCAACCATGAACCGCAATGTTCCCAGTTCAAATCTGACCTGATAAAATCTCTTGCCACTGTCGCTAATAGTATTAAGTTTCACTGCAGAGAAAGCTAATGGCCAGTTGATTGCCAATATGCACGCATCTGCACCTGCTTGACAGCAAAATAGCTATTCAGTGTTCTGTATTATATAAAATGGGTAAAATGTTTTTACCAATAACCCCTTAGAGCAGGGTTAGGGTTCATCCATCTTGCCCCTCTCTATGATTGCCAGCTTTTCTCCCTCCAAAAAGTAGCCTTAGAGAGCAGCAACAACACTTTTTCCCATCAGTATAATGGGTATTTCCCATATAACATTTCATTAAACCTAGCTTGTTTCAATCATAGTATATCAGCCTTAAGCTCACCAGTTTTCTTGCAGTTTACCACGTTCACTGAAATCTTATCACCACATCTATGGCTGACTGGACAGTTGGAAAATTCTGCAAAAGCCTGTATTCTGTTCAGTGACGATGTCTCTGATTGTCCTAGATTCCTGATCAAAACAGGCAGCTGGACCCAGGCCCCAGACTCTGGAATAGGTCCCTAGATGTCCTTTTTACTGGAATAGTTCTTTATAAACGTAAAGCATTACAAAAGTGAAACTGAAATGGTAAGGGCCCAAAGACCCAGATTGTTAAAACAATGTCTTATGAAGTCATGTGTCACAATGTAGTTTTTCTAACTTTTTTCAGTTTATATTGTGGTCACATGTTGCTTATTCCCAAACAAATATGTGTAATCAAATTACCACAAATCAACTGGCGCACATCCAACTTTGGGCAGACAGTTCTATAGGAGCACTGGTTGGGCCTAGGGCTATAGGCCACTTATAATGAAGCTGCCATGTGTAGTCTGCTTTGTGCCTTGTACACGCTGGGTACTTGAAGGTGACAGGGTGCTTACAGACTGCACAGAGTGGAAGGGACTGGTCAGTAGGGCCGCACAGCTTACTTGTTCTCCCAGGCTACCCAAGGGGTTAATTCAGCCATGCTTCAATGCCAGTGTTATTTAATTGTATTTATCATCTGCATATAGCAACCACAGTATGGTTACGTAATTTCTAGAACTCTAAAGAAGGTTGTGGTTATGGTTGAAAAAAGCAAACATGAACTGTATGTATGGGACAGAACGCACACACTCTGGACTCTGGATCCCTTCTTCAAAAGAATATGACTGATTTCTGTGTTTTGTTTATTTTTCTTATCCGCACCAACTGACACTGCCTCTCTCTCTGCTTGTCTCTCACCAGAACAGTACCATCTGAATAACTCAGCTTACGGGCCGTTTGGACAAGGGCTTCCACACCCGCACAGCAACCACAGCACAGTGGGGCTCAACAAATATACATCCCTTAAAGCTGTGGGTAAGTCGAACACACAAGCACACACTAAATGATGCTGACTCCAACTGACACAGTAACCTTTAAAGTACAGTAAGCTGGCAGTACAGGAGCTGTCGACTGATGAGGGACTCTTTGCCTGTTGGCATACAGCGAGTTGATCTTAAAGAGGAGCCCACGCACGGTAACTGACCCTAAGTAAGATTGATGTAAACTGGGTTTCCTATACAGTCCTCCACAGTTCCTACACTGAAATATAATACTTATAAAAACCTTTTTTTGTTTGAATTCGCAAATATAATGAAAGCTATGTGACTGGTCTATGTCCTTACTTTGATTTTAACTACACCAAAATAAACTTAAATAAAATAACTTAAAGGTTATATACTACAAGAAAATAAACTTGTCACTGGATGGGACACCAGCATCTCAGACCAAAACAACAGGGCAAAAATAAAATGAAACTCACCAAAAATGACTTTGTAAGTCCTCTCACAGTCTTTCCAAAAATTACCAACTCTGGTTTGGTCAAAATAAACTTTTAATTCACAGAGTTAGATGTGAAAATATCCATGAAAAGGGCTGCAATGGCCGCAACGTAATCTAACACCAAAGTACGTCCACTAAAAGGTGCTTTTTTGTCTGATAAAATTAAGAAAAGAATCCCTACAGAAATAGACTTTTTGATTACCACTGCACTTTTATGATTCCTTAGATGGGGTTTTGTAAGAGATGCATGGTTGTTTGTTTGTCTGTGAGCAGGATTACGGAAAATAAAACCTGGTGGAGGGGTGTAGAATGGGTCATGGAAGAACCCATAAAATTTTGGAGTGGATCCGAATCACAGGGGAAATAAATGAATTATTTTTCACTTTTGATAACTTTGCAAGATCGGTTCAATGGTAACGCCAGTAGAAACACTGTTAGTGTGCTCTCCGTGTGCCCATCTAGCTCACTGTTGCAATGCTTATCAAGCTTTAAATATCAGGTGCCATGTAAGTTGCCATGTACATACAGTCCATTTACAGTTTTATCTGGCAACCATCAATTTTATGTGTATGCTTGACTTTAAAATGGCAATATTGATTTGTTGTTTGTACATAAAATCAGTAAGTTTCATCACTTTGTTTATGTGTAATAAATATAAAAATAAACATTCAGTAACTTTTTTTACTGCAATCTTTATTCTCTTAATGTTACTATGAATTACTTTATTTTATGTTTTATTCCCTGTTAATATGACAAAGAATTGTAAGCTCAAAAACATTAATTATTTCATTGTGTGAATAAAACAATTCCTCTGAAATTTCGAGTCAGATTTGGGTCATGTGATGCAGTTATTTTGTGTCTGTACCACACTAAAAGTTTGGTGTTCAAGCAAATTATATAAACTTTTAAGTGAATTGGGCTTTACAGCACAAACAACCTTCCAAAATTGTCTGCAAACAGGACATTCCGATATAATACAACTTCATATGACCATTTATTTACATTTTGGTTTGTATGAGTTTTAGTACCTATTTTTGAATAAAATCAAATGGGTAAAAAATAGTAGCTTTTGAAAAACAGCTGAAAACAAACAGCTGTTGTTAGTGGACTACGACAAAAGCATAAAGACACACACAGAGACAAGGTTACTGTTCATGTAGCCAGGACGCTGGCGGCAATGACCTCAGTTTTTAGTTTATTTAAATAATTCTCTGTGACATTCATGCAGGCCCATGACACACACACACACACACACACACACACACACACACACACACACACACACACACACACACATACATGCACACGCATTCACATACACGTGCACACTCCGGACTCAGGGCGAGGGTATTTATAAACCCTCACTGCTATGTCCCCACATCCTGACACACATACCTTTACCTCCATCATCTCCATAGAACTCCTCATTGTGCTCCCTGTCTTCTTCCCTCTCATACCACAGCAAAGGAGGAATACCGCCAGTATTTACCCTGAGGGCATACACCAATTGGAAATACTTAAATCACCAGCTTTCCCCTTTGATCTTCTTCAAACCCTCCCTCTCATCCTGACCGTCCTTCACCTTCTTCTGATTCTCTCTATATCTAATCTTTCCACTCGTTCAAAGTAATTTTTTTCAGAATTTCACATTTCCGGGACAATTTATTTGTAATGAAAGAAAGACTTTGGTGGCCCTTCCTACTAGGCACTGCTTTTGTACTTTAATTATTTTGTCACTCAACTTTGTTTTCTATACTATGTTATCAATGCATCCAATGTTTTACGTCTTCTTCCTCCTCCTACTACTACTCAGTATTTACTTACTCCTCGCTGTGCCACTAGTTTTACAACCTAACTCGTGTCTCTGTTCACTTCTGATCATAATGTGAACTGTTTTACTGTTGATGGTTGTTATAATAAAGCGGTAAGCTAACATTACCAACCATAAGCTACTGGTCACTCGAGACCAACTGAGGCTGAAGCAGCAAAACCCCTGACTTCACTAAATTTAGCAAGTGTCATGGTTTTACTTCATAAGAATTGAAGTTTTCATTTATAAGAAAAAGAATGTATAATTTCTTCCTTTAAAAGTTGCATGGTCTGGAAGTTTCTAAAATACTTTGAGGAGCAGAAGAAGATGACATTGCTGACAGTTTGGAGCCGGAAGGTCCAAGCATAAATGCAATCTTGGATTAAGTGTGATTCAGTCGTCAGCGTTCCTACAATGACAGACTCTGTGTTTGCACATTGACAGTTTGTTTTAGGCTACTTCTGCGTGTGACTCAGAACTGCATCAGACTGTGACAAATTGAAAATGACTCTATAAAGTATAAACAAGTTTAAAGAGGCTAAATTTGGCAGGTTTTTGCTTTACTGGCCTAATTGTTAAAGGTTATTTTTTAAAAAAGCCTTCTACCATAACTTAAATGATTATTCTCTGTAAATCCAAGTTCGGTTTTATTTTTGTATCTTTGGCAATCACTGCTATCAACGTGCTATCATCAGCAACAATGGGGCAAGACAGCAGCAGTCAGATGATCAGACATAATAGAAAATAATACCAGATTATCTAAATCATTTTATTTGGAGGTAAAACAAAAGTGAGCGTACCTAAAACATCTGTCTCCTTCAATGCACTTCCTGTGCAATGAGGTACAACTATAGTTAAGTATGGTAGGTCAGAGTTGGACCAGGACGTTGGCTAATGTGACAAACCTGCTCATGTTTCTTGTCTCATATGATTTCTTTTTGGCAATTCCGCCATGTTAAGAGATTTTTGCAATTATTTGAGATAGAAATTATGTCTGAAACTATGAAAAGATCCAAGTTGTAATAAAACAAATTTAAGTAAATAATCGATTGTACACTTTTTCTCACATGCTATTTTCACCCACCCTTTCCTTTGTTGCAGCACACAGTGCATCCCGTAGCTACTACAAGAGCTTCCCGCTAATGGACTTCTCCCAGTACCAGCCTGTGGCACCTCCAGCCTTCCAGCCAGTTCCCGTACAGCCTAAAGAGAAGTCATACATCCACCAGCCTGTGTCGGCACACCACGACCTCCACGCCCCCCTCTCCATCTCCATCCCCTCCAGTCACCTGGAGCAATCGCGCCTCCCCAAGACCACAACACACCCGCAGCTCTCCAGCTCGGCCTTCAAAGCCTGGGAGCCGACCGGCCGCCACGTCCACAGGCAGGCTTCTGCCCCGGGGCACACCTCCTCCTCCATGCACAGCTCAAGCCGGAGACATGGTTACTCGACCCGGAGGCAGCAGAGCATAGAGAACATGCCAGATCTCTTTAGCCAGCCTTATGGGGGCATGTATGGAGGAGCTGGAGCGGGTGCAGGGCAGGGGCAGCATATACAGGGGCAGCATGTACAGGGGCAGCATGTACAAGGGCAACATGTACATGGGCAACATGTACATGGGCAGCATCCATCTCAACCCCCCTACTACCACCACACTAGGCAGAAGAGCTACTCCACCCACAGTACGACTGAGGTGACCGTCTGAACACCAGCGGCCTGCTGCAATGTTAAACACACACGCAAAAAGTCTTTGGTGTTAGCTAAATGCCAGAGTTTGGACCAGATGGCCCAACAGGTGGGGGATATTAAACGTGAAGACACATTCAGATTTATCAGATGAAAAGGAATGAAATTCAGGAGGAAACTCTTACAGATAATGGGCTCAGCTGGTAAAGGTTATTATTGGCCTACAGCAAGGGTCTTGTACATTGATCATATAAAGTATGTATAGACTGTACCTGAAAGGTAATCTACCATGGTTGCTTAAAACCACTCTCAGGCTCCTATAGGTCACACAGTGTTCACAGATTCTTAACCACTACAGTTTGGGCGCTACAGTGTGGTTTCATTGTACAGGCTTTATAGCAATAGGGATAGGACAAGAGAAAAACAAAGATCTTACTTGCACCAGGGCAGGGGGCAAGCTTGATTTTGTCTGCGAAAAGGTTTTATATGTTAGTTTCCTGGCAGGAAGGAACAGTGAGTTTGTGTTCGCCAAGTTACTCCGGTTAGGTTTAGGTACAGTAGGTCATCAGTACATGTGGCTGCAAGACAACAGCCTGACTCATGGTCAGGTACGGTTGTTAAAAACATTTCACAATGAGCCTGAAGCTGACAAAAACTGCATCCAGGTCCCTCACAGGGCTCACACTATTTGATGTAAATGTGGGTCATAACCTTCAAGATCCATTTCTGTGGTTCACCTATGGGCTCAAGAGTTAGACCTCAGGAACCATAAACATAAATTTGGGGGGTAGAAAATCTTTCACCTTTATTGGCAACCACTGCTCCCTCCCCCTTAAAGGAATAAATTGAGAGATAGTTGAGAAATGTACATACTTTCTGGCAGAGAGTCAGATGAGAATATTTATACCACTCTAATATCTGTAAGCTAGGCTCCCGCCAGCAACAAGTTAGCTTAGCAACAGTGACAAAATACTGCACTGAGTCTTGTTGTATCATTATTACAATTTGGTTTTGCACAGATCAAACAAACAATATATAACGTGTTCATTAATGGACTTCAGAGGTGCTGGTCGGTGGATTTTGTTACCTTTAAACAGAGCTAGGCTAGTTGTTTCCCTATGTTTCAAGTCTTTATGCTAAGCTAGGCTAACTGGGTGCTGGGTGCAGTTCCATATTTACTGTACAGACATTTTAGTTACATCTATCTGCTCATCTAACTCTCTGTGAGAAAGCAAATAGGATAGGGTGACCATATTTCCAAATTCCCAAACCCTTAAATGTACCTAACGTTCATGCACGTGAATGTGCTAATGCACGCACCTTTCAACAGCATGGGCACCATGAGTGCAACAATTTAATCGCCAGATACTTTATAAAGGAGTAAGCCTCCTGGAGCTCTTTAGAAAAGACCAACTTTGTCTTAGGCACGACAGCTCCCCGCATACCGACACTAGCAACAGCCTCCAGAATGAAACATCAGTTGAATTGAGACGCATGGTGCATTGTTTATGTTTTCATATTGTGTTAGGTCATATTGAGCGCGAGACAGAACATGATAAACATCTATGTTAAGTCCTGAAAATAAGTAGAATATATTTTAGTGTTGTACAGATATTTGTCGGGACTCAGGACACCCAGTTTAAAACCAGACATTCCTGGACTAATCGGGACTTCTGGTCATTGTAGAACAGCCATTTTCCAAAATGTTGCACTGTTCCAGACATTCAACAGAAACATTAAGTAAAAAAGTTAATATATTGTTATGATAAATACTAGACTATAATAAGCTTCTTACCATTTTGGCACAAACATGACATTTATAGTATTTTCACTCAAATGCTTTGCAGTAGTGGTTGAGAAATATAACTCCCGTGAATGGGAGGTAAAAATCCAACTTATGTTTTGCATTAATGGAGCATAAGGGTTAAGAGTGATACCCCAGTTGGTGATAATATTTAAATTATATAACTATATCTTCGAAGGCTGATAAATTTACATTTCTCCCCTTATTTAACTGCATCACGGAAAAAATCATTCAGAAAAGGCATTAAATTAAGATTTAATTTAGAAGATTTAAGAATTAAGTTAGATAAACTCCATGTAATTTATATAATATAAGATTTTGTTTCAGTGTAATCATAAATCATCTCAAGGTAACACAGTTCAGGTCATTTCTTGGCCCTTTAGATGCCTTTTTGTGCAGTTCTTGTAAAAACAGTTCTACTATTTTGCATCTCTCGGTCTACCTCTGTGCACAGCTGTATTCTCCTCATTTCTCACCCCTTTCGGCCTTTCCCACCCTCTTTCCACGATGAAGCGCTTTGCATTCTGTGCCATCAGGCCAAGCATACAGGGACAGCATCCCTGGGGTCACATTAACTCGACGGTGAGGACAATGCCACCATCATGTCAGCTCCCATCAGCCTCCATCCCGACCAGAGAGAGGGAGAGGAGGAAAGAGAGGGACAGAGGAAGAGCCAGAGGCTGGGACTCTTTAGAAAAGAAGAGAAAGGGAGGAGAGAGAAGAGAAAAAATAGAAAAACAAACGTACATGGCTGCATGCTTTCCTTCCTCGGGGGAAGGAAAGAGAAGGAGTCACTGTAGATCTGGGTCTCTCACTACTGAACTGTCTGGGTCATAACTCAGAGTGTATGGACGTGTGTGGATGCCTGTGCGTAATTTCCAACCCCCAGGCACCATTGCAGGGGGATTCGCTGAGGCATTTCCAGGCCTAGAGCGTGAGACATTTCTCATCTTGTCTCAGAAGCCTGGACAGCAAAGGACACTGTGCAGAGCTGCTGCTATGAATGTGCAACAGTTAATGCAACACTTCCACTGTACTAGCTGATGAAAGTTTATGGCTGTAACACCCTCAGGAACTGCACAATGAAGTGAAGTGTTGATGATCGCACATGTGTCCAGAGACGCTTCAATGAGGTTCTGAGAAGAGATGATTTTATGATGTTAAACCTTTAATTTTTAAAGTGTGAGGTCCTGTGTATAGGTGAATTAAGAGTCAAATGAAAAGATAAAACAGGTAAAACAGAACCAAGAACAAACACAATTAATGGACAAATCACACAATATAACACAGCTCTACCAAATGAGCACTGGCTAAACATCTCTTTCCACATATTCCACATTCTCTACACATATAAACGCAAAAAAACACACTGTGGTTGCAGCAAAAAAGCACGTCTCTTTGTCACTGATGGCATGTAAATTCACCATACTTTTACCATACTAGCTTTGGAGACTGCAGTGCAGTGTGATTTACTGCCATCTAGTGGTGAAGTTGTGAATTGCAACCATCTGAACGCAGCTCAGCTTCCTAAGAGTGTAGGAGAAACTACGGTGGCCACAAAACTTGCCCTATTTAGAGTCAGTGTTTAGCTTGTCCATTCTAGGCTTCTGTAGATACATGGGGGTTCAACATGGCGGCCTCCATCAAATAGGACCCGCTCCCTCTGTAGATAAAACAGCTCATTCTAAAGTAACAAAACAACAACAATTCTTATTTTCAGGTGATTATACACTAATGAAAACAAAACATTATGTTCCATTTTTTACCAATAGGTCCTCCTAAATGTTACACACTGGACCTTTAAGTGCAATCGATATTCAATTTGTTCTAATAGTAGAAAGTGAGTGTTGTTTCCAGAAAAAGCTGGACTCACCAACATTTAGTAAACATTACATTTTTAGCATCTCTCTGTAACACACATGCAGAAGTGTAAGCTTAGACTTCACAATCCCACACGGTCACAAAAGTTATGCAGAAAATAATGTGTATGAGATGTCAAACTAAATTCAAAATGTCCTGTTAAGATACAAACCGCTTAAGTCTGAACTGCAGGCTTTTGATATAATGTTGTATATTAATGAAGTACAACAATAGAACATTGTTAGGTTTCTATGAATGATTGTAAGCAGCTCCCTGTTTACACATCAGATACAACGCAACATTATCATTCATCCAGCTCCTTAGTTGCTAAATGCTCCACTATGTTCAATCAGCTTCCTGCTGATAGCCTAATATGATGCTATGCGAGCAGTGAGAGTGAACCAGAACTATAAAGTTGTTGGTTACACTAGTCATCTGATTATTGGTTAAAAACATCGATTACAGCCCCTTTAAAAACGTACACAGTTGTTTTGAAAGAAGTTCTGATTCCTCCCTGAAGAAATCTTTGGAGTATAGCTCTCGAGTGCATAAAAGAGTCCATACTTTTTTTATTTTTTGGATTAAAACACCTCAATCAGATTAACATTATCAAAGTAAAGCTAGGCTAATAAAGTTCTTTTCATGACTCTGGCTACAACACATGTAGAAATAAAATTAATCTTAACTACACACCTCTTAAACCTTTGCTGCAGTTTGCTTTGTAGGGATAAATCCCATTTTGTTATTTTTTTCATGAATAGTTTCACGAGTAGAGGAAGGTATTAACACTCTCAGCTATATAAAGACTGCAACTAAAAGCATTTACTATAAAGTGCATCCTTGTGAAAGTTGTCATAAACTCAATGGACACAATCACTGATTTTTATATTTGAACAATGCCACTGGAAAAAATGAGTTCAATGGAAGACAATGGAATAAGATGAGTTCCACTGCCAAAATGTTTAACCTTACACAAAGAAATGTCTCTAAATCCCAGTAATTGACCAGCATGAATATATATATAGATAAACCAAATACCAAAAATGTTTTCCAGTTGTGGTTGAAGCCAAATAGTTTGGAGGTCCCGCAGATTAATCACCCAGATATCGAACGTAACTGTACATTCCATATTTACCCTCGTGACATCCAAGTCTCTCACAGTGCACCACACAGGGTCTCATCAAAGACTGATCTCAAGAGGTGATGTTTTATGAGCGCCTTGCTGCATGCCGAGCCCAATGCTCTCATCCATAAACATATAAACAAACATACTGTACCCGTTTCTTAGATTTTGACTTTCTATACAGTCACAAGTTCAATGGAGCATTAACAAATCGAATTCACTACGACTGATGCTGTGGTTAAGAAACCAAACACCTGTCTCTCTTCCACATAACACGTTGCTTATTCTTTGTTGGCTCATAATTTAACTCAAAAGTTGTCTGTAATTACTCACTGTCTCTCATTACCAATGCAGCAAAGCATCCTGGGCAGGCATCATTTCCTCTCCATGCTTTATGTTGTGAGTTAGAAATGTTGAGATCGGCTGGTTTAGAGACACAAAATCTGTATTTTTAAGCAATAGAAGATTGGCATTTCAGAATAATTGTTTTTGTGTTGAGAACCTGAACAAGCGCTTCCAGTGATTTTCTCCACCTCGAACAACGGTCCCCTTTGTTCTTTGTAGGTAAAACACATATTTCTTCAGACAAATGTTTCTGATTATGATTATGATTTAATCTTTTTGAACACATGACAACAACATGATGATTTTTTTATGTTTTATGTAGTGCAAACCATCTGAAATCATGTGTTCTGCTTTATGAATAATGTGTAAATTTGTTTATTTAATGGAATTTCCTATATATTTTGTTTGAATAAGGGCTGTATGAACTAAGTCATTTTAATTCTAAGAGTATTTATAATTGCTGTTGATGTCAGATTTTAACAGAATATTATTTAATGAAACATGATGCATAGAGATATATATTAGCTGAGTTGTGCAATTTCTAATGTGCAATAGAAGAGGATAAAGCAGGCCTACTGTACTGTACTATACTGTATGTCACATTATTGCAGTGGGTTTTTAACATTAGTGGAAAAAACAGTGGCACAAATTAAGTGTAGTGTTGGACAAAGTGACTATAAAGCAGACAGGTTGTCTAAAGCATTGATAATGTTTCTATAGTGTGATTACACAACACTGACTGGTGAATGGGACAATGTGCAAAAACAAGTAGTGTGAAAATTAGTGAGTATGAATTTGATTTGCAGTGAAACATTTGTGAGAATGCAGCAATTTGTTTCCAACTGGTTTGCACATGTGATATTTAGATGTGTATGGATACTGGACTGGACAGCAGAGAGAGATAGAAATAATTTCTTTGCACCAAGTGAAAGGAGGGAAGTCATCCCACTTTGGCACTATGAACCTCTGCAGGTTACCGTCTTGGAGTACTTTATATTATCTGTTTAACAAAAGATTATATAAGACAACAGAGCTATGATACATGTATAAATGCAAATATGATAGCCAAGTAAATCCAAAGTGTATTGGTGTGATATACAGTATGTAGCAAAAATTTGTATATACTGTATGTACCTTTATTTCTTATTACAACAAAACAACTAATTTATACCCCAAATGTTCTAGAAATATTCTTTGCAGAGGATTGTTTAGTAACTGGTGCCACTTTTGAAGATGAAACATTAAAGATTGTAAAATTCATACATGGTTTGGTTTGACTTGTGTTTGTATCAAAGAAAATTGGACCTGGGAGGACCATGTTGGAGAGGGGAAGTAACAAAGTACAAATATTTTGTTTCTGTACTTAAGTAGTTTTTTGCATACATCTTTGCATGGTTGCATATTTCCTGAATCTCAAGCCCGGTGCATAATACGTATGGCACAACATGATAAAACAGAAAAGTGAGGAATACTTGACACTGTTTAAAGTTTCGGTTAGCTTTGGAGTGTTTTTTACTTTTATGCGCTGACTACGTTTCAGAGCCTGTACTTTTTCACTTTTACTTGAGTAAAGAAGTTGAATCAGTACTTCTACATTTACTGGAGTCTCTTTTTTTCTTACACAAGTATCTGTACTTCTACTTGAGTAAAGAATGTGTGTACTTTTGCGAACTCTGACATCAAGACACCTCTTGATCTGCAATTCAGCAAATGAGTGTTTTCCTGACTTCATGATGAACAAGAAAGAACTCAATTTCTCATTCTACATAACCCAATTCATATTACAGGAAATAAATATTCCTACATAATGCTGGTGACATGAAATTTGCATTTTAGAACATGTCCTCATTTCACACAAAAAAACACCACAGAAGGAATGAACAAGTATCTGTACTTCTACTTCAGTAAAGAATGTGTGTACTTTTGCCACCTCTGTCGGTAAATACTGAACACACTGAACCAACAAAACAAACTAAAACAAGTTCCCTGTGGGATCAAGTTCATCGGTAAAGCAGTAACACATAATTAGTCAATATGGCTTTAAGATTGCCATTTGGAAAAAAACTATTACCAATTCTTTGTTAATAGTAAATAGTTTGTGTGTCTGTGTCTGTGTCTCATTGATTGGAATAAACCCCCAAACTGCTATAATTACCAGCCATCTATCGACAGGAGATTGAGAGCTCATGTGCTGTCTCACTGTCAGCCACAGAGCAGCTCCTCCTGCACTCAGGGACCATCTGACAGTACTTACAGTACATGAACCCAGCTGGGATCCCAAGCAGCAACAATCACAAACATGTCCCACTAACCACCAATTCACCCGGTAATTTTAGAAATGTAAACACACTGGAGATTTATGGGCTGCCTTGTTTTTATTGTGGCATGAACTAGCTGCCACCGCTGTAGTGAGCCTGTAGCGTCACCCTGTGGCTGCTCTTGATACTGCATGTACCCAAAGCACGTGGAGTCGGCGTCCTGAAATATTAACCGAATGGAAGATCATTACAAAACAGTTCACCGCACAATTTTAAGAAATAAAGGATATTTTATTGTCACAACTTCAGTTAGGTGTCACACATTTAACAAAGTGCAGGGTTTCAAAGTAATTTAGTACTGATAAGCCCTTTTTATTAATAAGTTTACAATGTTTGTATAAATAATGATAAAGGTTTCTATTGATTTCTCTCCACAGGTTAGTGTGACAGGTTGTTAAAAAGTTTAGTTTAGTTTATCTAGAACCTTTACCCAACAGGTTTACTTAATTTAAATGAAATCAGATTAAATATTTAAATAAAAACTTAAAATCCAAATATAAGCAAATTATCAGTGACTTTAGAGGCTTTCTGCTTATATATCAAATTCGTTTTTACACAATTCAATTCACTGTTAAACTACCTGCAGACGTCCTTTAAGCATGATAAAGTAGGCTTAATAGCAATAGGTTAAACAAAATAACAATTAATAATTTCAAGGAACCTTTTCAGGAAGGTAACTGTCTTGATACTAGAATAAACACTGATGGCATCAACAATATATATTTTTTTCTTAAGGAAGCACTAATGGCCCTGCAGTAATGCAGGTTAAGTGGCTGTTGGCATAACACGCTGTATTTAAAATGTACTGTGCCAGGCTTAGTCAAGTAAATACAAACTATAGAAAACTTCAGTACTGAAAGTCTTGGCAAGTGAAGAAACTGAACAATGTACACGATTGGTCCTGTATTTAAATAACACAATCCTATGCTCTGTGGTCATTAGATGTTCCTGAGTGAAGCAAGCATCTACACACACGTACACTAAAGATAACCCTTTAGATTTAAAACACTGAAAACAAAGAAAGGCCAGCACAACTGTGTAATTAAGAGTGGTTTTCTTCCTTTTAACTTTCACGTACTCTGGCCTTGCCCTTGGAGTGCAGTCCTTTCATATTAATGACACAAAAAATATGTTAAAAAGAAGAATGATTAGGATAATATTCAACTATGTGTATTTTGATACAGCTCCAGATGGAGAAAAATAGCTCTTAAAGTATGCATAGCCCTAGAGATATTATAAGACCCATTAACACACGTGAAAAAAAGCTAAATAAAGTATAATCTTTTCCTAAATATCGGAAGATTTGTGATAAATTGTGATGAACAGTAGGGCTACACAACTGATCGAAATATAATCCAAATCGCAATATGGCCAAGTGCAGAAGCTACAGTTTCTGATAAAGATGAATTTTGAATTTGAATTTTGGTATAGGTTTTTCTTTTAACGATATCGAGCAGCCCTAATGAACAGCATCCCTGATGTAGTGATGTGATCTAAACTCAGAAGTCCAGATGTACATGGCAAACAAAATCATATTAAGCCTGTGTGAATGGCCACAAGGAGGTGAAGTGACGAGGGGATACGGGGCATCTTATTAGAGGCATTAAACTCCACTCTCAGACACTGATATATTGAAAAAAGGGTGAAAGACAAGGCTGATGTTTGGTAAGAGCACGATAAGGCTAAGGAATGATAGGATTAGTCAGGCTTTGATGGATTTATAAGTTAATATACTGAGAAAACTAGAAAGGTTGTCCTTTTTTTAACAGGTTAACATTTTAAACAGCTAAGATGACACACATTCTTCTCATATCTGATTCTGTACATGTCAGTCAATTTCTGTTCTGGTTATCTAATCGTAACACACATCCTAATAGGCCGTCATTAAGAAGCACATTAGGATGAAGGTGTATATTTAAAACCAGTGCAGGAAAGGATGAATTCAGCCTCTAAAATAAAAATCTGGAGGATATATAATATATATATATATATATTTATAATGATTTGGTTAAACCAGGTAAAGTACTCTTTCTTTATGAACACACAAATGCGTAGCTGCATCTGATTTATCACATCCAGAGTAGAAATCTACTCTTTTTAGTCCCCTGTCCCCCAGTGGCTGGCACACCTTAAACCCTGTAACTGAATAGAGAAGACCATCCAAATGATGGCTGGTTAGCTAGAAAAGTGACTTATAGCAAAGATCAACCTGTCAACCACAGGTACAGATGTTATCAGGGTCTGGCTGGTGAGGGTGAGTGTCCCACTCTCGCCCCAACCCTTAAATTATTTTCTTGTACACAGCTCGGTCTATCGCTGTCCAGTTATGTTGTTGCCTCCAGGACTTATGACGATGGAATCCAGTAAGGGACGGAGAGCCTGGCCAAAAGGCCTAAAGAGGAGACACAGCAGACAGTACACTTACACTGACATTAAAGGCAAAAATAAAGTCTAAACAAATAACAGTATGTCAGCTAGGCAAGGGGTAGGGGATATAAACAGATAGAGCACAACAAGTCAACTGAGAATAAGACACACACAGGGTGTGTAGCTTGAAAATGTTTTCTCCATCTCTCTGCAATTGATTTCTCTCTGTATCAGGAAATGTTGGTGCAATACAGTGTGTAAAACAAACCCTCTCTATTTCCGAGAAAATACCTCTAAGTGACTCAAAGCAGTATACATTGCAGATGACACTGACTTTGACAATTTCAAAACTGTATCTGTATGTTTTCTCCACCTAGACTCAATCCGTGTTTTGTCAGCTATTCACGAGGAAGGTACCGACCAACAGAATGAACGCACAATGTGTGCTCAAGAACTGTTTTCTGATGTTTTAATGTACTCATCTGACAGACTCATCATGTCCTAACCACTTAAACTAAGTGACAGGGGCCAAATATAAAAAGGTTCTTGTTTTTATCAATTAAATATACATTATAAATTAAATATTTCAAATATTGTGACATCAGCATAGGCAGAGATACAGCTTAACTACTAATACAGAGAATAAGAGCATTGGTGACATAGGATCAGCTGTAAGGCGTTTATTAAGTTGACTCACGTGGCTAGTACTTCAGATGGAAGGTCTGTGATGTACGATGGGATCTTCTTGCCCGTGAGGAACTGAGCCACCTCGTTGCTGAAAGAGTTGCAGTTGTGCTCAAACAGGTTGTACTTGTCACGTCTGTGCACCAGGAGAACGAAGGAGAGCGAGAGAGAGAGAGAGAGAGAGAGCAGAGAGAGATGTAAATTCAGAGAAATGACAGAGAGGCCAGACAGGGTGGAGAGGGGTGGGTGAGCAGCAGGAAACGAAAAGATAGAGACATTTTGACGGAGAGATAACAGAAAGAACTAAGGGTTGTGAGACGTCTTCTTGGTTACTGCCTTTCCTCACCTGCATCTCTTCTAAAAACTGGGGTTAACGTGCATTTTTTCAATATGAAAGAACTATAGGCCAAAGTGAAATTTCAGTTAAGCGATGTATCACAATTGTTATTATCACTTATAAAAACCTAATTTGGAGTATGTTGAGGGTGTCTCAATGTATTGAAAGGTTTTTAAAAAAGGAAGTTGTAGGCTACATCCAAACTATAAGCAATAAGCAATTACAACATGTTTATTAAGAGCCAAAGTCCTGTTGTGGTAAAGTGACCCCTGCCTACTCTGACCTGGTCCCACTGGTATTTAAATCTGTGTTGTGAGTCTGAACCATTACCCGTATGTGGACTCTGCCAGTGAAGTCAGGTACTCCATAAAGATCTCTGCAGGCACCTCAGTGGAGCCCAGGTCCACTATGGAGTCAGGCTCACCCAAAGGGGTGCCGCTCTAGGACGCGACACACATACACACATCAGTGGATGCCTTGTTCCAGACACTGTTCTTCATCCATTATTGTCCAAGTATTTGCATTTTCCATTATAATAGTAAAAGTGGCAAAGGGCTAAATACTGTATGTGCTTTGTATTTGAGGAAAGGATGAAACTGATTCTTACAGGTGAACAACTGTTGACGCCTTCTCCTACAAAGAAGAACTCCTTCCCATGGACCACAATAGCAGTGTGCCTATAAGACACCAAAACACCTTATTCCAATAAAACCAAGGCAGTGAGTGTAGTTAACCACATGATCTTTAGTGAGAAGACTATAAGAAGGTGCACTCACCATATCCCATCAAGCTGTTTCCCTGTAATGATAAAAAAAAACTGAATTTAATGAGAAATACTTATTCTAACTTTATCTATGTAACAAGTTGACAGAAAATCACACATCTCAGGCCCGGTTTCGGCTTTCATGAAGCTATTCAACAGGTAGCTCGTCAGTCCAATCCAATCCACTTTATTTACATAGCACGATTTTAACAAACACAAGGTTTCCAAAGTGAAACTCACCTAGCATGAGGGGACTCAGTTGGCGGGCCATGCCTCTGGACAGATCGTAAATGTACAGTTTCACTGGGTAAGAGACACTTTGGTCCATGATGACACAAAGGGATTTCTTCAAAATGACAGCTGTAGCTAGCCTAGCACAAAGTTAGCTGACTCACATCCACCAGGAGCTGGCCGCCGGCGAGAAAACAAAACTTTAATAAAAAGCGGGACTGTCACAGATATAAACACAGGCTACACACCACTTATAAAGAAAAGTAATAAATAAGGCAGCAAATATAAATCTCCTAGTAACAGGCCGAGGTCTCCGGGTGTTGACAGCCGGTGCTGTGTCACTGTTAAACTGTAAACAATAACATGTCACAAAGTGCTTTGGCATGGAGGAGACCCTTCTTCCGGAGTTGAGCCTCGCTACAAACAAGCCCCGCCTACTGCACTAGGATTGGTCAGTTTCTTAGCTCGTCAGAGAAACGTCCAATAGACGACGAGCCGTCCCGTACGCTTCTCGGCGTGCTCGTTCACGCACCGTGCTCGTTCACGCACCAGCCTTTGAAACTAGTGTGGACTTGTAACGTTAGTGAGAAAGAAGCACCGTAAGTGACTGAATGCTCCTGTAATGACTTAACCTTCTTCAGGTTATTGTTGTAATGTGTTTAATTTAGTTATATAGTTTGCGTGCATTAGTGGAAACTCACCGAGCCCACAATACGATTGAAACGGACAGTTGCTGATGACAGGCTAAGCTAGCTTCGTAACGCCCGAGTAAAGTTGAAATCTTAATTAATTAAACATTAATAATTTAACATTATTAATTGTTGAGAATGGCTAAGTCCCTTGCACAATTATTATAACAATCATACTCATGTATGTTTGCTTTGTGGCTGAAGGGGCAGTAACATTACAAATGGCAGAGTGGAACGCCTACTACCAGAATGAGGATGAGGATGAAGAGCAAGAGGAAGGAGAGCAATCTGGAGGTGAGATGAAAGCCTCTATATAACTTTATCTTAAGTGTAAATGGCGCAAGATTGTCAGCTACCATCAAGCACTCTGATTTGCTCATTATTCCCCTCTATTAGATGTTTCCTCCACATTGCACTGTATATGGAAACTTTGATGTGATCACACTTTATTATGCCATGCAAATTGTTGTTATGGACTACAGTTATTATCATGTAATTTAACATAGGAGTTTAAATGTGTAAGTAAGACACAATAACCAATCAGGGCCTCTGTCTTTGTTAGGAGATTACAAGGTCACAGGGAGAGACAGTTTGGTCTTCTTGGTTGATGCCTCCAAGGAAATGTTCATCAAAGGAGAAGACGGAGAGCCCTCTAACTTTGACATGACCATGCAGGTAAGATAGCCATTTATTTTAGTCTCCTGGTACTGTAATAACTTGACATGTATGGAAATTAAATTGGGTAATTCATAATTGATCCAAACTTATTTGGAGAAAAGGAAACGTTTTTTGACTGAAATTGAAAACCTAAAACCACTTAATCTTAGCTACGACATGTGAGTATTAGATAATCGCCTCATTTGTTGTTTTTGTTCTCAGATACGTCCAATGACTTATGATAATAAGTGTCTGTGTTTTTCCCTTGTAGGTCGTGCGCAGTGTGTACACCAGTAAGATCATTAGTAGTCACAGGGACCTGGTGGCTTTGGTTTTCTACGGCACAGAGCAGAGTAAAAATCCCAGGAACTCATTCAAGTATGTCTATGTGTACCACGACCTAGATGAACCTGGTAAGACACTGCACTTTTTAAACTAACACATGACACTGTAAATAATGTTTGACATTGCTAAACATGTCTTTTTTCGTCCCTGTTTAATCTGTTTTCCCTCATCTTTTCATTTGTCTGTATGCTCCTTTATTTTCTTCAGGTGCAAAGCGAGTGCAGGAAGTGGACGCTCTGCGGGGAGAAAAAGGTGCCAGGCTAGCGGCAGAAACCATGGGCAGCGGGGAGACGTCATTAGGAGACGCCCTGTGGTGCTGTGCCAACCTCTACAGTGACATCAAGCTTCGCCTCTCACATAAACGGCTCATGATCTTCACCTGCAGGGATGAACCACACAGGGGCGACAGTGCAAAGGACCGACAGGCTCGCACCAAGGCCAGTGACCTCAAAGAGACCGGTATGACTGAAGCAAAGGCAACTGTAATGAAGTTTTGGATTAAAGCTCAAGGCTGACAGCGGAGACTTTACAGCTGTAAACTGCACACAGAAAGGTTCTTTACCAACCCAACCAGTCTTTAAAATGTAAAACTTGTCTGTGATAGGAGCTATACCTAACACTATAATTCCACTTCATAATTCCTAATCAGCCACCCTCTAAAGACGTCTGGCTTTACAATTATGATACAGCTGCAGTTTTACATAAAAAAAAAGCCTGTATGTCATGGTCGCATTTGACCTATCTCTTCTTTCTCAGGTGTCATCATTGATTTAATGCATCTGATGAAACCGGGGGGCTTCGATGTCGCGCCCTTCTTTCGGGACATTGTAAGTCAACCTGAGGATGAGAGCGAGTTGGGTTTGCACCTGGAGCCTTGTGACAAACTGGAGGACCTCCAGAAGAGAGTGCGGGCCAAGGAGCAGAAGAAGAGAGCCATGGCCAGGTAGAGATCAGTGACATGTTGGCGTTTACAGGCAGATAAAAGCTGCTGTTTTGCTCTCTGCAGTTTATCCATTGCTCTTTGTTTTGCTTTCTTCTTCCTTTGTTGTTCAACTCCTCCTCTCTCCTCCCCTCTTCTCCACGCCAACCTTTCCTCTCTAGGTTAAACCTGTGTCTTGGCGAGGGCATAAATGTAGCTGTGGGGATTTATGCAACTGCTGTGACAGCTCGGAAGCCAGCCGCCATCAGACTTTACAGGGAAACCAACGAGCCGGTCCGCAGCAAAACCCGAACCTTCCACATGCAGACTGGCAGCCTGCTGCTGCCTAGTGAGATAAAGAAAGCCCAGGTAAGAGCGGACTAAATATATGCTATTTATTAGTTTGGTTGTTTCATAAAAGTGTGTATTGTGAAATATTTAAATTGTCATATATACTGTACTCTGTAAATTAGGTTAGTCTTATTAGTAATACATCCTAAATTATGGTTCATTACTCACCAGAATGAGCTGATGAGAGCCAAGCTGAGAAATGTATCAGCCACAGTAAAATTGACCTGAATTACGTCGACAATCAACATTAAGTTCAGTGATTATTCAGTGATTTTGTTGGTGTTCTTTTTTTTTCTCATTTGTTCTCGTGTGTCTGCTGTAGACGTACGGTAAGAAGCAGATAGTGATGGAGAGGGACGAGGTGGATTCCATCAAGAAGTTTCAAGATCCCGGACTCTATCTGATCGGATTTAAACCAATGGAAAAGCTCAAAACTCACCACCACATCCGACCTGCTGTGTTCCTCTATCCTGAGGAGGGAGAGGTGAAAGGTATCGTTTGTCTGTCTGCAGCCATTTGGCTTCCAACCCAATAGGAAGAAGTATTAAAACCAAATAAAAAAAAATAATTAGGAAATTGTGATGTGAATTTTCCACTATTTTCTATCATTTAATCAAAATAATTTTTAGTTATAACCCTACTTATTTAAAGACCATTAGTGTAAGTAACTCAAGTGTTTTTTTATGATGTGTGTTTGAACATGGATGCTAATGTGCTTAGTTTTGAATATAAAATGTTCACTTCTACTGTCGAGTCTTTAATAATGTTCAGTTTATTGGACAGATGAGAAGTGTCTTACAGAAGCATGAGTGAATACTGGCCCAGTGGGACTGAACCCCTCTTCTTTCTCTGCTCTAATATATCCTGTGTTTTCCACCTCAGGCAGCGCGTGTCTGTTCTCTGCCTTATTGATGAAGTGCAGCGAGAGGAACGTGTTCGCTCTGTGCCGCTGCGTCTCTCGACGAAACTACCCGCCTCGATTTGTTGCTCTTGTGCCCCAGAGAGAGGAGGTCGACGAGGGAAAAGTACAGTTTACACCACCAGGTAATACCCCGCTGGGCTCAGCAGTAGTTTTACTGGGTTTAATTAAAGAGTCTGACTTTACAGGCAAACAAACTGCAGCTCCTTTTGCAGTACCTACTACTGTATTTGTTTAGTTTGTATGAGGCATGATGTCATCTTGTCCTGTTTCAGGTTTCAATGTCATCTACCTGCCATACGCTGACGACCTGCGCACTCTGGATCCCCCTCAGTGCCCATCGGCCTCACAAATACAGGTGGACAAAATGAAAGAGATTGTCTCAAAGCTGCGCTTCAAGTACAGGTAGCTGCACATGTTCACTGCTTTACAGAGATCTAAGTTAAGAGATGACTAATAAATGGTTTGAAATACACTGCATGCTAAAAGTAATACTGTCTCTCTGATGTTATTTTGCCACTTCAAGGGGATATTTTTCTGTGTGAACATACATTTAATTTACAAAATGTAACTAATTTATAGCTTTGCAGTGACAAAAGGAAAAGCAAGTGTGATCTCTGCTTATAACGAAGTCATTCAGTTTCTTTCTGTAAAATGTTTTCATTCTTTGTAATGTAATGCAGGAGTGAGGCTTTTGAGAATCCAGTCATCCAGCAGCATTACAGGAACCTGGAGGCCTTGGCTCTTGATATGATGGCTCCAGAGGACACAGAGGACCTCATTAGTAAGATGCAGACAAACAAACAAATATTCAGACATTCTGGTTCCTCTTGTAGCTTGTACAACCTCTTTTTCTGTAACTAACACCTCTTTCTCTGTGTCTCAGTGCCAAAGGTGGATCAAATTAACCACCGTCTGGGTCCCCTGGCTGAGGAGTTTAAAGATCTGGTCTACCCTGCTGGCTACAACCCTGAGAGCAAATCAGTTGCCAAACGCAAAACAGGTCAGAGGTGGAGTCATCACAGAAGCTAAGCAAAATAGCTTTTAACTGTATTTAGTTAGTTGCTTTGGGTTTTTGAATGTCTAAATCTAAAGGTTTTCTCCATGAATGAACTTGCAGCTATTGTCGGAGGCGTAGCTGAGAAGAAGCCCAAAGCGGAGGTGCCGGAAGACGAGCTAAGGGCCCATGTGCAGAACGGCACCCTGGGAAAGCTGACCGTGCCCGTGTTGAAGGAGGCCTGCAAACAATTCGGGGTTCGGACCACTGGGACCAAGAAACAGGAGCTGATAGATGCTCTGACCACCCGACTGGCCGCATGAGGAATTACATGTGCACCTCACTGTGCCTTCGTGAGCTTATTCAGATCAGTGTCTTAGTTAGACTTGATTCCAGGACATGTCTTCAGCCACTTTGCAAACCAATTTCTGGTAAATTTGGTTTTAAAAGCAGGTAACAAGTTTTAAATTTACTGCGTGGCCTGTGCATTTTGGGACAGACCGACACTGTTTAGTTTTCTCTTGTACTTGATGACTTGAAAACTGTTGATTTACCCTTTTTTTTACAAGGCAGCACGGTTCAGTGCAGCTTAGTGCTTATGTCTGCGGTGTGTCTGTCCCACATTACATGAATAATGTATTAATGTAAGAAAAAAACAACCAAGTCATTTTTTCATGATATAAAACTAGTTGACTATTTGGGTTATAATGTCATAAAAAAGTCTGCGTTGGCATATACTGTTCAGTCATAAAATTACTGTAACTACTTGGGACTGTTGTTGATAATCTTGTATTTGCATTAATAAAGCCTTTTATAGCCCTGCATCTCTATTTTATTTCAATAACTGCATGTGAGTCAGTAGACTGTACATCTTAAGCAGCATTTCCAGTTCGTCTTGTAGCAAGAAAAAGAAGGTGTGTCCTTCCAAAGTAAGACCGCAGCATTATCAGCATACCTGGACCTTTTCACTGCATTGTTTTGCCACACGGCACAATAAAGTAAGGGCAGTGTTCCTGCTGGGGGCAGGCCTACACAGGAAAAATGTTTCTGCTCAACAGCAGGAAGAAGGAATCACATACAACTTTGACCTCATCAGAATTGCGTCAGGTTTTCATGGACTGAAAGTAGATGGCATTCCTCAGAGAGGATTATCTGACTACACACCAGGTAATGGAGCTTTAGGAACAGTTTGACATTTCTTTGGTTTAAAATAGACTTTTTAACTACATTAGATTGTATGTTTTTAGTTTCCAGTGTAGGCTTTATGTTTTGGTATACATTGTCATGAAACCCTGTTACATGTCAACATACAGCTGATTATGGAGCCTGCTAGATCTGAATTGACTTTGACATGTTAAAATGATATCCAGGCAGATTTAATCTTCATATTAGTCCTAGTTTTAGTTTCAGTTGCTTGTATAATCACATCAACGTTGCAAAACATTTGTCAACACCGATGTTTTGTTGAACTTTTAGGGCTTTTATATTGAAAATTGTGAGCAGAAGTGCTGCCACTTATTTTCACTACCTTGACGCTGACTGGAGGTCAGTGAACTGCAGAGAAATGGAGTGTCAATGTGAAAAGGACAACTCTGAGGATGCTCTTACAGGTGAGAAGAAATGTTTAACAATTAACCACAACTTTAAAGATGTCTGTGCTACGTCATAGAAGATGAAGAGTGTATTGTTTGTGTGCCCATTGCTTGAAAATACAGTTTAAGTATGGACATGTTCTTACTCACTCAATTGACTTCTTGTGATACCATGTGACATTTTGTCTTCATGGTTGCAAAGTACATAGTCTGTTACTTCAATTTAGTGGCAAAATCGTTGTGACTTCCGGGATGGTTTTTCAAAATAAAATATAAGTTATCAAGAGCTTGTTACTTTTCAGTTTGACAATTTCATAAAATTGCACAAAAACAGTTTTAGCTGTTTTATTAAATAATCAATTTGAACCCATTTTCTACAAAGCAACTACAATATTATATAACTGTGCTAAAGTTTCCCGCCATTAAAACAATCCTGGAATTAAAGAGATTGTGATGTTTTACATATAATGATTAAAACCAAAGCTTTGAATGTAAACCTTGATATGCCTACAGGGACACACCCACAGTGACCTGTATTGAACAATAGGGGATTTGGAGTATTTCACACATAGGGGAAAGGTAAACCCCATGATAAGTTGTGGACAACACTTCAATACTAATGTCATGCTTTCCTCCCTCCACTCTCTGTTCAGGCTGGTGGATGAATGGCAACAGTGTCCAGATGGGAGTTTTTACTGTGGTGGGGTATCTTCTCTACAGATTCTCACAGAGTCAGTAACTCACCAACATATGTTCATATTCATTTGGACAATTCCCAATACACACAGGCCATATTGTTTTATTGTTGTGAGTCTGGAAACTAGAAAATCTGAAACGGATTAAACTTGTTTGAATTCATCAGAAATGGCTTTGATCAGAACAATGGTATTATCAGGAGTGTAGCCAGGAATCATGGGTCCTACTTACGGAGGGTGACCCTAACCTCCCTCCATTTTCAGTGACAAATATCAACATACCTCTGCAGATTAATTTATTTATCAGAAACACACATAGCTAGAGAATAAAGCAGGCGATACTGTATATTTTCCTCCATTGTTCAAAATATGAAAAATACTTAAAACAACACCATGGTATTTGTGATCTGTTTAAAATCTTTACGTCTTCAGTACGGACAAACTGGCTTAGGGCCACAGACTCCAAGTAAAAAAGTAATATGAATTAATTATAGATACACACTGGTATTTAATTCAGAGGTCGGTATCCTCTTATCCTAAATGCAGTCCTCCAGAATTTTTAGGTTGAAGAAACAAGTTAGCAGGCAAAGGTTTCATCTAATGGAAATTAAAAATGTATGAGTATGAGGGCGTTTTCACATTTATAGTATCCAACCCACTCAATTTAGGGTCTAACTAAACTATATTTAAAAACAAAAATGTTGGCCCATAAATAATTCGAATAACTTTAAGCAATACTTAAATGGTCTTTCTTGACCACTGCTTTAATCTGTAGTCTGTTTTTCCTGCAGCACTCCCAGCTCTGATCCGATGGCCGATTCGTCTTTTCTGTTCTCTAACTGGTAAGTTTAGTTCCAGTGGTATATCAGGGGTCAAAGGTCTGGGGTCAAAGTCTGATTTTTAACTGACAGTACACAAAACTAGCGTTGCCATCAGTATGCTTGATTAAAAACCAATAATGATCTAACATGACCGTCACTGTGTGTTTCTGCTTCAGGTCTGTCAGCTCTTTGGGGCTGGGTGAGCCACCTCGTGGGAACCCTTCGTGGTACAAAATATACATCCCTTATTTCTTACCCATAAAATGTATTTAAAAAATGAATAAGAAAAAGTCAAATAAGCTAACTTCTCTATTTATTGTTTCTTGTTTCTCAGGAATCCAGAGCCTGTTTAAATGGCTGTCTCGAATTTGGCGGTTTTTCGTAGGTGAGCGCTGCCTGAATTTGTGCTAGATGTTGTTTACTCTTCACTGTGTGCTTCAAATTGACTTTTTAAGTGAAGGTAAACGGGTCTGGAAAAGTTTACAATTTGAGTTGGTATGTTGGAGTAGTCAGAGGAAGTGACTCAGAAATTCAGCAGACACATGACGGCAATTTAGTATCTCAAGGGAGTGGTGCTATTTTAGTGATAGATCTACATAATAATTATAGGTCTGTAATTAACAGTTAAACCAGCTGACTTACAATCTGCTCCTCCATCAGGATTTTCCTCCAAGTTCAAGTGGTTGGCTGCTGTCATCAAAGCAAGCTCAGGTCAGCTCACCTTAATCTTCCTTCTTGTTTTTTTCTGTCCACTCACTCAGGCCCAGTTCAGTTTGGACTGAGAATCACATTTTTTCTGTAAAATGCTTCATTATTTAACTAATAAAAACTCTGCAGTGTCATCCACAGACGAAGAACTGGATTTAAACAGTCCCAACAAACCAGGCCTGAGGCTGATCCTCCTGGAGTATAACAGTGAAGGATGGACCTCCCTGGAAGAGACTTTGTTGGGCAACAGTGGGACAAGGGCACCCACGAGTCCCCTAATTGAGAGCACCAAGAGTAGGACCGTATTAGATGGTAGAGAGGTTACAGTGATCAACACCCCAGATCTTTTGGGGCCGTCATTGGGGAACAACAAGAGAGCCAGGGAAGCTTTGAGGAGCCTTCAGCTCGCCAGTCCTGGACCACACGCCTTCCTGCTGGTGATCCGAGCTGCGGGCTCCAGCATGGGGATTGACCAGGATGCAGCTCAGGCAATCCGAGCCACCCTTGACGTGTTTGGAGACGGGGTCGCAGGGTACATCATCCCAGTGCTCGCCCACGCACACCGTCGGGGTCGAAGGCATACTGTAGATCAGCTGCTGGATGCAGATGATGGGGGTCTGAGAAGGGCTCTGTCTCAATGCGACCAGAGTCCAGAGCTGGTGGATGACAGGCCAGACTGCCCTCCAGAGGTGCAGGGTGTGATGCGCAGGCAGCTGGTGGGGCGTGTGATGGAGATGAAAACACTGAGGGGGCATTTTGTCCACGAGCTGCAGAGAAGAGAAGACCGCATCAGGGAGGAGCTTCTGACTGACATGGCCTCTGCACTGGCTATAAAACTAGGACACATGTAAATAAGAGAGGGAGAGCTGCTGTTGGTCTGTGTGAAAGAGTTGTTGGGGCAGTGAAAAAATAAGGAGGCAAGATTCATTCAAGTGTTGAACATGCAATTTTGAGTTTAGGTGCAAGGGTGATTCTTTGCCTGAGGTATTTTTGTCACTCTGCTGGTTTACCACTGTCCAAATGAATTTACTACCACTGGCCGCCTTTTGGTTTTCAACATGCCACAGATGCTTTTGGTTAGATATCACGCTCACACACTTAATTTTCCCATTGTGATGTGTTGTGTACTTCTTTGCCGTCTGTTTATTCCTTTGCATAGGCCTGTGCCTCGTGTTTTCTTACCCTGCTCCAGTGCTTAGCCCTCCCTTATCATTCATAATTTATAAGCTATATCAAAATTTAAAGATGGTCAGGGAAAATAAACTGAAGTCATATTGGGACTAAAGTTCAGCAGTGCTGTCCACGTATTCTGTGCTTTCTCCAGAAGCCTCCGAAAACACCATTTAGACCAAAAACTGTTACTTAAATATGAACAAGCTCACATTTAATTGCAGGTTTTTATTGACTGTATTTATGTAGCTGTGACATCTGGCAACAGATGAAAGTGACAAGTCTATTTATGGTATAATAATATCAGTCGAGCTTTAATTGTGAAATATTAACATCATCTCAAGTATATGTTGTATACTTTTATTTTCAGAGGTGACCCACTAACCCACATTATTTGTAGTCTTAATGACCTGAAACACTACTGATACTGATAAAGCAGAGTGACCCTGTGGTTAAAGAGACAATTCAACATCAGTACATACCTCCAAAAGACCAATCAGGTTCCTCGTGGGCATGATGATGGAAACACACAGCATAAGAAGAAATAACAACCACTGGTCTACTGGTATTTTTCTAATTTTCTAATTTTTTTTTAAGTCTGACTTCTGACCTAAGAAAAAGAAAAAAAAGTAGTAGAAAAAGTCAATCATTACCAATATACACTAGCATCTGTTAGCACATTATATTTTACTGTTTAAGGGTTTAGACATCTTAAGCAGCATGATCTGCTGTGCTTTGCAGTCAATTAAATGTACACAAGAGTGGTTCAAAATCTAATATTTACCTCATTAGCTTTCCATAATTTTCCAGTGTCAGTATTGGGTAATATGTTTCTGTTCAGTAAACTAATTCTGAAGAACTGAGGGGAAAACAGGATATGATTGGGAAATGCATGTTTGGATCTGTTTAGCTGAAAAACATTACCTTTCTCTCCAGCAGTCTTACATTTGAAGACTGCTGTCAAAAACCCTTTGGCAGTGCAGGAAGGCCACAACGAAATAAAAGATAATCTCTTTCAAATGTATCTGCATGATCCACATTATTGTGGACATATACTGAGATTACACTGGCCAAGGTCTGTTACACTTTATTAAACATGAAGAAATATTTTTTATATCAACGCTGAATCAAATGATCCATCAAATTTTAAATTATTATTCATAGTGTCAAACCCACTGGGAATTAACACCAAACTCTGGAGCTATTTGCAGGTTTTCAGCCACTTTTAGCTCTTTGATTTTGTTTTTCTGCCTACAAAACATTTGCATACCAAAGTGGAGCTCAATAAAAGTGAAGAATATTCATCAAATGGACTGAAACTCCACACATAATGTTGATAATGTGTTCTTGTGTCTGCTGAATGTTTTGGTCATAACAACTTTTTAAGCTGAGGGCTGTGTTTGTTTTGCCCCCTAGTGGTCAAAAATGACTAAAGGCAGCTTTAAAGTCACAAACCTGGCTGATTTGGTAACACATGGGGTGATAACTGCGAGTGTGTAATTGAAAAAGTGTGTCAGTTTGAGCTCACAAAACTCAGCAGAAGAGAAACAACTCCTGTATGCGTTTATAGCATAGCCAAACAAACCATGGGCTGAGGTGATTCATTGTGTCACACTGTTTCAATAAAGGAGAGACCATCAACAATGTCATTCTTATGTTAAGCTCTTGTGTTCCACATCATGTCCATACATGATTCACTGTTTCCTGTGAATCCCTTGTGCATAGTATTCAATTCTTGATAGCTATAAATCTTAAAGATGTAATTCATAAATATTGTTATTGTTATACATTACTTTTTGTTGTGGCGGGTGGTTTAGTAAACAGTTGCCTATTTACACATCAAGCAGGCGCAAAATAAATGGAATTTATTTGTGGCCGTGTCTCTGGCTGTCTGATGAATGTAAGTCCAATATTCACTCTCCTTTAAGCTCTGTTTTAGTCCCCACCAACTGAAAAATATCTCTTCAGCTGCTAAATGTTCATCAGCTAGTTGCTAACTTTGTTAGCTACATTCAGAGTAAATCACAAGAATAAAGTTGCGGCATAAAACCAAAACAATTGGGTGATAATTATCTGTGGGTTTGTCACTAGAAGCGACTCCTTGGTCATGTGATCCCTCCAGGTGTAAACCCACTGTGACTTCTACTATTGTTTTGTGGACTACAGTTATGAAGCTTCAGGATTGGCATTATGCCATCTTGGTTTTTTAGATCCAGAAGTGACCATATAAGAGTGTGGAGCTGCCTCTATCCTGACTGGATCTGACTGAGAACCTAAGGACAGGTCTTGGTAATGGCTTATCAATCACAAGGTAATCACACCCTAAATTTTACTCTAAATGGGACCATAATGTACCAAATGCTGCATGGAAGCCGACTCAAAACTAGCAACTAACCATAAACTTATTTGCAAACTATTTACTGAGGTAATAAATCAAGTGAGAAGTACAATCAAAAGTCAAAATCAAGACTTCTTATTGCAATGTGTAGGGGTGCCTCCTGCTGGACATTAGAAAGAAAGCAGGTTCAAGGCGCTTCCACATCAGCTTCAATGTTCATACCCCAAATCTCCATCCACTATTTATTATACTATGGATCCATTGTTGACATTAAAATATATTGGTTATAGCCACTTCAAGTATTCAGCAGTCAATAAAGCAAGCTAAAGTTTGAGCCAGCCTAAAAGTCATAAACTTTTACATTTACTTTTACATTACATGTACATCACTGCTGCAAACGGGGTGTAAAGCAGCACTGTGATATTTATTCATTATGTCTTTTAAACATGCCCACTGTGAATAAAGTGGAAAATCCAGGGTTTCGCAGTCTCAGGGGAGGGACTGCTCAACTGTCTACTGACGCAGGCGGTGACAGCAATATGGAGCCAGGGAGACGCTACTGCGCATGTCCGCGTCTGCACGGACGGAGAGAGAGACAGACCATAGACAGAGAGAGGGAGAGAGAGAGAGAGAGAGAGAGAGAGAGCTGTACCAGGGAAAAATTGTCAAGACAAAGGACTGAACAGTCTTTAGGGAAACAGCGGAGAGTAGATTGAGTTTTTATACCGGTTTATGGTAGCCGAGCTGTGACACTAGCGGCGGGAAGCGGCCAGGTAAGTGTTCGGTCAGAGAAAACGAAGTTATAAGACGCGAAGGAAGCGCTGTGGTTGTGTTTGCTGTAGACACGGGAGTCACGTCGAGCAGCCAGAAGATTAACGCCAGATATCTGTTACTATCACGGATTATTTGCATCTGTACATGTAGGGTTTCGGAGTACGACAGCGGCTGTGCCTCCTTAACGGACTGTACGCTCTCTGGTGTGTGTGTGTGTGTGTGTGTGTGTGTGTCCTGGTTTGTACGGGGCTGTTATCATATTCTGCTAGCTCACTTACAACAGCCTGCTTCCTCTATCCAGTCCAAGCTGCTGGATATGTTTACCTTCTTCTCATTTGGGGGGGGGGTCTGCTGATCAAGAGGGGATTGTAGCAGCTTATTATGTGATCTCAGCTATCGATCAGCATTGACTACCTGATCACTATTGTTTTTTTAAGTGTTGTTTAAGGTGTTTGGCTGTTGTTAACCTTAAGTAAGCAGTTTGTAAGATGTCATTTTGGGCTCTGCTAACTTGTGGTGGGAATTGTTTGTTATTTTAAATGAGCTTTTATTAGCTTTTCTTTTTCTTTCTTTCTTTCTTTCTTTCAGGGGTTATTCAGGCACCCGTCACTGCTGGGCATCACATCTCCGTTGTCTGTTCCAGTGGAAGTGAGGCTTCATGGTCAGCAGCCTGGTGATGGAAAGAACTGCACAGCTATAAGCTCGGTGACTGGATGGAAAGAGCTGTCAACGCGCTCGCAGAAGATGGAGGAAGTGGAAATGCACAGACAGCAGCGGCACTTTGATTGACGACACCACTGTGGTGTTGTTGGAGGAGCGATCTTTCATTTGGGATCATCTGGAGTATCTTTGTTGTGAGACTTCTGCTGGCAATCCGGTTTTGACTTCCAGTTTTTTCCTCCTTCCTGCTGACCTTTTTTCACATCTCTACTTTAGAGCGAGCAGGTGTTGCTGTGTTAAACAGCCACAGGTCTCCAATTTACCCTGCAACCCCCTCCCCTCCCTCGAACGTACACAGAGACACACAAGCTCCTCTCTTCCAAGCGGCTGAGAGGTTGCTATGGAAATGGTTGTCATGATGCTGATGTAGCGTCCTGAAGGTGGTAGTTGTGGAGGTAGTGGTGGAGCCGGAGGAGGTGGTGCCGGCGGCGGCAGCGGTGGTGGTGAACGTCCAGGGATGGGAAGCGCTCCGTATCCAGCCGGTGAGTGGAAGGGGAAGGGGCGAGGCGGCCTGCAAGAGCTGGGCTGCATGCGCTGGAAGGTCAGCAAGCAGAAAGGAGGAGGAGGAGGAGGAGGAGGAGGAGGAGGGGAGGTGGTGGTGGGAGCGGAGGAGAGGAGGTCCAGGGATCCCACGGACTCTCAACAGCAGCAACAGCAGGATCTCTCATCCTCCTCTTCCTCCCTCACCCCCCCACTGCCTCCTCAACCCTCTCTGACACCTCCGGCCATTTATCATGAGAAGCAGCGGAGGGAGCTGTGCGCCCTGCACGCGCTCAATAACGTCTTCCAGGACGGGACAGCCTTCAGTAAGGACACCTTGCAGGAGATATACCAGAGGTGGGGGGAGCTGGTATACCAGTCTACATTAATATTTAGTCTGTGCACATGAAATATTGTAGATAATCTGTTAATCTTTCTTGTCAACTTGTTACAGGCTTTCTCCCAGCACTCTGGTGACACCTCACAAGAAGAGCATGCTGGGAAATGGGAACTATGATGTAAATGTCATTATGGCAGCCCTGCAGACCCGAGGGTTTGAGGCAGTTTGGTGGGATAAAAGAAGGTAAATAGGGCGTTTGTCTTTGTTCTTGCACTAGACAATGTAGTTGAAGGAGGTAAAGCTTTTATTTATTTTTAGACTTTCACATCAGTTTCTCATATCAGAGCTGCAGTCTATCTTTTCCCTGCTGTCCTTCGTTGTTTTCCTAAATTATCAGTATGAAACTCAAACAGATGGAGCCTATAACCCAAAGCAAACCTGTCTTCATCCTGCCTGTCTTGCTTCTTTTGTTCTACATGTGGCGAATAGAACGTTAACACAAGGTAAATGTTGCAAGAGGCTTCCCTGTGTCCTCATCTGGACCTCCATTGGCTAATCAGCAGGGCCTCGAATGATCTCTTTGATTAGTCAGCAGTTTCATCAGTTGACAAAGTCTAGGAGACAGTTTTATCAGCATTCCTGATTCCCTCATTAACAAGCTTACATGACTGTTGACAACAACAGCCGCCACAGACTTGCTTGTATCAGTAAAAGGTTAGTGTTATCAGAAAAGCCGTATTCCTGTTTTGTATGTCTTTACCAGAACAGGAACAAAATCATAGCAACCACTAATCTACTGACAGAAACAACAATGGTACTCTGTTGCTGATTGATACAACCACAGTTTTAAAAACTATAGCCTGTGATTAAAGCCTTTCCGTTTTTGTCATTGTTAATATTCAGTATTGATTCGTTTTTGGGTTCCACCCAAAGACAAATAATTGTACAAATAATAAGCCGCTTTGTACAATATACTGTAGATTTCCTGTCATAGGGTAAGACATGTTTATCAAATATATCAAAGCTATGTTTGTGATGTTGTTATGAAGGCCTGGGACTGTTTTTATAACTCCTTGTTGGTGCATTCAAGCACTTTTGGGAAACTGACAGCCAAGTTTGAAAGTTTTCTACATGTTGCTATTTGTTAACAACAAGAAACCTCTTTACAGTTTGGTACAGGCCGCTTCATCTCAGTCAGCAAAATTGGAATAGAAGGGAATAGAAATGGCTGGCAGTAGTTTATATAATTAATCTTAAACATATAGTGTGCTAGAGAAAATAGTTAATGGCAATGTAAGGTAAGGATGGGAAAAATAATCAATTCACTTAAGTATCGTTATTTGTAAAAAATCCTGAATCAGTATCATTTAAATTCAATTTCCTTTATTTTAGTTCAGCTTGTATATGAAGGATGTTAATTTAAAGGCTCACATTTGTGCTGTGTGCAGTTTTCAGGGGCTCTATTAATTCTGGCCCAACATCGTATTTTATTTACCACTTTTATATGCAGTACAGCAAAGATGGTGCTCAAATAAAAACTGACTGACCTGCATTGTTTTTGGAAATATGAGTCATGATAGACAGGCTCCAGAAGTAAATGATCTAACTTTTTCCCATGGTCTAGTGTTGAAAAAGTGAACAATAATGCCAGTAAATCGTAGTATCGAATTGCAATACATGCCTTAATTGGCAGCCAGTCCTCTGCCTCCTTGCTCCGACACAAAAGGGAAGTTCACAAGCCATAAATGTTGCCTCTCTTCCTCCAGGGATGTAGGCAGCATCGAGCTGTCCAACGTGACGGGCTTCATTCTGAACGTGCCATCCAACCTGCGCTGGGGGCCTCTCCGGCTGCCGCTCAAACGCCAGCACTGGATAGGAGTCAGAGAGGTGGGAGGGGTCTACTACAACCTGGACTCTAAGCTGCGTAGCCCTCAACCCATCGGCAACCCGGATGAGCTCAGGTGAGAGTGATGGGGTGTGTGTGTGTGTTGTGTGTGTGTGTGTGTGTGTGTTTCTACTATGACCAGAAATATTGTTAAACTACCACATGTGGGAATACACCACTTTTCTCCCTTTTAAGCTGCAGGGGGTTGATGATGTTGGTGTATCTGTCTAACACTCTAGACTAAGATTTATTTACAACTATAGTATTGGACAGGTTGCTTTGAAATGCGATATTCAGTCGGGCACTAACCTCTGTGACTTAATGAACACTTTCTGCAACTGTTCCCCAGTAAAAGCTTTCACATCTGGAAGGCTTTTTTTTTTCGTTTACTGTGAAGCAGCTGCAGGAAGTGTTGAGTTTGCAATAGATTAACACTGCAGCACAAATCATTACAGCTCTGATAACAAAGAAAAGGATCGCGGAGCAGAAAATAGCTCAGCTCCTGTCTTTTAGATTTAGAGTACCGACTGCTACATTAAAGAAGAGCCACCGAACTGAACATACTTATAGCAAATTCTCTGTTGTAGCCTGATTGACAGGTCATTTTAATGTTATGATTTTTAACTTGGACTGTTTTCTTAATCCTGCTCCCACTGGATTTCTGACCATTCATGGCCGCAGAAAATAGATTTAGTATCTTCTTCCGTCCTCCAGGGGAAAAGACAAAAGTCAGTATCACTTGAGAAATTTCTCCAAATGTCATACCTGCCTTGCTTTGCTTTTGTTTTGTAAAAACCCACTTAAATCTTCTTTTAAACTTTATTTGTCTCCATCCATCCCGGAAGCTGCAGTTTATCTTTTGGCTACGCATTCCCACCCGCAGCAGAATCCAAACCGCCTGTTCCCGCGAGATTTGCTTGGGTACCACAGGATCCCAATACAGCCCTCTGCTTGGTGTATCCCTTTACAGAGTTGTTGTTCAACATGAGTTGTTCAAGCTTTTGGGTGGAGCTGCCCACATAAAGTTGATGATTTGAGTCAAATTTTATCAGTGCATTATTGTACACAGGCTGACGCAAGAGGAACAGTATGTTGCAAACCTTGCAAACAGAATCAAACCACAAACCTAACTGTAATTGAAGTAGAGCTGGAAACTATAACCATGATGCTGATTCTCTAAAATCTGATGTTTGCACATCACAGTTGAGTGTGGGGGTGGGTGTGAGGACTGTGAAGTAAGTGTAAAGTAAAGCTAACGTTAGCCAACTAACATGTCCACTCAGACAGTATTTTGCTAGCGATAACATTAGCGAGCAAGCAAGCTAAGGTTAGTCAGCCAGCTGCAACCCAGCTACACTGAAAAGCGTTATCTGGCGTTGGCTGCCCCACAACGCCAGATAACAAAACTGAAAACCATCAGTCCAAAGGCAACCAAAAAGTAGGAGAGGGTCTCATTTATTAAGTTTTGTTTCAACCTGTTTACATATTGGCAATTTAAAGTGATTAGTACATACAAACCTTTTAAAGGAGAGTTAATATTGGTTTCACATTTATCAGGCGTGTATGTGTAAGTAAGCGTAATAATAATAAGTGATAATATGTTAATGTTGCATATTTGCTGCCCCTAAGTGGCCAAAAAATGAATTAACAGCCCTACCATTTCAAATTGTGACACTGTGTATTGTCAGGGTTTGCCTTTTTTTTTTTTTTTTTTTAAACAAATATGCATAACTGTGATTGTTCATTTTACCGCATCCCAGGAAGTTTCTCCGCCAGCAGCTGCGAGGGAAGAACTGTGAACTCCTATTGGTCGTCTCGGAGGAAGTGGAGGCACACCAAACATGGCGGTCTGACGGCTAAGGGTTTAACCAGCCAATCACAGCGCCACCTGGGCCAGCGGGCCGATGACAGAGAAAGTAGAAGAAGTTGTGTGCAGCCAATCACATGGATGCACATTTGCAGATGTATTTTTTCCCACCTTTTTGGGTTTTGTTTACACAACCGTTGCTGGACTCTTTTCTGATTAGATGCAAAGCAATGACGGAGGCAAACACTTTACAGGGAGAATCAACGAATCACAGTCCTTTACTCACAACACAGTTAAGACTTATAAAAAGTTACTATTCTGTTTCTGCTATTCTTGTGTTTTTATATATGACTATTTTTCAATGTCAGTTTGGATCTGTTTTATTTTTATTTTTTCCTTTTTACTGTTCAGATTTCCAAAGTCATGGGATATCAGGCTTTATGAAAAATGCTGTGTATATCTGCCTGTCTCCCTCAGTGATCCTCCCTGCTTCAACCAAGATGTTCACTGATGTGTCTTTGTGTTTCTGTCCCTCCCGTCATGTCTTGAATCTCTCACTATCCGTATCCACCGTCCTTCACTTTCACCAAAGCGTGCCCTTCCTTGCCTCAGCGTGACTCCACTCACTCCTGCTCTCTGTCCCTTCTACATATCACGAGTCAAAATCGGTGATTTATCACGTTGCCAACTTTGTATTTCATCCACTTCCCAAACTCTTCTGGCACAGTCTGAGCCTATACTGTACAGAGGCTGTGCTGACACAACAGTTTTATATGCAACAAAGCAATGCAACACTCGGGCCAAGCACTCCCTCTAGTGGATGTTTGCCTCAGTTTCCTTTCAAGGAAGAAGTAACGGCATCATTCATCCAGTTGTTTTTTTTTTATATATAGAGTGCTAGTCATCGACGAAGTAATGCAATAGTAACAATTAGCATCTCTCAGTAGAATTATACTGTATTATGATATCATATTTATCAAATTAGGGTGATAAGGAAACCTGTTGTCTAAATTGTTTATAAAATCAAACTCGAAATCTTCCCCAAAATAATATTACAGATATTGGCCATTCGTCTGCACAGTCAGAGCATCACAGTTCATGTTTGACTTTGGAAAAAGCAGTCAACAGAACCATCTCAACTCAAGGTCTGCTTGTTCTGGAGCTTTCAGCTTCATCACACAGTTCTCATGCCTCAGAAGATTAAGTGATGTTCAACTTTTGAGTAGTGCTAAAACTTTATTAACTATTGCGAGTGTGTCATTTTCTCAACAAATATGGGGTTTTGGACTGTGAGTCAGACAAAACAACCAATATAAACATGGAAACTAGAGCTCTAAGGAATTGTGATTGACATTTTTCTAGAACTTTCCACTTTCTACTTTCCATACGGTTCTAAGACAAATTTAATCAGCTGATGAGGGCTGTGTGATTCAAAAGTCAAAAGCTCCAGGGCAAGCGAGTAAGTGACCGTTTAGATGGTCAATAATAATCTAAATATTTAATGAGTTACTGTTACAGTCGTCATATCGATAAAGAAATATTTTTTATTTGCCCATATTGTTTAATTAGAGTCACAATAGTGTGTTGCTCAGTGGTAAAATGACACCACACAGAATAAGGGACGATACTTTCATTGTTGTTCATTGTTTTCTTTTCTCTCCGGCTCCACTCTGGTCCAAAGGGTCACCACCACAGCAGCCCTCTGTAGCACAGGAGCTCAGCTGATGCAGGGCTCTTCTTCTTCTTCTTCTTCTTCTTCTTCTTCTTCTTCTTCTTCTTCTTCTTCTTCTTCTTCTTCTTCTTCTTCTTCTTCTTCTTCTTCTTCTTCTTCTTCTTCTTCTTCTTCTTCTTCTTCTTCTTCTTCAACATGTCTTGTCAAAACTGCCAAACACAGCTCTGAGAGGTTGTCACAGATTGTGTCTGAGGAGGGGTCTGGTGGTTGGTTTGCTCAGAGGGAAGTTGTTAGAGATGGAGCGCAGTGTGCCTGGGTAGAGAATAACGTAGAAAAAGAAAAGTGAAAGTTGGCGGGCCGGCTAGTGAACACATGTCCAATCGGACGTGTGCTGTGGTTTATTATTGTGAAATGCGCCTTATGAGAGAGTTTGTAGCTTTCAGATCTATCAGTTTAAGAGATACTATACATGTATTGTCTGCTAAAGACAATATTGGCCTTAACTTGTTTACATAAGAAAATATTTGTTTCTCTGAAAGATTAAGAGGGGCTGTGCAGTTGGACGCCATTACAGGAGATTTATTCCAAAGCACCGATTTATCGTAAATATAGAGGAGAAACGGCTGAAGCTCATCAGATATGATGTTTTCACTTTTGCAGCCAAGGGCTTTATGTTATTTACAATTGTTTATGATTTTATAAAGACTAGATCACATGTTTTTTCCAATGGTGCGTGTCTCATTTTGGAATGAAACTCCAGCCCGGTCTGTATACCTTTAATGTCATATCCAAGTGAACCTGCATTGAAACATCAGAGCGCTTGTCATTCATTTGCTGAGATCTTTGGACCCAATCACATCATGACTAGTGTCTCACAATTGCATTCAACATTTGCTCTTTTTTTTGCCACGACAATCTCTAAGCCCATCCTACTTAAGGAATACTGATTGTCACTGTATTTTGTTTTTGTTTGTTTTTTTATTTTTTTTTGCATAGAAATAAAATGCTTATAATGGCACTTTATGTATAAGATACAGTGTGGGTGTTTTACATGGGTCAATATTTGCTCGGAACGGGTCCATGTTGAGTTTGTTCATCTTCTTGGCCTGGTTGGGGATTTTGGTCAGTAGTGGAAAGTAATTAAATACATTTACTTAAGTACTGTACCTCAGTGCAGTTTTGAGATACTTGCACTTTACTTTAGTCCTGTCATTTTATGCTTCTTTTTAGTCGACTGACACTGATATGACAGCATTTCAACTTAAGATTGTACATTCAAAAAAGCATGTGAAAAGCTTATAAGATACAACGCATTGTTAAACATAAACATTTTTAGATAGTGAGCCCTTGTTGAGGCCACATGTCAGGTCTTTATGAGTTGTCTGGAGGTCCATCAATGAGTTATTTACCCTCTAAACTTAGAAGTACCAGTAGAGTATATACATTTGTGAAGCAGAAATTATTTTTCCTCACCCGTTTAATCATCTCCCAAACTCCTGAGATCAGGGCTGGCCAAGATATTTCTAGCAAAAAAGAAAACCATATAAATCAATGTTTAAGCTTTTAAAATGCTTTTTAAATATGTAGGATCCCTAATCATTGATCATTTTTCATAACTGAGCATAACAGGCAGTTACACAAAGTGGGCCATTTAAGGGAACTTGGGATCCTAGTACCATTTTGCCTGAATCAATACAATATGTGTTTGCTTTTGGCGTTTGGGTCCTTGAAGGGAAAAAACTTTGGACTTGTGACTCTTTGGGTTGGGGGGTGGGCAACCCCAGTGTTGGGACCACTGGACTGTAGTAGGTCAAACTATAGCCCCCCCCCTTTAAAATGCCACCTTTCCAATGCAATAATACCATATTTAATAATACAGCAGTAACAGACGCCATTGTGCACAGTGAGGCTACTTTCTGCTCTTACTTTAGTCAGGCTTTAAGTGTCAGACTCTTTCACTGCCTGTATATTTACCGCCGTAGTATTTCCATTCACTCCACTGTTTGAGTTTTTGGTTTCCATCCGTGATGATGGTGAGGCAGCCGGTGGCGCGCGCGGACTCATTGTAAAAAAAAAAGGGAGCGCGCTTTCTCCCGGGCGGGTGCACGCGAAGCGGTGTGCAGATGTGTCGCAGATTTTGTAAAGTCACTGGACGAAAGATCCAGCCAGAGGAAGTCGCTCCGGATAAATGTCAGGGAAACAAAGCGGCTGAAGGGAGCAGCGAGAGGAAGAGAGGACGGGACCGCGGGACCGCTGTCAGAAGCAGTTAACGTTAGCTTAGTTTGTAACGGAGAAATATCGTTACTTTGACAGTCAGAAGCGAGCGGACGGCGGCGTGCGCAGAGATGGAGCTGTCAGCGATTGGAGAGCAAGTGTTCGCTGTGGAATCAATCGTCAAGAAAAGAGTTAGAAAGGTAACCCCGATACATTGTGCCCGATATGTGTCAGTCCGCTTAGACGTTGTCAGCATTTGGAGGAGGCACGTTTTGTTTTTTTTAGGGGGGAGGAAAGGGATGCTACTTTGGATGCTAATGAAAGCTTGAGAGATTAAATGAGCAGAATTGCGCGGCTAATCTGGTTATCTAATTGCAGGGCTGTATAAACAGGGGGGCGGGTTAGAGGAGGATGTCCCTTTAATGTAACGTGGAGAGTGTTGTCATTACACTACAGCTTAACATGTCAGGTGTTTGGATAAAGAGGCTGGCAGAGGACACGGCATGATGATAAATAAATCAAACACCTTCATTTCGGGCCCGTTTTCTTGCTAATTGGATTTAGGTGTAAGTTACCATATGGTGTTGACAGAGGAGGTGCGCAGCTACAAATGATTGTTCCCCCGGAGCTACAGGACCCCCCCCCCCGAAACTCCTCTGTTTACTAGCGGTCCCCCCACCCCTCTTACTCCTGGTGGAAACTATTCAAATGTACAGGGGTATAAATAATTTAAACACTGAGTGATAAAAGGAAGGTAGGTTATAAGACCAGATACAAAGGTATGGTACATTAGCCTTTATGCCAATAAGCTGCATTTTCTGTCTATTAGTAGTAGTTAGAGACAATAAGCCCGTTCCCCAAATTGAAATAGCATCTGATTTGATGAAATATAACCCCTTACAACATGATTACCAATTATTATTTTGATTATTGGTTAATCTTTCTGCAATTGTTTGGATTAATTAGTTTGTAGTTTAGTCTAAAATGGCCAAAAGTAACTTCTTCTTTTTAAATTTCTTCCCAGCAGTTCAAAAGTATTTAATTTACAATAATGTAAGAGAAAATCTTCGACATGCAGCAGATGTTTGGTGTTTTGCTTGAAAATTAGTTGAACTATTAATCAATTATCAGAGTCAATCAACCAATTAATTAATTAAATACAAATGTTATCACTAATATACAGATTATACAGATGAAGTGCATAACACTGACACACTGCATCTACTAACTGCATTCACAAAGTGTATGCCTGTAAAGGCAATATGGTAAAACATTGTATAAGGAGTAGAAAGATACAGATAATTACAACCTAACTTGAACTTCTATTTTATTAGTGCTTGTAATGTAGATTTACTTGATATTAATTTGTCTACACTCTGTACAGATGGTTTGAAGTTAAGCCTGAAGTGAGGGTTCATAGATTGAAAGTTTAGCAGACACAGAATATACATAGGCTAATGTTAAAACCACATGTAGTACTCAGTGGACTATATCTGTCCATCCACAGCTCAGACATGCAACATTACTCATGTTGCTATTAACTGTTAAACTGTGTTAATATGTGACATATTGGGTGAGACCCTGATATTGTTGTTAGAGCACTGTACTTATAACAATGTATTTTGAATTGAATCAAACCCAAATATGTTCTTTATGCTATGACTGTTTTCCTAAAATTTTATTTTTTAAATTAAATCGCAATATATCGCCTAGCTTACAGTATCGCAATCGATTTGTAACTCTTGTATCGTGATACGTATCGCCAGATTCTTTCCAATACACAGCCCTACCTATTATATTCCATTTCTGTCAATTGATCTTCTTAAATGCTACACACTGGACCTTTAATCTCACCCAATACACAATATTCATTAAGTTTCTTTTACTGTAACTGGGTGAGTAAAAGGAATTCGGGAAAAGTGGTGACTTCACCCGCTGAGAATACCTTTTAGGGCTTGGAGGATATTAGTGGATGATGTCACCATGGGTGACTAACTCTGAGAGGCTTGGCTGGTTATATGGAAAACATACTGTATGTTTTACATTAGCAGTTAATTATAGAAATTGTCTGATGGCATGGCAGTATCCTCCTACACATAAACTCCATTCAGCAGCAAGAATATAATAGAATATATACATTCAGTGGATGAGAAGATGAAGGTAAGTATCACCTACAACCATTGACGTCAGGTGAGAAAAACCTCAAATTTACAGTGGTGAGTTACGTTTTCAGAGAAAAGTGAGAGAGTTTTACTTACACTGTTTATTTTCATATAACAGACTTGTATGAGACTATAAATATATAATTCATGCAGATGTGTGTCTGCCTCAGGAGGTGAGTGAAATCAAATGATGCAAACACCTTTTGATAGATGTAGATGGTGATACATGTGTGATGCATCACACATGTAATAAGCTACAGAATAATCTGTGATGGCGTTTATCATGTTAACTTCTTGGCTGATACAGCTCTTAAACTTTATGTCTCCGCAGGGGAATGTGGAGTATCTGTTGAAGTGGAAAGGATGGCCACCAAAGTAAGTAAACTTAATCAGAAGGATGGCTGGAGAGTTTAACACTGATGACTGTATTCACGTTGACATGTACAACAGATTGTACATGTGCACAGAAAAGTACCATAGCCATATAAAATATCACAATACATGCTCATTAACAAAGATAACAACATATACACAGAATGCTGCTGGATGAGCTAATGTGAAACATCATTTGACAGATTTATTTATTTACAATTACTATTTATGTTTTTTTTTATCATGCAACAGAAACACCACATTTCCTTTCACATTTTTCAAATCAAAAGTTAATGCTTGGTTGACCCTCTGTAGAAGATCAGCACATAGTTACCGTTTGAGTGTGAGTGAAGAAGATGGAGCCGTTGCGTGAGCTCCTTTCTCAGCCAACACATAGGAACTGTTTTCAATAAGAATCTTTTTAAGATGGAAAATGTTAAACACCAATGCAGCAACAGACACACTGATTTAATTACCTGATTGAATGCAGTAACAAATTAATGATGAAAATGAATAGAAAAATAAAGGAGGCTTGTATATACTGTTGTTTATGTGTTGCAGGTACAGCACATGGGAACCTGAGGAACACATTCTGGACCAGCGCTTGGTGCTGGCCTACGAAGAGAAGTAAGGCTCCACTCTACATGTAATACTTTCCTAATGAAAAGCTTTTGCCTGAATCCAGGAAAGCACGGCGGGTTTGACACATAGTGGAGCAGGAATGTGCACAATAAATCAGTTTTTCTTCTTACATTATATTGATCATAAAGAGATTATGATTCAGCAGACCAAGACCCAGATCCAAGACCTCTCTCCAGCTGGCATTAGCATGTGTTCTAGGTTGTGGATCGTAACTAGATATGCCAAAACACATCAAATCCACATCTAAAGAAATCAAAGCTGCACGGAGGATGCTGCCTCCCAAATCATCTCCAAAGGTGGTCAGACACACATCCGGCCATATTAATAATGGTGGTGTTACTGCACTGCATCTCTCATCTGGATGTAAACAGTCGGTGTTGTTTACTCTGGTGGGCTGATAAGTGGTGCTAGTTGTTTACTTTCAGTTTTAAAAGATGTCATTAATTTGTTTAAAGTGACATCATGCAAGTCTTATTTTCTTAAAAGGTGCCCTGTGGAGTTTTCTTGTAAACAAAGTTTCTGTTTACATTCAGTGTCACTCACCAAAACACATTGTGTGTATCATTGTAGTCTAACGAACATGCTGAATGCATTTCATTCCTTTTTTTATTTTATTTAGCGAACTGAAAATACAAATGTTTCAAGCTTGAAAGCTACATATATATTGCCTTTAATAGATAGTGACAGCAGTAGAGTGACAGGAAAGGGAGTAGAGAGAGGGGATGACACACAGCAGAGGGCCACAGGTCGTATTAGAACCCACGGCTGCTGCAGCAAGGACTTAGCCTTGGTACATGGGACGCTCTACCAGGTGAACTGTCAGGGCGCACAGGAAGCTATAGACTCCTGATAGGCTGTGCAATGAGTTTTCTTCTATTTTCATCTTCTTCTTCTTCTTCTTCTTCTTCTTTCATCTGACTGATGTCGCCTTGCTTCACCAAGTTTCTCCTTTAGGGAGATTGATAATGAAACATTTGCAAAGCCAGTTTTTCTTAAATGTCTGAAACTCTCATTGTTTACATAGAAACATCTACACACAAATAAGCGTTCAAACAGCCTAAGAACAGGTCTCGATCAGCGAACATATGCACAGACATTTTAAAGTCAGAAGACATTTTGCCATCGGCCTCTTTTTAACAGTGTGCTTGGCTTTTTAGAGCGCAGAGAGACAGAGCTCTGGGTCACAGGAGAAAAGGATCCAAAGCCAAAAGACTCCTTCTGCAGGTAAAGTTTGGAGTTTAATAAAAAAGGTGAAGAGTTTTTTTCTGATCTCATAATTTGTACATTATATAAATAATATAATTTATACTTGATGATACAACTCTCTTTCCTTTGCCTTTGTTGGCCCCATCCAGTGATTGTGCTCTATACCATAGTTCATTTGTATCCTGCCACCTTGCCACCCTCTTCTATAACTAGTTTCGTTCTGAAATGATTGAATTTTCCAGCAATTCAAGTTTGTATTTTTAAAGTGTTTCCTCTTTGATCTTTATTCAGAACACTGTCTACACCATGGATCTCCGCAGCGCTCACAAGACTCCAGAGAAGCCTCCGCCTCGCCTGCATCTCTCCCTGACACGCTCTCTGCTCTCCGAGGACGAGGATCAGCCGTACAGCGCCTGCAGGCAGGACCCGCAACTGGCACGTCGAAAAAGCGAACCCAGGAGGTCACAGTTCAAGTGCCTTGATTCAAATCCTTCAAGTCCCACACAAGAGGACTGGGAAAGTCGGGGAGAGGAAGAAGAGGAGGAGGACAATATAGAATATGAAGAGGATATAGACGAGGAGGAGGAGAAAGAGGAGGCTCTAAAGGAGACAACAGAGAAGAGCGGAGGCATTTTAAGTGGTAAGTGTGTCAGTCGGTCAGCTAGTAGATCCTAATCAGCGTCACGACCCAGTTTACTTGACTCTTTGTGAACCTTCTAGTGGGCATGCACATACACAGGCTTTTCTTTTCACTGGGCATGCAACCAGAAACATAAAACGGCCTCCGTCCAGAGCTGATTAAAGAGCAAATCATGCAGAGGTCAAAATATAGACTCATTAAAGAGTTACAGGTACTGTAGAGTCTCTATGGAGATCTGTGTCTCTCTCAGATCTACTGAACACACAGTCTGTCGCTAATGTAGCATCCTTCTGCTTGAAAGTTTGACACCGTAGCAGATGTAAATCTTCAATAAATGAATAATGACAGTTACAAGACAGAGTGGTAAAGCACATTGAAATGATTTAAAGGTGAGACATTACTAAATCTTGTCAAAATAATGATGTGGAGTGCAAAACGGGGCACCTCTGTCCTCCCTATCACCTCAGAAGCACTCAGATACCTCCTATCTGTCAGTTTATAACATCTATCAGAGCACAGATAATCTATCCAGGCCACTTCAGGGAGGTTAACTCAATAACAGTACACATGTGATAGGCTTGATGCAATGCAACTCTACCCTTTTCTCCCTCCGCCTTTCTCTCCCCATGCTCCCGTCTCACTCAGGACAGGACAGTACAGACGAGTGGAGCTCCGCTATTGGACCGGACGAGGTCATCGCATCCGAGAAGCCGGACGACGGCGTCTGGAGACCCATCATCGGCCCGGGGGAGGTGACCGTCACGGACGTCACCCTCAACTCGCTCACAGTGACTTTCCGAGAGTCGAGAGTGGCCAAAGGCTTCTTCAGAGACTGGGGCCTGGAGGTCTGAAATGAGATGAGGTCTGAGTAGGTTGGTGGGGAGGGCGCTTCAAGAGGGAGGAGGAGGCTTCATCACAGCGTGTGAATGGTGGTTGAGGGCCAGGGTTGGTGTTTTCACTCCCTCTGCTCTTCCTCTCACCAGCTACTTCCAGCCTAGTCAGTGGTATGTTTACATGCACAGAGTCACCTGGATACAATCCAAACTCCAGTTAATGTTATATTTAGGTTAACTCTAACTGGTCGTGACTTCCATTTTAGACCCAAGTCGCCAGGTGGATTGAGGTGCAAACACTGGCACTGGAGGTGAGCGAGCTGTGGCCCGTATATGGCTGTCAGATTCAGGTTGATTTTGGAGGTCCACACTTTGGCTAAGGCCTAGTTGTAGTTAGCAGTACTCGGGCTAGTTGAGGGCCCCCATTGTTGGCCCCTTGTCCAGTGTCAGTGTCAGTGAACAGTTAAAATAGGCGAGTCAGGTGAAGTGAGTCATAGAGTCTCACACCTACATTAGGAATCTGTGACTTGCTGGGATCAGTTAAAATGTGCTGATACAGAGATATAATGATTTTATTGGTTTTCATTTTTTCCACTTTAAAGGTTCCCTGTAGAGTTATGTTTACATTCAGTGTTACTCACCAAAAGTATTTAGCCTATCCTCAAGGTTTAATAATCGATCTAATGCATTCCAATCCAATTAAAACCTTTGCAAAGCCAAGGTAACTATTTATATAGAACATTTCATACACCAGGGGAATTCAATGTGCTGTTACAGGGTAATACAAGTACAGCAAGGATACAGTTTGATCAAATTCAAAACAAAAAACTTAATTAAAGCTCATTTCTAAAAATGAATTGGACCCTGCATTGCGTTGTTTGCTAGCTTGCAGTCTTATTCTTCCTTTCCTTCTGCTAGGGCATTAATGCCACCTGTAGATCAGCGGAATAGTGTGAAACCTGCAGCAGGAATGTGCATCACATCGCCCAGGAACTAATAAACTGGGACCCACTCATCAAAACATTGCTCCATAGCGCTACTAGTGGCCAAAAACAGCACAGGGAACCTTAAAAGCAGTTAACAGAAGGGGCCTCATGTATGAAAATGTTGATCTTGGCTCCTGTCATACCGTACCAGTTTTCCATGTCAGATTCAGCAAACGTAGTAAAATAAACAGTTCCTACAGTCATCACATGACTGTAGTGGTAGAAGAGTATAAAGTAGCATAGTAGCAGAGTTATGACATCCACGTTTTGTGACCTAAAAGCAACTAATGTGAGTAATCAGGTGAAGGAAAGAAAGTTCTCTGTGCATGTAAACACGGCCACTGTTTCTGTCTCTTCCACACTAAACAAACCGTTCAGTACTGGACTCTGGATACGTATTGTACATACTCCAAAACTACAGTGAAGTGGGCATAGCTGTCAGTCCCATACTAACATGCAGTGCTGTACCTGTAACCTGTGAACACATAGACTGTTACTACTGTACAACATGTGTCTTAGTCTTGTATGCGTTTCCAAATCCTCGGAGAGATGATTTGATCCGCCTGCATGGCTTTCTCCTTCGGTACAGTTATATTAATGCAAACACACACACAGTGTAGTTCTCTCTGTCCATCCAGCTCTTCATCTCACAACGTACGACACACCACAAACGATATGACTGAGTACCAAAATCAGAAAACTAGATGAGACTTGATGACAGAATGTACTGTGGAATTGCACTCTTTACTGTACATCATAAAGGTTAGTGTGTCTATCAGGAGCCTCATTGTAGAGTTTGACCGACAGGGTTAGTCACATATTTTAAATGACTGACAGCTGTTTTATAAAACATACCTAAAGGTTTTATTGATTTCCTACCTTCCAGTTACCTCTCACAAAGGCACAAAAATCCACTTGCACTCTTAAAGATAATCTATCACAGCTAACAATGTAAAAGTTTAGCTTTATGGATTTATTAAGCTGTGTTATAGTAATGTTACTATCGTTATTAAATCAAACCAAAAATCAAGACAAAGCGTAAGCAACATGGAAAACGATCATGTTAATTTTTGTGTTGCTCAGGAGGGGTCTGCATCCCTAAAGGGGTTGCAAGAGCAGTCAAGTCGGTCGCAGGATGATTGTCCAGGACTTAGGAAAAGTTTGTCTTTTAGACGTTTGTCTGATCTTTGCTTTTATCTTGTGAAATACTTTAGTTTCAACCTTTCAGGCCTTATAAAAATAGTCGGATAAACCTATCAGCTCACAACTGATGAGCTGATTGGTTACTATGACGAGGGGGTTGCAAGGAGATATTTCCTTATATTAAAGGATAGGTTCACAATTTTTCCAGTCCTATCATTCCTGTTGATACCGGCCATTAAGAGACCCCTTCCTAATGTGCTTTCATGTGTAAGTGATGAAATGCACAGTCCCAGTTCTGTGCAAAAATATACTCCAAAGTTTATCTTATGCTAATATGAGCATTAGCTGTCTAAGTTCAACAAATCAAATGAATGTCCTCCAGAGTTAGTTGTCTTTTTGGTATAAAATTCCCTCTTCGTGCTTCCTGTTTTCTTGGTCAACTGGAGAAATTCTACTGACAAGAAGACTACAGAAGCCTCATATTAGCTTCAGACAACATTTTGAATACATTCTTGCACAAAAAGGCGCCTGTGAATTTGGAAAATGTGGATTTCATTTGAGCTTTTAGCTCCGTTATCAGAGAACTGTAGATTGTAGAAATATCAAGTTCATTTCAGACTTTGGAAACAGCAGTTAAAAGTAAAGTCTATTACAAATAGAATAATTATTAGTAGGTTAATAATAATAGATTCTAATGACAGAAATACAAATAGATGAATACCACTAATAATAATATAATGATTAAATATCTAGAATAAAATTCAAGATTTAAGTCAGAAAAATTGGAAAATGGGAATTTCCGAATGTACAGTTCCATGACACCTGAGCAAACTCAATCTGAAATAAACTGTTGCTGCCTGGAAGTTGGGAGGTTAATCTTAAAACCTGCAGCATGCTTTAGAAAATGGTTAGCAGAGCTATAAAGTATGTGCAATGTGTAGTTAATGGGCTGAAACATGAGAAATATGATCTTTAACGCAGGGTGACCCAGCCCCTGTCCACCAAACACATGGTTAGAAAACTAAATAATCATTTAATTACCCAAAATACTTACAAATCCGAAGTTTCCCCACAGCTTTACAGACTTATTTTATGTAACTGTGTTCAGGGATAACATCGATTAATAAAATAAAAGCCCAACTCTGAACCCAGTATGTCGGCCCAACCCTGCTGGCTTCCTGACCAGTGGACACAGGAGCTGATGTGATGTGTCAAGTCTGTGGAATCTCCCACAGTGGCGTCCCATTGGTCCACGTGTTGTTTATCCTACACTGAGGATGATGGGTCAGCGTCTCGTGATCTCAAACCTGTCTCTGTGTGACAATGAAGCTGCAGGGAATGGAAGTGCCTGATGTTGCATAATTTTGTTGTTGTTTCGTCTGTAGGGCTAATGCCTCTCTCTATCCTTTACACACACACACACACACACACTATTACTGTCCCAGCTTATTTGGTTTCTGTCTCTCTGAATGCACGACCCTCCACTGATGTTATTAAGACTTGAAATATGAGGAGACTTGAAAGGGGAGGAACATGGAGGGGACAGTAGGGAATAATCTGTATTTTTTAAGTCGTTATTTTTCTACATTGACCTGAATGTATATTTATTCTTTAAAGATACCTGTGTATTTGTCATGCAGATGACTGAACAGAGTAGTTTTTATACAGTTTGTGATAACTACTGAGCTGATGCCATATTTAAATGTACTGAAACAAGCACCTGGATTTGACATTGCCTAATGTGGTTGCTTGTGCTGCTTCTGTCCACCATTGAGCGAAGAACCTTGCACTTTATCGTGACGTAAACCTGCACCTTACCTGCTCCAGTCTATGAAGTGTCATCATGTAAAGAATATTTCTATGGTAATACTAAAATAAATGTTGCTTATGTTTAATATCATTTTAATCAAACTTGTTCAGTTCCTTATTGACATATAAAAACAGCTTGTTTCTTGCTCGTAGATGCAACGTCGTGTTCAGTCATCAATGCGTTTGGAAGAGCCGTATGTTTAACACTATAAGTGAACTTTTTAATGCCCCGATAGCATACATTTTAAGTGAGGAACTGTAAGAAGGCCACTAACACTAATTTTACAAATAAACAGCACACCAATGGACAGCTCTCACCTTAAGCCTTTCAGTACATTCAGAAATTGTACAAAAAGGATTATGGGAGATAAGAAAAGGTGGAGGGCTTTGTATTCTGTATTTTTGTGGAAAGGAGGGACTGACTATTTTGGGTGAGCATGAGAAGATTGATCAATTTTTACTCACTCCAAAGTTATAGTACACCCTTCTACCCTATACCCTACTTATACAAGAATTAAATGGTCACAAATGTTGGCTTTAGTGTGTGCCAGGAACAAATTAACTTTATATGTGTCATATAAAGTTGGCCTGTGTTAAGCCTTTTATTTACAATCTCTTTGTCTAAAACAGTAAAGCTGGAATACTTATTTTTGTTATGCTTGCATTAAATTTAGGAATGTCTAATTCCACTTTTTACTAAGTAATGGTCAAACGAGTACTATACATCGCAGATATATAACTGAGATATATGGGGAAGGGTATTGCAGTCAGTCGGAGGGGTCCAAAGAAAATATCAACTCTTATAACACATATTAACATTAACACAAGTTAAATATAAGCTACCACACAGACCCTTGTTTACATGCGTTTAAACTACATCCTGACTGATAATTTTAAGTTTCAGGCCAATACTAAGAGCAATAGTTGAGTTTTAAAAAATCATATATATATATATATATATATATATATAAATAAATAAAATCACTTACATCTATTTGTAGATGTAGACAGATATATTAGCCTGGCCACTTTATCGGTCTAGCTCTAATTCAAACAAATTACATAGTTTAGAAAATTGATATTTCCTGAGTCTACAAATACCACACATATCCACTGAATAATGCTCATATGTGTGTTAAATTGTTAAATAGTCATTTATTCACCTGCAGAAAATATCTCGCACAAATATGAAAAAAGAGGAAACAGTTGAGTATTTTTCCAATGGTACAAACATACTTTATTGTACAATTAATTTATTGGCAAAAAAAAAAAAACAATCAGACCACCAAAATAACTTAAAAAAAGAAACTAATGAAAATGGAGCAACAGTTATTTTTGCTTTCTCTCAGCAAGCACCAAAATTGTTAACAAGAACGAAAAAGTGGTCAAAGATTCCATTTGAATACTAAACAAATATTTAAATAGTCTTATTTCCAGTCTCTTTTTAGGAGAAGAAATGATTAAAACAAAACTATTTGTTCAGTTGCCATCAGTTTGTACAGTGATTCAGTATGTTTACAACTATATTCATGTACATGAAACATTTCTTAAAAAGGATGGTATAATATACTCCACGGCCTCCCCAGGGCAAACTGAATGACTGTCTGCAGTGTCTTTTTGCATCACCATAACATCTTTAATACAAAACAAAACGTTTTTATCTAATAATTCCTGTAGCTTCAAGTTTTATTTCCAAAAAATAAAATTAAATAATATATCTATATATAAAAGACAGTTTTTCCTTGTTTTTTTCTTATAAAATAAGTCTCAAGATATATTGCCACCTGGTTCTGATGCATCCCCTCCCCATACCCAGCAAGCCCAACCTTTTGAGAAAAATAGTGAGCATGTGAATATTGTGTCTTCAGTCCTCTCCATAAAAAGCTAAATGACCAAATTTAAACTCTTTCAGATCACACCTCTAATCAACCTCGGCCTCGGCTCTACTTCGTGCGGGATTCACGTCTAAGTTTTGAGATTGTTCAGGTGTGTGACTTGTTGCAATAACCCCCTCCCTCCCTAAAACCTTGTCAAAAATACACAGAAAAAGGCGCATTGGTGCTTGTGACCTTCTACACCCCATACTGTACCTTTTAGAAAAAATCTCAATACTGTACAGTAGCTCAGGAGTATGTTTGTAGTTTTATACAGATACAGCAAATATCCAATCAAACAAGAGGGGAAACAAGCAGCAGAAAATCATTTCTCTGCTCATAAGGTTTTAAAGTATATACAGTTGTTGTTTTTTTGTTTTTTTTTTACATCTTTCACTTTCATTACAAAAAAACAGTATCTAAGTCCACCATTTCTTACTTTGTACAGTACTAACATTGAATTAAATCTTGTGGCTGAGAGGCAGTCATGAGGATGAGGAACAAAAAGGGACAGGAGAGAAAAGCTTACTGAAAAGGGAAACCGTTGGGGGGTGAGGATACAGGCAGGATTTTCATAAACCTCTGCAGCCCAAAAAAAAAATGAAAAAAAAAACAGACAACTTTCTCCATGTCACAGTTCATAAACAAGGCTGTAATATTATGTACACGGCACGCACAACCTTTTAACATCAGCCAGCTCCAAACAGGGGCACAGTACGCCTCTGACAGCTAGACGATCGGGCAACAGTTCATCCCTCCATTTTCAGCAGGGGTAGGGGGGGGGGTGAGGGTCAGGGTAAGGAAGGTGTGCACATTCATAGGAGAACCAAAGATGGAGGGTGGAGAGGTGGCCCATGGGTGCAAGTATTTGTTCTGCGGATCTGGCCATTGTTTGCAGAAAAAAAAATATGACCAAACCCATGGTCGGTGTCACCCACTCCCCAAAACACTGTTGAGGTTTAATTCCAACCTATAAAGCCTGTCAAAAAACAAACAAAAAAAATAGAAACCTGGCAAAATCTAAATGCATTTAACGCACCCTCCCCCCAGCCCATCAAATAAAATAAAGTCTATATATTTGAATTGTTGCAGTCTTTGTAAAATGTACATTTCTGTGAAAACTGTCCAGGAGAAGGCTCCTGTAACAGAAGATATGTTGATGCTTGTTTTACGATCCATTGAGGGGGGGAAAAAAGAATAATTCAGAAATAAAATATACTTACTCTCTGCAAAATACATACAATTATGACTGGGTATTTGAGGAGGAAAACAAAACAATAAAAAAGGTACATCGTGTCAACTCACTTTAATTTTTAGCCACATTTAAAATCTTAAAAATATTCATAAAAAGGCAAAATTCTCAGTCCCCAAAAATATTGTGTCATAGACTAAGGAAGAAATATCTTCAACCTGAAACACTGCCCTTCCACCTTTTTGTACACAATTGGCAAAAATATATAGATATATATTAACAGCAATAACTTACCATTGTTTTAATTTATTCATTTATTGACTTCTAAGATTTATGTTGCATCTCCCATAGGAAGGAAGCTTCAGTTCTTATTTATACATCACAAAAATATTTAAATAAAAAATAAAAACTTCTAAAACCCCAAAGCTGTAGTCCCGCCTCGCTCTCCTTTCATGGCAGTTTGTCGTTTGGGGCAACTGATCAGAGCATCAAGACAGACAGTATGGAGTCAAGGCTACATTAGCTCTAAACTGTGGTTAATGTTCGTTCCCAGCTCCTGGTTGTTGTTGCTGCTGTTATTATTCCCACCCAACATGTCCGACTGTCCCCCCTGCCCACCATGCATCCCTGTCATCCCACTCAGCTGGGACATGATGGAGTTCTGATCTGAACTGAACTGACCGGGATCTACAGAACTACCTGGTTGCTGCTGCTGCTGGGATAGCGCCTGCTGTTGGGGTTGTGGAGGTTGGGGTGGTGCCATACTGGGGTGATGTTGGCTTAGGTGGCTCGGGTGGGGTGAGCCGGTCTGGGTCTGCGGGGAAATGCGATGAGGTGAGGGCTGGGGCTGAGGTTGGGAGGAGGGCTGCATGCGTGGGGACGGGCTGGAGTGTGGAGGTTGCGACTGCGGCCTTGGCGAGGGCTGAGGTGACCTGACCTGACTGCTGAGAGACCCTGCTGGACCAAGTCCTCCTTGTCCTTGGAGATGGGGGTGGGGGGACTGCGCCATCTGCTGTTGGGGGCTCATGGGACTGCTGTGCTGGGCTGGAGAGCCCCCACCAAGGTGCTGCTGCTGCAGGAGCCTCTGGTGGATGTTCTGGTGCAGCATGCCTTGTGGCGTCTGCGCCAGTGTGGGCCCACCACCCCCTCCACCAACTCCACCTTGTGGTTGTTGCCCCTGCCCTGGTCCGCCTTGTCCAGGCTGGAGTGGAGGTCCTCCTGGTCCACCAGCGCTTCCACCAGGCCCTCCGTCTTGTCCTTGAAGCCCACCCATTGAATTCTGCTGCTGCTGTTGTTGCTGCTGTTGTTGCTTTTGCTGCTGCTGCATCTGATATCTTTTGTGGAGCACTGCAGCTACTTGTGCCATGGAGTTGGGGTAGCCCTGCTGCTGGCCTAGCTGTCCTGGCCCACCCTGTGGTCCTCCTTGCTGCTGCTGGGGACCCCCTACGCCTCCACCCCCAGGCTGGGGTTGGGATGAGGGGGGTATCCCTGGCTGTCCCTGGCCAGGCTGCATGAACCCTTGCTGGCCTTGCTGCTGCTGGAGTCCTTGAGGCTGCTGAAACTGTCCATGGTTTCCCATCTGCTGCTGCTGTTGTTGCTGTTGCTGTTGTTGTTGTTGTTGTTGTTGCTGCTGCTGCTGCAGATGTCTTCTCATCAACTCTCTGAACTGTGGCGACATATTGGTCATGTTGCCTTGTTGCCCCGCTTGCATTGCTCCCTGTTGTTGTTGCTGCTGTTGCTGTTGTTGTTGCTGCTGCTGCTGTTGTTGTAATGCAGCCAATTGCTGTTGCTGTAGATTCCCAGGCAACATTGGGCGCTGTTGTTGCTGTTGTTGTAACTGCTGAAGCTGAGCCATGGTGGGCATGTTCCCTCCCCCTGCTCCACCCTGAGCCATGTTCATCCCTGGCTGTCCTGCCTGGTTCACATTGACCTGCTGTTGTCCATCCATGTTACCAAGCTGGTTAGCCCCAGGTCCTCCTATACCAGGCAGCCCTCCAGGAGCCCCCTGGAACCTCACACCTCCAGGGCCCCCAGGTGGAGGCCCTCCTCCTCCAGGGCCACCCTGACCACCTTGATACCTGGCTGCTCTCTGTCTGATAAAAGCGGCCATAAGGGTTGGGTTGGAACGAAGGATGTTGAGGACTTGTTGCTGTTGAAGGGGGGAGCTTGGAGAGCGCAGTGTCCTCAGGAGGTCTTGTAGTGCTGCCTGGGGTAGGTTTCCTGATGCTGCTGCACTTGCTATCGAAGCAGGAACCCCTGCTGCCCCTCCTGATACACCCATTACCTGCATCAGTCCGCGGTTTCCTGGTTGTTGCGGATTCATCGTCTGCTGCTGTTGCTGAGCAACTGCTGGCTGCTGCTGTGGTGCCATGTGGCCCATCATGCCTGGCCGTTGTTGTGGGTTAATGGCTGGTCCCCCAGCACCCCACTGCTGGTTTGCTGACTGAAGTTGTCCACCACCTCCCTGCTGGAGCTGCTGCTGAACTTGAGGGGGCAACTGCGTCTGAGGGCCACCTTGCTGCATCCCTGCTAACATTCCCTGTTGCTGTGGGTCTAACATAGTCCTGCCAACAACTCCCTGAGCCTGGGGGGGCATGCCCTGGGCCCCAATGTGGGGCATGCCCATCTGGGCCTGGTTGTTCTGGTGGTGAGGATGTTGGGGTAACATGCCCCCTTGTCCCAGGCCACGTATCTGGGCTTGGGCCTGGGCCTGAGCCATCTGTCTCTGGGTCTCTGCTAGGCGCTGGATTTTTAGAGCTGTCTCTACAGCAGCCAAAGGGGGCCCTGGCTGCTGGCCTTGTACAGGCATGGACCCCTGGCCCTGGTTGGGTTGTTGCTGCTGCTGGGGTGGGGTAGCTGGACCCAGTCCAGGTTTTCCCAGGGACTGGTGGAGAGGAGAGGCTCCAGGGGGTCTGGGATTGTATGGAGGCAAACCAGTGTGCTGCTGTTGCTGGAGTTGCTGGACATTGGTAGGCTGCTGCTGGTGCTGAGGCACCATATGCTGCTGAGGAGAGTTCATCATACCCCCTCCACCTCCACCACCCACTTGCTGAAACTGATGGAGATGGTGTTGAGGGGGCATGGTACCACCTTGCTGCTGAACCTGCTGTTGCTGGACTGGAGTTCCCATTCCACCCATCCCAACTCCCTGCTGCTGCGGAAGTGCAGGCATGTTCCCCTGAGTGGGTGTCTGGGGAGTAGGAGGCTGCGTGCCCACAGATGTAGGCGTACCAGGACCAGTTGCTCCATTGTTGGCTCCTGGAGAGGGCAGGCCATTGCCTCCAGGACCTCCTCCAGGGGTGGGCTGACCCACTCTCTGCATGCTGGCCATCCTCCTTCTTAGCATCTGGGCTTGCTGGAGCCTGTGCTGCAGCTGCTGCTGGCGGAGCTTGTGCTTGATGTTTAGGCAGAACGGGACTGGGCACTTGTTCTCCTGACAGTGCTTGGCGTGGTAACAGCACAACGCAATAAGTTGCTTGCAAATGGGGCAGCCACCATTGGTTTTTCTCTTGCAACTTTTTGTGTGCTGAACAACACGTTTCATCTTCTGGCAGGACGGCAGAGAGCAGTTTGCGTTTCGACACTGGCAGGCATGGACAAGGGACTGGATGCAGCGCTGGATGCTGAGGCGACGCGAGTCTCCAGGGCTCTGAGTGGTAGCGGCAGCCTGGTTGCTGCTCTCATCATCCAAACCAAGGCCTAACTTCTCCATCTTGTGCTCGTGGGTCTTAGTGTTGTAACATGTGATGCAGAGGTCGTAATCCTAAGAGGGATGGCATGAATGACAGTTAAAAATGTTTAGAACTGATGTGTAGCAGGTTTTACAGTAAGACAACAAATGCTACTATTTATGCATTTTCTTTCGTCATCACCTGTTACCACATACACATACACCAAAACAATCTTTCCCAAACTCACCTCACAGACGGTACAGTGGAAACGAGTCTCCACGTGGTGCTTGCACTCGTTACAAGTGTAGACAAAGCGGTCCTGGCTTTGGTTGTGCAACTCCACCAACATGCACATGGAGCTCCACTTGGATCTCCTCAGCGAGCTAAACTCAAGGTGTTTGTCCCGGGCAATTGTCAGGAAAGCATCACGGCCATCCATGAGGTCACATGCCATCAGGGGATCTGGGTCTGAAATAGGGGGCAGGGCATTTGCCATGGGGCCTGCAATCAGCCGGATCACAAAGAACACCTAGGACAGGAAAAAGAGAGGCGAACAGATGACAAACGGGTGAGATGTGGCCTTAATTAATTTAACTTTGTGCCAGCACTGATGCCAGAATGTAGTAAAATCTGGAAAATCAAAAAATAATTCATTCAACAATTCAGCTATCTTCTACTACACTCCTTCAGTAAGTTGCTTGAGAGTGATGAGATGCAGATTCTCATACCTCTTTGTGTTTTTCCATAGTGGCATAGAGTTTCTGCGAAAGGTCATTGGAGACATTGGGCATCCCTGGCTTCTTCTTATTGGCTCGGCTCAGGCTGCTCTTGTTCTTACTTGTCTTCTTGTTGTTCTTCTTCTTTGCGTTTTTACTGTCACCTTTTGTGTCCTGCACAAGAAAGAAGAGGGGGATATCAATGATCTCATGTGTTAACACACACTGAGAAGAAACTTTTGCTTTCTTCAACCTTTTTTCCCCCACCCCTCTGCCACACACCAAAACATATACGTAAACTCTTAAGGACCATAGTGATAGATCATAGCATTCTTACATCAATACTCTCATTGGACGTGCTGTTCTCCTCCCTTTTCCTCTCCTCCTCCTCCTGCTCCAGCTCTTTGATGCTCTCCTCCAACACATTGGGCCAAAAGTCACCCTCAAAGTAAGGCAACTCCTTGGCACTGGTCAAACGATCCTCTGTTGCCTGCTTGAAGACATCCTTTCGGGGGAAAATTGAAAATAAAGTTAGTGTTGGGGTGGAGATCTAAAAAGATTACCATTCCTCCAACACATAAGAATAAAGTTGAATACTGCCTTTCTACCTTGTAGTCGTGCACTATCCGCTCTGCCACAGCTTTGTCTAACATCTTCTTGTACCACTCCTGGAGGCGTTTGGGCTTTGGGATCTTCTGATCTGCAGGGTGACAGTGGAAGATGTAGTCGTCCCCTTCACTAGGTGGGCAGGCCCAGATGTGACCAGTGACGTACCTGAGGAGAACACACAAGACAGCACAAAATGACCAAAATTCATTTACAGCAACAGTCACTAGCAAAAGTAATCTTTGTAATGTGACATAGTGAGCTAAAAGTTGCATTCAGCACTCAGATAGTTATGACCAAAATAAATAAGCAGCAGCACTCACCCCAACCTCTTGACATACTCCAAGTAGCCAATGAGGACTTCATGGTAGACTGCTGTTCTTAGACTGCGAGGCCGGAAAAAATGTACACTGTCCAGGTAGGAGATGTACACTCGCCTGAATGGGTGACAGAGAAAATGTTTATAGCTGAAAAAAGTCTATTTTTAAAAGAGCACTCTTTTTTTTGTTGTGTCCTTACCTCTGGTTGGGCTGAGGGCAGTCGGATCCGTACTCTTGAACATGCATACCAAAGAAGCAGACTTCTGCTCCATCAATGTCCTCAAACGCAAAAAGGGCTTTTGTCCTGTATGGGAAAGACTCTGACATCTCTCCACTGTCCACAAATCTGTAGAAAAAAACACAAGTCTAAACTTACTGACTGCAAAATAGAGAAACTGAAAAAAGATCTGCTTTCATAGCCTGTTACACAATTACTCTGTCCTTTTTAGATCAACAAATTCTTAGCTGGATTAAAGAATTCTTCTATTTAATATGTATCCATGTTCTCACTTGCTGGCAGAACAGAAACAGAATATACATTTCCTCTGCATTGACATAAAATTATCAAAAATTCTTAAACTACAGAGGCCACATTTCATGATTCAACACATTGAATGTGATGATACAGATTTTATTTTGCTGCAAGGTTCCAAATAAATAAATGAAGTTATCTGCAAACAAAACATCTCCAAGGATATGTTCATGTTGAAGTCTGACAATGTCGCCTGTTCTTGTACCTGGACTTCATGCCTGGTTTAACCTCCACCACTTTGTCAGAGACGTGGACGACACGAATGGTAACTTCTCCAGACTCTGGGTGGTTCTGACGCTTCAGGAAGTCATTAACCCTTGTCTCTAGGTAAGAGCCCAACCTTGTCTGGGGCAACCCTGTGGGAGGGAAAGGCAGGCAATGCATTTCTAATTTTAGTTTTGTTAATTTGACAACTACTAAAAAAACAGAGAAAAATAACATTAAGCTATTAGAAACATGGTTTAAACTTGTGTTTAATAAAAAATACTATGTAGGTGTACTTATGACATATTGTGCAAAGCCATAGAGCAACAGATAAAGTGATCGAGTTAGTGTGTCAGGGGAAAACTAAACTGAACTATAATTTTATTTGGTAATGGTTTTATGTAATTATTTGGTTAACCAGTAATGCATATGGAATTATAGTTTAAGACTAAAGTCTTGAGTCGCTAAATGACAACAAGAAATGAATCGTGACAGTGGTCTAATATGAATAGTTAAAATGACAATTAAACACACGTTGAGTATACCAGTTTCCTATAAGAAAGGGGTATACAAGTATGGAACAGAACATTGGGATAAAATGGTATCGGACAAGAAGCATTGCCACTTACTTTTGGCAGAATACTTGTTCTCTTTCCTCGTCTTATTTGCCTTCTTTAAGCACCCCTCACATACAAAACTGTGAAAAAAAGAGGTTGAATTGGTTGAGTTACATTAAAAAGAAAAACAATATTTAGCAAATGGCAGGAAGGATTTCACATGTACCTTGAGAATATATGGATACAAACACTGCTACTCACCCCGATGGCCAGATTGTGTCATTGTGCAAGACACAAATCTGATGCATCCTGCGTCCACAGTCCATACATTCAACAAGCCTGAAAAGAGGTACAAAGATGAAGATAAAAAATACACACTTAAACCCTCAAAACAAATTTTATTAAATCTTCTTTCCCAATGCTTAGATTTGACATTTGCTGAGCTACTTACAGTTCAGGGTCCAGTGTGTCATTCTTCTTCTTCTCAAACTGATCCTTGTTAATTGATCTGAAATTGATTAAGAGGGAGTATGACTATATGTAGAACAAGAGGAAACTGTCAAGATACAACAATACAAACACAACTGTTGAGTACGGATGTACAGGCTACATCATCTCTCCCTGCTAATATTATCAGGATTGTGGCTGGAATAGGACTGGAGCTAGTTAATTCATGAAAATGAATGCCGGTATCATCACTTTTAAAAGGAAAGTACAAGAAAATTTAACTTGAGTTATCTTCCGTATTAAATAGAACAATACTCACGTCTGTGGCTGGGTGGGGTCATCGCCCAAGGAAACCGTCTCTCCCTGGATCTCGTTGAAACACTTCTCGCAGAAGTGGTACCTGTTAGCAATAAGCCCAAATTTTGGTGAACTACACCGTTCCCCACCGCACAGTCAATCACAGACAGCGCACGGGAGGGCAGTCACCAATTGGTACAGGACATGGGCAAGGTAGGGTGCCACAAGTGGAGCAAGCAGGAAGTAGGAGCGCAGGATAGCAGGACAGCAGGACAGCAGGACAGCAGGACAGCAGGAAGTCGTCATCGCAACAGCCAGTCATGATTTTGAGGGGTGAGGGTGAGGGGATGGGTTTGGAGGTGCATGGTTGGTCAAGGCAAAAGCAAGCCAATGTTGATATCACAGCCATTGGAAGGGAAGACAGACAGACAGTCATATGGACCAGAAACAAGACGAGACGAACATTCAAGACAACACACAGCAGAGAGCCGAGGCAGAGCACAGATTAGCAATTTGGACATGAGAGGATGAGCAACAACAACCACCATCACAGCTAGCAGAGCAGAAGAAGATTCAACAAGAGCTAAACGGGAGGAGGGAACTGGAGCAGGAAGTTGCAACACAGGACATAATACAAACACTGAACAAATGTGAACAAGAAGGTACAGACAACTGCTCAGCTGTTCATTCATTCAAGCAGTTCATTTTAAAGTCAGTCCTTTCACATTCCAGCAAGGCTTTCATAGGTGTGTAAAAAACTCAAGATAGAAAGAAATAAAAAAGAAATGTAGCATGGATTTAAAAATCGACAAGGAATGGCCCATAGTGTTGGAAGAGCAATAATAAAACAAGATATTTGCTTTAGTGTTGTTCCTTCTTAAAAGAAAATGAACTTTTACTGTGCGATAGTGGAGTGTTCAAAAGATAATTTTATGCAAATGCACAAATTAAAGAACAAAACATTTTCTTTGCTTTGTCTGTGCAGCATTTTCTGTAAACAGTCACATTTATTTGTTTCAAACATTCTGTGCTGAGGTGTTATTTATATATTTGTTTAATGACACCAAGAACAACTTAAAGAATGTGAGAAGAGAGGACCAACTGTTAAAATGCCAGTGCATTAAGCACCGTATGGAGGTATAAAAACGGGGATCATGAAGTGAAGGGAAGCGTTTAGGGAAACAAAATTAATCAGGTGATACAACATTGCGGCACATACTAAGTACGATTAAACTTGACATATACTTTTATAGGCTGTCTGCATACATATTTCTCTATCTTTACTATAATCCCTTCCTCTTTAACTGGTCCATCCAGTCATCCCTCCTCCTTTACCAGACGGACGTTTCCCTCCCTTCATACCTGTTCTGGTAGCTGAAGTAAGCAGCATCTCGTGGAATAGTGCACAGCTGCTTTCCATAGCAGCACAGTGTCTGAGGAGAGAACTCCAACTGGTGGACAGAAAACAAACAGATAAAGAACATATTAATCTCCTGACCATAAACAATTGTACCTTTAGTCACACCCACGTCGGCTAATGAAGGGTCAACACACACTTAGCATGAAAAAAGGATGGGGTTCCACTGCTAGTTTACATTTGCTGGTACTTTGATTCAATTAAAGTGAAACATAAACATGGTTTCCCCAAGAAGACCTGCAGTTTGTGGACATGGAGTGGAATTGAATCGTTATGATATGATTATATTCCAAATTGTTGTTGGCTAAATAAATGATTACAAGCAACATATAAATATCGACTCAGACATGAACATCACAAAATATGTGAATTAAAAAAAAAGAACTATATTAATGAGGACAGTGGGAGCCCTACTGTGTGAGATGAACAGATGTCCACATTATAACTCCCCAAAACTCCCCTAGTGGAATGGAGTTGAACTCATTTCTGTTTGGCTTAGTTTTGTAAAAAGTCATTAAAAGGTAACGTGAAGAGCTACTTTGCTTTGTCTCATTGTCAGAAGTAACCCTTCAGCCAGGCTTTCATAATAAGAGCCAATCAGTTTTGTTATTTGTCTGCAAAACCAAAAATAGCAGAGTCTAATGAGAGCTGAAATGTGATATGGCGGCGGTATGACCAAGGCCAAATTTAGCTATGAACCCACTTCACTGCTTGTGAATGATGCGAGTTAATTTCTGCATCTGAAACATACATAAAACATTCATACAGCCCTTCTCCAGACATATTTCAATGCACACACATACACAGTATATCTCATATGAAGGCTCAGTTCACTTGAAGTTTACAGGTGGAGCGTTACTAAAAAATAATTGGTTTAAGTTGGCTTCAAATGTTTGAAACTGGAAAGATTTACACTTCTTTGGTGCTTCAGCCTGTAACATTATCAAGTAAAGCTTTAATGTGGGGAAAAGAGCAGTCCTACACAAAGAGTACTGACAAGTGTAATGGCATACAAAGGCATACCAAAAGGTAACATTAAAAAACAACAAAATGTATCCTTCAACTTCAACCAACAGTCCTGCATGTTCACTTCAAAATATTATCCTTCATTTTTACAATAACATTATATTAATTTCCAATTCCACCCATCTAGCCATAGATGTAGCACTCTGTCTCACCTTCCTCCCGCAACAGTAGCCGAGGCTCTGCATCACAGGATCAATCTCCTGCTCAAAAACCTCTGCCAGCTTGGAGCAGTACTTGTAGACTCTGGATGTTTTGCGATTGTACAGCCAGGCGTTGTTGAACATCAGCCAGATGTCATCCACATACTGCCAGGGATCCTGGTACTGACCTACAACCAAAACACAAAGCACAAGATAATGGAATGAAAAAAATAATCCAAACGAAGAAGAGCCTCACTGGAGCATTTCCTTTTAACGGGGAAGCAGCCAATTGTACAGGTCTCCAACACAAATCTAAAGAATTAATTATCAAATCGGCACATCATGTCAAATAAAAAAAGAGACTGAACACTATTCTTTGTAACACAGCATGACAAAATGGTGCAGTACAATGGCAAAAAGTTTATTATTGTGTAATATAGAGCAACAAATACAAACCTGTGTCTAGCTTTCGCTTGATAGTAGACAAGTCCATGGGGTTCTTCACAATGTCAAAGTAGTCCTTCAAGAAAACAATGAGCATGTATTAAAGTTGAGCAGCTTTGATTGTTTTTGTGAGTCAATTATATACACATGTAAAGCAACACTTATGGAAACTACATTGTGGTAAGTATATCACAAGCAACAGCAGTCAATAAATGTTGGATTTCAACCCAAGTTCTCAAAAAGTGAGTGAACTACACCAAAGAGGATTCAGACTGTGGCAGTTTCAATTAAGCAAGCGAGGAGAAGAACACACGCAGAGACATGGGGGACACTGACAGAAACAGCGCAGTTTAGAACAAGGCCAGGAAAAAACACATCAACCTCAGAAGGGATACATACAGGTATGCACAGCAGTTGTGGGTCTACAGGCATTCTGAAAGGCAGAGACTCTGGATCTTGTCTGTAGAGGGATTCGAGTGTGGGCATCAGGGCCTGGCGTAGCTCCTCTGGCTTGAAGACTGGAAAGAAATAGAGATCAGAGAGGACAAAGAGATGAAAGGGTAACCCAAAAAAAACCATTGGAATCCATTACAAAAAATGTAAAGCCACCATATTATTTAGATCAATAATAATCATATACAAGGAGGTGATAAAAAAAACTCCATACTCTTCTTTTTCACTGGGGCCTGTGGCGTAGCTGTCTCCGATGTTTCCTCTTCCTCTTTCACCTCCTTCTTAACCTCCGGTTTCCTGTCTTCTGTCTTGATGCCCGCTGACGGTTTTGTTGTCGATGTATCCATGGGAATCGCTTTACCTCCCTCTCCAGAACACGCTTCCTTTTTCACTTCTAATTTCACAGGCTTTTCCTCTGTTTTGAGGTTGCTGAGCTTCCCTCCTTTGGAGCAGCTGCCTGTATCACTTTCCTCCTCCTCATCCTGCTGCTTGACCTCCATCTTGGGGTCGAGGTTGCCGGCTGAAGTGTCCGACTGTGGCTGCTGGGAGGACGTGTCCAGGCTACTGACAGAGGCTGGAGTCAGGGCCTGACTGTCCCCTGGGAATGAACCCTTTTGTGACAGCTAGAGAGGGACATAGAAACAATCAGGAGCATGGAAATAGTGAATATAACATAGTGATGCATGAAAGTGAACAACCAATTAAATGTTAGGATACACTGAAGAGAAGAAGGTTCTGAGCAGCTCAACAGATAAAGCCAAACCCCAAACACTGACAATGCACAGTATAGTAATAACTGAGGCAATGGTAAAACGTTTGGTCTCATGAATGAGACTAACTTATGTATACAGAAACAGGATATCAAAATAAACCTTATGGACAACTGTTACTGCTACAGGACCTACGGAATCTGTGGAATAAGGTCAATTGGTCTTTATGTTAAAAAGTGTAAAAGGCTAAATCCCACTGACCGGAGTGCGTGGCAGCTGAGCACTGTGCGGCGTTGAGCTGGAGGCCATTCCAGGGTGAGATGGAGTGGTCGAACCAGCTGACCCCATGTGTTGCTGCTGGAGGGACTTGTTTGAGCCGGGGCCCTGGCTAAGTTGATTCTGCTGGGGGACTGAAGGTGGCGCCAGCTGTGGTGCATTAGGGGTATGTGGCTGTGGGGTCTGGGACCCGGCTAGTCTGGGGGGTGTTTGGTGAGGAGTAGGAGATCGGCTGTGAGCAGGGGAGGGCGAGCTGCCGCGCATGGCTGCCAAATGGGGGATGGAGTTGGGCTGCTGGTTTGTGTTAGATGGAGTCATTGAGGAAGCAGGGGCTCCAACAGCTGAGTTAGGACCTCCACTACCCACACTCTGAGGACCCATGGGTCCCACTGCGGAGACACTACCGGGACCACTGGCTGAACCTGGTTGTGCTAGAGGACTAGCAACTGGAAGAGATGGAGGAGTGCCCATCTGCGTCTTAGGATAGACGATTAGGGTAAAGAGAGGGGTGACACACAGGAAAGGTGCACAGGAACAGGGTCAATAAAATGTATAGTTCAAGAAGAAAATGAAGCATGTATGACAAGGTCATTCTCAGGATAAACTATATTTATACATTGTACTATAAAAATTGAGATGCTACAATTTTTTAACAACAATGCCCAAAGAGGAGAAGTTGTTTCGCTCAATGCCTCAACAATTTAATTTTAGCCATTGTTACTGCACAAACAAAGAACACTTTGTCTTGGTTAAGATTTAAGCGCCCAGGCTGTCGCGAGACAACGTGACGTCAAAATAACGTAGATCTCGCTGGCGCGCCAGGATTTTGGCAAAGAGGAGGACATATGCTGGAAAATTTGGAAGAACCTCCGCGACCGATTTGGAAAAAAAACAGTCGAGTATACCGGGGGCTTTAACTTGCCACACATCTACTAATAAGATATTTCTGACAAACATGAAAAAGAACTTCAGGCCTGCTTACCTGTGGCAGGCCTGCCTGTGCCCCAGGTTGGGCCATCCCAGGCTGAGCTGTTCCAACTCCTGGTCCTGAACCAGGAAACTGTCCCTGGGACAGATACTGGTTCTGAAGTTGGTTCACACTGGGCTGCCCCATCCTGGGTCCAACCATTCCCATCTAGAGGTATAGAAGGGAATAGGCAGGGGTCTTAAAAAATGTTTCTTCTGCAAAGCCATTTGACTGGTTCAAAGTAGTATTTTTGTGAGCTAGTTTGTAACAGTGGATTTTCTCCCCATTCAAATTGTGTTTTGATATGCATACTTCTGTCCTTTCAAACAATACACTCTAGTAGCAAAGATACATATCACTTTAGTGAATTTATCATTGTCTTCATGAACATATTAAAAACTGTGAGATACATGTGGAGTTCAGTGCTGACCTGGTTGCCAGATGCTCCCATGGGGAGAGGAGGCGTGGACCTCTGTCCCAAAGACTGCATCCCCATCTGATTGAACTGATTCATACCTGACAAAACAAAGACTGTTACGATACAACACATGACATTTTATGTGGAAACCACACTATATATTGTATTTAGTTCTTAAATAGCTCCTTTACATGTCCAATTATAAGGTTTCTATGTTGTTGTGTCAAAGTGTGAAGTGTCCTAAACACAATGCAGTGTCAACACCAGTGCAAAAAATATTACAAGCTTCCAGTCTTAGTACTAGCAAACCATTCCTGTAAAAAGGGTTTCAATCTTTTTGGCTTAAAAATAACATTTGGGCTGGTACAACAAATACAACGTGTCACATTTTTGAAAAAAACTGTTGAATTAAAATAATGCATCCTTGTTCCCTGTGGTTCTTTACCTGGGCCTTGCATCCTGTTGACCATCTGATTTGGTCCAGCTGGTCGCACCATTGATGGTTCAGGGAGGGGGCCGTCTGTAACAGAGACAAAAGATGAAGAATATCAATATCCAATGTGGACAGAAGAGAGTGAGCTGTGGAAATGCTCCAACCAAGCACGTGTGGAGAGGTTTTGTACAAACTCTGGAATGTCATCTTTTTTGCTTTGTTTGGTTAGGAAAGATTAGTGGCATTTGGAGTCATGTGGCAACAAATGACTCAGCAGAGATACATGGAAATGCAGTTTGAGCCTCTTTCACAAGATCCGTCCAACACTTATTAATTATGTGTGTAGAATCTGAACCAACACAAGAAACAGAAAGTACCCCCATAAGTATGAGGAGACCACTGACACAAGCTACTCTAGTCAGAAGACCTAGCATGACAAAATTTAACTGGTGCAAAAAAAATGTAATGCAGGGCAATAGTAACAGAAGAACGAATCAGATTCACATTAACTCCCCTTATCAACTAATATTTCACAGCAGGTAGGATGACCGATTACCTAAACTGTTCAATAAATATTATTTGACCAAGGTTGCAGGATCATGGCTTGCTTAAAATCTCAATGCATGAGGTAAGAGACACAAAACAATGCTAAAATGTCAGAATGTCACATTCCACTGGATTAAATTATCATGCACATGAATGCCTGCAGCCCAACATTAGCTCATCCAAGTCTACATATGCTGCATGTCCACTCACTTAGAGGCAGTCCAGTAGGGGGTTGACCCATGCTGGCAGGCCCAAGGCCTAGACCCTGCTTCTGGAGTCGAGTTCTCCTCTTCTCCTCCAGCTCCTTCTGGATCTTATAGATCTTCTCCGCTAGCAGGTGATAGTACTCAGCCTGTCAAAAAGAGAGTAACAAATGAGGAAAACGAGGGTACACGTCTTAAACATTGAAGAGCAGCAGAAAAAACAACCAAGGAAATAAAGACAAGTTACCAACAGTATAATGCACAGGAGGGGCTTTACCAGCTGCACTAAAATTAAACTAATTCATCAGGCTCATACTAGGTTTTCACCCACGTCCCACAATGGCAGATGAATTGTGAAATATTAACTTTTGAGACCAATCTATGATGGAACAAGTGACTGCCTACAGCCGCAACATTACAGGCAAACCTCCCAGCTGTTTTCCCTTCTTGTCTGAGTAACAGTGAGCTAGAGGAGAGTGCAACTTACTCTACTGTTAGCTGACTCATACATGTCTCCCTCAACTTTTCTGGCATAGGCCACCAGGTTCTCCATTCGACGGTCTTTGAGGGCTGCAGGATCTGGAGTCGGAAAGATGGCCTGAACACTGTGGGTGGAAGAACAAACAGGGAGTTGAGGCAAAAGGAGGAAGGAAGTGAAAAATAACATAATTATTGCTGTATTTGTGTTGATATGGCACCTATACCCTAATCACAGACCCCCCCCCCCATTAAGTGTCTGTATGGATACCTATGTTGTAGCTGAGCTAGTGGCAAACTACCAGTGTGTGACTGCATTGTCATAGCTCTGCTGTTTATTGTGGTCAAGTTAATGTTAGTCAGCAATAAATATCTTGTCAAACTCTGAATATAGTACAGTTATTGGCAGGCCCATGTGTTACGTTTACTGCCACAGAGGAAAAATAAATCTCTTGTTCATGTACAACTTCATCCTCTGCCAGAGCTTATAAAGACTTGCTAATTTTACTAGCAGTTGTGTGTGAGAGGCACAAACAACCAGCTTAACTGAAGTTTCAAATCCAAGCAGAAATACACTGGATATGCATAATGTTGGACAAATTACTTGCATTAACATAATACACCAGTAAGATCACATTCTTGTTGGCATAAATGTACAGCGCAAACAAAAATGCAGTGTGGGCTCTTCTTTAATACTTACAGTTTGTGTACCAAGTGGTTTCGTAGGTCCTGCGTGATATCCTCATGCCAGCTTTTCCTCATGCCTGTGGCGGAGGGAGGGCCAGCTGTGGGCATGGAGCCGACCCCGCTGGCATCATTCATCAGACTGGAAGAGATAGGAAGGCATAATTTTAATGATTAACTTCTTTAAAAAATATTATTGTATGTGCCCTGGTCTGGAGTACAATGCTGAAAATCTAAAGCTCTTAGCCACTGTAGGTGCTTCTAAGTTTTTGTGTTCCTTCTTACCCTTGGCTGTTCACATTGAGGTGCATCATAGTGTCCTGCAGTAGGTTGGATGGTTGGCTCTGAGTAGAAGCTGCCACACCTCCATTGACTCCCATAGGATTGGCACCTACGCATCGAAAGGACGGGACATTATAGGTTTGTATTCCTTGTGTTCCCCTACCAATTATAACACTGTGATATACCTTGTTGTAGGGGATGTACCTTTTAATGTGTTCAGTCTACATTGTATTAAAAGCCTATTCTTGGAAGTGCTGATCAGACTGTCTATGGGGTGTCTATATTTTTTAACCTGGAGCCCTCTCAAAAATGCTGTTGGTAGGTAGTGGTGGTTCCTTCTGGCAATAAAACACTGAAAGGCCATTTGATTTCATCTAATTATTTACATAATTTTTAACTATTCTACTTAAATTAAGTCCGTTTTAAATGTATTGTCTGGGCTTTGGAAAAAATACTATGCTCTCAGTGCTATCAGGAGGTAGAAGTATATTTCTTCCCTGAAAATACCTGGAGAGTGAAGGAACTGAACATACAAACAAACTCACCCATTGGGTTCAGAGGCCTTAGGCCAGCCTGGCCTTGGAGGCCTTGGTTGGGCATATTGGGCTGGGCAGTCTGAGTCTGGATCTGGTTGCCCTGGTAGGTGAGGCCCAGGGCAGCGTAGGCTCTTTCTATGGAGCTGGGATCAATCTGGCTCGGTGGGTTGAGATTGGGAGTACTTGGTTGGCCACCGGGTACTGCCCCAAGGGAGCTGCCCAGACCTGCAGCCACCCCACCAAGTAAAGCTGTAAGGACATAAGAAAAAGAGAGGACAGGGTCATTAATACATCTGATCTGTCAAACAGAATTTTAAAAAAGACTAATCATTAGAAACTGTGACTGAATATTTATGCAAAACTAAGCTAAAAATCATTCTGCAAATCAAATTAATCCACTATAGATTATGTTTAGCTCATTAATACTGTCAAGGTTGTGGGTTCCAATCCAGCAACATATTCACAAAACCATAAAAAATGTATTTACAAAAATGATGATATAACAATAAGACTATAAGACATCAGTAAGTAGGCATGCATGATCTGAGGAAAGTCTACCATGTGCGATTAGATGGTTCAATATTATGATGATGATGATGTGATTGCGATAAATTAACAAATACTGAAGTGTGCGTATAAGCTGTTACAGTTCCTATGTCAACCTGGTTGTCTCCAAATTCAGTACTGGGTTACTATTGAATATTTTAAATATAACTTAATTTTCTTTCTAGAGCAGCAGCAGTGTTTACAACGGCAAAGTCACTATATAAACTCTATAACGTCTCACTGGAGACAAATCTAAAACATCAATAAAATAAGTTTAGAAAGAATAAAGAACACATCAGTCCGTAGCAGCCTGTAGGTAACGCTAGAGAGAGACAGCTATGTTTGCAATAATTTGCCAGTTTGTAAGATACACGGTAAACTGAGCTAAAAACAGCTTTCGTTTGAGCTTGTTTGTAACAATTTGCTATTCACAGCTAGCGCGCTGTGCTTAAACATAGCAGAAGTGGATGAGAGACTGCAGATGGAGCAGATAGCTTTTCTACATGTTTACACTTGAACAGGTATATGGATAAAGCATTGCCTTTTTACTTGCAAAGGTTTTACTGCACTTACTTACAGTAATGAACATAATTGTTGTCAATTCGAGTACTTTTTTAGTTATTGCCACTTCGTTCACTTTAGTGTCTTCACCACGGACTCGCTGATCAGCTGTCTGCTGACTACGCTCCGTTTGTGAGTGTTTTTGTCGGTGTATGTATGCAGAGGTGTTCAGCCTCGACAAATAGCAAACAGAGAGGCTGCAGTGTGGTAATTAATACTACATTCTTTAGATCCAGGACTCGTTTAATGCTGGGTTTCTCTACCCATCCCTATACAAAATATTTTTTCCTTTCTCATCTCGTTTCATGCAGTCTTTTGCGATGTGTTCACTGCGCATGTTCATATTGCGATGACAATGAAAATACAATGTTTTGGTCAGCCCCATCAGTAAGTACAGTGTAGTGTGAAAAAGTATAGCGTTGTTTGGTCAGATACAGACACTCACACTGCGGGTTCCTCTTGTCCCCAGCATTCTTCAGTGGCAGGCAGACAGGACAGTCATGTCGCGTGCAGTTCTTCCAATGGGAGATGATCTGCCTTGATGATGCACAGTGAGCAACTGAGGATGAAAAGGGGCAGAAAGACAGGAATGGGGAAACACAGAGGTATATGAGGGAATGAGAGAGGGGAAAGAGGCAGAAGAACAAGAATGAAACAAAGTGAGGTAAAGGATGAAAATGAAAGACTAAATTAGAGATGCCTCAACAGGACATAGAAAACTGGTAAACTAGTGCTAAACTAGCTTATTATTGTTACCCAAAACAACTAACAATTTTCAAACAAGTATTTTCTGTGTAGCTTATGCCTCCTGTCCCATTTACTTAAGAGCTATACCATTGCATTGGTTAACATATACCTCCATTAGAAGGGACAGCCAGTGTTGTTAATCAAACTAGAAAATTAGTGTAAACATTGAACCTCATCCCTGAACATGCACGGTGACATCTGTCTAACACAGAGCTACTCTATAGAAAGTAAATCACAATTATCACTGTGTTGTTGATTATAGTATAAAAAGATAATATAACTTAATATCTCTGTAAAAAAAGCCTGCTTGTCACAGAAACACATCACACTATCCACAGAGTGCAGGGGCATGCAGCATGCCTTCAACTCACCCTGACAGGACTTGCCAGCCTGGCAGTGAGTCATGTGGTTGAGGACGTTCTTCATAGTGCGGCAGTGGGGAAGGTTGCACTGCCGGACTTCACCGTTGGCCTGTTCCCGCCGCTGGCACTTGTGTGCATGAAGCAGGAGAACCAGTTGCTGCTGGATTAGCTTGCGCTTCTCAGGGTCAGCTGTGGGTGGTGCTCCGGCTGCAGCAGATGCTGCCGAAACCTGGGTACCAGGACCCACCAGACCTGCCTGAGCGTTGGGCACCATACCTGGGGCCCCTGCCACAGGTGCACCAGAGGGACCGCCCACACCTGTTTGAGACTGCTGGGAGCCCTGGATAGTAGAGGTAAGGAAGAAAGTACCGGAGTGGTTAGGTAGAAAGTAACGGAGAGGTTAGGAAGAAAGTAACGGAGAGGTTAGGAAGAAAGTAACGGAGAGAAGGGAGGGGAGAGGAAGAAGAACATAAAAAGAGAGGAGGTGGTGTTTAATTTACAGTTAAGTAAAAAATAAACAGGGAATACAGAGCAGTAAAACAGTTACACAGTGGGGCGAAAGGTAGGAGGGAGAATGTAAGAAATAAGGGAATAATTGATGCTTAAATTTGTCAACTTGGTAAAAGAATTATAGTACAGCTCATTCTTGCATCTGACACGCAAACATTTTTTCAGTCAGTTGGTATTTGTTTCCTACCATGGTGGCCATTCCTTGCATTGGCTGGCTCTTCTTGTCCACATTGAACTGGGCCAGGCTGTTAGCCATGGGACCTTTGTTCTGGAGTTGAGGGCCCAGCCCTGCACCTCCAAGACCTTGATTCCCCTGCCCTGCATACGGACCTCCAAAAGGGCCCCCTGGGTTTCCCATCATCCCCATCTGAGAGGGAAAAAAAGGAAAAGGACACAGAGAAGTTGTTGATGAAGAGATATAAAGAGTAGAAGAGAGTGATGTTGGATACATCAGGCAAAGTAAGAAGATCATAACTCACTTTTGTTATCAGTGATAGCATTTGAACTACACATGTAACAGTATTTTGTGTTCTAACAGTTTGCAACATAATCTTCCAACACAATCTTAGCTGTTAAATGAGAATGACATGTGGTTATTTCCTCACAACATGAACTCCATCAAAACCAAAGTTAAAGGGAACTTTTCATTTCCCAAAAGGACATTAGATCATCTGTTTTTACCACTTGCACTTGCTCAACAGAAATGAAGTGACCAACTAATGTAATGTGAAAATGATTAGAAAAATCATCTAAAAACATATGCAAACCAAAATGTAACATCAACAGCAGTAACAGTAGCCAGCAACGTGTGTAACAGCAATCTGACATGAATACCGGTAGTTCCCTTTTTCGGCCTGCACAGTGAAGGGGTTAATCTAACTTTTTTAATCACTTATCTACTCCTAATCACTACCCCTGTGTCGTTTCTCTCCTTATTCCTTCCATTGCATTTTTCTTTTACGGCTTTCAATAACTCTCACTGCTTTTGATCTCAAACTCAAACATCAGTGTCTCCACTGCATTCATTCAGCAGAATCACCCTGCCACTGCAACATTTTACTGTCACTCCTGTGGGTCTGTCAATCACACAAGTAGAGCAGTTTCCTGCCACTTCAGTTCCAAGCATAAGCGTGCTCTGCATCTCTTGTGGTTGTTAAAATACATAGATACGGTCATGGACCCAAAGCACTACTCTGTGGTTACATATTGGGCAAAATAGCATCCCCTTCTGAGTGGAGAACCAATCTAGAGCATTCAGTAAAGTAGCTTAAGTTAAAGGGAAAACAACAGCAACATATCATTTGTGAATAGGGTTTGCACATAAACATACAGTCTTCACCTACAGTAAATCATCAGTCATGTGCAAAAATAATTGCTGCCCTTAACTAATTAATTACTGCAATCATATACTGATTTTTCCTAAATTAGTTCATGTTTCTTTTTCAAAAGTTAGGGTAGGTAGGTTTTGGGTAGAAGTAAATGTTTTTTAGCATTAGCTAGATGATAATGTGAGTTCTAAATGACAATTGGCAAGTACTTGAAATACAGGATTTTATTTTGACCTAATATGGCATTTACTACGTTCCTGTTCCATATTAATCAAACTTTAAAAAACGGTTCATATGCAATGTAAAACTATGTCTACGGGAAAAAAACCGCACTTCTATAACTCAAGAAGTCATTACCTTGTTCATTGCCCCAGGTTGCTGGCCTCTCATCCCGGCCTGGCCCCCAGCTCCCTGCTGCTGTAGGGTCTCAGCCAACAGGTTGCTGTTGCCACCCATCCCCTGATTCCCAAAGCCCATCCTGGGGGAGCCATTCATCACTTGGTTCCCAATCATGCCGGGCTGCTGCTGTCCATTATTGCCTTTCTGTTGCGCTCCCATCATGGCCCTGTTCATGCCACCCATCATTCCAGCTGCAGCATTCTGCTGCTGCTGCATCATGTTGGCCTGCTGCTGAGGGGAAAGGTGCTGCTGCCCCTGGCCCATCATCTGCGGAGGCCCCTGGCCAGGGGATGCTTTCATGTTCGCCAAGTGTTGCCCCATGGCAGTGGGGCCTCCTGGGCTTCCCATGGCTGCTTGGTGCCCTTGTTGGGTTGTGGTGGGTGCCCCGGAACGCAAAAGCTCAGACAGCTGTTTGTGCTTGGCCACCGCATCCTGGCCTCCGCCAACACCCCCAGGACCCCCTCCAGGGCCAAGGCCAAGACCCATTCCCCCTGGCCCTCCACTGCCTCCTCCAGGACCCAGCCCTGCAGGTCCTGCTCCCAGTGTGGTGTGCAACTGGCTGAGGTCCCCACCATTGATCAGGCCTGGTTCATTAGAGCTGATGAGCTCGTCTGGGAGATCATGCTCCAAGTCAAACAGTGAGCCGAAATCTAAAATGGAAAAGAAATGCAAAGTTTAGGAGGGGAGACAATGAGATGGGAGACAAAACAGGGAAAGAGTGATAGGAGGACAAAAAGGGCCACAGCCATGTTAAGCTGGCATAATCCTTCATTTTTCAGCATGACTGGGTGAAAATACAATTGCATGCTTGACAATAAAAACTGATAAAAGCTGTTTAGAGGTGTATGATCATTTTTCTCCCATCAGAAATTAATAACATGCCATTAAGCACAACACAACAGAGTATTAAACAACAGGTGAGACGTAGAAGAACTTCTGTGTGTGCAGGTTGCCTGCAAAAACATATAAGCAAACACACACGCCCACATGGCCTTCTTGCACAGAGAACCCCTGACCAGTAAAGTGATTCAACATGTTGCAAATACAGGTTTATGCAGACAAGGTGACAAACGGACCATTTCATAGAAAGCACAAAATGGAGCCAAGACGGTAGAGACGCATTCCCGGTTTAAGTTCGACAGCACACAGCTCAGGCAATCAAGAAAGATACATAATGGACACTGTGTATCTTTAAGATGGATATCAAGACCAAAAGGCACACATCCCCAAATTTACAGATGTACAACAGAATGTAGTCTTGGTTTTTGTTCTTCCATAAATCAATGTTATTTTTAACACCGTAAGCTACACATATACTAATTGTTCAAGTCAGTTTTACAAGTAACAACACATTTACTCATTGCTGATCACAAAAGTTTTTTTTTACTGCTTCATATTACTACAAACTGAATACTTTAGATTTCTGGTTGCAGGTCAGACTAAGTAAGCTATGAAAACATCACTTTCAGCTCAGGTCACTTGTCCTGGTTTTTCTTTTACTTTTTGAAGAGTGACTGATTAATCTACAATGAAAATAATATGCATTTGCAGCCCTAAACTTTAATGAACTCATGAACTCAATGAAATTAACTAATTGAAATCATAAGCAGCAAAGATGATTTACAAACTCATTTTTGAAGATTACGTTACAAGCCACAAGAAGACACAAGTAATACTGGGCAAGACACACATTTCTCGTCATATGCTTTCATTTCTCAAATGAATTACACCACTCTGCATTCCGATGTTATAAATGATCTTTGAGCGCAATAAACTGCATCCCTTATATACAGATCATTTCCAGCACTGGCAGCACTGATCTGATCCACAAAATACCTCATGCAATGTAACGTTAAAGCAAATGTGTGCAACGTCTGTATAATTTAACCGTAAAAGTCCCTTCCCACAGATGTTGACTGCCACCTTAGCCGAGTGGCCAGCCTAATATGAGGCTGTTGGTGGTATAATGATTGAGTGGATGATTAAGTATTGAAATCTCGGTGACTATTTCGTGTTCGGAGCCGTATTTGCTTCCTAATTTGACTCGCTGGTGAATATCGCAGTGGCTGGGCATGGCGTTGTCCATGCTCCACAGTTTTGTTCGCAGGCCACTATTCCAGCTGCTGTCACACGACATCCACAGAAAACACACACCAACAATGGCAAATTGAGCTTAACAATCAGCCGGACCCGTGGGCCTAAAATTAGCTCCCCAACAAGGCTATCCACCATCGTTGGCAACCTCTGCTTTCACGAACACTATCTACGGTAGCTAACGTTGGTCGGTAATGGGTCCGAGTTATGATGGGGCAACACAACAGATTGTTTTAGACGTTACAAGCCTGGAAACTTAACAGAAAGGGACTAGCTGAGGCTGACCGACGATTTAACACAGCTCTAACACACCAAAAACTTTATCATAAGTTGACTTGGCGTTGAGTTTATTATCAGTCGGGCTAAAGTACCCACAGACACGGGACCGTCAGTTGAGGACCCGCAGTCAGTTAGCTAGCGTTAGCCGAGTGGCTAACAGAGCTACCTCCGGCTAAAATGGCTGTTAGCATGCGAGCTAGCTGGGGGAGCTCCTCTTCACGTCCGACATACACTCACTACTAGCAAGCTAACATTAGCAAGCTACGACAAAAACAGAGGAGTAATCCCGCGTCTTCTTCCTCTTTCAAGTAAACCCAAGCCGCCGAAAAATAACAAACTTAACGTATAACATCGTAACAAATGATATCATAAAACAATACTTGCCATTTCCATCGCTGGCGGAGGCGGAAAGTGCCGGAGAGGAGAGTTTAGGCCTCTTGGCTAAAGGCGGGCCACCCTCCAGAACGTTCTCGGCCATATTTTTTCGAAATAAAAATATATAAAGTATCCACAATTGCAGACGTTTTCACGCCCTTAGAAGCTCATTCCTTTTCGTTTCCAATATTGCGACTTTTCCCCCTCCTTTGGGGGGACTAAGAGGGGGAAAGTCCCGTGTACAAATTACTCCTCTTTCCCTGGGTTCGCCTCTCGATTTCAGCCTCGGCGTATATCAACCCCCCTCCCTCCCTCGTCGGATTTTTTGTTCTTTATAAATTTCTGCCAGCGGAGGAGGGGGTCGGTGAAAGTAAAGAGGGAGACACACGCAGCGGCTTCCCTCTAAACTTACACAGCCTCTTCGGATGTAAATAAACTGTCCCCCGGTCTCTCTCCCATGGTTGCATCCGTCATTTCAACCTCCTTTCCAGCGGAGTCTGGATGGAGATAATGTCGGGCAGAAAAGGCTTGTTTGCCTGCGAAGTGATGGTGGTGCTGCTGGTGGCAGCGGGTAAGGATGAGGGGATGCAAATAAAAAAATAAAGCTGACAAATGTGCAGCTGCAATGGTGGATAAAGTATAATGCCTATCCGCTGGGCTGTGCATGTTAAAGAAAATAAAAATAAAAGTTATTTATTATGAAACTCGTGCATCGACCTGAACTTGCATCTGCTTTTTTTTTTTTTTGCTGAGGTTTAGTTGCAAAGATTAAAGTTGGATTATGTTAAACAGTTATCTTAAATGCAAGTATTTACTGCTAATGGAGTTTGCAACAGTAAAAAGGTCGAATTAAACATTTACAATAACTTCCAGTGCAGCAGACAAAAACTGTATTTATATCTGGAAGGACTTGATCTGGAACTTGATTCCTCAATAACTGACATTCAATTAAGACCCAGTCCTGTCATCATTAGTTTGTTTGCTTTAGTCTAAATGTTGTATCTATGCATAAACGTCAAAATCCTCTATCACACAGCAAAGAAAATACAATTTCCTCAGCTGTCCTGGTGTTGGCTCTGCAAGTTGGCTCCATGGCCAGTCTCACTCATTAAGCCTCAGTCAAAAAGATTCTTCCTGTCTTGTTCCTGCACCAACACAGTCACCAGCCTTAACTCTGACAGTTGTTGTGAGTTTTTATTCAGCCTGTAAAAGCAAATCTTGTGCTTGAGTCTCACCTTCATTTGTTTTCTTCTATGGAACACACTAAATAATTTACCCCATGAAAAGTGTTCAAAACCAGTCCATAGTTTTTCCCCACTTGGTTTCCAACTGCAAAGCAATGACCAGTTTGAAAATCCAACATTTCCCTCTCATCCTACACAGCACAGGAGCTGTCAGCCCACACTGCTCAATATGCAGATGTAACGGCTTTACACCCATTCATTCTCGGTTTTATTCACCACAGTTAAGCTTAACTTATCAACCCTCAGTGTTCGCAAAGTTTCCGCAAACCATTATTCATTTTAAAGTTTGATTTAAAAATCCCACATTGCATGACAGTGTCACACTTACTGTATCTGACTAATATTATGCTCATATTGAGTTAGTTAAACAAAATATGTAATTTTCAATAACTGTATCATTCCATCAAATTAAGACATGTAGAATTGAGAATACATGTACTTTCTGAAATGTTTCTTTGTAATACAGCATGATTTTATGTTTTTAAACTGATCTGCACAAGAAATTAGAAATGGTTTTAAGAATCTGAAATGTCATCAAGTATTCCTAATAACTGGCCATAAGCAGTAAAAGAAGAAACCAAATGTGTTTGTTGTCTTCAGTGGGAAAGAGTGGGATTTTACACCTAGAGATGCACAATGAGGAGTAAAGGACTCACGTACTTTATATAAACTGTATGTATTTCTAAACCTGTTTGATTGAGGCCTTTTGGGAATGCACATTCATATGAGTTATCATATGGCTAACATGAGTATAAAATATACACTGCATGTAGCCATTATTTGAGAAAACATGGACTTATATCACTCTTCCACATTTTTTGCATCCATAATATGTATGACAATATTTTTTAAATCACTTAGGGGGCATAGTCAAAAGGAAGACTGTAAATCCTACTAACTGAAAACTGATCCCTTACAGGTCGTAGGTTTTTATTAAAAATAATAGTGTATCTAATCTGACCACTAGGCCTCATAGGTCCTCTGGCCATAGATTTTAAAAAGTCCATCTTTGTAAAGAAAAAAAAATGGTTGCCAACAGATTACAACGAGAAGTCTAGTTCATGAGAAAAATCTTACATATTTTCCAGATATCTTCCTGCTCTACATTGCTGAATGCACTGTCATTTGTTTTAATATTTTAATAAGTTGACACATACATTGACCTGCTTTTTTTTTTTTTGGGGGGCTTTTATTGCCTTTAATCTGTAGTAAAAGATGAAGATAGACAGGAAGGGGGTAGAGAGAGGGGATGACACGCAGCAAGGAGCCACAGGTTGCATTTGAAACCCATGGCCACTGCAGCAAGGACTCAGCTTTGGTACATGGGGAGCCAGCTCTACCAGGTGAGCTGTGCGGGCGCCCCACATTTACCGGCTTTATTGCTATAAAATGGGATTCCACTGCATGAAAAAAAAACTATATCAAAGCTTCACCAAACCTGCGATAACATTTAATAACCACATCAGTGAATCATGCCACAGGACCATTCATATGTTCATACTTGTATATAGATAAATACATTTCCTTGATCCATGATAGTGGACATCACACCCTGGCAGTGGAGGTATCACGCTGAGTCACATGACAAGGACCAGGACCAGGACCAGGACCAGGACTGGATGAACCCACTAGGGGGCCCCAGGGCAAAAATCTACTCTGCCCCCAACAGTGATCAGCATTACCTACTTTGTACATTTTTCATATACATTAATGTTGATGCAAAGTTATCAGATTCTTTCTGTGCAGGATCCAAAAATAAAGTAATATTTACTCACAACTTTATTATGTGTCATTCAATTTACATGCCAGGGCCTCGTAAACGTGATGAAAAAGACACACACATACATAAGTCCATCTTGGATCGGAAAATGTAAGCTATGAAATGGAAAAACCTACACATCAAATAGCTCCCCTAGAATACATATATTTACTATATACTGTCACTTTCCTTATTAGGGTCCCAACAATTGCATTATTGTGCTGCTGAAAATATTTATTTATATTTATTGGTTCCCCCCCCATTACACCTACCCTGGACCCAAAGACCAACATGGTCTCTACATAATGAAGGGTCAATGAATAGATATAATAACATGAACACCTGTATTGTATTGTTATCATACCATTGCAAAGTTTATTGTTGTTGAGACAATAGCAGGTGTATCAAGTCCCAGAAGTGAATCAACAATAGGCTACTGTCATAATTAATATTAGGTAAATGAATGAATGAAGAAATGCAGCTCATTTAAATGGATTGTAAAAATCCAAAAAGTGGTAAATAATGAAGAGCAAGCTAAGAAAGTATACTGGTGTAGTCTCAATGTTAGGTGAGTTTATGATCAGTAAGTGGTGATACTGTACCATTACTTTGAGTACCAACCGCTTACACACAAGACGAGAAACATGTTACTTAAAGAGGCCATTTGAATTTCAGATTTCTATGAAATGACTGGAGGCTGATACAACCATCTATGGCCTACAGTAATATAGCCACGATGTAGTCTGAGTACTACTGTCAGGGCATAGTAACCAGGTGGCTCATGCATACCATGTCTCAGGTAGTGCCGAAAGATTTTAAGACACATCTTCTCATTATCAGACAACATAAATGGAAAATATTGTGAGGACAATGAGCTGCTGTGTTTATTCCAGAACATATTTTCTATTTCCATTTTGCAGAAGCTCACAAGTACATAGACCTTCCATTCACACACCCTCAGTGTGCTGTGCTGCACCTTTAAAGCACAGACATTACTGGCTGTTTAGTACTCAATATATCACACTTGTAAATGGAAGTAAGTCACAGTAATTGCATTTGCAGTGCATTGTCTGTGTATGTATGCATATATCCCTGTTTTATATACACTACCAGTCAAAAGTTTGGATACACCTTCTCATTTAATGGTTTTTCTTTATTTTCATGACTATTTACATTGTAGATTCTCACTGAAGGCATCAAAACTATGAATTAACACATATGGAATTATGTAGTAAACAAAAAAGTGTAAAATAACTCAATTCCTCATAGTAGCCACCCTTTGCTTTGTTGACAGCGCTGCAAACCCTTGGCCTTCTCTCAATGAGCTTCATGATGTAGTCACCTGAAATGGTTTTTACTTCACAGGTGTGCCTTGTCAGGGTTCATTTGTGGAATTTCTTGCCTTCTTAATGGGGTTGGGACCATCAGAAGTCAGGTTGGTACACAGCTGACAGCCCTATTTGACAACTGTTAGAATTCATATTATGGCAAGAACCAATCAGCTAAGTAAAGAGAAAAGACAGTCCATCATTTACTTTAAGAACTGAAGGTCAGTCAGTCCGGAAAATTGCAAAAACTTTGAATGTGTCCCCAAGTGCAGTTGCAAAAACCATCAAGCGATGAAACTGGCTCACATGAGGACCGCCCCAGGAAAGGAAGACCAAGAGTAACCTCTACTGCTGAGGATAAGTTCATCCGAGTCACCAGCCTCAGAAATCGCAAGTTAACAGCACCTCAGATTAGAGCCCAGATGAATGCCACACAGAGTTCTAGTAGCAGACACATCTCTACATCAACTGTTCAGAGGAGACTGTGCGAATCAGGCCTTTATGGTCAAATAGCTGCTAAAAAAAAACACTGCTAAGGAAAAGCAACAAGCAGAAGAGATTTGTTTGGGCCAAGAAACACAAGGAATGGACATTAGACCAGTCGAAATCTGTGCTTTGGTGTGATGAGTCCAAATTTCAGATCTTTCGTTCCCCCCGCTGTGTGGTGAACGGATGGTCTCTACATGCATGCTTCCCACAGTGAAGCATGGAGGAGGAGGTGTGATGGTGTGGGGGTGCTTTGCTGGTGACACTGTTGGGGATTTTATTCAAAATTGAAGGCACACTGAACCAGCATGGCTACCACAGCATCCTGCAGCATCATGCCATCCCATCCGGTTTGCGTTTAGTTGGACCATCATTTATTTTTCAACAGGACAATGACCCCGAACACACCTCCAGGCTGTGTGAGGGCTATTTGACCAAGGAGAGTGATGGAGTGCTGCGCCAGATGATCTGGCCGCCACAGTCACCTGACCTAAACCCAATCGAGATGGTTTGGGATAAGATGGACCGCAGAGTGAAGGCAAAAGGACCAACAAGTGCTCAGCATCTCTGGGAACTCCTTCAAAACTGTTGGAGAACCATTTCAGGTGACTACCTCATGAAGCTCATCAAGAGAATGCCAAGAGTGTGCACAGCAGTAATCAAAGCAAAGGGTGGCTATTTTGAAGAATCTAAAATATAAAACATGTTTTGAGTTATTTCACACTTTTTTGTTTACTACATAATTCCATATGTGTTCATTCATAGTTTTGATGCCTTCTGTGAGAATCTACAATGTAAAATAGTCATGAAAATAAAGAAAAACCATTAAATGAGAAGGTGTGTCCAAACTTTTGACTGGTAGTGTCTGTATGCAAGCGTATGTGAATAATAGCCTTTAGTGTACTCTGCACGTGTCTATGAAAGGTTTTAGAAATGTATTGATGATGATGTAAAATCAATGAAATACATTAGGTGCTTATATACTGTCACAAGAGTAATGCTATGTTTGAGTCTGTTGGTATGGTGGTATACATTCCTCTCTAAATACGTATGCTGTATTTATCTAAATATCTTGGTTGATAAAATCAGCAATGCTCTTTTGGAAGTAGGACTTTCTCACAGAAGATTTTTTGACATGTCACAGTAGGAAAAGGTGTAAATAATCTATTTAATTATGGCTCAATTAATCTTCATTGAAAATACCATTTTGTTTCTATTTTGACAAACATTATTGATGTTAAAAGGCAATTAAACAATACACAGACATTATTTGATTAGATTTAGTTGTTGTCTGGTGTTGGCTGCTATATTGAAGGACTTGGCAAGTCATTTGGTAGTGATGGCAGTTTCATAGTGTTTTTGATTTAAATTTAAATCACACATGGTGCTTTTAATCTGGATTTAAAGACAACAAGACTAAAATCACAGTCCACAAACCTGAAACTAAAAGTTGCAATGTCTGTTAAACTCTGTAGTTTAATATAATATATGATTATATATATATAAGTATTTAATTGTACAAACACAGGACAGATGATTTTGCTGTTGCTTTTTTACAGCCCAATAGTGAGGCTTAACATGTAAAGTTTGTCCTGAGGGTGGCCACAGAAAAAAAAGTCCTGGGTTCATTTAACTCTAAAAGTTCATTTTCTGGAGAGCATGAATGTGTTTAGTACATTTAAGGGCCACAGCCCATTGGATTTTGATATTTCTAAGAGGAAATCTAGACCTTAAGGTGGAACCAAAGGGAAGTTACCTAAAATATTAGGATTCATCCTCAGAGGACCATTAATTTCCACAGCAGATTACAAAGAAATCCTGCAATTAGATTTTGAGTACAGCTCAGCATGGATAGATGTCACAGAGTCACCAAATTTACAGGGAGTAATCAGAACCATGGAAGCTCTGCAAATCTCAGTGCAATTTTAACAACACTGCAGAAATCCTCTAAGTATAAACTGCTGTGGTGTTTGCACAGACAAGAGGACGCTGGGAGACAGGTGATGAAAACCATACAGAGTGCCGACATATACACTTATTTCAATCCTTTGTGTAGATTAAGAGAGCAACAGAATGATTTTGTTGCATAGCTGTGCGTGTGTGTACAATCAAAGGAGACGATAATGTGTGATCATTAATGTGTCGTAGTTTAATATGGTCTGTAATTTTAGTAGTGGAGGTAATGCCTGGATGTTATTAATATTTATATTTTTGACTGAAACTGTCAGCATGCTCACAAAAAACCCCACCTGAGTATGTGAATACTTCAGTTCCTTTCGGACTCAGTTGTAGACTCTATTAGAAGTACCTTTTTGGTTTTCATGTCAGTGTTAAAGCTCGGGTTTGGGCCTATTTGAAGTTTTCCTTCCTTTCCTTCCTGAGTTTAATCACTAATGTGTTTATACTCATGATGGCTGTTGGATTATCATCAACCAGAGACACTGTCCTCATTTTTAGTAATGATTTGTACTCAATATTTATGTATGTGTATTGAAAAATAAAACATCTTACCTATATCATCCCCACTGTTTTGGTACCAGCCAATATCATAACCAAAGAATAGTTTTACAAACTAATTTTAGTTATAACATGCAGTTATTACATATTTGAGCTCACTGTACTAGCACATACATATAGCAATAACAGATTATCAATAATATTGTAGAAATATACTGAAAAATGTGTAGTGTATTTTCTATAATACGATAATATGGTATAAAGCAAACAATATTGCAGTTGCAAAGCTACAGAGCACTTGGGTTAACTAGAGGTTTTCAAAGTTTTTAAAAAAGGAAGTGGGCTAATGTTGCTTGTTTTTGACAAGACAAGGCAACCACTAAAAACGTTACTGTTACATGATTAATTGATTGATTTTATTCAAGTGTCCGGCACCATGTGGTGCCCAGCCCATATGGGCTTACAAGACACTAGACACAACAGTCGGGATGACCCAGAAAACACATAAATTGCTGCTCTTTGGGAATACCTTATTATATGCTCATATTAAACTATGCTCCTTCGGCTTTGGCGTATAGCCAACCAAATCTCCCTTTCTGATGTTCCTTATGGCTCTTTAGTAGTTTGTGTTTGATTATATTTATATTACATGGCAAAGTGTTCCTGAAAATAAAATGTAGCACTTGTCAGTATATTTGTGTATTCCCAAGAAAGCATCACGTGGCTCAACTCTGGATAGCATTACTATCAGGGCTATCCTTAAATACCAATGAATCAAAAAAAGTTTTGAAAATGTTAAAAAAAAACATGGTCAGGACACAATTTCATTTTACTCACTCTATTTTACTTTATGTTACTCTAACAGCTGACTCTACCAATGCTTTTCTTCCTTCAGGAAAGCTCATATTTGATTTGATTGATTTGAAGACAAAACCACAAGTGATGTTATTTCAGTTTCTACTAACTTTTACTTTATTAGGCTATTGGTGAATAAGCCAACATCTTAACACTTTAATACCTGTACATGAATCAATTCGAGATTAAGTGAAAAACTTCCAATTCTGCTAAAACTTCAACTCCCATAATGCCTTGTGCGTGCATAACGACGGTGACGTCCAAGGTATGCGACCACAATACGGTGCCGGGTGTGCTCCGATGTAGTTGAACAACTTCCATCTATAGTGTTGCAGTGATATGAAACCCTTAAGTGAAGGCCCAGATACTGTGAGCCTCTGTAAGTAGCCACTTTAAGTAACCGCTGCTTCACAACTGGACCAACGGGCTATTAGCACTGTTAGCAGTTAGCGTGCATGTAGCATGTGAGCTAGTCATACTTTTGTTTATGTTTTGACCAGCTCGCTTATAAACCAGTTATCTGTGTGAATTGGCTCATAACAGTGAGTGTAACAGCAGCATTCAGTTTAAAGTATTTCTTTGGCATGTTTGTGCCTGTCTACTTTTTGTTCATTCGTTTAACAAATGTTTCAATGTTCTGGTTCGTATGAGTTTATATCGCCTAGAAATGATGGTTTCATTATCTGTTGTAGCTACAAGCTACATGTTTTGATTGTTAAACTGTGTGTGGGCTTGATATAATCCTGCTTCAGTTGTTATTAATCTTTATTTCAATGAGACATTACTGTGTAAGTTAACTATAATGCAGTAGTGAAGACATATTGGGCCAAGAAACAGCATAGATATTATATAAACTCACACAGCTCTGCCTGTCTCTGCCCCTGCTCAACAACTGCTTTCTTATCTGTGGTGTCTATAAATATGTATGATCTAACAGTAAATGTTACACATGTGTATTTTGTGTGGTAAAATTATGAAACTGTCTCCTAGATGTAACAAACAATCGTCACTTTCCTCTGCAGAGCTCATAGAACAATTCAAAACAGGGTGGGATGCATTGGCTGTAGATCCCGCTTTGTACTGTGAGGCACCGAGGGTCCTGTCGTGAGCAGAACACAGGATGCCGTACCACTGCGTGGCCTATGGATGTGGGAAGACTGCTGAAGATGGTGTGACACTGTTTAAATTCCCCAAGGACCCTGAGGAGTTTCGCAAATGGGAGAAGCAGGTCCAGCGCACGCGCACCCAGTGGGTTGCCACGCCCAATTCTCACCTCTGCAGCGAGCATTTTGGCAAGGAGTACTTCGAGCCCAGACCATCCACAGGGAGTCTGAAGTTGAGGCCGGGAGCTGCACCCACTGTGTTCGTCCGCCCGCACTGTTTCTCCTGCAGTGGAGTGGGTTGTAGTAAGTGCCTGCCTGCTATCCAACGGCGGGGCATTACAGCTGAACCAAGAGAGCGTGCAGTAAGTGTGAGTAGTTGTTATTGTGGGAAGGTCACTGCATAGAGAAAGCCAGAGTTTCTGTCACCGTGAGAGCTTTAAACAGTCTAAAATCAGAGACACATTCATGCTTTCTGTTTACCATTCAGTTTTTTTCTTATTACAGGCAGAATATAATGAAACGGCGCACGTTCAGTTTAAAGATACTGATAGAAGAGGAGTCAAAGAACATCCTACGGGAGGAGCGGTGAAGCTGAGGGACAAAGACGAACGACCAGGTAAGTTTCAAACGAGGATACAAGAAAACTATGGTTGAAAGTCAAAATGTCCCTTTTCTGTCTGTTCCTTTTAAATGCCATTTTAACATTGTTAAAAGAGTCAAAAGGAGTAATAGAAACTTCTCCACAAAGCACTTGAACCAATAAAAAACACATCTGTATAAGATCCATTGACTGTTAAAGTTAGCTGATGTTTTCTGTAAACTGTATTTATTTACCTTTACAGTGGTGTGTGAGATGTGCGGCACCACAGGCACTACCAGCACCTTCTTCTCAAAGACCAAGCGTTTCTGCAGTATATCATGTTCACGTTCCTATTCTTCCAACTCCAAGAAGTCCTCCATACTGGCACGTCTGCAGGTAAGAACAAAACCAACAATACTGACTGGTGTATTTGTTTGCAGGGATGTGGCAAGATGTAACAATTTGGGGTGAGACTTTTCCTTCATACATAATGGTGTTTGTTGTTATGATTTTACAATCTTTCAGCTGCTTTGTTTTCAAGCAGACTTTTGTATTCCAGCCAAATGCTTCCCAAAAGTTTGTACACTTTTACATAAGGTATCATGTTGAGGTTTTCTGGCCAAAATGTCCTTTGTGTCTGTGGTTTAGTAAGTTCTGTCGGCTGTGCATGCTGATGCTGTATCAGACATTAAGTTAGTAACAGGTGACAACGTTCATATCCACAGTTAGTGTTGTTTTCCAGTTGCGTAGCTTCTTAAATAATTTCTTAAACAGAAAGAAAGTAGATTTTTCACCCTTTTCTGTCTGCTGAACCTCCACCACTGCTTGTAGACCACTGACAGATACATTACCCTCATTCTCTTGTGAAGAAGCAGTGACCAGGTTCTTTATGTGACACCTCACAGGTCTTCATCCAGCTGTTGTTTATTTCCCAACTCGTGTCCTTCCTCTTGAGACAAAGGCTGCCCCTTCTCTTCAAACTCATTGACTGTCCTCTTTTCTACTTGCACTACTGACAGTTTTGTTCTTGTTACTCTCAGAGGGTAGACCGTGAAGGCTCCTATAAAGCTTCTGCATCTGTCAAGTAGAAATTATTTACTGCCATCTTGGAATACGTGAGACATCAGCAAGTCTACAGTATAAGAATTTCAATACAAGAAAATTGTTTTCATCATAATCATATTGATATTTTTTGTGATACTGGAGACTTGAGATTTACATACAATCAAAAATCAGCAGAGCATATTTTTCAGACTAGGTTTGGGCACAAAGAATAATGGAGTATGTTTAGTGATGAAGGAAGGCAAAACAATGTGAAATACATATTGTCAAGGTGATGTGAGCTGCCACTTCTTGTTTCAGTACTGAAAAGCACCAGGATTGAGCCATTTCTATGGTTTTTGTGATTATTGTTGCTTCAGTGGTCGAACATGACAAACATTCAGCCAAAAACGTCTGCGCTACTAATCTGTTCTACCTGTTTCTGTGTGATTGTTGAGGTTCAAACATTTTAGGTGTACCCTACCCCTTAGGTGTTTACACTGAGTGAAATATTCAAATCCAGGACGCCATGTTTTTATGGCTGCACCTCCAGTATATGTACTTATTTGATTATTTGTATTTCCGTCATTTATAATTACGAACAAAAGGTGGCAGTGTTTCGCTACAAGCCGTCGGTCGTCATTGCAGAAAAAGGGGGAGGAAGAAGAAGACGACCGCGCTGGACTTGAAATCAGTGCACTGACCTGGGAGGTTGTCCGCGGGCGGGTCTGACTCTCTCTGTCTGTCTCTCTCCGCTCTTCGGTTCACCGGAGACCTCGGTACGTTCAAACAAATGGTTCACAGGTGCTGCGTTGACGCCTGCTCGAACACCAAACGCCCGCGCCTCGCCTTTCATCGGTTCCCACTCGTCGACCCAGAGAGACTGAGGCAATGGCTGTTTGCGCTCAACATGGATGTAAACACTCCGCTCCACGTTATCAACAAGCTGTTCGTCTGCCAGAAGCACTTCCAGCCGGACGACTACTACCATACCCCGAACCAGCAGGCCCGCCGGGGCCGGCTCCTCAAGACCACCGCCGTCCCCACCCAGTTCAAACACATGCACACCTCCGAGACAGGTGACCCCACCGCCTGTGTCATGTACCTGGATGAGCTGGTGAGTTGGTACAAAGAGTATGACAGTGCACTTTACTCCATTATAACTTTGAGACTGGACCACAAAGCAACCAACAATGGACCTAAAAAAGATGAATTCCTTCAATTTTAAACAGCAATTACTGTAAATTTTAAAAAAGCATTTGCTGTATTTGGCATGAAATGTACATTTTTATTATAGAATATTGTTAAACAATGGGGGGAAAGATGCAATATTAATCTAGATTAAAACCCATCGTTTGTCAGTGATATAAAATGAATTCAGGCCAGCTATTTTAAATTATTTATCGTTTAAGTCACTTAAGCCAAGTTGTAAAGATTGAATGAATGTGACTTCTCAAATATATAAGGACTGTTGGACAGATGAAGGAAGCAAAAATACTGACTATTTTGATGGGCTTCTTATGCTACTGACATGTCCACTGATCGAACAATTAATTGATCAGTTGATTTATTATTATTATTATTGATTTAACTCTTTTGCTGGTTGTAATTATGTGCAGCTATAGTTGTAATTTATTGTGTGCGTCTCTTCTCTGTCTGTGGAAATGAAGCTGTCAACCAAGTTAAAACGGATTATTGAATGCATTTGACCTCCAACCAACAATTACGGTATACAACAAAAAGTAAACAATGCCCCGTGTGCGTCGTGGCGCGGGCACCGCCATCTTGAAATACTACGACCGTTGACGTCACCGGGTTGGTTTGCTCGGCGGACTTGAGACAAACTTCAGAGACCCTGGAAGATGGAGGCCGAGGAGCCACAGGAAAGAAGTGTAAGAGGCAAGGGGGGCCACTACTGTGCCGCTCCTGGGTGTAAGAACGAGTTTTACAGAGTTAAAGCCAAGAACAAGACAACCCATTTTCATTTAATGCCGCTGAAACGGAGAACAGTGCTGCTGCAGTGGATAGCGGCCCTGAAGAGAAAGAACCCGCACATGGGCCCCAATGCCAGAGTCTGCAGCGATCACTTCTTGGATGGAGACTACATAGAGGAGAAGGCCTTTGAGTCGGACAAGCTAGTGACTCGCCGGACCAACAAACTAAAGCCCGACGCTGTACCGTCCGTTTTCAGTCTTACCGCCGGTAACCCGGACTCGACCGTCCGTCCAACAGGCTCTGACAGCGGCGGTACAGAGACACCCGTCCACCGCAGGGGAAGGACGCAGAAATGCGACAGCCAGGCAGTGAAGACACAGGTAGGAGTATTGCGCAACCACCAGAAGTCAGCAGGTGACTGTGGCAGCTTTTCGTTACCCAAAGTTAAGCTTCCTCGCGTCCTCCCTCCTCCTCCTCCTCCTCCCGTGACCCGAAAATCGCTCCCGCCATCACGGAGTGCACCTCGAGGAGCGGAAGTCCCTTTAAAGTGGGCTCACCATGCACATACTCGAGGGATATTTGTATGTTTGCATGGCTGACTATTTAATCTTAACCAAAACCCAACCATTTTTTATTCACAGTTTATTATCACAGCGCTTTCTGTGTAGTATCCTGTGGATCCACAGATAATGTGATAAATCTAACACTAGAAAAATTAAATAAAGTGTTTTGGCATCACACAAAGCAGCAGTTTGTTTTATTTTACAATACAATCGACGTACACTCATTATACGCTTTTCTGTGTTGTATTGTGCAATCAATGTGTGGATAATGCAAGTAAATAGATATCCTAAGTTATCATAACTAATAACACTGATCTGTACATAAACTGTAAATGGTGCATTTACCATGGACAAACAAAGGCTTCAGGTCTCAGTAGCAGCAGTGAGATGCAGCTGAGATGTGCATAGTCTAAAATGAGGGTGTATCTGTTGCGTGAATCGTGAGTAAAAAAAACCTTGTCTGATATGCTTTGGGTCTAGACACAGGGTAAGACATCATGATCACAGAAACAAGGACAATGAGATGACTTTGCACAATCTTTCTTTGTGTTTCTCTCTCCAGGGAAAGCCCCCGTCAAAAAAAGCCACAGTGTTGAACAAGGTGAACAAAGCTCCTCCAGCCCCCACAGGATTGGATGGTGAGGGCACAAAATACACACAGATACACCAGGAAATACATTTTACACACACACACACACACACACACACACACACACACACACACACACACACACACACACACACACACTCTCTAGGACACAATCTCACTTCAACTGTGAGATTTCTCTGTTCTTTCCATTATGTAGCATCTGCTGCAGGTTTTGAGTGGGGAGCCTACCTGGAGAAGGAAACCTCTCTGGCTGCATCAGTGTCCTGCTTCAGACATGTGAGTCCAACCTGTCAGGTGTATTTCACAGAGACACTAAATGTGTCTGTGGATTTGTCTCTAATATTGTTGTGGGGACAATTATTCCAGCGTATGTAAAAGTTTATACTTGCACACACAGAGCCTTTTAAACAGCGTGAATAACTTCTACTGCTACAGCTCACAAATGTAAGGTGACGCATGTTTGTCAGTAGCTACGGCAACAGTTTAATATGATATTGTCTTAATGAAGAATTAATTAATTGAACATTGTGAAAAAGTGAAGATTAGTTAAACATTAGAAGATAAACTGAGTGTTGTTGAATATATGGACGTGGAGCACATAAAACACCTCACACAGGAAACACCTGACTTCCCACCTGCAGGTTCCCCTGTGTGCCCAGTGGAATGATATCATCGTAGGGATGAAGGTGGAGGTCCTGAACACAAATGCAGTGCTGCCCAGTAAAGTCTACTGGATTGCTACAGTCATCCAGGTTGCAGGTATGCACATCTGTGTGTCAGTGTTTGTTTTAACAGGCCACGGATCATCGACTCATCAGTTTTATGATTATGAATGTGGCCAGTTTTAAACATCACCTCTAAAAACTGAAGGCATGAAGCTGTCTAGCGTCCCCTAAAGGCTGCAGTGATTACTACATTGTATAAAAATGTTGTCAGGACGGACACTGCACTGATGTTTGTTCTTATAGCCTTCCAAGTAGTAGTCCCAATGTTGGGATAGAGAAAGGCCATGAAGTCTGCCAAAACATTAGGATTCATACTCTGATGACTGGATAGACATTTTTTTGTGGCCTGCAGTTGTCAAGGCTTCTTGTTCTGTACGTTTTGAACGGACATTCTCATTTGGTATGTAAAATGTGAGAAAATAATAGTGCTCATCTCAATTTCCCAGAGCCCTAGGTAACCTCTTCAAATGTATTGTTTTGTCCTGTCAACAACCCCAAACCCAAAGACACTCAGTTTATGAATTAACTGAATTACAAATGTTCAGCCTCCAGAATTTTCCTCAGCTTGGGCCTCTGAAACAGCACTTGACACCCATGACACACTAAACCCTTCCATTTAAATCTCATAATGACAACAATAAAGAGACTGTACAATGGCAATAGTATTGATATTAGATATAAATAAATAATTGTCATTTTAATCAAAAGTAAGTGAATCCATAATCAGAAGAAATGGCTTCATATTTTAGACATTTTGCCAATGCAGTTGAATTGATAGTGACATTTGCCTTCCTGTCACCTCTTATCTCCAGGATACAAAGCCCTGTTGAGATATGAAGGCTTTGAGCACGACAGCAGCCACGATTTTTGGTGCAGCCTGGTTTCGGGAGAGCTGAACCCGATTGGTTGGTGCGCCATGACGAGCAAGCTGCTGGTACCACCACAAGGTGAGGATTCACACAACAAATAAAAAACTGCAGGACCATGGGTCATGGGCTTCCTGATGGTATTAGGATAGTAAAGATAAGATCTTAAGAAACGTGGAGCTCAGTAGACTTTAAATGAAGCATTAGAATTGAATCAAGATTAATATTGCAGATACGGATAAATTTAAACATATCTTGATCAGATATTTTAGCGATAGGATATGTTCTAATTTGACACATTGTGTGTCCATAGATGTGAAGCAGAACATCCCAGATTGGAAAGAGTATCTGATGAAGAAGCTGGTGGGGGCCAACACACTACCTGTTGACTTCTACCTGAAGGTAAAAAAAATGGTAACTGAAAATGATTTGGCTCACAAATAGAGAGACACATACAAGAGTATAATGAAAGAAAATTAAATGAATGGTGTAATTTTACTGAATGAATTAAACACATAAAAAGCATCTCTTTGCCTTTGGCCACATTTCCTTATGTGCTCTTCCTAGTTGGCAGAGAGCATGAGGACCTCTTTCAGAATAGGAATGCGTGTGGAGGTGGTGGACCCTAAACACGTGAGTCGGACCCGCGTGGCCATCATAGACTCGATTATTGGTGGGCGCCTGCGGCTGGTGTACGCAGACCAAAGCGACGCCCCCGAAAACTCCACTTCTGACTTCTGGTGCCACATATGGAGTCCCCTCCTGCACCCGATAGGCTGGTCCAGCAAAGTCGGCCATGCCATGAAAGCACCTGGTAGGTCTGAGGATTTATTTTACTCATACATATGATTGATAGTGTGCCATGCAGAAGAAATTACACGAGGAGGGACAGGCCGCCAAACACACTAGTGTCAAGTCTGCATTGCCATCCACCTTGACGGGTATCGTATCGTGGCCGGTGGATACGGTGGTTTCTTCCTTTGACTGAAAGCAATCACACACATTCCATGCTTGTCTGGAAGTAAAGCTTTTAACATCTTTAATAGATGGCAACAAAATGTGAAATAAAAATGTTCATTTTTTCAATTCTAGTAAAAAGTGTGGAAGCTGCTGGCAGTGGGTTGAAGGGTAACACTGACAGTACGTTCCTGCTCTTTAAAAAGGTAAGGAAAATCAAAAAGGAAATGAAAAAGCAAAAGACTCACGCTGCTTTAGCACAACTCTTGACAACCACTGTGTGATCCGCAGCCCAGGTTTGTCTACATGGCGGGAGGTTTCTTTGAGGAAGGAATGAAGCTGGAGGCCATTGATCCTCTTAACCTTGGAAATATCTGTGTGGCTACTGTACACAAGGTAAGACAGCTACTTCCTGTTGTTTTGGTTTTGTGTGTTGTGTTTGTCTAACCTTGTTTGAATCTCATCTGACAGACTAGACTGCTCTGCTTCAATTGTGTTTATAATACATTGGCAGCAGTCAAAAAATTATTGAATTGGACCTTAACTCTGCTGCCCTCTACTTCTCCCAGGTGCTGTTAGATGGCTACCTGATGGTCGGAATCGATGGAACCACATCAAACAACGGCTCTGACTGGTTTTGTTACCACGCCTCATCTCATGCCATCCTTCCTGTACACTTCTGTAAAACAAACAACATCCCTCTCACGGTTCCTCAAGGTAAATATAAACATGCCTATTCATTCAGCTTCAGCTCACACTTTCTGCTGGTACTAATTTGCTTTAGCATTCTGTATCCTTCACTATACAATCAATGAAAATACTTGCTGATTTCTTTGTCTGTCTTGACAGGTTATGACCCTCAGACCTTCACCTGGGAAAAGTACTTGAAGGAGACTACAGCAAAAGCTGCACCGGCTCAACTGTTTAACACTGTAAGACATGAAGTCCAAACCTAGTGCAGCATTTGAAATTGCTCTCTCTATTTAGCAACATATCAATGTGCTCACACCAACAGTTTGTTTTCCTTAGTCACTATTGCCATTTGCAAATTGCAGTCCTTCTGTTTTTGAAATTTCGTACGAGAAGACATCAAACGGCATATGAACCCACAGTTTGTCTCTCCTCAGGACTACACGGGTCACAGCTTCTCTCCCAACATGAAGCTGGAGGCAGTGGACTTGATGGAGCCGCGCCTGGTGTGTGTGGCCACCGTGAAGCGCTACGTGGGCCGCCTACTGCTCATCCACTTCGACGGCTGGGATGATGAGTTCGACCAGTGGATCGACTACCAGTCCCCAGATATCTACCCTGTTGGCTGGTGCGAGCTCGTGGGCTACCAGCTCCAGCCGCCTCCTGGACAAGGTAAACACCTCATCAAATAGCAATACCCCCGAGTGTGTTGTAGAGTTTATTTCCACCAATAATCCAAATTACAGTTCAACCAGAATAAAGACCAAATGAGGCAGAAAACTGTCCCTGTAGTGTACCACTGTCACAGAGGAGCAACTAGCATCTCTAAAAGTGTTTCATTGTGTTTTTCAGTTGATTTAATCGAAACCCAGGCAGCACAGAGCAAGAAATACAAACCCTTTGCATATGGGAAAAAGAGTAAGTCTTGACTCAGAAATGCACATGGAGTCTTGCCTCAAACAGTTCTGCCTTCAAATTGAGCTTTTTCTTACATCTGACAGTTACAGAACAGTTTCTTTCACCTTATTTGTTTTTTTGTGTATAGAAAAGAGGGGTGCAAAGAAGAGGCTTTCTCAGGACCAGGCTAAAGACGATGCGGGTCAGCAGCCTGAGGTCACTGACAATGACAGTCCTCCAAGGCTGGAAGGCCCAAGTCTTCCTCCAAAAGTGCCTCTCATGCAGCCCAAGACTGAGCCAGAGGAGCAGGAGAGTAAGTGGGCAAACTAATACGAACATACTTATTAACAGACATATTCTTATTTTCGTGAGTCAGTTTTGGCAATTTGCTGACTTAATTCTGTCTCTGTAGTCATTGCAGTGCAGGTGAAAGTGGAGGAGGTGGAGATGGAGACCCCCATTGATCATCCAGACAACCCTCAACCAGTCTCTTTGGGTATAATTAAACAGGAGGGAGCCGGGGAGCAGAGTAAGTCAGGACTACACCCAGCACCAGAGCAGAGCAGCTTGGAAACGGTAGCACAGGACAAGACGAGGAAGAGTAAAACTGCAGCAGGAAGACGTGATGAGAGGGTATCATTGGAAGAGAGCTCTACTGGTGAAAGTAGCATGGAGCAGAGTGAAAACAGAAAAGGCAGTGATGTAGAGATGAGTCAAAAGGTGGAGGAGGGGAGCCAAGGAGACGACAGTGCCATGGAGAATATTTCAGAGAGCGATACGAAGACGAGTACGTCTGCTTAAAAGAATAAAGAGCACTAGAAAAGGTGGATGAGCAAAAAGATGGGGACAACTATACCAATGTGTCGAAGAAAAGAAAAACTAAAGGAAAACCACTGACCAAAAAAGACAAACCGATACAAACAAAAGCAGGCTGGGCTATTTAGAGAAAATAAAAAGGTGCATCTTTTATTCTCTAGTGTTTAAAGTTATGATCTTCAAGGTTTCAGTCTTGGTTGATTTGGCAACAATGCTTTAATCCAGCTCTGATACAGCTGTGGGAGAGTGAACAGTAAACTGATATCAATGAGATAAAATTCAGTGGAATCAATGAGATAAAATTCAGTGGAATCACACTGGATTACATGCATGCTTCTTTTCTTTTCTGGCTTTTTTTAAGCAGTTGGGATCCAGAGCAGAAATGGGGGAGGAAAATCTTAAGGGTCATAACTTTAGATACTTGATGTACCTCTAAATTATGACTGAAAATGGTTCATAAGGATTAATTTAACCAATTTCAAACCTACCTCACTTTCTTGTGTCTGTAAGCTCCACTACACAATGATATTCATGCAGAATTGAAAGGTTTCAATGACTTTGTTTTATTGGAGTTTAACACGACTTATCATTCTGAATCTTAACATCAAACCTGTAAATATAAGTGTTCATTCTGGGTTGACATAGAAGACACGTTTCTGTTGTAATGTTTTATTTTTTTCCTGTTTTATACCTAGATGTCTTCTCTTTGTAAATATGAAATCACTGATAAAAAAAATATATATTGTTCCTAAACTTTCTGATTTGAATGTTGTCTCAGAGTCTCTCTACAAATGTGGCTTGAAATTCACTGAATTCAGTACATTCTGCAGTTGTGATGTAGTGGTTACTAGCATAAGGCCAAATCAGTTTTTGAGCAAATAACTAAAGCTAACAACATTCAGTTCATTTGCCTCCTTCAACAGTGCTGCTCAGGAACTTGACGGGCTGAGAATGTGTATCAAATGCTGTGAATGCGTAGCAGGGCTGCGCTGACAGAGAGCATCTGTGTTCGGTGTAGGTTTCCTGGATGATGTGAAAAAAATCTTTTTGCCCTTTTTCAACACTATTGATTAGACAGCAAAGAGGAAATACTGCAAAAAAGCTGGCTGAGGGGAACTGGCTGGCAGGAGATGTGAAACAGCCTCAGCAGCTACAGCTTTCAAAGTCAGCAGAGGTTACAGTTTTAGTTGACTCCGTGGTTTAACCACGAAATCTTCCAACAGTTGCTGTGGTCTCAGAACATCAGTTCAAAAGGCAACAGGTTCAGGCCATGCTGCGTCTCTTGGCGGTTTTCTTGGATGCTGCCGGTTTTGCGTTGGGGCTTTTACGAAGTTTGGATTTGGCCTTGAGCATTTTGACTTGCCGAAGGCTGTTGAGGTGCATTGGTTTGGGTTTGGTGGCTTTGGGGGCCTTGGCGGGCTTTGGGGTGACTGTTGGGGCGGAGGGGAGGCTCTCGCCCCCAGGACAGGCTTTGAAGATGTGGACGTCCTTGACCCTGCGACCCTTGAGCTCAGGGGGATTGGCACAAGTGGCTCGTACCTTCAGGTTTACTTTCTCAATCCACCTAAATAAAGAGAAACATTAAGTTAACCCTTTTCAGATGAGTAACTAGTGTTACTAGTTGCTAAATTTGTAAATAATCAGCCCAGTTTTAGACACAAAACAAGCTTTTTCCTGCTTTAAGGAGCTAAAAAGCCTCAAACCACAATCATTTCTGCACTCGTGCTGTTATTGTCTTACAAGCGTAGTGGCAGCAGAGGACAGTCACACATCAGAGGGTTGTTGGCCAGGTTGATGACCTCCAAAGAAGTGAGGGGGTGGAAGTTAGGCAACTCCTCCAGCTGGTTGCCTTCCAGGAAAAGACTCCTCAACCCTGGACCCAGTCCTGCCAGGGAGTTCTGCGACATCTAGTGGGAGATATCACATCAGGAAATTGTTAAATAACCTAATTATTTGTGTTAAATCCTAAAGCGACTACTGTAGCATGTAGCAGGTCTGAGAAATAAGAACTGTTGGTAGGTGTTGCTCACCTTCTCCAGTCCCATGTTATTCAGATACAGCTCCTTCAGGGACCTCTCCAGTGGTAGAAAGGCATTTGGCCCCACCCACCGAATGGGATTCCCAGTCAGCCTCAGGTCTCTGAGGTTTCCCGCCTTGCTCAGTGCTTCAGTGGGCACCTCGTCCAGCTTGTTTCCTCCCAAATGGAGCGTATCAAGGTCACTGGCCTGGTGCAGAGCCCTGGGTGACATGTGATCAATGGCATTACCGGTGAGATAGAGGGCTCTGAGGCCTGAGGCTCCGGTCAAGGTGTCCGGCTCCAGCTTGGTGATAGCGTTGTTCTCCAAGTGAAGCGCCAGCAGGCTGGGCACCAGTTTGAAGGCTCCTTTGGGGAAACCGGTGAGGCGGTTCTTCTCCAGGTGGAGGTAAGTCAGCTGAGGGAGGCCTGTGGATTTAGATTGTAGACTTTGAGTATTAAGACACAAGTCAGAATAAAGGAATTTTCTACCAATTTAACTTAAACTGCATTTAAAAGACCTTTAAAGGCATCGGGGCTGAGGGAAGAGAGGTCATTCTCCGACAGGTACAAGTAGATCAGCCCCTTCATTCCACTGAAAGCCCCTCCCTCTACCTCCACGATCTTGCAGCGCTGCAGATGTAAGGACACCACCTGGGCAACACCAGGGAAGCTGTTGCCAGGGATGTAGTGGAAGTGGTTGCCACGCAGGTCAAGGAGACGCGTGGTGGGAGAGAAACCCCGAGGAACTTTGGTGTGACCGCGGTTCTCACACGAGGAGTGGTGTGTCTCAGCCTGAAGACGGGGAGGACAAAGACTTAAATAACCTTTTGGCCAACCTTTTAAAAAGCAGGACAAATATTAGGTAGTGGTAGTAGAATCTGTTATACGAGGACGTAGCAGGAAACTGACCCAAAATATAACCTAAAGCAAGACTACAACTTTTCCACGTGGATGTGTTTTGGTTTTAAATTAAAACTTTTTGTTTGTAAGTTGTAAGATTGTTTTTTTTTTTTCCTTTCAAGAGTTTGTCTTTTTAGCTTCAGGACAAACCTGTATGATAAATATAGTAAACCATCATATCTCTTATTAGTTCACAGTCACTTCTAAATTCTGCTGTTGAAGGAAAACCTACCGTGAAACTTGAATTTTATATCTATGAATAGGTTAACAGTAAATAGTATTTGACATGACATTATGTTCTGGTATTTCCATTGGCTACAATGGTGTTTGGTAGCAGAAATGAAATGAGTAAACTGAGACCACTCTTATGTTTATAGGCTGCATTCTTTTCTTGTTGGCAATCAAGCCATTCAGGTTTTGTTATTGCTTCAGTCGCTGGTACAGGATTAAACAAACCAGATATAAGATGTTATTATTAATTATAAGTCATTCTGGTAAACAACTAACAGAAGTGTAAGTAGACAAGAAATATGTATCAGTAGTAAAAGTAAATCAGAAAACTCCTCTGGAATCCACTCACCTCGCAGATACAGTTGGCAGGACACTTGACCTTGTTCTCTGGCTCTACAGTGGGCGGTGGCGTGATCCTGGTTGCCTCCTCGAACTCTGCCTTCAGCATGGCCTCCTGGCTCTGACAACGCAGCTCAGGGGGGTAAACGGCCTCCAGGTTCTCTCCTGACAGATGGGCCGGTCCTCCACATGTTCCCATCAGCTTCACCTTGCCACGGATCGCCCATTCCCTGCAGTGTGGTCAAAAAGAGATTAGGGATTAGTACCTTTCAGTTGACCGAGTTAAAGCACCATGCCCTAGATAGATGACAGCCGTTGGTTTAAAACCCACAAAGATGTGCTGTACCTGAGCGGACGTAGGTAGCAGTTGCAGTAGATGGGGTTCCCAGCCAGGTTGACGCGTGCCAGATTGGGTGAACCTTCAGAGAAGGGCTGGATGACACGCAGCTGGTTGTAGCTGATGTCCAGGTGGATGAGGCTGGGGGATTTTGATACTGCTGTGTTAGATAGGTCCTGCAGGGACATGTGGTCCAGGAAGAGGTGGGTCAGTTTGGCCATGGACACCACCTCTTCTCCAAGGTAAGTCATTGGGTTGTAGCTCAGATCGAGACGGGTCACCTCTGGCAGTCTGGATACCGAGAGGGAGAAGTGTAGGAAATTAAGATGGAAATTCAGTTGTCAGGTGTGAAGATAACTTTAATGTACTTGAAGTGTACACTACGCGCTGTATTTAAAAAAAAAAAAAAAAAAAAAAACTGGGGGCTAAAAAACCTTGATTGGGACATCCCTAGTTATAATAATACCAGAGTACAAGTTAACACATTGTAAGGTGAGATGTTTTCTTGTAACAATAAGTTATGTTATAACATGAAATGTTTCTTGCCATAATATATATATAATTATCTGTTTTCCTTCTGGCTTCGCAGCAATACACTACTGTGCTAGAGGATCCTACTGACTTCCGTACCCTGTCTTTCCCTCTAGCGCCACCGTGAGGCTTACATTTGTAGTTTTGTATGAAATAGCTCAACAACTATCGGATGGATCGACATGAAATCTAGTAGATGTATTTATTCCCCCTACTGGATTAATCCTAATAAATTTGGTGATACCCTTTTAATCTAGTGCCAGTTTAAAATCAGAAATTTAATTCATCCAGTACTTTGGCTCATGACCTAATACCTGCAGAAGTAACCAACTAAGACAGTGAACATGGTAAACATGACCCTCTAAACATTAGTATGTTAGGGTTGTCATTGTGAGCATATTAACATTGATGGTAGCATTTAGCTCAAAGCATCACTGTGCCTAAGTACACATGAGAGTTCCTGGATAGTGTCCTATGTCAAGTATTCTACCTGGTCATGGTCTCAGAGGGGAAGAACTGCAGCTCATTGTGGTCCAGACTAAGACGGGTGAGCGTGAACAGACCAGCGAAGGCCTCTGTGTCCAGGTAGTTCAGAGAGTTGTGACTAAGACGGAGCCATTTGATGTTCTGCAAGCCCTGCAAGGAGAAGAGGTTGGAGCTGCATTTCTTTAAACCTTCCTCTCAGTTTGCCATTGTGAGGTACTTTGTGTATGTTGTTGTTTGTGTGTACCTGGAAGGCCATGTTGGGGATGTAGACCAGCTGGTTGTGTGTAAGGGAGAGCAGGTTGAGGAAGCCGAGCTGAGAGAAAGCTCCAGGCTGGATCTCTTCCACACGGTTGCGGTCGATCATAAGCTGCTTCAGTGAGGACAGGCCGTCGAATGACTCCTGGACTCACAAAACACAAAGGAAAGGTTTTTACTCTGCTAGAATTCTAGTTGAAAACATTAAAAGTGGTGATGGGATAAATGATGCCTGTGAGAACTGGATCTCTGTGTGTGTGGGTGTGTGGTGACCTGGTAGAGGATCTCAATGTTGTTGTTGGCCAGGTTGAGGAAGACCAGACGGCCGAGGCCGCGGAAAGCCCCCTCCTTCACCCTGCGGATGTTACAGCGCTGCATCGACAGGTGAGTCAGGTACGGGGTGTGTTTGAAAGCCCCGGTGGGAAGTTCCTGAATGTCGTTACCTCTGAGGTCTAATTTCACTGTGATCTATAAAGAAAACAGAACTTATTTGATGATCAAAAATGGGCACTAAATAATAGAAATGTTGGTATACATGTGTGAATAAGAGACCTCGTCTACAGTGGGAGGAACCTGGGTCAGGTTCTTGTTGACGCAGGTCACAGTGAGCTGGATCTGGTCGCAGACGCACTCCTCTGGACATTTTGCCATGTGTGCAGCAGGGATGCCGAGGAGCAGCAGGACCCAGAGGATGTATGGACAGAGCTGGGAGTACATCTAAGACGGAAAGAGCAGCATTTACTTCACACTATTGTATGTGCTAGTAATTCATGATTAGTCTGAGGCTCCTCTTGGCCAGTAAATAAATGTGTTTATTTTTCCATTAACACCCAAAGGTGTAAGGTGAGGTACTCTAATAGATCCACCACTTACCTGTTCATTCATTCACTCACAGTTAACTTACTTGGCCATGGCAGTGTCTACAGAGGAAACACTGAATCAACATCATTCATCATTCACTCTTCTGCTCTCTGCAGACTGCTGAACTGTTTCACATCTATGACCCTATGTGGTTTGTTAAATCAACTGTTTCAGCATTAAATGCCTTTTTTTAACTAACCTAATTATTAATTATGTGATTGTAAAAACTTGTTAGATCTTCAAAATGTCCTTGCAAAAGTACAATGCATAGCTGTCTCATAACCCGTCATATTTCTCTTGTGATGCTTTTGGAGGGGGTCAAAGTTGGGAACCACTGGACTGATCTGTGTCTAGTAGGAAAATGCTACTTAAACATTAATTCAATAGTAATCACAATTTAATAAAAGTCCTATATACAGTTGGGGACATTTCTGCAGAATGTGTTGTTTTACTTTTGTTACTTAAAGTACATTTAGTTAAAAATACTTGACTTAAGTAGGATTTTAAATGTAGGAACTTGTAATTAAGATTGTGTTATTGGTACTTTAACTCAAGTAGTAGTACTAGTCATTCTTCCACCACTGTATATAACTGTTTACAGCAGGGAGAATGTGAACCTGTGCAGGTAAAATAAAAATGTAAAGTGGATAACTCAGGGTCCAACTTTCAGATACAGTCCCTGTGATGGAGCATATTGTCTGGTGAATCTAGGTTCAGTAGTATATGAAAGGGTATCTCTATATTCTATACAGTTATCACAGCATGAACGTTTTTAAATCAACTGTTCTGGAGAAAGATGTGTGTCACATTGTTTTATATTTCCTTACTAAACCTCAAATTGACGAAATACATCTCCATCATTCTGTACTTTTGGGGATTAGTGTCATTTTGGTCGGATTGGGCTGCCCTAGTCTTCTGGAATGCCTTAAAACCACATTCCCATGTCGGATCAACAATCTTGATCCGCAGGAATGGACATGAAAAGCTTCATAGCTCCACACTCTGAAATTTGGAGTTTCAACTTGTTGACACGGTGAAATGGTGCCATGCTTAAACCTTTCTGTAAAAAAAACTGCTGCACCAAACCCTGTCAGACATGGACCTGACAGTGACCATTGACTGTGTACATTCAGTTTGTTTTATTTATGTACATTTGAACTTGGCGGACGTCAAGCTGACTACACAGTAATGAAAAAGTCTTTATCATTTAGCGTCATACCACGTTTTGTCCCAAAGACCCCCTGAGTAGAGAGGGGCCAAGAAACTAGAGACGGAGGAATTTCCTCTGGTCGGACTGTTTGTCCGCGTCCCCCCCGGGATCAACAGTGCTGACCGCAGAGGAGCTGCCGCGCCGGCCGCGCACAAAGACGCACAGTGTCTTTCCCTGCCGGTGTTGTGCCAAACTGCGTTTCCCCCTGAAAAATGTGTCCCCTGGCCAGAGACAGTGAGAAAGCTACTCTCAATCGGCTCTGAATGCTTTTTTTTTTTTTTTTTTAACCAGAACTCACCTTACAATATTCTTTCACATTTTCAACATGATGTTAATGTTGTCCTGTGCGTAAACACGGATGATTCAAGTTTTGGGGATGACAAAAACCTGCAATATAATCTAAGTTGGAAAACTACTGGATAACATTTTTCTTTTCGACCCTAAAACGCGCAAATTAAAACAAAACCTGTCCACTTGTTTGGATAATTAAGCAATTTGGGTATTAAACTTACAATTTTTCATTTAATGCGTTCAATAGTTCATCTCTCACCATTACAATCACTCGAATAAATAAACGTAAGTGTTTGAAACCCTAACATCTGACCGTTTACAGTGGGTATAGGTGTCCATTTTACGCACTCACCGTGGTTTCGTCGTGGTTCCGTCCAGCTGCTGGTCGTTCACTGGCCGCTGACTCTCTCACGGTCTCTGCTCCCTCTGCTACTCTTCCCCCGGCTGTCCCCCATCCAAAACAAACTCCGTTTATCCCTTCATTCACCGACACTCCCCCTACCCGACACACACCTCCACCCCCTACCTTTACAGTCTGCACACGGCTCCGCTGAGCCTGTTAGAGGAATAGTTCGCTTCAAAATGAGAAATCAAGTCTTTTCACCTCACTGCTCACTCACTTGTTCAATCTCCACTGAAGTTGGAAGAGTCATTTCAGCTTTCTTATTTTGCTTACAGCTTAAAAAATCCATTATCCACAATATTCACTGATATAGACTAATGTACAAAGAGCTGTCTGCTTTTTAATTTGAAAATCACACACACAAAGAGTCAGGCTTGTTAGATCAGTTATATTTCTGACAGGGCTTTCAGTACAAATCAACAACAATTTAAATGCAGTCCACACGGTCTAAGCAACTAAATGCCATTAATGTGTATTCCATTCTCATCCCATTTCCCTTAAATGCTCCATCACATCACCAACACATAAATGGCTATATGAGGTAACACACAGCAGCTGAACTTGTGCAACACAAGTCATATAAGAGCACATTTTCTCCCAATAAGACAGTATGGATAGAAAAAAGAAACATCAGGTAGAAGTGATTGTGGTCCCCTGAGCTGTGCAGTGTTATGACTGTGCTCAGTGCCGGGCGATACGCATGCACACACACATGCACACACGCATGCACACAGGCGCACGCACGCACGCACACACAAACACACAATGTATTCAAGCTCATGGGGGTGTGTGTTTATGGTGCTCCTGCATGCGGCCCATTCCTGCTCACAGTCTGATGCACACAGCACTCTGACTTGAGTGGACTTTATGAACAGATTGTGATTAGACAGACTGTCCTAAAAGCGTGTTTTCTTTGCACGCACCACAGAATTTTTCAATTGAGCAATAAGCAAGCCTGTAATGCATCCCATCAGTAAAACGGAACAATATAGTCTGATCTTTTGGACCAATTTATTATGATTTATAGATTGTATTTCTAGGTTTTGTTTGGTAAAAATACAGCAAATCTGTAGCTGTGAACACTGGCAGATACTCAAAATTTATTAAGACTTGGAAATAACCCTAATCTGTTAATGCGGGCACTTCCACAGCGGTGTAAGGACACGGTCAAATGCATTGTTTTGTTGTTTTTAACAGTACTAGAACTAAATGCAAAGCAATATGCTGCAAAATGTGCCAGACTGACATCGTCTACGTTAGCTCCACTCCTGGTTACAATCGGCTTAATTTTATAACCCATGAACCCAAGGGTTAACTGATGTGCATTTCTATATTTTTTGTTATTTGTATCACTATTTTCTATAAAAATATAAGTCACAAGCATAAGTAGAAAAATAAAAATTAAGAGATTCTGGACAGTCTTTGTCGTGCCTTCATAAAATATACAAATCAGGAGTGGAGATATGTTAAGTGGTTGTCAAGGTCCCTTGTTCAAGTGTGAAGCGTCCCTGTCGGTGAAGAGATGAATGTCAGTACAGTGTGTGTCTGTGTCTCAGTGATGGTACCGGCAGTGGGTGATCGCTGTGATCAGTGCTGGTCGTGACACTTCTTCTCCAGAGCATCCCTCAGCCTCTCTCCAGCACTGCCGCAGGACTTTAGAGCTTCATTGTTCCTGCAGATTCAAAGAAAGAATAATTTTTTTTCCCCCCAACAGGTTACAAACTGTCCCACACTACATTTTGGCTTTTATTCATATTGACTGACAAGTAAACCAAACTTGTCTGGATAAAAGATGATCGTACTTGGAAATGAAGGTGTGAAGCAGCGAGGCATGTTGCTGGGAAAAGTAATCCTGCTGGACAGCGTGTTCCAAACACAGCAGCTGACCTGGGACCAGTGGCACCTTTTTCATCTTCCCCTCTCCCTGAAAGACAGGAGAGAAAAGTACAAAAATATGAATTTAATTAGTTATACAATTGCATATCAAACTGACGGAAAGGAAAGAAAAGCAAGCGAGGACAACGGGTGCCCTGCAGAAAAGCAGATTGAATGGATCGGCTGTTTTTCTATTTAACTATTCCAGATGATATAATGAGACGTGTGTGAAGAAAACAAACAGCAGTATGTGAGACTTAACAGTAGAGGGACTCTTAAGTAAAAGCCTTTTCACAAATCACAAATATTGTCTGAACTAGGACTAAAGAACAGAGTTTAAATATCCAAGGAAACGCTTGTAGACAAAGTGTCCATAATGGAAGAGGATTCTGTCAGCTTCAGATTCAGAACCTTGGAGAGAGCCATCATGGCGCTCTGATGCACTGACAAAACTGTACTGGACAGAGAGTTGTCCATAAAAACTTGTACTTGCATTCTTATCAGCTCCCTTTCATCCTTTTTAATATGTGTAGAACTTTGTGGTTTGAGTCTTTCACATCATAAAAATTAAGTCCTGGTGTCCAAATTCACGGTTAGGGTACTTTTAAAGTTTTGTACCTTGAGGAGTCCCATCATGACCAGCAGCGTGGAGAGGAAGCAGTGTGATTGGAGGGCTGAAGCAGAGAGGAGCTTCTTTAAGACAGCGTCTGTGGTGGGAAACAGTGTTAGATGTTATTTAAATGAGACATCAGGGACAAGTCTCATACCAACGATATCACTCTGTAAATAAAGGATTATGATGAAGAAAAGTATTTAAGTTTTGAGTTTGTTTTCAGTAGTCGCAGCATGTTACTCACCAATCGTTTCAAGGACAGCTGTCTTGGTCTCTGGTTCCTCACTGTACAAAGAAGCAATTTTCAGAAGGACATCTGCTCCCTTGTGTGGGTCAGATGCAGCCACCTGGTGAGAAGAAGAAGAGTTTATTAACAGGTTATATCCATTCTGTGCAAAACAAAAATCAGTTGGTACACCTAACCCACAGTTACATATTAATTATTCCCTTATTTTAAATCCCTACCTGTTGCTGCAGGTTTGTTCTCATCTCTCCCAGCTGAAGGAGCTTCTCTGCAGAGGGACAGCTGAGGAAAGACACGATCTCTACCTGAGGGAGGACACAAAGTCTAAATCAGGAACACAGCAGATATCCTGATATTTTACCCCATGGCATTTATAACAGCAGAAGAATAATAACCTGAAGTGGATCTGGGTGTGGTTCTGTGGTAAATACTGAAATAGAAAAACATGTATGTTGTGTCATCTTACTGGGCTCTGAGGTTTTTCAGGACTGCCTTCTTTACTTGTTATTCCATTTTCCTTCACAATGTCACTGTCCTCCTCATTGTCTTCATTACAGTCATCACTGGCATCATCATCATCATCTTCTTCTTCTTCTTCATCATCTTCATGATCATCATCATCATCCTCCTCATCAGGTTCTCCCTCATCATCACTGTGGTTAAGTCAAAGGAACATAATTTTTTTTCTCTGTAAATTTCATCCGTACTGTTAAAGCTGAACACAAATCCGTGTTCCAGGAAGGATTCATCTGATTATGTGACAAATTACACAAATACACCCTCTAAAACACACACACACACATTACCTGAGTGATGCCAGCATGTCTCCTTTGTCCATGTTCTCCATAACTTCTCTCAAAGCCTCACATCCCTCCTCTCCTAGACAGTTACCTGTTAAAGACACATACAAGAGTCCCTTTGTCATCTGTTCATCTCCATTTTCACAACATTTAATAGAACGTTTCTATACTTTGAATAAAAATTTTCTAATTCCATAACTTTTCTAGGTTTTTTCTCGGCCACAGGAACTCTTCACACAGCTGCTGCTTCTGCAGTGATCAGCAGTCAGTGTACGTACCATTCAAATCCACTTTCTCCATGTGAGGGTTAGCTGTGACAGCCTGAGCCACCACTAGTGCTGCTGCCTCTGTGATCTCACCAAATGACAGATTGAGCTCCTGAAGACAAGAAACATAGCAGAGCACTGTAATCAGGCTGTTGACGGAGGAGTCACAGATAGACACGAAAAAGTTGAAGTTCAATGGTGGACTGACCTTGAGGATTGGAAGCCCCTCTCTCACGACTGCAGCAAGGGCGATGGCTCCTTCAGAGCGGACCAGGCAGTCGCCAAAATTGATCACCTGTACGTTCCTCAAGTGCCTCAAAGCCTGCACAGCCGACAGGAGAACACAGTGTACAGAAAGGGGTTTGTCCTAAAATTCAGTGGCTGCGTATCTCTTCTGCTTATAGAGAACAGGCCTTACCTGAGCCATGGCCAGCGTTCCCTTCTTGGTGAAGGTGTTGTCGTTGAAGTTGAGGACGCGGAGCTCTGGGTTGTGGCGCATGGCTGACGCTAACGCCATCACGCCTGCGTAGTTGATACCGTTCTGGGGCATGTGGACTTCTTCCAGGCTGCCCATCAGCTTAAATGGAAAAACAGAGAGGAGTTGAGGGTTGACTGGCTGAGTTACAAAAGAAATGAAAAAATATTTTTTTAATTGCAATTACTCCTGCGTTTACAAATATTAATGAAGATTTAACAGTATCAGAAAAAGAAAACTTGATTTTGTAGGCTAGTGTTACTATATGTATTAAACAACGTGTCAATCAATTTGGGAGCGAGTGCTTTGTACCTGAAAGGCCTTGGCCAGGGCGCGGGCTCCTTCATTCTCCAAGCGGTTCCTCCCTGCGATGAACACTCTCAGTTTGAGTGGAGCTCCGTGCGCTGATGACTGTCTGTGGCACTCAATCAGAGCTTCGGCCAGGATCTACACAAACCATACAGCACTGTTACAGTCTGCACTGATGTCTTAAAACCTCCCCTCTGTGGAACATTTTCCGCATTGGTTCACTGTATATTTGGATAACTTCCTTCTTTTTTTATTTTGGACTGTTTGGGTATAAGAGAAAATTATCATTTGCATGTTTATAACACAGGGACAATGGGACAAAACACATAAGGGCATCCGGCATTGTTGTCTGTAAGCTCACCTTTCCTCCTCCGATCCCCATGCCGCAGTTGTTGAGCTTCAGCTCCCTCAAGGTGTGACAGGAAGGGCTCTTCAGCAGCTGCTCGATTCCCTTTACACCGTCTGGCCCGAAGGCGTTATCGCTCAGGTCCAGCTCAGTCAGCCTGGCCCCTGCACTCATTAATGCACTGCCCAGAGACCTCTGATGACAGCACAGAGAGAGAACACGTGAAGCATGTCTGCCTGCTTCACATCTGATTCATCACAAGGCCGATGAATTACATAAATCAGAGGATGCAATTCTCACCAGTGCTGTTGGGATTTCAGAGCGCAACCTTCCGGTGAACATGTCGCTCCAATAGCATCTCTGAAAGACACAAAGAGTTTCAAACCTTCCCACCAATTAGGACCAATGCTGGCAAGACTTTCACTGATCATAGGCTACTTGAAGAGACAAACTGTTGTCTGGCCTATGTCTGTTCACTGTGGATGTAAACTATGAACTGAGCAGTACCTGAAGCAGGTCTTTGCTCTCAAGAGCCTTGGCGATGGCCCGTGCTGCGTCCACTCCGACAGTGTTGCCCTCCAGGCGCAAAGCTCTCAGACCCTGGTACTGCTCAATCTCACGGACCAGCTCCTCCACTGAAAGCACAGAGAACAGGTTGTCAGGTCTGAAGAGAAAACAGAGACCAGCCATCTGATGTCAGCAATACAGCATCTGACCTGATGCTGCGTTGTCCAGCTTCAGTCCCAGGCCTTTGTAGCTCAACTCTCCATCCCCGACGTGGGTCTTTGAAAGAGCATCAGCCAGCTGAGCGATGTCATCTGAGGCCATAATGACTCTATGGAAACACCCAGAAGTTAGACAACAAAGACAGGATCAGATTTTAATACATTCTTCTGCATATGAATGATCAAAATGACATTTAGATCACGAATATATACACGAAATCGATCAAATGATTTCAAGTGACAGCTGATACACTACAAACAGCTCATTTTCTAACATCAGTGGAAGAACTAAAACAAGTCAGAGTAGCTTTAGCTTCGCCGGTGCTAGCTGGTGAGAAGTACGCAACATGAGAAGCGTTGAGACCACTAAGCTAACTTAGCTCGACTAAAAGTGATGTAACGGTCACTACGGACTTTAAAAAGTGTACTCTCGTGTTTCTCGGCAAACGCATCCGCCATACAGCTCCAACTGAAGCACTTAGCCTTACCACAAAGAGTAATTTCCAGTAAAAAATAACAGCGAACAAACTCCGCTCTTCCGTACAGCGCGCCGGTTGCTAAACCACGTGACGTCATGCCGCCCCGGTTTCTTCTTCGTTGGTTCCGCTGACGTCAGTTAAAGTGTTTACACCTTGACGTTCATTGTGGTGTTATATTTCTTATACTTTGGTTGCTCTGATATACACAACAATACTTTTCAATATGCTTTGCGGCGTTTTTCAGTACTCATGTGACACATTTAGGCTTTAAAACACTTTAACTTAACTTTAGACAGAGCAGGCTAATAGTTTATTTATGTTCAATTTCATAATACTTGGATAGCACTATTTCATACTAAAGCAGTTTACATAAAGTGCTTTACATAATAATAAATCATGTAAATATTGTCCATATGAATTGTATTGTGTGTGTTGGGAGATGTTAACTATGCAAATTTACTCCAGTACTGTACTTTTTATCTGACCTGCCAACTACTATTTACATTGCAGATTGAATTTGAATTTTACATACAAAATATAAAAATAATTTAACAGAATATTGATGTATTCTTATTACAATAACCAATAGTAATATCTCCATTAAACCATTAAAATGCTGCTTACATACTGAATAATCCAGATGCAATAATGTAACACTGAAAAAGGATTTTTAAAAATTATTATTACATCATACAGAACATTTTAAGGCAAGATTTATCTTTATTGATCCCACGTAGGAGAAATTTAAGCAGCACAGGGGAAATGATGTACAAACAGCAAATATAATAAGATAAAGATATAATAAAAAATATAATAGCAATCTAGAATATATAAGATAAATACACTGTATACAATAAAGTTAAATATAATCCAGATGTACAAGTACAATGTTACAGGGTATTGTGCAATACAAAATAAAATACAGCTGTCCCTAGCAGGTTAAAGGTTAAAATGTCGTTAATAATACTTCTTCCTCATCACAGGTCCTGTAATAGTAACGTAGTATATATTTTACAGCGTGGTATGTCCTCAGCTCTGGAGGATACCACACACAGTTCATGCTGCCCTCTTCTGGAAATCCTCCTCCTGGAAACTTGTTGCGATTCTGCACTGGCAGAAACAGCTAGCAGTGAACAAGCCCGTGTCCAGCAGCAGAAACTCGTGCTCCGTCCACACACCAATGAGAGGGACACTAAACTTACAAATATGCGCTTGGATATTGACTGATATTTAGTTTTTCCTGACTTTATCGCCAACGCTGTGTGAAGCTATCTGTGATCTGAAGAGCGCATTAAACTCTCGGTGAGTGTCCGTGCTCAGTGATAGCTGTGGCTATTAGCCGAGTCTCCGCTAGGAAATTAAGTTTCCGTAACTTACCTGGTAGCTCGTTAACACTGAGTTTGTGTGCAGTGTTGTCACAAATGTCAGCTGCACAATCATTCTGTGAGAACTGTGAATTAAACGATAATGCGTTTGACTTTGAAGGAGTCAAACATTTTGTTTTGAAAAAGCTAATAGCCTTTCTTCACGTCTTCAGCTAAGCTAAGTTAGTGATTATCATTGGGGCTGATTAAGCTCCGGTAGTGTTAACAATACCTACACTAACGCTGTGAGCAGCAACTTGAGCTTTTTAAATGCATCGTTGTGTTTGTAACATTTAGTCTGCGTTGACAATCTGTATGTCTGCATATGACACGCTAGCGTTAGCTGTTAATGGATAGCATTTAAAATGTGTATGTAGCTAACGCTCAGATGCCGCTTGTCAAAACAACCTGTGTATATATATTTGTTTTTAACATTTCTCATCTTACTGTGTCATCCTCAGATTAACTAAATGTTAACGTAACCTGTCTTACGTGAACTAACGTTAGTAGCCAACGTCCCCGTTAGCTGTCCCCGTTAGCTGTCCCCGCTGTTTATTTACGCAAGTCCGGTGATTGCTTAGCATTTCAGTAGCAGGCCTCGGCCTGTCTGAGACGACTGCGAGTAGTTAGCAGGTTTGGAAACGTTTTTCTTTCAGGTTGTAGAACATAACCTTATACGCCAGGATACTCGTGTTGTGTGTGTGTGGACATTTTTAAACGTAGCTGTCGGAGCTGCTAATACTGTTGTGCAAGAAGTGCAGGTTTAAGCTGTTGGAAGTCAACCGTGTCTTTGCCCTCAGGCTATGGATCCTGACCGACAGAAACGAAGAGAGGAAATTCAGAAAGCAATGAGCTTTATCCAGTAAGTGGACAAGTAATGTTGATTTGTAATGCCTTCTTTACAATTAACTAGCGGCATCTGTGGACACCACTTGTGAATGGAGATCAATGACAGCCTTCTTTCCTGTCCACAGGTCGTCGTTGCCTTTCCCAGAGCCAGAGAGTTACGAGGTCTGCATTGATTCTTATTATCCCATTTTTGTATTCACAGTATTTCCTCAGATTTCACCATGAAACTCACATCTTATTCTGCTACCTCCTGGACCTAAATTTGGCATTGATCTATCTTGTCCTCAATCTTTTTTATCTCTTGCTTTTTTGTTCCCCTCCCTTTCTTTTCTCTCCTTGTCTTTCTGACCATCTCATGTTACCTTTCCATTATGTTTTATGTCACATTCTCTCTTTGACCTCTCTCTGCATGCTCTCTTCAGGCATTTCTGACCCAGCTGGTGTGTAACTTGCTGGACGAGGGCAACTCCTGCTTCCGAGATGGGGACTGGCGTCAGGCGAGCCAGCAGTACGGGGAGGGGATCAGTGTTGCCCGCTACGCTCAGGCTGAGGCCCTCGTCATCCCCCATGAGCTGCTGGAGAGCCTCTATGTCAACAGGGCCGCTGCCCACTACCAGACGGTGAGGGAGCTTAGGAAAGGGGCCATGTCACTTGCAGATGCTCATGTGGACAAATGGAAAATGCAATCAGTTTGACTTATGGTTAATGGAAAATACAATAATTATAATTAGAGACACAGTATCTCAGGCTTTTAGTGAATATGGTCTAATTTGTTGTTGCTATATCAAGGTGCTTTTGATTCTGTATGGATGTTGTTAAAAGTTACATCTAGCACTTTGACTAAGAAGGAAAGTCTTATAGGTCTAATTTGCAGGGAAAATTATGTACATTTATTTATGTTTTATCTGTCTCAGAGGGAGTATGAGCGGGGCATTCAGGACTGTGACAGCGCACTCTGCGTGTTGGAAGGCAGTCGCCGAGCTTTATACCGCAAAGCGATCTGTCTGAGGGAGTTGGGACGACTCAGAGAGGCCTACGAGTGTGGAACCAAATGTCTCCTCACAGCACCACACGTATGTCATCAAGAGAATACTAATGCAAATGACTTTTTCCCACGTAATTTTTAAGATCTCTTGACCTCTTGTTTTTGTGGTTAATCTTTCAGGACAGGCAGGTAAGTGACCTGGCTCAGGATCTGGCCAATAAACTGGGCCTGAAAGTCCGTAAAGCTTACGTCAGCCCACAGACAGAGTCCACCGCCACAGAAGGAGAGAGTCATGGGGAGACATCCCCACCCACAGGAGAGGTGGGTGCTGTTGTGGTGTAAGTTAAATTATTGGTGACCGAATGAGAGGCTAATCTTGTTGTTTTTTCTCTCTGTACCTTCAGATGTCCTCCAATGGGCTGGAATCTCTGGGTGACATTGGACAAGGTATGATAGACCTCAGACATGTCTGCTCCCACCCAGATTCCTGTCTGTTTCTCATATTAATTTCCTTCTCTGTCCTCCTCAGCGGACATGTCTAATGCGCAGTGCATACCTGCTCCTTTGGCCACACCCATCCCAGTCAGCGATGACCCAGCGACACCCGTGGTGACCCCATGCACTGACCTGTCAGAGAGCCCCAGCAGCCAGTCCCTGCCTCCAATGCCGTACTCCGTCCCCGTGTCGGAGCACATGGAGGAATGCAGTAGCAGCGTCATCAAGGACGAGCTAGACAGTCTGCTGGATTGCATCCCTAAGAAAGTCAGTGAGGCGAGTGAGGGACAGATAAGCAAGAAGTCAGGCACAACTGTGGGACCAGAAATGTTTTATTTCATTTTATTATTTAATTACATTAAGAAATGCTCTTTTTTGTAGCATTTTTTTTTAAAAACAGATTGAGTCAGTTGGGGCACATGTTTTTATAAAGAGTGACTTTTATTGGTAGGCCCTTTACATGATGTAATGCTTGCTTCCTGTCTGTCTCCGGGTCCAGAATCCAGTCCAGGGTGCTATCCCCACCAACCTCCCCAACACAGCGGTAGGGCTGCGGCCTCCATACTCCCCAAGCCTTCCAGCTCCATCACCACAGCTTCCCCCTGCCTTCTTCAGCTCCCCCATCAGTGACATGCCCTCTCTGGAGCCTTACTCGTCGCTGGGCCAGCGGGACCAGGGCTCTACCCAGGCGCAGGACGCACTGGGAGGCTTCCCCACGGGGGCTACGGATGGAGAAGGGAAGGCAGGAGTCGCTGCTGGCGGACTGGACTCGTTGTCTGAGTACACTCTCCCTGGTGAGCAAAGTCTTTGTCTTTTTAGTTGTTTTGACATGTTTGTTGCACTAGATGGAGACACACTGTTGGACTATTCTAAACTTTAACCAGAAAATCAAAGGGACAGAGGAAAATATATGTATAATTTGTAAGGTGACACCAGAATTACATTAAAAACATGTGCCGCTTCATTGTTGTAACCCCATTGTTGTACTTGGTGTTACGTAGTGCATCTTCAACTCTAGTTTCTGCTCAAGTTGTTGTTGCTGCTGTTGTTAAGAGGAACGATAAGCATGTCAGCTATGTAACCGAATGCTGAAGTACAAACAAGATCAGTAATAATTGCCACGCTGTATAATTTTGATCCAGTGTAATGTCTTAGCTTACTCTTGCTTAGTTACGAGAGCACAGTTCTTAAGGATTTGGCTTTAACCTAAAATGTGAGTCATCAGCAGCATCACAATACGGTGTCTGACATCAGTGTCCTTGTGTCTCGGTCTTCAGGGGGACGAGTGTGTCACAGCTTCATCCCTGGAATGCGCAACCACAGTGCTGCACATGCAGTGAGTAACACACACACACACACACACACACACACACACACACACACAGTGCTGCATTAGGTAAATTCTTTTGCATCATCTCTTGTAGGACAAACTGACTTTTCGTGGTACTTTTTAAGTGTTAATAGTGGCGTTCATTATTAATTAGAAGAGATCTCTGACTATGCCGCTAAGTAGTCTTTGCGTTAAAAGTCACATCTCCGTGTCCCCATCTTCTTCCTCAGAATGGTCCAGCAGGAACCAACCTGTCTCTGCTCTCCAGGAATCCTCTGGCAGCCACACATGAGTTTCGGCAGGCTTGTCATGCCTGTTACAGCCGAATAGGTCGGTTCAAGTCACTTTCTCTTACTTTTCTCTTACTTTCACCAACTACTCTTTCCCTCCTTGTTTTTTTTTAAACAAATGTTTATGATGGGATGCTGCAACATTGCCGGTTCCTTTAGTACACCAAATGTGTTATATGTGAAATATCTAAACAGGGTTTAAGAGATGTTGAGTCATTAAAGGTGTTTGTCGGCCTTTATCACTGACCTAGCAATTGCAACATCATTCACAGAATTGATCTCATCTTACAGAAGTCCTAAAAAATTTAGCTGTTATCGTTTTACACGGTAATGTAACCTTCTCTTTCCTCCTCTTGCTCACAGGTCCACGGGTGATGGATTACAAGTATCAGCCGGAGGCAGCTCACCGCTGCAAGAGGGATGTGCTGCTGTGTCGCCTCAAAAACACAGATGACCCCACTTGGAAGAGGATCCGGCCACGTCCTGCACGTAACAACTTCCTTGGGGCGTTTGTACTCTGTAAAGGTACGTATGTATTATGAAGGAGGGGAAATCCATTTGGGAAATAGCCCAAATGGCCATATTGAAGTTAAACCATTTCAATTTTTTGTTTATATTCTATTCTCTCTCCCTGGGTCCCGCAGAGGTGCAGGAGCGTCAGGAGTGCCAGTATGGGGAGAACTGTACGTTTGCTTACTGCCAGGAGGAGATTGATGTGTGGACCCAGGAGAGGAAGGGCGCGCTGAGCCGAGAGCTGCTGTTCGATCCGCTGGGCAGCACAGAGAGACGGGCGCTCAGCGTCACCAGACTGCTGCAGCTGCACATGGGCATGTTCATGTTCCTCTGTGAGGTGAGATCACAGTCTGTGTTTCTCTCGTTCTTTTTGGTCTCTTTATTCCCGCACTTTAAGAGCCTCTGCCTCTCTTTCCTCTCTCAACAGGAATGTTTTGACAGTAAGCCTCGCATCATCAGCAAACGCAGCAAAGAAAACTTAGCAGTCTGCTCAAACCTCACAGCTCGACACCCGTTCGATGACAACAAGTGAGTGTAATGGAGGTTTTGTGTCTTCATTTTGCTTAAAAAAAAGTCCTGTTGTCCTGTTTATTAATGATTACACACCTCTGTCCGCTGCAGGTGCCTGGTGCACGTGGTTAGGTCAGCCAATGTGCGCTACAGTAAGGTGCGTCCCCTGCACCCTCTCTGCCAGTTTGACGTGTGTCGCCATGAGGTTCGCTACGGCTGCCAACGTGAGGACAGCTGCTCCTTTGCTCACTCCGTCATAGAGCTTAAATGCTGGGTCCTGCAGCAGGATACTGGTGGGTAGAACACACGCATTGGTCTATTCAATTAGTTAAATACTTTCTATGATTAATTATAGAGGTCTATCATATTGGCAATACTGAAATGATGTCTTGCTGTATCAGTGAGAAGCTGATTATGAACACAGTATCTTGTAAAGGAAGTGATCGTCGGAGGGTTTTTCACGTTACTGCCCCCCTAATGTTTCCTTCAGGTATCACCCATGAAGAGATGGTGCAAGAGTCCAAGAGACACTGGCAAAGGCTGGAGCAGAATGCACAGAAGCAGCAGAAGGTGAGACAGGACAGTTGGATACCTCGCACTTTGTTTTGTTTTTCCAATTAACTATGCCGGTTCCCCTCTGTACTGCGGTGTTTGCAATGCAAATTTCTTGTTAGCCCTGGGAGGGTGAGGACAGCCACATACAGTGGTACACAGTTCTTTTCACCTGACAAGGAACTTCCCCTGTAGTTTGTGCTACAACCCCCAAGACCGACATTCTTCTTTCTCTCTCTCTCTGTGTGTTTCAGCCTATCCATATCCCCCATCCGAGCAGCAGCATACCTGTAGGAGGAGTCGGGGGAATGGGGGGTGGGGGCGGAGGAGTAGGGGGTGATGGCATTGGCGGGGGTGGTGTGGGCCCAGTGGGTGGGGTGGGGGTGGGAGGGTTTGGAGCAGTGGCGGGAAGAGGGCGCCCCCTCAACTTGAAAATGAAGTTTGTGTGCGGCCAGTGCTGGAGAGAAGGACAGGTCAATGAGCCCGACAAGAACCTGAAGTACTGCACCGCCAAAGCACGGCACAGGTGAGACCTGTCTCTCACGCACGTACACATACACATTGTTTGTGTCCCGTGAGTCATCTGATCCTTGAGGCTGACTGTCTACATTACCGTTGACATGTCACTGAGTTTGATTTGTGTGTTAAGGACATATAATCATCTGCTGTCATTATAACACCGGTTGTCATAGCAGCGGCAGAGTTGAACTAAAAAGGACAAAATGAAACGCTTGGCTGTTGTTTAGTTGTCGCTGCTCTTTTTTTTTTTTAGCCTCTAGGTTTGTTTCCTTTTGTTTCTTTTGGATTAAAGTTGGCTCTCTGTCTCTTCAGCTGGACGAAGGAGCGTCGGGTCCTGCTGGTGAAATCATTTGAGAAGAAGAAGTGGGTTGTTGTTCGGCCTCTGCCCTTCTCTCGCACATATCCACAGCAATATGACGTGAGTTCCTCCCTTTTCCTTTGGTCCTTAAACGCTTTTTTCTCTTCTCCACCCCTACACCTCTCTCACATGGAGAGTACAGCTAACTTTGTTTTTGCCCCAGGGGAGAGGTGTTGTTTTAGACCTCCTTACCCCTGTGTCTTATTATTCTTCTAGTGTGTCTTTGACAGTGTTTACACGTCACTGATACTGTTAAATAACACAGTACTTCATGGTGATTATAAAGAGTTCACTTTAAGGTGTTTGAAACAATCGCTATATTTTATCCAACAGGAATTGCAACACTAGTTGTCCGACGACTTGAATCATGGCCTGTAATTGAAATAAACAATGACAAAATTAAATTTTCCCAAAGTAGCGGAGAAAAGGCTAAACAGCTGCGGTGCTGTTGATATCACCCTGTAACCCTTTGCCTTTGCTTGTGTCTCATTCAGATGTGTGTGCATGTGATGAAGCAGAAGAAGTGCCACTACATTGGGAATTGCTCATTTGCTCACAGTCTGGAGGAGAGGGACGTCTGGACGTACATGAAGAACAACAGCTGTAAGCTCCTGGTTTCATCTAGAACCACTGCGGTTTTATATCAGAGCCTTTAAAAAAGTGCTTTACAAAAGAGTGGTGATATGTGATTGGTACTTCACACATTCAGATCTAGATTTAATTATCCCCTCAAATTTTAGTTTAATTGGAATATTTTTTTTGTTTTCTTTCTAAAATACCACAAAAAAAAAGGTTTGGGGAGGTGTATTTTATTTATCGAGGCCTGTTTTTCCAGTTTCTAGTCATGGCCTGTGGTCTGTCTGTTCCTTTTGCCTACCACCACCATTAGTTTAATTGATTTTTGAAGTGCCTGTCTCACTCTTCTTCACTCCACTCTCCCTGATTGTTTTTTGTGTAACCCACTTTATTGAAGGTTACAGAGGTTGTTTTCTCTTTCTCTCGTCTTTCTTACCTCGCCCCTCTGCAGTAAGGGACATGCAACAGATGTACGAACTGTGGCTGCAGCTCACCAATCAGAGTAGACGCACAGATAGCTCTGCAGTGACCCCCCCCCCGGAGGACAAGCAGGTCACCATAACAGCAGATTACACAGAAAGCATGGTAAGTGGTTATAACACAGCCCTCTTTTATAGTGGTCTGGGTATCAAGTGAATATGGCGCATTTATTTTCTCCACTGATGAAAAATCTGTTTAAAATCTGTTGAAAGAGATGTTTGAAGTATTTTTATATATAATATGCTGCCAGTGGTTATTTATTTAGTATTTAACCAGGAAGTCCCTTGAGATTAAAATAAATTTTTTGACAGAGACCATGATAGCACACCATTACAAGGTTACAAAATAATAAAATGGTGCGGTTACTGAAAACTAACTCCAGCTTGTTGCTTGCATTATTACATTTCAGTATTTCACTAGGGACTTCAGACTTAAACAGGTCAACTGGCTGCTATAGGAACATAGCTGTCTGATTGCTCATCGTATTTGTATTTGATACTGCTCAAACTAAAAAGCACAAACATCATACATTTGCATACAGAACATCCTTTATGAAAGATTTGGAGACCTTCGCCCCTTAGTTTATAGTAACTCACTGACATCTCTGCTTGCTAAAGTTGTTGGGATTGTTGGGGAGTGTAAGAGATGAGCTCTGTCAACGCTTATCGTTTCAGGGAGGCCAGCGGTTGTCGGACGGGGACGATCTCTGAGAGCAACTGTGTGAACAGAGTCAGCTGATTGCCGCTGAACTGCGGAGACAGAGAGACAGGCCTGCCATACCAGCCACAACCGAACAGTCTGTCATCTTTCCAGTCTGACCTCCTCTAGCATCTAGCCAGCAGTGTGAGAGCAGATTGACGTGCAACAAAATGGTTGACCCCACCCCCTTAAATATATATATATATATATATATATATATATACACACACGCACACACACGCAAACACTCTGACACAGCACATGAAACACAATCACAGGCACCGGTTAACACAAAGAGAAAGCTCTGTAAGTGAAAATACAGTACTTGGCTTTAGCGTTGTTTTAATTGATATCATGCTGCAGTTACACACAGCATCTTTAGGTTCCCCTTCAGCAGATCATACCGCAGAGATTCCACAGACAACTAGTTTTGCTCTGACTAAAACAATCAACTAGTATTCCCTAGTGCTCTTTGGACTGAGTATCTCTTATTATTATTATTTTTGTGTCTAAATCCTCGCAGCACTGAAACAATTCTTAGGTGGGGCTCGCTGGTCGTTGCCCTTAAATTACGCTTGGTGGTAGTTTGAAACTGAATTGAAGCTCGGGCACTCGTACGCTTAAAAGTTCGAATTTTAACTTTGGAGTGCCAAAAATACCAAGCCCTCAATGCTGTCGATGGCTAACAAGTCTGAAGAAACTATGAAGCATTATAAAAAGAGGTTCTTGGTCCTTGTTGGGCTGCATGACAACCAAATCCCACTCTCCTTCCTTCTTGGAAATATAGTGAGAGGGTCAAAGTAATTTCTGGAGATGAGCGATTTTCAGCGCAATGTTTATTTTTTTTTCAATGGGAGTTGTACTTCCTTGTTGTATTGTCTGCCATATTGGTAGAACGCTATGAATGTAATGCCTGCATGGGCCTTTAAAACTAGGAAATTAGTCATTTAAAACATTGCTGTGGTTGTGGAATGTATGCAAGTATATTTACATGCCCAAAAACAAACTTGTGTAACATGACAGTTTTACCCCTCCCCCTCCTCTTTATTGATTAAGAAAAGGACCCTTGATAGCTGGTTGTGTAATCATACCAACCATTCGTGCATGGGAACGAGCACAGACGCACACACAATTACACATTAACCCCGTAGTTGCTGCCGGCTGATGTCCAGGTGAATCAAAGCATGCGTGAATGTCAGCTTCTTCTCAGGTTGACAAAAAGAGGGGGGGATAAAGAATTTCAGTTACCTGTGGCTAAAGTACACATGGCTAATGGCTCAGAGCAATTGTTGCCAAAGCGACCAAGGTGCTATTCACCATCACGTACTTTAAACTGTATTGATAAGCAGCTGACCCGAGAAGTGACTGCAGCGCGTGCACACACGGATTTCCTGGCTAGAGCAGCTCTCAGCAATAGATCAGCTCAGACCGCAGATGCCCATTTGAAAAAGAAAAAATTATGACCCCACTTGGACTGAGGAACAGTGAAAATACTGACCGTGCAGAAGACTTGAGTTTTGTAATAATTAAAGGGAAAAAAAGCTGTCCAGGTGATGATGATAGATAATTTAATGAGTGAGAAGCTGGTAGAAAATGAAAGAATTGAAGATTAAGATTAGACTGTATTTTTCTATAGTTTATTGTGAGGATATTTAAAATGATTTGAAAGTATGGGCGAGTTGCCACTTCTTCAGTTGGAACTGGGGTCATTATTTTACTGAAAACCAATCATGCCCCCACCGCCTTCAAATGGAAACCTGTGTTCCTCATATGCATCCAAGTGTTACGTTCCTGATAGCTAACGGTAGCCCCTAAGATTAGCCCTTTCACTATGGGAAGACCTGCTAGCTTTAGACAGGGAAATGATTCGCACCCCATATTGTGCCTATAAACAAACACATCAACATGTGACACAAACACGCGCACACACATACACACACACACACACACACGAACAGGCAGAATATCTGTTGCCATCTTATTCTAGCCTTTAATGTGGATGGAGACACGATGGAGGTATGTCTATATTCAGATACATATACAGACATATTATACATATTTACAAATAATGCTATACTACTAATAATAATTGATAACTTAGCGGTTAAGCTTAATAAATATATAACCTGAGAACCTGTATTGATTACATAGGAGAACTTCTTGTTATTGAGGTATTGCTATATGACATGTATCGCTGAACTAGATGACTATAGTGAATTATTTTTTTTTTTTTTTTTGGGTTCTTTTATTTTGTAATTTTTCCTTCTGTGTGGGTTGTTCCAGACATGGTATGAATGAAGGCTACAGCAGAGATTGATTTTAAGTTTAATGCTGAATTTGTAGAAATGGACTAGACTGAGGGTTAAATCTTTACACTGAGCAGGGGGCTAGAAATCCAGTGAGTAACTACCCAGCTTGAGAGGTTTTGTTTTAGTGCAGCAGATGAACTGGATGTACAGAATATGGAAATGTTCCTGTTCTGCAATGTGTGCTGCACTTTTATATTTTAAGTATGAAATCTAATTTTCCTGCCCAGAGGGACCTCGGCTCAGTGCTTAAAATCACCAAACAACTTGAATTCCCAAAAATATTTACTGAAGATCATTCATCTGTCAATTAGAGCAAATTGTTAATGGAGGGGAGTGCTGAGAACAGAAATGTACCGATAGAGATCTTAAAAACCACAGCATAGTCTAACTCAGTGGATAAATAGAAAAGGGTCCTAAAACCTGACTTCATGCCTCATTAGATTTTAGACAAACACATTTAAAATGCAGATCCCAGGTCAGTTTTGCTGGTCACTCGGCAGTGGTTTTGGGGATTGCTGGTAATGAGCCCTTGTCTGGAACAACTCAGCTAATAGCTTCTCTGAGGGATCGTATTACTACTACTCCTAGTATTATGATGAATATGATGACGATAATGATTGCTATCTATTGACTATTTCTATTTCTTCTCTATATGCTATTGATATATGTATGTTAATTGCAATGTATAACTCTCTTTATATATGTATCCATGTATGAATATAATAATTGACAGTAAATATGCGTCTGTGTATGCAGCAGTGCACAGCTCTGTCTGGGAGGCAGTGAGCAGGAAACGTCCAGCTTCTGATATTAAATGTAAGGCTGTTGAGTTTTTAATGCTACAGGTGGCGATGTCAGTTGTCAGCTACCAACAGCTGGAGGTTATCTGTGGTACGAGACATTTTACGCAGTACGGCAGACCTGCTGTTTGTTGGCCTTTGGGAGAAAAAAAGAAAAAAAAGATAGTTGATGATTGAAGTTTACAGTGTATATATACTGTTAGCTGTTTGCCCTTTGCTGTGTTGGTCCTACAAACAGAGCTCGCTGCTCACTGCCTGTGCTGTGCGTTTTTGTTTAAATTGATTCACCAGGCAAAGACAGATCTGGAAACAAAAGCATACATAGTAGCCTATATACTCCCGTATAGCGCCTTATTCGATATACTACACCTATAAGATGATACATACCCCTATTGTATAATCCTGCTTACTATATACAGTATATGATACCTGATACCTATTATAATATTAGACACCCTTATAAGGTAATTTAGATAAGAGATGGTGGAGCTGTTTTTTTTTTTTTTTCTGTGGCTGTGGAAGAGTTTGCTGTGGTCAGTAAAGTGTTTCCATCTTGTTTTTTAGGGTGTATGGAGAGTGCTGCACACTCAAATGCTCCTCATCATTCAATTATTTTCATATCAGGATATTTGAAAAGCAGCTGGGATTAAAAATGTACTTGGTAAATCTTAATTTTGTCTGAAAAAGTCAGTGGTAAAAAACCCAAAGTTGAAATTTAATTTTAAAATTCCAGTTGGCTTCATTCATTCATAAAATTTTGAATATGGCTGGCATTTTTATACACAGTGAGTGAAAAGTCGGGGAAAAAATGTCCATCCATGTTTAAATCCTGGCCTTGTAAGACACGTCGGAGTAAACTGTAAAATAACATTTTAAAAAAAGCAGCAAAGCATTTGCAGACAGGCTCCTCCTTACATAATGATGTAACTGACACGCACAGAAAAAAAAAAGAGAGAACCGGATAGCTGTACTGCATGTTCTGCATGTGTTGTCGGAGGCAGGGGAATTGTGACACAAACTCAAGGAGAGACAGGTTTCTGCTACTGTATCTGTACACGTGATCGATCTCACGTACTCATTCGTCTACATTGGCTCAGGTTTTCTGTCTTAAACTTGTTTATTCGTTGTCTGACAAAAGTGTCTTTTGTCTTAATCTGACTTGACTTTGTAGATCAGTCCTGGTTATTACATCCTGCTGCGGTTTAATGAAATTATACGGTTCTTAACTGTGAGATAAGTGTCTGCTCAACAGATATCCACGTGGCACATGTTGCCTTTCCCCTCTTGACCCCCAATACAGTTTGTGTCATTTGATCCCCAGCACCAACACACACCCACACAGCCACAAAAGAATCTTAATTTATCGGTTTTCAATCAGTTGGAAATTATTGATTATTTGGATTGTTTTCAACAACTCGGATGAGGAAACCAGGGTTGTAAGAAGTGGAAAAAACAAGGCCTCTTTTTGTACTGTATTTTTACATTTCGTTGTTTTATGTTTCGTTTTATCCTCTTGACTTTGTTTTCTCTTTTCTCCTCCCTGGTTGGACGTTCATGATCACATAAGTGGACCAAATCTCTTGAAAGCATTTAATAAACAGACTGTTTTAGAAAATAATAGTTGTATTTGTTAATTGATGCACATAATTCACATTATAGGACCCTGACATGAAATGTTACTGATATTATTACAATAATTATACATCTTGAGTTCAGTTTGTGAATGTTTGCTATTCTAAACACTATAGTCCAAAGTTTAATGTGAAGCCTGAGTTAGACAAATAGTGCTTTTTTATTTATATATATATATATATATATATATATATATATATAGAAAACATTTGTAAACTATAGACTAAAGGAATCTCTTAACAGCTGCTTTGGACAGTAGAAACTATTAAAACAAGCAAAAACAATTTCAGTGTCCAAATTTGCCCAAATGGAGACTCACTAATAAACTCATACACAGGGTCGGTTTATGGGTCAAATCATAAATACCCCTAGTGGTATCTACCTATGCACATACACTGCACATACACCAAATGTATGTGGACAGCTGGCCATCACCCCCATATGTACTCTAGACTTTCCACGCTGGAGCCTGGCCAGTGATGGTGGTTTGGGGAGTGATGCTGGGCGGTAAGGTGCGGTTGAGGTCAGGGGGCTCTGTGCAGACCAGTCAAGTACACAGAACTAAGTGTCCACATACTTTTGGCCATATTGTGTAGCTTTTGGGTTTATCCTCAAATTCTCTGTTTAAAATCCCAATAATCCACAGACCAATGGTAGAAGCAGCCTTGCACGTGTAAATGCACTACAATACAAATACAATACACAGGCTGCTCTTCAGTCTGGGTACAGACTCGGATTTTGAGCATTTTGTTTAATCTACTTTTTTTTTTTCTGGGGTCATGTTGCCCATTTCTCGGGTTAGAGTTATGGGATTAGGGCATTTAGGACCCTGGGAACATAAAGCTCTCTGTTTTCTCATGAGCTGTCAGACTATCTCGTGCCGGCTCGCTGGTATGTCTTTCAGGCAAATGACTCGTTATTAATGTGTTTAACTTCACCTGTGCTCTACCTGCTCCGACACGTCTGACATAGCACGTGTGTCTTCTTTATACACATGCATTATCATATGCTATGTAAAAGTAAATCATCCACGAAATAAAATTCTAGTTGGAACTTGAAATCCGTGATTGCTTAACCCATAAGAACCCAGATCCATTTCTCCCTGAAGGAAAATTATTGGGGATATACCACAGAACAAGTGGAACACATAGAACATATTTCTGATGTTTTTTTTTTTTTAAATGTCAAATATTTGTTTTGTGACATATAAGTCACAATGGGCGTTCATGGTAAATAAATATTTTATTAAAACCTAAATAATTTGACATCATTTTTTGTTTATATTTCTTCAAATATACTTCAGACAACAGGGCATATATTAATCCTAAATAATTGAAACAGTGAATTTAATTAAGTGGCCTATTACCTTTTTTGTCATTGTGACACAGACAACAGGTTAAATGCAATACAGGACTATTAAAGCATTAGAATTGTTGAATGGGCTTAAACTTACCTTAGTAACAAAAAAGAAGCTTTTTGAATTTATTTTTGAATTTATTTTAAATTTTTCATATGTGTCATTTCAGTTTTCGTGTAGGCAGTCGACTCGGGAGGAGCTACAGGTGGTGTGAGTAACTTGTTCTTTTGTATTGTTTTATTACCCGCCGCGTTGCATAATAACGGCCTACTTTTAGGGTTTCCAGCTTTTTTTTTTTTTTTTTTTAACCTTAGGTAATCTTGACGCCACTCGTGATTGGCTGTCACTGCTGTGACGGACGCGCGTCCCGACCATTCGGTGCTCGATCCGTAGATTTCTTGAGGAACGCGGGCTTCTGATTGGCTGCGCCGAAGCTGAAGGGGCGGATCTGCGTTAAGTAACTTGTCCAGAGTTCGTAGTGTGTGACCCGTGTGAGGTTTAATATTCCCAGCACTGTGTAGGAGCTGTCAGGCCCGTGTAAACCACAGTCGGCCTCCTCAGCTGCTTCTGCTTCTACTTACTGTGAGCCGCTGACAGCTCTCAAACATCTGTCCAACTAATTTCTTTTAAAGGGGTAAAAACATGACTACAGAGATCCCGGAGATCTTCAGGGCTCTTCTTGAGCATCCATTCACTCTCCCGAGCTTTGATGAGAATGGTAAGTGGCTGTCAAATCAAACAGTGAATTGTGTTTTGTTTGAGTTTTTGATTCAAGTTACATGCAGCACCGTGATTCAAGAGTTTGGGGTTTTTTTTGTTCGAAGAAGATCGCCGAAGTAGGAATAAACAGTTTCTGTGTATCAGCAAAAAACTGCGTGTTTGTTGCGTAATCCCTGTCAGCTGAGTTGAAGTGGTGACTGTGCCAGAGGCTGGACTGCAGGGATCTGCAGCTGTTGACTGGCTTTAGTTGTAATCCAAAGGTTAGCAGAGTGAATCATAAGCAGTGTTTAAGGGTTTCGGTAGTTTGTCAGCACCTTTTCAAAATAAAATCTTTAGTAGCCATAGAGTCTGCATAAAGACAAGACATAAAGTAAGATAAACTTTATTGATCGCACAAATAAACAACTTCATTTGCTGCAGAAGTTCAAGAGTCAAAAGTAAAAGGAAAATAGTTACTGAAAATACAATATAAATATAAATATATACACATTTCACTTATACACATGAAAATAATGGGTTTACTTATTGCTCTGTAATACACACTTGGTGTGTGTGTAGCATTGTGTGTGTGTGTGTGTGTGTGTGTGTGTGTGTGTGTATCTGTAAAGTATAAATATAAAGGATATATAAATTAAATTATATAAAGGATATGCATATGAATAATGTGTATAATGTATACTATGTTTATAAATTACAAGTTTATAAGTATATAGCCTATGTTAATATAGTATGTATAAATATGAATTGGTAGGATATCTAACCTGAGATAAATAGTGCAAAGTAATGCAGGTATATCAAGGTGGAGCAGGGAAATATATATATATATGCGATCTAAGCATTTTTGGGAACTCGTCATATTATAATACAGCCTATTTAAAATGTCTTTATGGCCCTTAACTGACAAGTTACACACACAATATATATCTGTCTGCTGTAGCTGACTGAGATGAACAGTGATTTGTCTGCATAGTGGGGAAAAAAACAACATTTACTCCCAGCAGGGCCTCTCTTTGCTGCATCTGTGTTAAACAAATGTTACAAGTGGCTTTCAGCACCAATGTGGATGGGCACAACATTTTGGTCCTGTAATTGTGCTTCTGTTTGATGTTTTAGTACTGAGGGAACCTTTTGGTCAAATGTAACTGATGGTGAAGGTAGCTGATATAACCTAGTGTGTGTGGATCTGTGTTTGTGACGTGCTTTCATCTGGTGTGTGTGTGTGTGTGTGTGTGTAAAGAGGTTTGTAGATTCCTGATTAAATCACTAGATGGCTCTGTCCTCCTTCTCTGGTTCCTGTTTTGATAAATCGGGTTAGATTTAGTAATATCATTACATTGAGAGGTGTACTGTTGCTGCTGGCCCCATTTAGCAGGATTTCAAAAACACATCTCAGTATGTTGCAGGACTTTTTTATTTTTATGGGAGCCCCACGAACGTATATTTAATGACATGTCAATCATCATTTTCTCTCCTCTATACTTGTGAAATGTCTTATTTGATCATTTTTAAATTTTAGAGCTGTCCAAACATTTTCACATTAACTTCAGTAGTAGATTGTGACTCAGAGTGTCTCTGATGGTCATACAAACGTGGAAGTGAAGTATAATTTTTGGTTGAACTGCTCCTTTAATGCAATAATTAGATTAAAGAATAACATCATACAGTCTGTTGACCATGATCATAACCTGCAGAGACAGTGTAACTGTCAGTCAGCCCAAAGTAACACTGACCATAATTACAGTGAATATGTGGCACATCAAACACACATAAGAGTGACCAGGAGTGAGTGTGTGTGTGTGTGTGTGTGTGTGTGTGTGTGTGTGTGTGTGTGTGTTGATCCAGGACCCTCAACATGCAAGAATTTACTATGTTGGCTTCAAAGTCATCCCTTCTATATTTTTAGATTGTGTTGTTAACTGTATAACACTTGTGGAAAAATACTTAACATAATGTACTTTGAGACAGATTTCTTTATGTATATAATCTCACACAGGCTCAATATCTGTTTCCCTCTGAGTGTTTTCACTGTGTGAGATAAAGAACAATGCCTTTTCTGAGCCATAACACATATAATTAATTTAAAAAATAGTTAAAGCAGTACGTTCCTAAGTTTGTACATTTATGGCTGTTCAGTATAAATATACAAATCTGGTCAAAGTGACGTAGCTTTTCAGCATATTTATTTTGTTCCAAACTGCAGAGTCATGCTGACGACAAAGCTTGTCTTTTCAGATAAATCGATTCACTTTTTATCTTTGCCAGACAGGGAAATGGCACTGTAGACAGATTAAATTAAACTTTAGATTAAAGAGGTTGTGTCTGCTGCTGTATCCGGCCATATCTGCACCTGTTGGCAAAGTGGGTGTACGTAGAACAGCAGGGTGACAGGATGTTTCTGTCACACACAGCACATGCCCTCAAATGGAGTGGATATGGTTTTCTGTAGACCTTGTTCTCTAGTCCTGGCACAGATACTCTTAAACAGAGCGACTGCTAACTTTATTAGTCTTTAATAATATAAGTGTGTCTTGTTTTTGTGATTCAGACTGCAGCATGGAATTCATTGTGTAGAAAAGTGCACTGGACACTCAAGTAAGAGGTTCATTGTGGAATTTAAGTATTCTGTGATAATGCTGGAGGTTTTAAATAAGGCATTGCAGTGTTTCTTCTAGGATTTTTTTTAGCAGTGGGGGCAGGCCCGTCCGAACAAAATCAACATAGAGGAAACACTGCATTGTGGTGCTTTAATAGGTGATGTAGAAGCTGGTGAACAGTTGTGAACCCAACACTGTAGCAGCTGACCTTGACCACTCACAATGTTGTGCCAAAAACAGATTCTGTGTGCCACATACAAGCAACATGGGAGGAGAACGCCACTGCTGTAAAACCCTGGGCTAGATAGTGTGCACCTTTTGCAACTCATACTGATTTTGGTATAGAAATATACTGAGAGAACACTGGATGATGTATGATCCTCTATTTAAATGTATTCATCAGTCAAAGACAACAGGATGGGCTTGCATTATAACCATGTTTTATTGAAGCTCAATGGACATACGTACATCCTGTTTTTTGTTTGGCAGTACATTCTGTACTTCTTGATTTCTTAATGAAAGAGGAAAAAAAATTCAGTGAGTGGGGTTTAGCTGCAGCTTGTATCTACCAAACACATATCAACATCAGTATGAACCAGACAAATCATAGCATGATGTTTTGGGTTAGCAGGAAATCTGGATTCTTATGTTACTGCTACATAATAAGAACAACAAGCAGTTTACTAACAGCTGAAGGTGAGAGGGCGGAGGTATCAGCCACTGACACTTATACAACACTATATGTTCTGTGCTGTTGTTGTGGCCACTCAGCATTAGGACTCTAGTGTTACAAGCAGATCTCTGCCCTTGGGACTCACACAGAATTAATGTAACTTAAACCTCATGGTGCTTATTCAATATGGCCAATTACACTTTTACGAGGCTGCAGCCCGCCCATCATTCCTGCGTGTGAACATACTGAGTGATTTTCCACTGAACCTGTAGGTTAGATATGTAAGAGAGGCAGCTGCACATGTTTCTGCATGTGAGCGCCGCGGCGTCGATGAAGCACCAGTGAGAGATACATTAACCATATGATTTGTGTACTTACTGAACATCGCTTTGCCACTAGTTGGGATAGTTAATCAAGTTAAAAATGGGAGCTCGTGTTTAATATACATGTCTGAAGTTGATTTGATGGCACTGCAGAGACATTATTTAACTAATCATCCTTTATGGAAAGATGTAAACGCCTGTATTGGCGTATATCAGTGTATACAATATTAACGTTTATTTAAAACCTACATAAGACAACAAACCTTAATAGACAACACCGAAACCGGATTGGGTCCATTGAAATGGATCCAGGTCAGGCTGCACACATATATGTGCTAATGTTTTTTGCTCGTGACACGTTTTTTTTTTGGTTAATGTTACATATAACTCGGGCAACCAATGAGAGCTCAGCTAGGTGCAACAAGACAACCGCTATTGGCTCCTCGCTATAATCCCCGCCCCCATATTTAATAATTTAGTTCATATTCATAAGGAGAGTGCACGGCCCGCCAATCGGCCCCGCGGGAGGGCGGAGTTATTGTCCCGCCCATTTTTCTACGTCAACCGGGCTTCGTTCAGAACAAGTAGGAACTTTTTGTTCTCGTCTACGTGCTTTGACGGGGTGCAGTTTGTCCTCAACACCAAAACCCTCCGGATCACTTCACCTACCGAGGAAGTGAGCTAACGCAGCGAGCTGCCGGGAATGTATTGACGGTCGCTGGCACACATTAGCGTGGTTTTTTTGAATTTTAAAAGATTATTTAGAGCCAGAATCGGCGGTGATACCGACTGGATAGTTAAGTTGACTGACGTTATCGAGCAAACAGGGACAACTGTGGAACTTCTGTGTCAACAACAAGGCTGAAAATGTCGGGAGAGCCACTTCTCATCACACTGGCAACAGCCACGGGGGCCCCCGGTTCTTTCCCCGTGGTTTTGAAGAAAATAATGGAAATGCCTCCGCCGAATATACTGGACGGCGACGACGGTAAATGCAGTACATACACGGAGAGGAAGCAGCGAGCGATGTAGGGTAAAAACGAGCTCAGTCGACAAAGGCCGAAACAATTGATGGGGAAAAAATGGTGTCCTAACAGTGTAACCGACACGGATACCCCACTGGTGTTATTGTGTACACAGGTCTCTCGTATAGTGATGGCAGAGAAGCTTTCTTTTTTTCACCATGGTGAAATAGGTTTACCGATTATTGTTATTGATCTCTGTAAGACTTGTGTTATGAAAACGGATCACCTCTTAATAGAGTCTGCGGTTCAGTTTTAAATACTGAGGCAGGATGAGAAACACAGACCCGCATCACCACGCAGACTTTTCTAGACCCCCCCCAGTTTAAATGCGGTTTTGTTGACGGAAAGTTCCTCCTTTCCTTTCCAGTTGCAATGATTCAGTATTTTGTTGACAGACATGTTCTGAATACACGGAGGTTAGTGCGTGACATGGCAACGTTTGTACTAAAAGCTGCTAATATTTAGTCCTAGCTATTGTGTCTGATGTTTATGAAGGAAGGTTCTTATTGTGTTCTTCAAAAAACATTTCAGCATGGTCATAAAACTTGTAAAAGGTAGTGTGCACTTTTAGTGGTTTAGAGTGCTCATACAGTATTCATGAACAGTAAATGTCTCTGTACAAATTGCATGTGCAGTAATGGACTTCTTTACATAGATCCAATCAAAAGATTTCCTCATCTGCTGTAAGTGAACAATGATGTGGCTGATATTCTGACGGACAGATGGACCTCAGCAAACATCGGCTGGATGCAGTGTTTTCTCTAACAGTTTGCAGATGAGAATTTCATTAGCAGTTGTTGAAGCAGTGAGGTTGTGAAAAGCTGCAATAAAAACTTGGGGTTTGGTGCCCAGGGGACATTTCTGTACGGGAAAAATAAATTCTGTCCTACTTCCTGAAAAACAGTAAACTTTCAATTTTGCTTTACTTGAGCAGTTTTTCTGTTTGCCTCTATGCGATTACACCAAAACTCATGACGGACGTGTTCACACATTTCCAGGCAAGCTGTCTTGTTTATATCTAAACGGGTATCTTTCTTGTGTATCTTTCTTGTGCTTCAGACACCGACAAAGAAAAGCTGTGTCTGGGAGATAATGTTGACCTGGGTGGAGGAGACAGCGATATGGGTCCTTCAGCCGCCCTGACCCCCGCTATCTGGGAGAAAACCATTCCCTATGATGGTGAAAACTTCCACCTCGAGTACATGGACCTGGAGGAGTTCCTCATGGAGAACGGCATTGCCACCTTGCCAGACGAGGACTCTCCAAAGGGCAGCCCAGAAGCAAGCACCATGAAAACAGGGACAGTAAAGGCCACACAGAAAAAGGTTACAAAGCCAGCAGTTGTCTCCCCAGTGGCCCTTCTGCCCATTCAGGAACTGGACAAGTGTGAGCAGGAAGTGGTGATCCTCACCAAGGGCGACTCTGATATCATCTGCGATGTTACTACAGGTGAGTGGAGGCTTGAAGATCAGCGACTGCAGTGTTTCACTAAACTGTTGCTGAGTGTGCTTTACAAGGCAGAAAACCAGATTTTCAGGTTAAGTGAAGTGACTGAAAAAGTTGATGTGACAGTTTACTATGTTACACAGATCTACATTTAGAAAGCTGTTGGCCCAGTTAGAATATTAAAATGGGCCGGCATCAATGAAAGAGAGCCTCAGCACTACAGCCTTCAATTGAATACCAATGCTTTTAACCTGGCTGTTAACCAGTTTACCGGTTACCTCAGAAATCTTTGCATCTGGTTTCCATATTGAAATTATGTGGATTTATTTCGCTCTGCCACTAATGTCAGACAAACCTGATATGCTGGAGTGATCTCAATCCTGAAACAAGCCATGGGTGGTAAAGGTTGATGGGACGACAGAAATAGCTGCTGGAGCCCTTGCATAGCAAACATAGTAGAGTTAACTATGGAACGATCAGCAGTGGGTACGTGTGAGAACACTCACCCACCCTGCATACATAACAGGAAATGAGGCCTTGGTGCAGATCACCTGTAAACCAGCATTACCTCTTATTTCACCAATTACACTGAGGAAACAGCCACAAAGTAAAGCACAGAAAAGATCTTAAATTACCCAACAACTTCTATAAGTTTCTTTAAAAAAATGGGTGCTGACAGCATTGCTGAGCTCTCATGTTCCTCTTCTGTCTGCTCAGAGGTGATCACTGAGGCAGGCAGGGTGACGCCTGAGCCCATCAGCCCCGATGAGATCGAGGTGGATATCAACTACGAGCCCGATCCCACTGATCTGGTCCTGTCCAGTGTGCCTGGAGGCGAGCTGTTTGACCCCCGCAAACACAAGTTCTCTGAGGAGGAGCTCAAGCCACAACCTATGATCAAAAAGGCCAAGAAGGTGTTTGTGCCTGAAGAACAGAAGGTATGCTGGGAGGGAGACATCAGGGGGCTCAACAGGGCTTCAATATTTAGAGTTGCACACTCAAGCTTTTATAATAATTAATTTAACATTTGAAAACATATTCTTTGTTACTGAGGGAAAACAGCAAAATAAACTTTACTTCTAATAAGGTGTAGAGCTGTAGGAAGAACTTAATGTGCTAATGAGTGGTGTCTATACTCATGTTAGGGTGTAATATTGATTTGTAGTTTAGACACTGATAGAAAAAATGTCAACCACATAGCGAGTAATTAAAATGGTTTAATATGGCAACTTTTATAATACATTATGATCATTTCCCATGTGCCACTGGCTCATATTTACTTAATACCCTGATACTTAGAATAGGGATTGTTTACCAACCTCTTAGAAATCTTAGAAATTTGATATCAACTTCCCAGTGCACAGTGGTGTAAGAGCAGCACACATTTGAGCTGCAGGGTAGTAATCGAGTCATGTCACAGTGAAGCAGTTCTGGCGACTCACAATGACTCAGCAGTCAGATAAACATCAAATTGATGTTTTCCTCCCAGTGTTTTGTTTATATGCACAAAGGAGCCTTGCTGTCTGCCGTATTATACACATAGCTGCTGTCAGATTTGAGCTAATATGTTGATGAAGAAATATACAAGGCTTTTTGACCGGGTTACCGTGGTAACCAAAGTCAGAAAGCACGGTAGGGTCTGGTGTTGTGTTTCTTTGACTGCGTCTAACCGTGCTGCTCCTTTTTTTTCCTCCAACTCTCCAGGATGACAAGTACTGGCAAAGAAGGAGTAAGAACAATGTGGCTGCCAAACGCTCACGTGACGCCCGCAGGTTGAAGGAGAACCAGATCACCGTCCGAGCAGCCTTCCTGGAGCGCGAGAACGCGGCGCTGCGGACCGAGGTCGCAGAGCTACGGAAGGATTGCGGCCGCTATAAGAACGTCGCGAGTCGCTACGAAGCCAAATTTGGGCCACTGTAAGGGACCACGAAAAGCAAATACACAAAACCGCAATCGGACATTCATATTGACAATATCAGTCACTTTGTTTTCACACGTCAGCTTAGAGGCAGACGGATATTAAACCCTCTGTACTGCTGAGAAGACAGGGTTTAACTGCTACAGAGGGGGTTAGCCAGGGGAGGAGGAAGAGGGGGGGAAAGGAGAGGCACGTTGGTTAAATCTGAGCAGGCAGTCCATCTGAAAAGGTAGACCCCCCCCCGACCAGAGGTGGGTCAGACACCCCCTGGGTAGAAATTAGTCTCATGTAAATGTGGGTTCAGTAAACTGGCGCCACGCAATCCTGTGTAAAAATGAGACAGAAGGAGGAGTGTGAACAGTTATAACTGCAGTTATATGGACTGATGTCCAAATACAGTGACGCATTACTCAGCCTTTATGTCCAATATTCTACTTTACAATATGAATAGTTTATAATTCAACCTCTTGATTCACTGATTTACCCACAGTGGCGTTATACATCAGAGCTAATCTATTTGGTACAAAACAAAACCATGTGATCTTTGTGAATAGTGTTCTTGCTGTTTTAATGTGGACTTCTCTCCCTCCTCTTCCTTCTCCACCCCTCCTCCTCCATTCTTGTTCTCTTCTCTTTCAAGTGAGGTGGAAGAAGACCAATAGGCAGCACTTGATTTATTCATTTGTTTTTCTGATGAATAAATAAATCAAACCAGTGGGGATGGTATGTGAAAATGCTAGAATCGATCAGACAAAGAAGAGGAGGAGAGCGTGTGTGAGGGCGTGATGTTGCCATGGAGATGCAATAGCATGTAAATCTGTTTTTTTTATTTCTTTTGTTTGTTATTTTTGTTAATTAATTTTATTTACTATCCATGTGAGATGAGTGCGAGCGGATATTCAAGTGCTTCTTCCGTACACTTCTTTTATGAAGTGTACTTTTACGATGTTTTGTATGCCTTTGGCCGAATGAGATCATTTGTGACGTTTATTTTGGAGAAACTATGGGATTTATTTTTACTTTTTAAAACGAGATGGCTTACACTTTAGTAGCAATTGCAATAGCTTAGATTACATTTGTTTGTCGTTATTATAGTATTGTAGAAATAAACTGATTTGCAGGTTGCTTCCAGTTCTTTCCACTATGAATTTTAAGACCCACCCACATTTATATTTTCAAATTTATATTATGTGGCAGATTATGTGAAGAGCTGGGCTTTTCTATGCCCACAGTAACTTTTGACTGTGACATTTCCAATAATTTAAGCTTCTTCAGGGTATTGCAGTGACGTGGCAAAAAAACCAAAAAACAGGTGGCCATGTTCACTTCTCTTCGTGTACAAATACTCACGACCAGCAGCACAGAGCTGTACATAAATGTCTCCGTGTGTTAATGTATGTCTCTCACAGTCGCTCCTGTGCCGTTTTTTTCACAGAGTAGGACTCCCTGCTTCCCTCCCTGCAGGTGCTCAACGTTGACTCGTCCATTTCTGTCAGTAACACTTCAGAAGTGTTGCGTGTAGAATCCACTGATGCATGTACTGTAAATAGTTGTAGCCTAACATACTTTCTATACGTCAGACTCGGATACAGTGCAAAAGTCAAATTTTGGAACTACTGTTAAGTTTTAGATGCATATCAAGCAATTACAATGCAATTGTACATTTATTGCCTGAATATAAGAGCTCACAGTCTCTCTGGTGGGCTGGCTTTTGCCTTCATAATGAGATGATGCTAACAGGGCTTTAATTAGTGACTCACCGAAGGCAGTTGGAGGTGAAGTGTGCTAGCATCAGCTGCGAGGCCAATATGAAGCATGTTGTCTGCTGGTTAAACTTAAAATTCACAATATATTGCTTGAAATGAACAGTCAGTTATTCAAAAACTTGACTGGGAGTGTATGTGCATTTAGATTGTAACAACTGTGTTGCTGGACAATTGTTTCAGTCTGTTCTTTCTGAGGCTTGTAGGCTGGCACTGTCTGTTGCCAATGGATGTTTTAGAATTGTTTTGTTTTTTTGACTGACCAGGAAGCATCAATAGGTGCAGACTGTATTTCATCAACAAGGAACTCCCAGAACTCTTGAAGCCATTTCAATGCAGTGTGCAGTCTGACAGTTTACGGGGGAGGCGCTTCTGTTTAACAACCCAAATTAGAGTTGTGACTTAAACCCAGGATTATTTTACTGTCCGGTTCTGACGAAAATGGGAAACTGTTATTTTGCTGCTGTGCTTCTATCCATAAATATAGTGAGTTTTTACCAAAAGGATTCAATGTTCATTGTCTTTTTTTAGGGAAAAGTTTAAACCTTTTAATGGTTATTTTTTTATCATTACAACCTGCAGTACATACAGCTGTCTGTTCTTACATTGTGCTTTTTTGGTTCACATTAACAGACATGTTTAATCTTTGTTGACCTTCATCACAAGATCTCTGAAGTGTAATTAAAGAAGACAATAATTTAGAGTAATTCTGAGCTTCCTGACTGGTTTTAATAATTTTCTAATGCTTTCTGCTATGATACAGGTTGCATCTGCCTTCTATTTGCAACAGGTCAATTTGTTAACTTTGAGGGGTTGTTTTTAACCTTCCTGGTTCCGTCTTTGTATTTCTTTGTAAAGAAACATCATGGCATTTTGAGTGTGGCTACTTTTTGTCTTGTATATACAGTATGTATAAATAAAGCCTTGTTGAGAACATCTCTGAGTGTTGAGCTCTTTCCTTTTGTAGATGTTTCTTTAGATTCTATCATGGAAAAGTGAATTTAGAAGACCTAATATACATAATTAAAGCTCAGATCCACAGTGAAGTACAGCGGTTCAGTAAGTTGAAACTAATGAGTTCAGTTCTGGACTTGAGGTTGTTGGACTAGTATAAAAGTATGAATACCAGACCACCTTCTGATTTTATGTAATATATAAATTAGTATTGGATTGTATTCTAGCGTTTACATTTCTTCTACTGTCTTTTGAGTTTGCATCAAAGTTTAAATAAAATTTCTAAGGACAAAACCATTGAATTAAAACAGTTTCAATATAATTTATGGGTTCTGTTTGTGTTGAGTTTCTCCAAGCAATACACTTTCATTGGTCAATGCATTAGCACTGTTTGCTCTCATGCTGTTGGAGTAAGCAAAAGAAGACAGTGTGAAACATTGCCATCTGGTGGATGAGGCTCAGAGAGAAGATGTGAAGGAAAAAGCTAGACAAATGAAGAGAGAAATATAAAAGAGAGCTTTATTGACAAGTCAAACAAAATGTTTCTTGAGGTTCCAAAAATAAAAAACAGAAACACTTTCAAAAAAAAAAAAAAAAAGGGGTCTGGGCCGTAGAGTCTTCACCTCTTCTTGAAGCCGTACTTCTTCCTTTCATAAAACAGATCTGTTTTAGAGCTGCCCAAGTTTACAATCTTCGGACAGCCATCTCGCTGTGAAGGAAACAGAAAAAGGAGGCTCTTTACAAAAAATGTATTCATCTCAAAGAAGACAGTTTAGAAAAATGCTGTTAATTTCCTTAAAGGACCAGTGTGTAGGATTCAGTGGCATCTGGTGGTGAGAAGATATATATATGATATGATATTCAGGTGGTGACTGTGAGGCCCTATTTAGTGTGCTGTAGGAACATGGCGGTTCAGAATGGGACTCCTAGAAGAGGACCTGCTCCCTTTGTAGATAAAATCAGCTCATACGGAAAACACAGTGACTTATTTTCAGGTGATTATACACAAATGAAAACATACCTATTAATATTATATTCCATTTCTGCCAATAGATCCTCTTAAATGTTACACAGTGACCTTTAAATCCTCATAACGGTCTCTTTTCTATTTAGTGGTTGCTCAAGGACACTCACGTCTTTCTCCTGGATAGTGCACTCTTTACAGTAGTAGGCATCAGATACTCCAGGCCCTCCGCAGATGACACAACGCCCCTGATAAGAGCCGTAGTTACACTCATCACAGATGCGCACCAGTGTGCACGGCCTCACATAGGAATCACAGATGACGCATTTTCCATCACCTGAAGGGAGAATGGTGAGAGGATTGAGAATTTAGAGGTTGTATATTATAACTTCATTACTGGTTGTATAAAGTAGTGATAGACCATCAGTCAGCTGATTTACTGGCATTTTGAGATAACCGCACTGGCTGATGGCTGTGCTCACGAGGCCGATAAACAAAAATAGTCTGCAGGCAGCCTCGTGAGTGTGGCTGCTTTGGGGCGATGTGAGTGCTCTCCCTTGTGAGTCTTTGGAAGGTTGTGAAAGGTTAGTTTGGAGCCTTTTACTATAACTCTACATCCTTCTGTCAATGTTTGCCTTTATTTCTTCAGTCACCATTGTCTTTCTAAAAAATGACAGTAAATGTAACCATAAACAGTTACTGCCTAGCGTTAAATATATATTATGTTAGAATATATATAATAATGCAGTTGAATGACACACACACACTGTTTCCTGCTCTCCTTTAAGCACCAGTCACATTCTGAAATTTACAGCTTTACCAGGGCTCAAAATTAACTAACTGTCCCAAATTCTACTTTCAATTGTCCCAGACTTAATAACTCTCCAAAACTGAAGTTATCTTTTTCATTTTACCTAAATATATTTAATAACTTTGTTCCAGTAACTTATTGACTCACTCTGGTCTACCACGTAAGTTCTGCAAGTTGTTCCCTGTACTGACATCTGTATAAAAACTGAAAGCAACCTAGGAGGTGTTTGGTTACAATCAGTGTTTATTATTCTTTCATTAATTGGCTGAGTTACTGTTCCTCCTTATTTCTCTCCCATCAATAAATGCATCAGTGCAATCTGCAGTTCAAATGCAAACCTATTTCTGATCAGAATACTGCCATGGAAATTTGAATTTTTCTGTTTCATTAATTAATAAACATTCACTCTAATAATGGTATTGGTTTTGCTATACCATCATTATATTGGCCATCAACCTATAAAACTTACTGAACTATCAGCAACTCATAGGCTATCTCTGAGCTGATGTTTTCCCAGCAGCCATGTAGCAAAACACACACCGTGTGTATGTGGATGTGTGTGATGCTGCAATTTAAAGCAAACCCTTTGTATCTAAATATTACTACACTGATCACCAACACTAGAATCACACACTTGTAGGAATGTCAAAGGTTTAACAACAATGTGGAAGTAAGTATACAGAAGGTTAGTATGACTGTAATATGTCATTAATTGTAGAAGAGGTTAAAGTACACCTCTCTTTTGAGCTGGAGAACCATGCCTGGCATTTGGAGGTGGAGTGAGAGTGCAAACAAAGCAAACATGTAACTGAGTACGGAGACCTAACGTTACTGTTAGTGCGCAGAAAGTAAGTAAAGATGAATTAAAACTTGTGACAGCAGGCTTAGATCATTACAATAAGCTTATAGGAAAGCACATGACTGCTAAAACACTCAGTTTGTTGGATGAATCGTAGATGGAAACACTTACATTTCTCGCAAAGTCTCCCGATAGCTGAGGAAAGAAAACAAAGCAGTCAGTGTTAGCTAACTCATATCGTCTGGCTAACGTTACATTATAGTGAATAACCTTTATCATTACCATATTTACTGTAAAGTATTTGATCAAATACACCGCAGTAATATTCTGTGCAGCTAACATTAATCCTCTCTAGCGATATATCTACTTACAGACATTTCTAGGCGAACACCAGGGCTAACGTAACGTTACGTTCAATGAAACCCATGCTGTTCCCGTTAGCATTGAAGCTAACGTTATCTCGAGTAAAACAACAATAATGGACATCGAGCTGCAGCAGAAATAACAGTTAAATAATAATGAGCGAAGTAAAATAGGTTTAAACTTACCGACACCGGCTTGTTTTCTGCAAAAGATCAAATCTGGATGATGTTTAGCCATTGTCGGCTAACGTAAGGAGAGCGCTGCTGACTTGCTTCAACTTTCACCTTTGACCGGTAAACTTTGAATGAGGAGTTGATTACCGCCACCTAGCGTCTCCACAGAGAAAGACAAAATAAATCAATTACTCTGTGTTTTTTGTTTGTTTTACCAAAAAAAAAAAAAAAAAAAACACAATAATTTATTTTCATTAACATTTAGGATCGTGTAGGACTTATATCTTTATAAATATACAGTTTAAATAAACAGAAATGTCCTCATCCTCTCAGTTGTATAAAAGTCAATCACGTCAAAAGTCTATCTTGCATAGGTGAAACTCCAGTTTTTATCTCATTAAATGTAGAAGTGATGTAAAACTAAACTAAACTAACTAACTACTAAAAAATCACACTTATAAACAATCTAAAAATGAAATGTAAGTGCCGTAAAATATTTTATCCTTAAAGGACCTGCGACACCGCGGCTTACAAAGCTGTGACGTCACTGCCGACCAACACATCTTTGTCAGTGAACAAAATGGCAACCTACTGTCTCACAGTCGCCCGGCTCCAGGTAAGTGGCGAAAAATGCTATTTTTTACCGTATTAATAAATGTGTGAAGGATGTCACCTGCTATAAATCCTAGGTAACGTTTATCCTGCCTAATTAAAGCTGTGAGAGTGGTTGCTGGGGGTCAATAATGTGTGAAGCAGTCACTGGCGAGCTGGCCAGGTCATCGTGTCCTGACTGCACTGACGGATCCAGTATGCAGCAACTAATTTATCAATGGCTTACTGAAACACTGCTGATGTCTCCGTTTACTGTAACTCACTACAGACATCCTCAGCCCTCTAACGAACATAGCTAGGTTAGTTTCAGAAGAGGTGTGTGGTGTTTAATAGCAAGGTTAAACACAAGGTTAGAGCTCCCAGTGGGCGAGAAGCGTGTGAAAGACACATGTTTGTTAAATAATAGGTAACAATACAACAAACACAGACTAACCCATTCATTATTTTTGGATTGTTCTAAGTGAAGGCAATTCATCCAGTGTGTTTTAAAGTGTGCAGGTAGTGTGTCATACGTCCAATAACAGCAGTGTGCTGTAAATATTTGTACAGCTGACCTATTCATGTCTCAACTCCTATCTGAATCCAAAGTGAACTGTTTTTAAGCTCACATAGATGTCTTCATCGAGCTGGGTCATACAGAAGATAAAGAGCAGATAACCCTAACACTCTAATAATAATATAATATAAGCATAATAAACAATAGCTTTGAAAAGCATATTGTCTAGTTCATGACATTGGATTGACACTAGGTATTGTTTGTGAAGTCTTTGTGTCTTGAAGAACCTTCAGACAGTAAAACTGGGCATCACAACTCATAAACATGATCACAGTTTGCTTTATGCTAATAGCAAGTGAACATTAAATATCAATAAATTGCAAAGCCTTAACTGAACCCTTCATTTGCTCTAAATTATGTCTAATGATGTTTTAACAACAACTCAGTTGATTGGCAGCACCTCCTTGCTATTAGCTCCTTGACAGTAAAAGTCAGCTGATTAATGGTTGTAGGTTCAGCTGCTGTCAGTTCTCTGGCTGGAGGACACGTCATCTTTAGCACACATTGCCTGGTCGTTTAAGACCTTCAGTTGTTCTCTTGCATCTTCATCGATAACTTATTTACCTATTTGGAAGTCTACTGTCAGGCTTTCTCTTTCCTGGTAATATTTTGTTTTACAGTCACACATTGGTACATATTCAAAGAGAGCTGCCTGTAGACACACAGTCTTCTCCTTCCAGTTTATATGGGCTGAGAGCCCTTCTCAAGGGCAACTGAACTGTAGTTGGGTCCAGGAAGTTTTTGTCCCTCTTCCTTGTGTTACTTCATCTGATTCGAACACTACTCAATGTAATTCCAGTTGCACACAGTTTGATACGAAAAATATAATTTAAGGCTCCGCTCTTCCAAGGAGAATACAAAAATGTGATTTGTTTGGGTGAGGGCTAATCTGTTTGTTTAGGCTGAGGTTACAGCACTGTGTGTGTGTGTGTGTGTGTGTGTGTGTGTGTGTGTGTGTGTGCTCTGTGATTATGCTCATACTTGTATGTTTTGTCGTCTCCAGCTGGCTCTGGGCCATGGTGCACGGCGCCTGCATGTATCAGCAGCGTACAGAGCCAAGGCCCAAGTGTCTATGAGCCGCTTTGAGCCCTCTTCCTTTGTCAACTATGAGAAGTTCCAATCCAACGTTGACATTGTGCGAAAAAGGTCAGTGTTCTCCTAGTCTACTCTATATTTGCTCTGGCTCACATCACTGTTTTCCTACAACACTTTCTTATCTGTGTGAATGTTTGACTGGTACCGTTTGTCCTTTGCCACAGTTTCTCATCATAGTTGTAGCTTTTATAGATGGTTTTGTGTTGGGTGTGGAGATCATTCTCTTCTGATTCTTCGGCCCTGTCATTAGTCCCAAGGTTTAGACTGCCATAAACTGCTAATTAGATAGATGACAGAATGAAGAGATGAGGGCTGAAACAGTGGCTTGCGATTTCACTGTACTGTGTGACGAAGAAAAATACTTTTCTACTAGGATCAAACTCAGGTTTTAATACCATTTCTACAGTGCTTTAAATTTAAATATGTAAAAATTGTCAGCATAACATATCTGCATATCACCTCAACTCTTTATACTCCAAATTGTTTTATTTACTTTATTTTTACAGCCACTTTTCAGCTGCCTGTATTGTTATCATCTTGCTTTTACCTGCTGAAACTTCCTATCGCATGGCAGCGACCTGAAAGGAATAAAATTCTGTTTAATTTTTTCTGTTTAGACTCAACCGGCCACTCACCCTGTCAGAGAAGATCGTGTACGGCCACCTCGATGACCCCCACAACCAGGAGATTGACCGCGGTCGCACATACCTGCGACTGCGTCCCGACCGCGTGGCCATGCAGGACGCTACAGCCCAGATGGCGATGCTCCAGTTCATCAGCAGCGGTCTGCCGAGGGTGGCTGTGCCCTCCACCATCCACTGTGATCACCTTATCGAGGCCCAGGTCGGAGGAGTGAAGGATCTGGCCAGAGCAAAGGTGAGGGATCTCATTTGTTTACGGTAAATATACTCAAAAGTAATGTGGTAATGACTTGTTAACATGCTTTTTCATCATGGTTCCCATCCTAGGAAGTCAACGAAGAGGTCTACAACTTCCTGTCCAGCGCAGGGGCAAAGTATGGAGTTGGCTTCTGGAAACCCGGCTCTGGAATCATCCATCAGGTATCATCACTTAGTTTGAACACAGTTCCTGGAAATGCCAGTTATTAAAGCCACTGTAGGCTAACATTCAGATTTCACGTACAAACAGATCATCCTGGAGAACTACGCCTACCCAGGAGTGATGCTAATTGGCACAGATTCCCACACACCAAATGGTGGCGGGCTTGGTGCCATCTGCATCGGAGTTGGAGGAGCAGATGCTGTAGATGTCATGGCTGGAATCCCCTGGGAGCTCAAGTGCCCCAAGGTTGGCAGAAAACAACATTTTTAACATTCTGTTGTGTGTGTCCTGTCACCCCTAGCTTAAATTTTACAGTGTTTTATTTCTTCAGTAACAGTAGCTGTTTTTCTTCACCACAATTAACTCACTGATCTCTTTCTCCAAGGTGATTGGTGTGAAGCTCACAGGCACCCTCTCAGGCTGGACGTCTCCTAAGGATGTCATCTTGAAGGTGGCCGGCATCCTGACAGTGAAAGGAGGCACTGGAGCCATTGTAGAATACCATGGGCCAGGAGTTGACTCCATTTCCTGTACTGGTTAGTAAAATAAAAAAGCCTTTTCAACCTGACTTCATTACACTTTAATATCTTTTATTAATTGTGTGGCTCATATTAGTATTCATATGTTTGGTTGTGTGATGTGATGTGTGTAGGAATGGCCACCATTTGCAACATGGGAGCAGAGATTGGAGCCACGACATCCGTGTTCCCTTACAACCACCGCATGAGGACCTACCTTGAGAAGACTGGACGTGGAGGTATGTTTAGGGCTTTAGGGCTCCTTCAAAATGTCATACAGTGTTAGAGTTTTCAATTTTATCACGCTGCATAGTGACAGAGACATGGGAAAACAAAATAATTACAAATTAGCCAATAAACTAATGGTAATGTAATTACCATTAATTGTCCTTAATTTGAATCTTGGTCACTTGTCAGCTCCCTCTATCGCCTTCCATCTGTTCTTTCGTTCCTATGTGAACTGGCAAAATTTCACAAAAGAATGTAATCCCAGAAAAATAATTAAATTACAAATATTTACATTACATTTAAACAAATTCAGTTCCCAACAAATTGAGGATGGGTAATCAAGATTACAAGAAAAATTGCTCTAATGACTTACAGAGGAAGTAGAAGTGTCTGTAATAGCATACTAAACTGTGTCTGTCAGTGCCTATTTTCATGGAGAGAGTTTAGTGTGACACAAGTGTCTTTAACACTCTTCTTCTTGTTTCTTCCCAGAGATCGCTGCCCTGGCTGATGAATACTCTGGATTATTGGTGCCAGATGAAGGCTGCGAGTACGACCAGGTCATCGAGCTCAATCTTGACGAGGTCCGTCTATTTTTAAAATGATCTTTTGGTGCGTCTAGGTTCAAAGTGGAGAACAACAACAAGTACAGGAGGTGTTGCCTTGAAGGAGAACCTGAACTTTGCACAGAAAAATTCAGAAATTGGTTTGCATTCGGTAGTATTTTTATAACCAACTAGGAACCAGACTGTTCTATTATTTTTACTGATCTTAGAATAGATGAAACTGGTATAAAATACTTTCTGTTAGATCTTTGAAGTCAGGAATGTTATTGGTTGTTACATCCAGGTCTTGCTGTCAGAATTTTCTTTAACACAAATGTCAATTACAATGTTTAGTTATTTTGAGAATAACTGAACCTTGAATGTTGTGTTGTTTCATTCTCTAGCTGAAGCCCCACATCAACGGACCCTTTACTCCTGACCTGGCTCACCCAGTGTCTGAAGTCGGCGCTGTTGCTGAGAAGAATGGCTGGCCGCTGGAGGTTAAAGTTGGTAAGAGCCGCCCAGCCTGCACAGCTTCAGTCATTCTCACTTTGTGCACGCTTTGTGTTCAGCAAGATAGTCTCTGAGATTTGGTCTGACCCCCTCCCATTTTAGGTCTGATTGGCAGCTGTACCAACTCCAGCTACGAGGACATGGGCCGTGCTGCTTCTGTGGCCAAGCAGGCTTTGGATAAAGGCCTGAAGTGCAAAGCTCAGTTCACAGTCACCCCCGGCTCCGAGCAGATTCGTGCCACCATTGAAAGAGATGGATATGTGAGTGTTGGTGCACAAAAAAAGCAAGGGGTTGCACCTCCCTTGTACTGATGATTTAGCTCTGGATTAGTTGACCAATGCTCAAAGGTGTTTGTGTCTTTCTGTAGTCAAAGATCCTTGGTGATGTTGGAGGTGTGGTCATGGCCAACGCATGTGGACCCTGCATTGGTCAGTGGGACAGGTAGGTGAAGCCATAACTTCGGAAGTGTTGATGCCATGACTTATGGTGTCAAAATAGTTCAATTTGACTCAATTGTTCTGTAACTTAATGTATTGTGTGTTTTTGCACTCAGGCGTGATGTGAAAAAGGGAGAAAAGAACACAATCGTCACTTCATTCAACAGAAACTTCACCGCCAGGAATGATGCCAACCCTGCAACACACGCCTTTGTTACCTCCCCTGAGGTAAACCCACACCAAACCAATCCATACCACTGGATGTTCAACCTCAAGCATACATTTTGAAGCTAAATACCATCCATCTCCTCCTCCTCTTCCTCAGATTGTCACTGCCATGGCGATCGCTGGCACATTGAACTTCAACCCAGAGACAGATTACCTCACAGCCCCCAACGGTGAGAAGTTCAAGCTGGAGCCCCCAAACGGAGACGAACTACCTGCCAAGGACTTTGACCCAGGCCAGGACACCTACCAGCACCCACCCCCTGACGGCCTCAGCGTTAGGGTGGACGTCAGCCCACAGAGCAACCGGCTACAGCTGCTGGAGCCCTTTGACAAATGGAGCGGGGATGATCTGGAGGACCTGAATGTCCTCATCAAGGTCAGGTCTTTTGAAAATGGCATCCCCCTGTTGGGATTTACATGTTCTCACTGCAGCCTGTGTTGAGAATGTTTTTAACGTTTCCCATTTCTGTCGACACAGGTGAAGGGCAAGTGCACCACAGACCACATCAGTGCTGCTGGACCTTGGCTGAAGTTCCGTGGTCACCTGGATAACATCTCCAACAACATGCTGATTGGTGCAGTCAACAGCGAGAATGACGGCATCAACAAGATCAAGAACCACCTGACAGGGGAATACGGAGGAGTCCCTGATGTGGCTCGTCACTACAAGGTGAGGACTACAGAGGGGGAAGGTACAGGTATTGGATTACTGTGCCGAAGCTGCTTTTTAGCGCACCACTGCTTTCCTCAGATAGTCTACCCTTTAGCATTGTTTTCATTGTGGATCAACACAAATAGAGGAACAATAAACTTCCTTTCCTAAAGCACTATTTATAGTGCAAATATGCATTGAGAGGTGCGTATAGAGCTGCAATGCTCAGTTGAAGTATCAGTCAGTAGACAAACAGACAATTAATCTGCAGAAATCCTGATAAGCAAGTTATTTTCAAGCAACTGTTCAATATCACAGTGAATAAAAGAACAAAAACATGGCAATTCAATTATACTTGATTCAAGTTTAAATCCGGCTTACTACTCTTTCCGTTCTGTTGTGTGTAGGCCAGCGGTGTGTCATGGGTGGTGGTCGGAGATGACAACTATGGTGAAGGCTCCAGCAGAGAGCATGCTGCACTGGAGCCCAGGCATCTGGGAGGAAGAGCCATCATTGTCAAGAGCTTCGCCAGAATTCATGGTACGAAGATGGCGTTACTGCCAAAAGATTCTATATATATTTTAAAAAAGTCTTAGAAGGCCAATTTTGGCAGTGTTCGGTTCATCTTCAATAGTGTTTTTTTTATTTTTATGTGAAGTAAGGAGTGTGAAATCTTTTTTCAAACTATCATTCTTTAAGTTAACAAACATGTTCCTCCTGTACTCAGAAACCAACCTGAAGAAGCAGGGTGTCCTACCTCTGACCTTCAACAACCCATCAGACTACGACAAGATCCGCCCTGATGACAAGATCTCCATCAAAGGTCTCAAAACCTTCGCTCCAGGAAAGGTGAGAGGGCATTACAGCTGAAAAGTGTCTTTTCTACAGCTGTTATTAATTAAAAGCGTCTTTAATGAGAACCTCTCCTCTTCCTCCCGTGCCCCCCAGCCTCTTAGCGCAGTCGTGAAGCACAGCGACGGCAGTGAGGAGACCTTGCAACTCAACCACAGCTTCAACGAGACACAGATCGAATGGTTCAAGGCAGGCTCTGCCCTCAACAGGATGAAGGAGCTGCAGCACTGAAGAAGAGAAATGAAGAGCAAAAATGTGGAGGACGATTTTCAGGGGAAAGCAGGGTGGGGAGGATTGTAGGGAAGAAAGGGGGATGAAGAATATAGATTCTGTTAATGATTGTTCCATCATCTGCATTTTCACACAGTTTGGACTGAAGTAGCGTGTCGGTATACCTCTAAGAGTTGTCAATAGATTACTTCAGACTAAGTGCAAATGTTGATGAAGGAACAATAGGAACTGGTCAGATATTTCTGCAGCCTTCATTAGTCAGTGCATAGTGTTCTTGAAGGTACTGTATGCTGCTATGTTTCAAAGTCAATCAGTGATACATTAGACATCAGTCTATTGTAAAAGCAAAGGACACACACCCACCCACATACACTTTGACACATTAAGCTTTGACCCAAGCCATGACATAGTACTCTGCCAGTTGATGTGCTGCCGGTGTTTTTGCAGCTGTTCAAACAGGTTCAGCGCAGCCTGGAAACCACTTCACACTGGAGCTCTGCCAGCTGATCACACTCACCCTGTTGCTTTAGGATTGTGTTGCACAGTGCATGGCAATAATAAGAAGCTTTAGTCAACCATTGTCATTCACCCTGAAGAGGTTAACACTGCTGTTGTTTGCATCTCTGGATCTATTGTTTAGTATATTTGTAGTTGTCAATGATCACATGGATCTAAAAAGAGAGCTTGTGGCCACACACATTCATTCATTTTCTCACATACTTGCCTTCCCCCTTGTGGCCATGATGAGATACTGTCGAGTGTAAAGGGCTCTGTAGCTTGCTAATTTTATCTAACTACCGACTTTGAAAGCAGCAGCTAGATGACACAGATGTTTTCTGGGTGTTGTTGAAGGCGTTCTTGGAAACGTAGGAAATCACAGAGAGATTAAGTGCAATCAACATAAAACTAAATTAGGCTAACATAGCACATTGAGTTCTGTGAGAGCATTTAAGGATCAGTTTTTTGTATCCCTGTCTTTTAACAAAGTCAAAAGGTTGCAGAGAACCATTGCAGACATTTCCTAAAATACTGAAGGACCTGTATACTTTAATACTGTGTAAGAATACAGTGACAAAACCCTCTTTTTCCTCAACTCCATCACTACAACCAACTTTTAAACTGCCCTCCTGATCAATCCTAACCTCTTTACCAGGTCAAATGCATCATATGGTCTTTCCCATTGTTTATTTATTTATACTTCTTCCTGCAAGAGGTTCAGATCTTGTGTGTATTTTACAAAACCAGTTTTCTTCTTGAACAGGGTAAACTTTTACTGGAGTCCTCTTCCATCCCATATTTTCAGCGCTCTTTCTGTCGGGTAACGAGTGATCCAATACAATACAATTAAATGAAATTCCCTCTAAAACCTCAGCATGAGGGGCCATTACGACAAAGCAGAAACAAGATGTGTTTTTATCCTCATCTTTACCATCACTGTTGGAGCCCATGAAACACAATGCAGTTTAGAAGAAGTTGTTAATCTCATGAAGTTATACCACTCTGTTCCTCTAGTCCACTGTATGTAGAGTGTCTGGTTCCATGTACATTTAAGTGTTTGTGGTTTTATTTGCTCCCAGATTATCTTTTCTGTGTTACAGAAATGCCAATGGGTTGTAAAATAAAAATTCACCGATCTCATATATTTATATTGGCTCAAGTGATGTGACTGAAAATCTGTCTACGGTCGAGTTACTCGTATTTGTAAAGCCGTACAGTGACACACAGATCCATCCTCTTTGTTAAAACTCAGTCAATATATATGTACGATTGTACATTGAAAGAATAGTTATATTCAAGAATGAAGTGTTTATCATCTCTGCAAATGTATATGTGTGAATCCTTGTATCCTGTTTTGAGTGACAGGTTCCTGACAGCTCAGATGTATCTGAACATCAGAGTTCACACGTCTGGGGAAAAAAGGAATAAATAAGGAATGCCTTGCCTTCACAGAGGAGGAAATTTGCATCCAACCTATTCATGTTTCATATTTAAAGGGGAAGTCGTGCTGTTTTTGATCTTGTTTACCAGCGCTTTGACTGCTCAAGAGTCAGGCTTCTATTTGGAGTATAGCACAGAATCAGGCATGGTGATATACACACAGGACATGCTGTCAAGAGTATGGCCTTTCAGAGTAGAGGCTCAGGCCTGAATACATAAAGCAGTGCATGTGTGTGCAAATGCAGCATACAAATACCCTGCCACTGCTGACACTGATCAGCTGAAGAGATGTAGGATAAACTGGATAGGAAACCAGTCTAAAGAGCATTTAAGCTATATATTTCCTCACATGCCAAACTTCTATTCATTATCAGGTCCCAAGTGGCCATTTAAGAATGTTGTCATCCCTTCAAAATAAAATGCTTGTCTCCTCCTATCCTATCTGTTGACATTATAGAGGTGTTAATTTAGTTTTAGCACAGGTCACAGTTAGTGATGGTCTACTGGACTGTCTTATATTCAGAGTTGTTTCTAATATTCTGCCTACTTCATTTATTGGAAAGGACTAAGAGGACCTCTAGATATTTTGCAGTCCACTTTTAACAGCCTCAATAATAAACATATAGATACATTTACACAACAATGTCAACAATAACTGAACATTACATTCACTTCTAGAAGTCAGAGTGGATGGCAGAGTAACTGTAACTGTTGCAGTAGATTACACAAGTATTTTAAAGTGACCACTGGGTGTGTATGTGCAGATCATGGTGCAGATGGTACTTTCCACCGTCATTTGCGACGCTACATGATGTCATCAGAAACGTCACGGAAGGAAGTGGTCCATTGAAGATGAATGGGAGACTTTGTGGGAAAGGAGCATGGATGTCAGTGAATATTTTGTTTTGTTTCAAAGCTGTCAGACAGCCTCTAATATAAAACATCCATCTCATTTTAAAGGGAAAATCTAAATGTACACCAGTATGACGGGATACATTTAAATAAATAATAATAAACAAGGGGAAATAACATTGGAAAGCACTGCATAGCTTTATGAAGTTTGGGTTAAAATGAAATGGCATATATTATAGCATATACACTGCAAAGGCTCAAACACTCCCTCACTTGTAACAGGACTACATTTGACTTTCAGATTGTATTTTAAAGGACACTCACGCACAATATCTGCATGTGTATTGTGAGATGGGCAAATCCAAATAAATAAAAAAAGACAGGCAGTCCATTCAGCATCCAATTAAATCTCACAAAGTCTGGAGAAGGAAAAAAAGCATTAAGAAACGTTTCGATCCCTGAAGAGAACAAAGAGTGGACTGTAGTGTGGTGAAGCCCGCTGTTGTTTTTAGCACAGTAACCCCCTGCACCCCCCCCTCCCCGCCCCATCCATCCCCGCTGCTGCTGCCTCCTTTTCATTTGCTGCCTTTTCATCCCGCCTGTGTGCGCCGCATCCATACCAAGATCCCCTGACTTATTCACCACATGTCCCCGCTGCTTGCACCGGCTTTAATTACATAATTGCCTCATATCAGCTCAAGAACAAACCCGGGGGGGCCACACCGCCGCGTCTGACCGGCAGCTGATCGGCTCTTTGGACGGTAAGTAGATCGTGTGATCGATCGGGGGTTTTTTATGTGTGATTTTGTAGCGTGGCTTTACACATCCAAGCCCCCTTTATTCTCTGTCTGAGAGACGGCGTCGCTTCATGGCAGTGCTGTGATGAAATGTGTTTAACTCAGAGCAACACATTTACCATCTCAACCCGCATCTTTGTGTGTGTGCGTGTGTGTGTGTGTGTGTGTGTGTGGCGGTGTTTTATGCGGGTTTTTGGATTCTGGTGTCACATTATTATTTTTAGTTTGAGCATCCTTTCACCTCCTTGTCTCAATCTGTGTGAGAATGTTCTGGAAACAACCCGCCTGGAGGGCTTTTATTTTGTAGTGAATTATTTAAGCTCTGCCAGGCTCACATTCAAACAAATCATACCATGAAACACAATGTGTGTCCCTTTAAAAGGTTAATATAAAGTTTAAAGACTGGCTCCCGTGTGTGTGTGTGTGTGTGTGTGTGTGTGTGTGTGTGTGTGTGCAGAGTAGTTGACGTGTCTGCAATGCTAATGCAGGGAAACACAGACAGCCACAGTGCCCTGGTTTCACAGGGAGGTGCTTTTGGCCTTTTGTCTGTCTTTTCAAAGATCCCCCTGCTCTCTTTTCCCTCGCTTCAGTCCAGCCCTGCGATCCTGCTCCTCTTTTCTACACTGCAGCCTCCCGATTAAATGTTTTATCCACTCATCTGACACACAAGCACTGCCGACTCATTAAAGGAGTCCACTTGCTGGCCCTCTCTCGGCCTGGGTAAGAGGGGCCAATGAAAGAGGGGCTGATCCAGTCAAGTTGCTGAATTATTTAGGTTACATATTTATGCCTTGTCATCCATCAGTCCTCTCCCCTGTGCCACCATGATGACAGATGAGTGCGTTCATCATCACTGCATCAACACCATCCAGCATGATACCGGGGGGGGATATAAGCCCTGCTCATCAGCCATTTGCAGGATCTTTTGGCTAAATGAGCTTAGAGATTAAAGCCACTCCTGTGATGATGCTGGAGACCTTTGAACCCTTGTACTATTTGGACATTTGGCCATGGCAGACAGAGGCCAACCTAAACCTCACTAGTTCTCTACACATGGTACTCTAAAGTATAATTTGCCCTTCTCTAATCCCCTGTTTAATCCTGTCGATAGGGGAAATATGTTTTTTGAAAGAATAATAATGGAGCCGTAAGGTCTTCTCAAGGATATATGACGGCTACCTCACAATTACTTCCTCATTATTTAGTCAGAATGTTTGCTTATATACACTACTAATATAAATCTATACAACCCACCAAGAATAATCCTTACTGTTGACCTTTTTATAGTTTTTGCATTGTTTCTCTTTAACTGATGCACAACAATTCCCAGAATCATAAATGAGGTTATATTTGATCTTATCTTATATTACCCATAAATGTCACCCTGCAGGACATTTATATGTTAATATAAGTTAAATTCATGTCAATTGTTACTCCTGTAATGCAAAATCTGAAAATTATTATCGATAACGTTACTTTTTATTTTAGTTTGTTTGACAAATCCTTGATGTAAAGGTATCATTCTACCGACAAAGACTAAGCAAATATAATACATACATCCTCAATCAAATCGCCCCGAGTCAAACATAAAAACTAGCCCCTAAGCACGCTACGGGTCCAAGAACCCGACTGAAGGCAAACAGGAAAAATGCTAGCATGCTAACATGCTGAACTAAAACACTGAACATGGTGATACCTGCTTAGCATTAGCATTTTGTCATTGTCATCATTTGTCATCATGTTAGCATGCTGACGTTAGCATTTAGCTCAAAGCACTGCTGTAACTAGTACAGTCTCAGAGCTACTGTGACACGGCTGTACTTCTGAAGATCGCAAAAATTAACGCAAGTATCTGCGTGACCTTGCAATTTTGTCCAATCACTGCAACTTTTCCACAAATTCGACCAATCAGTCCCCTGTCCAAAATGTTGAGCTGTACACTACCAAACTAATACCAATTTTTTCTTTTCTTTTCTCACTGGAACAAGTTGCGTTCAATTTTTGATGAATTATGCAAAAATCCCAGTTTATTTTCACAATGTTCACTCTCTCCCACAATGTCATTGCAAAAAAATGCCTAAAACCATCACTACATGCAGTGTTTTAGAAAGAAATTTGGCATTTCAGGTCGCAACTATCCCAAAAAAACCCTGTGAAATCCAGGAGGGACTGTTTGATGTGCACAGGTGTCTTCCTCATACCGCAGAAGGTAGAGAAACAAGTGTCCATGTTGGTATTGACTTGAATTTTAGCTTCAATTTTAATAAATGTAAAGTAAAACAATTCTACCATGTAAAGCTAACCATTCATTTACAATAAGTCCTCTGTTTTGAGTTTCTAGCATTACTTTAAAACCATTAAACTGTATATTAAGAGAGATTCCAAAACACTTTTAGTCTTTAGTCAATTTATTAACCCCCACATTGTTTTCTGTATTCATATTTATGTTATTGTATAGACTATTGCTCTAGTTTTCTTAAGTATATCTTCATCATTTCTGTTTAGAGTTGTACATGCTGCTTTCTTAAATAAAGGCAAACATTTTACAATGAGATATTAGTCATCAATGACAGTTACAGTCAATAAGCAGATCACTGATACTAACCTCTTCAAATGCAGTAAAAGATTTTATTGCAGGGTTGAAACCTGAACAACACTAATATAAATTATCTTCTAGCAGAGAGAAGTGAAAGATTGGAGCTTCTGTATCTCAGAGTCTGCATTTATAAGTGTGTACACATCCCAACACAGGCCTCTTGACCTCTTCCTCAGTCCAGCGTAAAAGCCAGCTTCCATCTAAACATACATACAGGCACAAGCTGCTATATTTAGACTGACAACGAGAGAGGCAGAGTGTGATATTGAATAGAGCCTGTGGGATTCACTCTGACACACACTGAATTCATTCAGCCTGCAGATGTTTCATCAATATTAAGATTCACTGGGAGGCGGCTGCTGATAACCCCAAGAACACATCCACCAGATTTCAGCGTTAACCTGTGTAGAACACTGCCCTGCAGCCCTTTGTATTTGTACTGAGTGGCAAAATGATGAGCTAGATAATAACACACACATTGCAACTCCCAGTTACAAAATGATAATTGGGTTTGTGTCATTGCATGGTGGCCGAGCTCATCCGTCATAAAATGACTGGCTGAAACGGTTCGGAGAGCAGCTTGTTGTTTGAACACACCCCGTAAGGAGCAATCCTGTAACGCATGTCAGTCTTGCGTGAGTGGGGATTTTAATATGATAGAGTGTGATGAGGCGAGCCGAGGCCCTCCGGGGCTGGATTTTTATTTACATCATCTTGGGACCTTTTCAAAGCCAGCAGGATCACAGTCTGGCGCTTGGAAATCAAATTGCTTTGTTATCCTCATTTTGTCCACAGAATCATCCAGCTGTTGCACAGCTGGTTTTATATCTACAACCAAGGAAAAATGACTCCGAAACACTTTAACACAGGCAACAAAAAGGGCAGCTTTTAGAGCCTGTGTCCGTTTGTGTGTGCGCTTGTTTTCCCTCACACAGCCACAATAGAGTCTGACTGGAAACCTTTAAATTAAAAATCAGTTTTGGTGTCAGTCAATGTTTAGCACCAACATTTAAGATTCATACAGAGAAAAATCCATCGTGAGGCACCAAGAATAATTTCTACACTGACACGAGCCTCCAAGGAACAGAATGCAAAGCAGTCAGAGTACATTGTTGTATTTTGAGGAAGACTCTTGTGATTCTGGATTAGTGGTCCACAATATGTCACTTTAATATTATAAATATGCCTGATCAATGACACTGAGTTAATATGTGGATGGTTCTTTTGTTCATTTTAAGAGCTCGAGTTTTGTATTTCAGCTTTATGACAATGCATTTTTAGATCATCCATTGTGTGTGTTTTTTTCTTAAATGGTTTATTTATCCTAAAAAGTAAGACATTAGTCTGAGCTCATGAAGGAGCATTTTAATCCTTCTGTTTATCTGAACTTTTCCAATTCACCATATACGGAGATTTCAGTGGACTGCCTCTTTGAGTTTTGGGAAAGAGTTGATATCTCCCTCAGTGTGTGTTTCTAAAACCTCTAATGATGATTGAAGGAAGCTGGTTTCCCCTTTTATTTACGTATTTACAAAACCTTTAGTTGAGGCAGCTGTGTGATAGCATCTTACATGAAAACTTTAAGGATCCATCAGCTGAAGAAAATGCAACAACAATGACTGACTGTCATGACTCAATGCTTTTATTTTTATATTTTATGTCTGGTAATTTACTTACTTATCTCTAGTAGAACTGTAGAATCCCGGCAGTGTGTATTAATAGGTCAGGACAGATAGGCCACTAATAAATCACTGTTTTCAGACATTTGCATCTGCACCAAGCACACAGTTCCAGTGCAACACACCAGTTTTGCTGGTGAAATTTTCAAATATCTGTATGAGTACTGGCCAAAGTGACCATGAAAATGATTGGTACTTGATTGGTAGTTTGTGGGAAAGTACAACCAATAAGTAATTTATAGCGCTTAAAGCTGCAGTAGGTTACTTTTATAAAAAATAACTTTTTGTCATATTACAGAAACTATCACTATATCCTGACAGTAGCACATGAGACAGATAATCTGTGAAATGATCAGGTTCCGTTGGCTCGTCCAAGTGCTCCCAGAGCCGAGAACAATAGTTAACTGTTGGGTCTCATTCCCAGGTCGTCAAATACCTTTAAAGCTTTAAGGATGAAATAACATTTGAAGGTTACATATGTATGTCTGTATGTCTTTGTCAACCTTTGATATTTAATAAAAACCTTTTTTCCCCTTGTTCCTTTACTGCAGGGTGCTGTTGCTCCACTCCTCCACCTATAAGACCTCCTCCCTGAACATCTCCCCCACCCTCACACACATACTTGCCATGCAGGAGGTGTAACCCTCCTTCCTCTACTTCCATCACACACCATCGGAGGAGACACAAAACAGAAAAACAAAAACAAAAACAAAAACAAAAAATCCCAACCTGTAACTAGTCAAGATGTCAGACCCTGATGCCTCCTCACCGGCAGACCCGCCACTGCCACTCACGTCCCCCCGGACCCCCCTGCAGCTCTCCTTCCCCTTCCTGAGGGAGGGCAGTCGGGTATGGGAGAGGGAGAGAAAACCTCCACAGCCTGGAGAGCTGCCCAGCCCACTGCCCACCAAACGTACCCGCACATACTCAGCGTGAGCAGAAGGAATCTTGTTGTATCTTCTTTTTATTGTGCAATATATTTACTTAAATAATGGTTAATAATTTGTTTATTATTGCTTTACATGTCAGCAATAGGTTTTATGATGTATAAATAAAACAGGCAGGTTTGTCTTGAGCCCACAACCAGAATTCAGAAATGTTCTATAACATAATCTTTTCTCAACAGCTTTCACTTTAATTATAAAATATGCCACTGACCCATTAAGGTGATAAAAAAGTCTTGTGGTAACGATTTATTTCTCCCTGTGTGTCTGTCCATGTCTCTCTTTCTCTGCAGGACAGTGCGAGCCAAATCAGGTCCAGTATTTAAAGGAGTGTGTAAAAACTTCTCCAGGTCTCAGGGTCATGGGTTCATACGCCCCTCTCACGGGGGAGAGGACATCTTTGTCCACATCTCTGAGTGAGTGAATTTGTTTACACTGTCAGGTTTTGGTTTTGTCTCGACTTGTGGCCCCTTTGCTGCGTGTCTTCCCCACTCCCTCTCTCTCTCTCTCTCTCTCTCTCTCCCCCTCCTGTTCTGTCACTCTTCAGCTGTCGTTATCAATTAAAGGGGGAAAAAAAGATTTTCCATTAAGATGAGTTTATTACTTATGGGGAGAAAACAGTTGTCTAATGTGGTCTGTCTGAATAGTCTAAAAATATAACCACTGATTATGTCATAGTATGTCATCAGGGTAATCTCAGTTTGATTTCAGAGATTACACATTTATCAAAGAAAATTGTGACAGACTGAGTGTGCTAGTCTGAAAGACATGGCCTTTTACCAGACAGGGAAGGTCTAAAAATGTGATCCAGTTGCATTATGGGAAGTGTAGAAGCCAGTGTTTTCTGAAGTTTGACCCATACTACATTCTAAAGTCAAGCTATATCCGCCGTGTCGAATTTGATCATCAATATTCAAATCTGTCTCTAGAAAGTCCCCCAACTTTATGGTAGTAGAGTACTAAATAGCTGGATTACCTGCAGCACGTTGATGCCTTGAGTTGGTGGAGCTGGAGGTTAGCGATGGAGGAATGCTAAAGAAGTCACATTACCTGTTGGTTGTCACTACTTATATCAGCTCTCATACCCGGAAGGTTACTCATTCCAATTGGAGAAGGAGAATAACGTTTATTCCATGGTTGGAGACTTTATGTTTAAAAATTCTTTCTGCCCATGAATGAAACAACAGCACTTTGTTGTATTTGTAAATGTATTTGTGTTTCCTGGACAGCATTGAGGGAGAGTACGTGCCTATGGAAGGGGATGAGGTCACGTACAAAGTGTGCCCTATCCCACCCAAGAACCAGAAGATCCAGGCTGTCGACGTGGTGATCACCCACCTGAACCCCGGCACCAAACACGAGACCTGGTCAGGTCAGATCATCAGCTCCTAGACCAGTGCTACAGGTTGCAAGGCGGCAAAGGCAAAGGGAATTTGAATTTAATTTTAGGTTTTATGTTTTCCGGGTGTGAGGTTTGGGACCAGGTCTGGCGAAGAAGGAACCGAGCTTGGCGTACCACTGAGTTCGGCCTGAGGTGGCTCGGTTATGGAAGGGTGTTGGTGAAGTATAAAGGTTATGGTTGGAAATTAAGCTTTGAATGTATATGTTTGAATGTTTTCCTTTGAAGGTCATGGATTCATCATTTGGGTTTGAATGTTTTAATTTAGGGTTTGAATGTTGGGGTTTGGTGGTTAGGGTTCAGGGCCTTGTGCTAGCATTTTTTACTTTGACCTAGGGAATATATTTTAGTTTGAAAATCAATGTTAGGGAAACGATCTCATAAATGAGTTGGGATGCTTAAGAGGCCGAATCACATTTTGAGCAAATTTGACCCAGTTTTAGCTATTTTGCCACTCCATGGGCATACTACAGAGAGGAGAGTTTCAAGGGACCAGCTCAGTGGAGTTCTGGATTTCAATCCCACTTTTATTTTTGACAACTAAGCAACCAACTGATAAAAATTACATGCCACCATTGCCAAAATAAAGAAAGAAAGAAAAGATCTGATTGAAAACATGTACAACTTAGCCATATTTGTCCGTGTTTACAACAACAGATGGCGATGGCTGCCTCGCTGTTTTAAAAGGAAACAAAGAGAAAAGTAAATTTGTTCCTCTTTTTTATGATCGGGCTTGGCTTAACGTGAAAGGAACAGCTGCTCAGATATGCCTCCATCTCACTGCCTTCGGAAAATCGAAACATTTTCAAGATGCTTTTTACATACCACAAAACCCTGATGCCAAATGAAAACAGTAAATGCACTTACAGTGGAAAGTAAGCTTGACAGAGATCCAAATAGCTCTTAATGTGTTCCGGCCTCAGGAGCTGTGATAAGCTCCACATATAAGGAATTATTTTCCTTCTTAATATTGTAGCACTACTGTATTTTGTCTACTTGGCAAATGTAGAAATCCAGTATTATTGTAGCCAGCTCCTATGACGGTCTTAAGTTTTGGTGGTAGAGACAGTAGCTGGATGTTGTGTGGGCCTGCCACTAGGAAACCAGGCCAGAGGGTTTGGGGTTAGGGAAGGAAACCAGAGAGGGAACAGGCAGAGGATGGAGTGATTACCTATAGATGTACTTGAGCACGGACACAGCTTGGTTTGAAACGTTACAAAGCACGTGTAAGAAAGAAGGAAGACCATGATCAAAGTCAGCAGTTCTCAACCTATGGGTTGTCAGGTTAACTTGATAATGTTAGTTCAAAATTTTGTGAAATATGCTTAGTTGTTTTCCTTGCTGAGATTTAGATGAGATGATTGATACCAGTATATACCTGCATGCCAAACATGAAGATACAACCTGCAGCTGGTTAGCTTAACTTAGCCCAAAGACTGAGAGACAAAGGTAACTGAATCTGTCTACAAGCACCTCGAAAAGATGTTATATAAGTGTTATAAGAAATGACAGTCTTTAGGCTTTGCCAAGCAAGCTGGCTGCTAACTGTATATAGCTTTATATTTAGCATAGCTATGACTGGTATTGGTCTTCCCCTCTAAGGCTGGACTTTATTATTTAAAAGATAAAGTTTTAATGGCAAGATTTTTTTACGTTTTATATTGTTGTGATAAATGACTCCCTCTTTTGAGATTGTCTTGATATTGATCAAGTAAAGCAAAATAACAATCAACCACATCAAATTTGAGAGAGCAATGTCAAGCTGAGGAGGATGAGCTGCTGATTTTTAGGTGGAAAGTTAAACATTGGGGAGTCCAGTAAGTTTCATACGTCATGGCAAATGACTGTAAAATAAACTGTTAAAAAAAAAAAAACAGAGCAGCAAAAGCTTCCTGAAAAATACTATTTATTTATTGACTTATTTATTTTCATTTGTAACTATGAAACCATCAGGTGTTTGGTAATTAAAAGCTGCATTTATAAGTATTTGTGCAAATTTAAGCCTATTTGAATACACTGCACACCTTACTCTAATGATACTACCCTGTTAATATCCCTTTGCTACTGTCATGTCATCACTGACGGGCAAAAAAAAAAAATACCTTCAACCTTTCCAAACACAAGTTTCTAATTTCTACATAATCCTCGTCTAATTTTCAATAACTATGTGATGTTCAAAATAACAAGCAGTCTTGTTGTTTTGGAAATCGGCATGTTCTGTATTGTTTGTCGTAATTTTTACGTAGGATGTGTTGATTCTGTTTCAACATGCAGTAACGCAGTCGGAGCCTTCAGATAGGCGTTGTCGGGTCTCATATGCATCTTTGATTTCTTGCCATGAGTGTGACTTAATATCATAGTAACACACTGTATCTGTTTGGTTCCTTTACTGTGAGAGAACTCGATTGAGTTCGCAACTTTTATTTTTGTCAAGTCTTTTGTCATTAAGATAATGTTTGAATAAAACTTACTACTGTATTCACAGACCAGTGTGGGAATGTGTTTATTTTTTCGATTATATAGGGCAAAGACTGTTCTCATTTTCCCTCTGTCTGTCTACTCTTCACTGGTCTTTGTACAAAGTGGAAAAACTAGGGCGGTTATTTTGAGAGCCCTCTTTCACAAAGTTTTCGCTTTGCCTCAGTGTCTCAGACAGCTGTTTGGGATCTTACAAAATGTTTGTCTTGGTTTCTTCTGGCACAGACTGTGTTGTGTCCATGTCTGCTTTAGAGTCCATTAGAGGACAACCCACAAAAAAATCTGCTAGTTCATTACGTAACTGTCCGCAGTGTGCTTAAAACACACGGATCAATAAGAAAATCATTTATTTACATTTACTTCTGTGGCTGTAAGCAGGTCTAAAAAGACTTTATAAAAGCTGTTTAGATTGCTGGCCAAATTGTGTGTAACAAAAAGCAAAGTAAGCACATGCAAAGAGGCAAAATGGACTTAAAAGGTAAATTAGACTGGCTTGAGAAGAAACAGGCTGCCATAGACCTGACCTGGCAACCCACACAGCAGACTGGATTTCTTCTTATAGCGCTGAAGGAAGTATAGTTAGATCATTTACTGAAGTAAAGCAATAACACGCTGTTCTCCACTACGTTGTATTGTATGGGTGTTTTACTATTGCTACTATAATATATAGGCCTACTATATTATTAGATCATTATTATTGATTTCACTGCTGTAAAAGTAGCATTTTACTGTCGTAGCTGTTTAATGTTAAAGTTGTTTATGTAAAATCTTAATTGGTAAACTAAATATAGCTCTGAAATAAATGTAGTGGAGAAGAAGTATAAAGGAGCATAAAAGGGAATTACTCAAGTAAAAGTACCCCAGACTTATAATTAGAGACTATAATAATGATCCTGTTCAGATGATCTTCTTCAACATGTTAATGGAAATCAACTGACACCTGATATCTTAATATTCAGTAATGAGATGAATGATTAAAAACATGCCTGATGTTCTATAAGAACCCTCTCTCTTGAGCTTGTTGTCAAATTACATCCACACCAAAATAAAGAGGGTATTATTTTTTTAATTTTGCTTTTTTACTAAACTCTGACCACAAGATGTCAGTAATGTTTAAAGTTCAGCGTTCCAACTCAATCTCTGCTGTGAAGGAAAGTAGTCTTTTCCACCGGAAACGGATGGAGTAGATGTAGAGTACTTCACTTGTCTTTTGTGGAGAACAACAAATGTTTCTGCCCTCAGCATTTATTATTAAATGCAACAAAATAAATTACATCTGCTCTCAAATATGTTTCCATTGGCTGCTATGGTTGTACTGGAAACATTACCAGTTAGAATAGAGCTTAAAAAATCAGCCTGGATGGAAATATGAGAAAGAAAGTGCTCATCTTTAAACAACAGTGGGTCTAAAGTACTTCCTTATAACATTTTAATTTTGAAAAGCCACCTGAGGAACAGGTCTGAGATTACAATGCTTTGATAGGCACATTTTCTCAAATTAGGGTTAGTCAGTTCTTCTCACGCTTTATCATTACAACACTGTGGGTTGAAAACGTATTGCAGTATGATTTTAATGCTTTGTTTGTATTTTGTTCAAGCTCAGACACAGGCATGCTGACAGAGAGCGGCACACACACATAGAAACTTAAAACAATGAACAATTAAATATCTTATTAAATAGACTAGAAAAAAAGAATACATTTAATAAACTTGAAAACTTTACAAGGAAACAAATGAATTATGACAAACTAAAGCCGGGGATGTTTCAGGTGTAAAGGGAAATCAATTCAATAGACAATGATAATAAAAAAAATGAAGAAAGCAAACACGATGATAACCATAACGAGGCGGAAAAGATAGGACTTTGGTCAGATTCATACAGACTGTGTGTTTAGTCTTCAGATGTGACGTTTTATATCGACCTGCAGCCATGTTTCATAGGAGCCAGATGAAGATTTTAATTAAACACTACAGCATCTGAAAGATCAGCCAGAAAGAAGGAACTATCAGAGGAAATCAGCTACAGCAGGGTCTGTTTGATCATCTCTTCATCACCTGACCCACAGTACATTCAGCTCTGACCAGATCATATCACACTGCAATAATCATACTAAATGAGATCCATTAACAATACGTATTAAGTAAGGTTCATTCAGTCGGTCCTGATATGAAAAATGAAGGTGAAAGTCCACACTCAGCTTATGGGCTCGAATACAGAAGCACCGTTGCAAATTATTGCTTTGAAGAAATAAGTAATACAATAAAAACAAACAGGGACAAAAAGGTACAGGTCTCCACTGGATGATAATTAACAAGATACGTATGTTATCAGTTATTATAAGGAGTTAGGGGTGAGTGGCAGCAGTTGGAAATTTGTAATTTAATATATAACGTCCCATATGTTACACCATATCAGTGCAACCACAGAACAAGCTGAGTCAGAATCAGGCTCAGTGAGTGGATGAGACATTTAGATCAGAAATATAAAGACATACATGAAAAACAATCCCTACATGTTGTTTCTCTACCAGCTCCAGTTCTGCTCATTTGTAAAAAAAAACATTTTCTTTTTTATGTATTTTAAAACAAAACCACAAACCCTATTTAAACCTTTACCCGGCCCATCACCATCCCAGCTGGAGAAACAAAGGGAATGTTAATCATGGTGACAATAATGGTGGAACAATATGCTGAGAACAAGATCAACACCACTGGAGGAAAATACAAATAAAACATATGAATGAAAATTAAGTTGTTTTGATGAAGCATGTTTTTATTGTTTTCTTTTTCCTATTTTAAATCAATTACAATGCAGACATATTTAATATGAAACAAAACACACACACACACACACACACACACACACACACACACACACACACGGACACACAAACACATAGAGAAGGTGAGTTGAGATTGTTTCAAGTAATGAGCTGATAATGAATTCCTGTCATAAATTCTGTGTGTGTGTGTTGTGTGTGTGTGTGTGTGTGTGTGTGTGTGTGTGTGTGTGTCTGAGCTATCAGTGGGTGACCAGATTTCCCAGGCCTCCACTGCATGATGTGACTCATCTATCAATCTCATTGAGGGAACCAAAGCTAACCAGTAAATAAAATGTATAAGTGTGTGTGTAGATGTGTGCATGCATGCGCATGTGTGTTTGTGTGTTTGTGTGTGTGTGTGTGTGTATGTCTTCATGTGGATGTAATGGGTCAAACACCAGAGTTAATTGACTGTGTTTAACCTGATCATTTAGACATGTATTAAAGGTTGAGTGATATTAGTTATGAGGAATAATTTACTTTGGTCAGTCTTCATCAGTGTCTGTACTAAAGGGTGTGGATTACGTACGTGGTACAAATAAATAGCACAAAGCCTGTGAGAGAAGTGTGTGTGCTTTTACAGCGCGTTATCTGTGATAAGTTTTATGATCAGACCAACCTTTGCTCTTCTCTTTTTTTTCTGTAAAGTATTTTTTTTGGCTTTTATTGCCTTTATTTGATAGAGACAGCTTAAGACAGACAGGAAAGGGGGACAGAGAGAGAGAGAGAGGGGATGACACGCAGCAAAGGGCTGCAGGTTGAATTCGAACTCTGGGCCGCTGCAGCAAGGACTCAGCCTTGGTACATGGGTTGCCAGCTCTACCCACTGAGCTAACCGGGCGTCCCTGCTCTTCTCTTTTCTCTCCTTGCCTTCCTTTTCCTGTGATATCTTTCAGAACTTTACAAGCTTTGTCTGTGTTTGCTGTCTGCCTGTCTCTGACACATACAGTAAAAAAACCTGCACACTCATGTCGTCTGCCATTTGCAGGATGGCCTCAGAAGTTCCTTACAAGTTGTTTTTGTCTCTTAAAAAAGCAGTAGTATAGTCACTATCTTGATAAGCTGTAGGTAATAAAACAGAACTTTCAAATGAAGATTAGCTATTGCAAGGTTTTACACTTCGGTGTTTGTACGGATTAAGTTAAATAAATATCGGAGATGCAAGGTGGATTCCATTACCACTGAGCAGAGCCATCCGTTTCTCATGTCTTTCAGTCTTTGTGCTAATAAGCTATCCATCTTGTTGAACTTTTTCTGTAAAATGCACTTCACTCAGAGTATTGCATCAACTTCTCTCTTGAAAATCAACTTAATAATACTAATAATTGAGGGACGGAATAAACCTCAGTGATGTGTCTGTTGTGGGGCCTGATTAATGGGTGCATCTGCTAACCACCACCTTAGTGGCTGTACAGGACTAGTTCCAGATATGTTTCATGTGTGCATGGCCTCACCATCCCCATGCTGTTGAAAGTCAGTGCAGCTTATTTTAGGCCTACATTACATCAAATATCCAGTTTCTCATTGATTAACTGAAGCATAGGATTATTATCGGTGGCATTCTCTTTAAAAATGCTTTGAAGTCTGTGTTTATTAGCAGCAAGCACACAACCATGCAGCTAAAATCTGTGCTGTGTGTTTGTGTGTTTCAGGCTTGTAATTCATGCAGACCTTGGCATAACCACAGTGAGAAGGTTATACGGCCCGCCTCTGTGTCTTTAAAGGTTGTATATTAACAGCTTGATGTGGAAAGGACAGGTGAGCGGCCACTTAAGAGGAACAGAGGGAGTGTGAATCTGAGAAGCAGACAACTCAGAGGAGAAAACAGACAAGGACGGGTACTGGATATTGCTCCTGTGAAATGCTCTTTCAGTGAGGACGTGGTGGATCAGACAAACTTTCATTTCTGGAATTCACAAAACAAAATTTAAGAGGAAGTTTTTGGAGAGTTTGGTGACTATAGACAAAACACTGAAAGCCTTTATCAGATCCCGGGCTGCCTTTAAGAGCTCAAAAATATAAATACGAGGAACTTCAGAGCTGGAAATGGGAGCAGTGTGGTGGTGGCTGTGTTTTTGTGTCTTGGGGATTCTTGCTGTTCCATGTCAGGGCATCAGACCAGAAGAGATTACAATTGATGTGATCCTGCTCGACGACGAAGCGTCTCCCTGGAGTCTGAAGTTTGTGAAAGGAGAAATAGAGAAGGCCATGGAGACTGTTAACACCATCAATACTTCAGGTAGGCCTAATAGAATAAGAAATACAACCTAAAGACAACTGCGTGTGCACACAGAATAATTATTGACTCAAAATGATATTATTGCAGAACATATTAGGTGACTGCATTGTTTTATGATGCGCCCTGTAGTGCAATAAAATGATTGATATATCTGTGTATATAATGAATGTGTGTATATTGCTTGTTGCATTTGAACATAACACCAAACCCGACACCCCACCACCGCCACGGCGTTGTATCACAGTTTGAATTCCTTGCATTCCAGCTTCTCCACTGTTTTCACTGTCAACCTAATTACACTAAATAAGTTATAACATCATTTAGATTTCAGGGTGCAGGTGAAGCAATGACTGATAACAGATATCTGTGTGTGATAAATTATAGGAAATGGGCCATAGGGATCATCCATAATGCGTATTTAATGTTTTATACTAGCTTAGCTGGATCTTTAGTCTGCCAGACAATGATAACATTTTATTAAGTTTATTAAGACTCACATAGACATGGTTGGATTAACCTGCTAGGGGCCCCTGGGTAAAACATTGTTGTGGGCCCTTATTGTTTGTGATAATTTGATGAAACACAGATTCATTTAGCAACCCGTATCGATCCACATACCAAGTTAACCAAATGACTACAAACCCATTGAAAATGAAGCTTTTGTGGCCCCTGAACATCTGGGGTCGAGGGAGGCTTTCCTGCTTTGCCCCGTTGGCTTCCCCAGAGCCACTAACATTTGCCTACTCTTTGATAAAGTAGCATTGAGGGTTGGCTTAAAAAAAGTAAACCACCATCAAACTGTATACAGATTACTGCATTTATTACAGCCCCATGCCCACACATTGACACTCATTACAAAACAAAAATATCATAAATCATGTTTTTTTCTTTCTTTCTATCTTTCTTTCTTTCTTTCTTTCTTTCTTTCTTTCTTTCTTTCTTTCTTTCCACAATAAAAGTTGGGCCATTAAATTTCAAGCCTAACTTTGAAGGGTTCAACACAACCTTTTATCGAAACAGAGGCTGTCGGAGTAGCGTGTGTGAGGGAGTGGCCAAGCTTAAAATCCTGTTGGTAAGTAGCTACAGTTTTATATCCACTCATGATACACTTATCGACTTGCCTGCATGCTTTGTGTGTACCTTGAGGAAATATTGCCCCCTACTTGGCATCTAATTGCATCTTGTGGACACATACAGGTTCATTTGTGAATACACATGTACAAACAAGGCTTGCTCTTACAGGATTCACAGAAACTTGGATGTTCTGTGCTTGGACCCACTTGCACCTATGCTACTTTCCATATAGTTGAGTAAGTGCCAGTTTTTCCATGGTCACATATATATCCCAACAGGGTTTGACATGAATAAATGTTACAGTAACTTATTCCTAAACAAGCTTCCCAACATTTGGCGGTCTTTCTGTTTTTCTCTCACCATCAGTGCGGACCAAGGTCTGAAGCACAGTACACCCATCCTCTCAGCGGGAAGCTTTGGCCTCTCTTGCGACAACACACTCAACCTGCAGCGCCTCTTGCCACCGGCTCGCAAGATCTCTGACTTTTTCATCAGCTTCTGGGAAGTCAACAACAAGATCAAACCTCCGTGGAAGACGGCCTATATTTACAAGAAACAGGGCTACAATGAGGATTGCTTTTGGTGAGTCACCCAGGGGATGCTTTTTAAAGAGCAACCCACTTTTGTGAATTAATTATATGTACTCTGACTTTACTATACTGTCAATTGTTTATTGCAATGGCAGGTCTTTTTTTTTTTGCAGCTGTTGTACATTTTGCAGGGGAATGGCTTTAGACCCGTTTAGCTTATGCGTTTCATCAACAAGGAAGTGTTCTGATGTTGTAATTTTGCCTTTTCACTTCACGTCTACACCAGAAGAGGGGATATCTTGTGTTGTGTGGATTGACATCTGCTGCTTGTGATCATGTTGCACCTACATTTTAGCATTTTATCTGAATGTGAACAGCTTCAGGACATAAAATACAACGTGAAGGACTGACAGAGTTGGAAGAAAATGAGATTTCTTCCAAAAAGCAGTCTGACAAACATCAGTTCTCCTGCACAGTTGGTCATGTTAGTTTATAATCATCATGGTGACTAATCAGAATGTGTCAGTGTTTGTGATATCATAACAGTGAGAGAAATATATGGAACCAAGTTTTTGGTAACAGAAATACTTCTCTTCTGGGACCTTGCTGATGTCTAGACAGACTGGTATGGCTTGTGTAGAAGAACAAAACAGTGATATCACAGTCCGTCACATGGCTTAGTAAATCTTCTGTTTTTTATGTGGTGATTTTCTTTTGCAGGTATATAAATGCTCTGGATGCAGGCAGGTTTCCTCTATATGTTCAGAGCAAGGTGCTATGGAAATTAGACGAGCTGAAAAAGGTACTTACATCATCCAACAGGACAAGCAACCGTAAGTCTTTTTAAAAATACGTACAACACACATCTCCTTGACTGATTTAACTGTACAGCTATTGTCATAGATGGAAGTGCATGTAATTATTTTACATTCTGTTTTACAAAATGTTATGGAATAAACTCACACGTCTGCACTTTTAAGGTGAACATATACTGTACAAAATGGTTGCCATTGTATTAGGTGACAAATTAAAAGTAAGGTATGCAACACATACTGTTTCCCAAACAGCGGAGAAGGAGCATTCGTTTCAGGGAGTAGAAGACAAAAATGGTGGTTAATATTGCTGTGAAAAAACACACCTCACACAAAAAGAAATGTTGTGTTCAGTTTCTGCACAACATGAAAAATAACATATAACAGAACATTAACGTTTCTGGTCATGAATCTGGATATTTTAACACTCAGTTCACCACATGACATCAAATGGACATGACAGTGAAAGTATTACTTATACATGAATGTTTACTCTCATGGTTTCGGCTTGAGACACCTAGGTCTTGCCTCATGCTGCCCAAACAAATCTCATGCCAAATAAGGGGAGCCAGGCGCTCATTGAAGGATACATATTTAAAATTAACTTCCCACTGGATGTGCACAGATCTCAATCTCTTGATGAGATGAAAGGATAATCTACAGGTCACACTGTCTACAATTTCCTACTGAAAAAATAATAATATGAAAACTAAAATAATTGCATTCACCCCAATATTGCACTGGGGTGAGACAGAAATCTCAGAGAGGGATATCTCAGCCAGTTAGTGAAGGGCACTGCCTCGCCTGATGTAGAAAAAAGCTCCAGCTGCTTGACAAAAGTAAGTTTGACTTTCAGAGGTTGATAATGATAATTTCCCCACTTCAGACATTCAAAGTATGACCATAAACCATTGAAACTTATAACTTTACTCCAAACCACTCAACCTATTAACTTTGTCCAGAACTGTCCTTTCCAAAGTTACCAAATATATCATGTTGAACAGCTTTTGCTTTAATGTTGATGTAGCTATAAAAGAGGGCATTTGGGTTAGGTATTAACTTTGGTTTCAAGGTTGAAGCGGAAATTTAAATGAAAATCAGGGTCAAGAAGATTTGACTTCCTTCAAGGCTGCTATGCAAAAAATTGACACACTGCTGGTCTGTAGCATTACATACAGCTTCTGTGTTTGCAGTGTTCATCGTCTGTGGATCACCAATGGACATATTGGAGATGAAAAATGGCATCAAAGAGGCCGACAACAGTGATATTCTCTTCATCCTTATTGATCTTTTCAAGTCAGTGTTCTTTATTCATTTGATCTCTTTTCTATTCTCTCTACATCTCCTCTTTGGCATGTAGTATACAGCAGTGATTCCCAACCAGCGTTACTTACATCCTGGGGGGAACGTTAGTGGCCAGGTGATACATGAAAAGATTCTGGAGTAGTTAAAGTAATTTGATAAAACAGAATTTTTTATTTGATTAAATAAATGTATAAAAATATTGGGCATGAAAGTTGGGAAGCAAAGAGAAAAGTGAGCTTAAAGTTATGAATGGCTGCAATAGTTAGCTAAAAGTAATGGATACAGAGTTGAAAACACTTAAAGTAATGGCTGAATGGTTGAAATAATTAGCTAAAAGTAATTATTGGTTACTAGTTAGCAAAGTAATACATAGATAAAGCCCCTACAAGGAACTTTCCTTTTGTGTTGATTCTGGCAGCCCTCTCAGTGGCCTTGTTTAATAGGTATTAAGGGGGATCTGACCTTGTGGCAGACATTAAAAATAACTAACATGGAAATAGCCAATCTTCCTGCTGATGGTCTTAATAAGTTAAAAACTGTAGTAGGTTTAAATAATAGTATACATTCAAAGATTAATGATGTAAGTAATAAAGTCATCTACATCAAAGTAATGAAGAAATTATTGGCATAAAGTAATGGATACATGACTAAAACGTCCAGCTTCTGACACTCCAAGTGGTAGTAATACAAATATATACACATTCTCCATTTAATTGATTTCTTGCTTCATCTCCACAGCGATAGATACTACACCAACACATCGTCACTGCCATTCATGAAGAACGTGTTGGTGGCGACTATGCCCAACACCAGAAAATACACAATCAACACAGACCTTGAAAACAACAACACGGTGAGTCCACAGGATCTCCAGATTACTCAACTTCCTAGTTCCGTTTCCCATATTTTAAAGAAACTCTTTGACATATTCTCTTCAATGTTCTTTCTTGCCGAGGGTCACTCACTCATATCTCTGGTAATTAAACACACAGATAGTTTTGGTTTTATTTGATACAGTGGAGGTGAATTATTTTGGTGGTGCTCAGCACTGAAATAGTACATTTAAACAGAACCAAATTTTCTGAACAACCTGAGAAATGTGTTGACAGCTGTTACAGAAAGTAGTTCCAATCTTGAATTTGTTTATCTCTCTCTCTCTGCAGATGAATGATTACATGGCTGCGTACCACGATGCGGTACTGCTGGTAGGCAAAGTGATGAAGGACATTATTGCAAAAAATCAGTCGGAGATGCAGCAGATGGAGTACATCAGTGTGAATTACTTCAGAAACATCTCCTTTGATGGTAAGGAAGGAGATAGAGAAGGAGATAATGTAGGAAAGAAGAGAGGAAATGAAAGTAAAATGAATCTTAACTTTTAATGCACTTAAAGGTCCAGTGTGTAACATTTAGGAGGATATTTTGGCAGAAATGCAATATCTAATAAGTATCTAAATAAGTTTTCATCAGTGAGGATGAAAACTTAGGAATGAACTGAGGAATCGTTGTGTTTTTGTTACCTTAGAATAAGCCATTTATATCATCATAGCACCATGTTGAACCATCATGTTTTTACAGTAGCCCAGAATGGACACACCAACCACTGCCTGTAGATAGGGCCGGCCACTTTTTTTGCACCCACCGTTGTTTCTCCTTTGTGCTTGGAAGAGGAGGGTGAAGGAGAGTTGTAATCTGCAGTTATACTGCTGGATGCCACTAAATGCTACACACTGGACCTTTAACTTTCGTACTAGCAGTCGGTGTGGGTGTTTGTATCTTTTTTTATGGTTAATAAATCATTTTAGTTCAAAACTTAGATAACAGAAAAAAGAAATCCAAGATAAAAAACAAGGAAAGAGATGAATAAAGAACAAAGTGATAACTCAAAAAGCACAGAAGCAATCATCAAAAATGTCATGTTTTCCTATACTTTGATTTGACCTAAAAAGCAGATGACATTCCCATCAGCTACAGCTGTACGCACAACCTCTGTGGCCCTGTAAGTGGCCCTTAGAGCTGACATAGGTCACTGTTGTGTGTGAAGCCAAACAGACTGAAGCTGTCAGCTGCTATCAACTGATTTGTGTTTTTCACTGACAAGATTAAGCGATGAGGTTTTATTGCCTGCAGGGTGCAGCTGCAAGTAGCCTGTGCGTAATTGGGTGTGAGTGTGTGATTGAGAAACACGCTTATAGAGAAGTTCCTTTGCTTCTGTTGAAGTGTTTGTGTGTGTGTAGACTTTTTCTATGATTCTTCTCAGGAATTGCTGGAACCTACAAGTTGGACAAGCATGGAGACAGAGACGTGAATCTCACAATCATTTACACCACTACTGACAACCAGGTACTTTGTTTCAAATATTTATGTTTTCTTAGCAATATAAAGATCTTTAAATATACTAACAATTTTTTCCCCTTGTGATCCTCAGTACCGAACTTTGTTCACATTCGACACCGAGTACAACAACACCAACTTGATTGAGACGAACCCGTCCTTCATCTGGGGAAAAAGACTTCCTAATTTCAGACCAGACAGTGGTACAGCTAACACACACACACACACACACACACACACTCACACACACACACACACACACACACACACACACACACACACACACACACAGCCACAACCAGTCTGATAGTGTCAGCTGGCCGTCACAACCTATAATCATTAACTTCCTACGCACATTGACACATTGTTCACACAGACACATATAACATCTGTCAGGTGACAGTGTGAAGTGACGACTGGCTGTCAGTGAGATTGACTATTAGTCTGCAGTACAATGATCTGAGCTCCAGATGTGTCATAAAGACGGACCGTTCTTATTTTTATTCAAAGTTTTACCGTCTTACAGTTGAAGTGGGAAATGTCACAGTTTGGAGTGGTGTCTCTGATTCATGATACTGTTAAAGAGATTTTTTACCCGTTCACTTCAAATAGAAACTAAAACCAGATTAAAACTGACAGCATTTACCTTCAGTTTAGTTTTTTTTCAAACAAATCCATCTGGATTTATGTTATGTATTGTTTCATAGGACGTTTGCCTCTGATTCTTAAAAGAAGCAAAACATTCAGTGGGTTGAAACTTGGTTGCATTTTGTAAAGTTCAAATCAGCCTAGAAACACGTTCACAAAAAGCACTGGTTCAACCCATCTTTGACCCTTTATACCATGTCATGAATCAATGGTAGCCGGTTTAAGATTTCAAAACTCAGTCATGTTTACATCCAGTGTTTTTCACCGAAACCCACTGTGTATATCAAATGTGTTGAATGCAGACTTACTCTTAAAACATTTGCTTGCTTGTAGCAGGTTAGTGGCCACATTGCTACACTTTTTTGTTTGTTACTGCCACCAACTTTTGACCAGTGTAAAGAATGAAACTGGTGTCAGGAATTTGTTTCTTGCAGGATGCAAACAAAATGGGGGACCACTGTTAAAACATTGCTCCATAGCGCTACTGGTGGTCGCAAATTCCATCAGGTTGTCACTGTTTACACTGTGGTCAACCAGTGACTGAATGACAAACCCAATAACAGACCCAGCAGATCTAGGAGCCTACGAACGCAACCTTCTCTTCCATGAGTCCAATTTGCAACTTTACAGTGTGGTGTAGAAACTTGAAGCCTCTAGTGCACGTATATTGAGAATGGACTTCTGGCATTTTTAATGAGGTGGAAGGAGTAGATGTCTTTTTATGGATTTGAATGTGTAAATTATGACAATTACTATACTTTTCGGAAACAAATTAGACCCACATTACTGTTCCAAGAAGACTATTTATACATATGGCTTAATACAGTCTGGAGGGGATCTTTGAATTATAACTGTGTTTGTTTTCGCTCACACCATCAGGCCCTGCAGCTCATGACATCCTTGTCATCGTGTTGGCTGTTACAGTGGTCGTGGTGGCCACCATTGCCTTCATTTTCTACAGGTGAGTGACTGACCAACTTTAATGCATAAAACATCTTATCAAGTACATCACCGCACACTGGTAGAGTGAGCTGAACGCCTATGAAAGCACACCTGCTGTATTTTCTAAATGTATCGGAACTGTAGTTGTTGAAAAGTCCAGGTTCACTCTGACCACAGTTTCCATGGCAGATCACAGTTAAAGGTTTTCATTATGCTCAAGATAAATGAGGAAAGCAAACAATAGCTCAGAACGATATATACACATGTAAAATCAACACATTTTTTTTAAACCACATTTGTACCACTAAACAAGTGAGGACTGCAGAAATGTATCTTCTACAGACAGATGTAAATAAAATGTCCTTATGAAACATGGGTATTGGAGTCTTTTGAAATAACAGAAACAGAAATTAGAACTGTAGATTGTTCTGGCCACCATGAATCATTTATTTTTATTTTTGTGTAGATTTTACACAAGAAGAAATTAAATGAGGTTGAGCAGGTAGTGAAAGTGCGTTTATTGTGTGCCAATGGATGCAGATCTCTATACTACCTTGCACATCTTTGTGGGTTCATTTTATACTTCCTGATGTTATTTCTCTCCCGTGTAGACAGAACAGGAGAGACCGCCTGTTCAGGAAGCGCTGGTCCCACATCGCCTCTGATCTCATCACACTGCTGGAGAACAATGAACTCAATGTCATCTCCCTTAAGGTAAATAAGGTGTAGGCTTTGTCAAAACTCTCTCACTGACTGACCTATATGAGACACTGAAGCTCATCCTGCTGTCAGAAATCTGTGATCAAGTGAAAACTCCAGCTCGAGCTAATTTTCTACAGAACTCACCCCTTTTCTAACAATTTGTTCTCTATAAAGTGCTTGAGCTGACCTTATTCTTGAACATGAATGCACTAGGACACACATTGAAAGAAGAAGAAAAACTGCCATGTTTGCTCTGTTAAAATATCCTTCATCTTCCCCTCTCAGATTGAAGACGAGAGGAAAAACATGGATTTCAAGATCCGCCGTGCATTGTATGATAAGAAGGTAGCTGGACACAACATCCTGCAGTGGTTTTCAAATCAATCAGTCCTACTGAACATGTAGGTATGAACACTGCTGTTGTATTGTCAGGTTGTGATTCTGAAGGAGCTGAAGCACTCAGATGGGAACTTCGATGAGACCCAGAGGATAGAACTTAATGCAGTAAGATACACAAACACACACACACACACACACACACACACACACACACACCAACACATCAGGTGGTTTCTGTGATGTCGTGGTTTTACTCATTTGATGTCTTGATGCCCCCTCCTACTCTCTTCTCTGCAGCTCCAGCAAATCGACTATTACAACCTCACTAAGTTTTATGGCACAGTGAAGTTTGATGCGGGTGTGTTCGGAGTGTTTGAGTATGGAGAGAGGGGGTCGCTCAGGGTACGTATGCACACGTTCAGTTCAAGTTCAGTTTGCATATATCAAATGACTATTCTGAATAACAGTAGCTTACAGAACAAGAAATAAAAGAGGAAATAAGGGTTCAGATTACCATCATTTTACCACAATCATACCCTCTGTCCATTTCTTCTTCCAGTATGTGCTGAATGACAAGATTTCATACCCAGAGGAGACCTTCATGGACTGGGAGTTCAAGATCTCCGTCATGTACGACATCGCCAAGGTGAGACAGAAACTCCGGGCTCCGCTGATGAACGTCACAGTACGTCACACTGAAGTGATATACTGCCGGCACGTGATATCGGAGAGGGCTTTATGATTGACTAAAGGGTAGGCGCCATATGTTCTAGCATGTTATCACAGTTTAACAACATGGATGACACATTCAATTATAGTAGAGGTGTCAGGGATTTTTCAGTACTCAGATACATTTTTAGTATTAAAAACAGAACTAATCACATCGTATAAATTAATGTAATCAGTCATTTCCGGTTGTCGCTTCCTAAACTGGAATTTTGTTACTTTTGTATTATGACATAAACGTGAATGTATTTAAGAAATTTTGACCTAAACTTGAACTTTTCAGTATAAACGTATGCGTACAATAGAAGTTTCGCTTAAATTACACAGCTTTAGAATATTTCTCATAAAAGAAAGTACATATGCATCTACCTTTATAATTAGTCCACAAAAAAAAAAATATGTTACTTAATATTACTCTTTCTACCTGCATGCTGGGTAACTTTAACATTCTGTAGGTCATTTCTGATAACTTTTAACTTCTTAAAGTACATGTTCAGCACGTCACTGTAATAAGAAACCTTCCCTAACACTAGTATGTCTAAATTGTTATGAATATGTCACTCATTCCTCTTTGATTATTATTATTATAATTTATTACACTACTAATTTCTATCAAAAAGGAAAATAACCTAGATTTCCATACAACTTGAAGGAGCATCATGCAGTAGTACTCCTAAAACTCCTGTGTCTACAGCCACATTGTCTGTGATAAAAAAAAATCATGCTTCACACTACATAGTTATGAGAAAGGTGATTGATAATGTGTTACTGATGCCTTAGCCCCAACAATTGCCATAGCACGAATTGAGTACAATAGCATTAACTGTATAATTGAGGTTTACAAGGTTCATATCAAGCAGAATGTTTGATATAGGTTACACCCATCCATCAACAGGAACTGTTGCTGCAGTCTCCCTGGCTGCCAGCAGAGGTCATTAAAGGTCACTTACTGTGCCTTTAATCTAAACCTTCTCATCTCCTCCTCCTCTCTGTGCAGGGCATGTCCTACCTCCATGCCAGTGAAATCCAGGTGCATGGACGCCTCAAGTCCACCAACTGTGTGGTGGACAACCGCATGGTGGTGAAGATCACAGACTTTGGCTGCAACACCTTTCTTAGCCCCGGCAGAGGTACAACTTCAGTCCTCATCCTTCACTAAGTGTTTGTTCATTACTTCACTTTCATAACTTTCTTCTCCTTTCTCCTCCTCCTATCAGACTTGTGGACTGCTCCAGAGCACCTGAGGAAACAGGGCACCTCTCAGAAAGGAGATGTCTACAGCTTTGCCATCATTGCTCAGGAGATTGTTCTCAGAAAGAACACCTTCTACACCAAGTGCTGCTCCAACCGAGCAGGTGTAACACACTTACATAACCACCCCCACATTCACACACTAAGCCTTTGAAAATAAAAATAATTAAACTTTTCTTCTTCTTAAGGGACTGTATGAATATTATTAGAAAAGGAGTGAGAAAGGGGGGAGGATATTTTCTTCTTTTTGCTGGGTTCAGGGGAGGTTCTTTCAGTTGTTTTCTCATCCTGCATTTATATTTTATTTCAGCTCTCCCTTAAAATCAACACATTTATCCTCTGTTGTTCTCTGCGCGGAAAGCCTCATATATGTTTTTAAAGAATAATAAACATAAATGAGTCCATATTCCAAATAACTGTCCTTATTTATCCAACAGAAACATATCAAACTGTCCTTAAACAGTCCTTATCTTTAAACGAACAGATGCAAAATGAGATGTTGAGAGACACACAAGGTGAATTCACATCAAATATATTAATTCAAGAGGGAGCAATTTAATAGCTTGATTTTCCAAAGCTGGTGTTTTGCTTTGATACTCACACTCAGAGATCTAGTAAGTGACTTTTTGGCTGAAATTAATGTCTGTGTGTATCCCAACAGAAAAACTGTCAAAGGTCATCATGTCCTACTTCAGACCTGATCTTAACTTTGAGACAGCTTCAGAGAAAGAATTAGAGGTGAGTTAATGCCAGTTTTATCGGTGATTGTGTGTGTATTGTCTGATAAGTCTTTGAAGCTTTGCGTCCTCCATCTCCTAGGTGTACATGTTGATAAAAAGCTGTTGGGATGAGGATCCAGAAAAAAGACCCGATTTTAGGAAGGTAGAAAACTGTCTGGGGAAAATCATCAGGTAATCACTGTCTTTATGGGATTGGTGTACGTAGCCAAATTGAACCTATAGAAGCTCTAATAAATGTGTTGCGGTTGGCTTTAATGAAAGTTTTTTTCCTTCCCTTGTGCATCAGTAAAATTCATAACCAGGACAATGAGAGCTACATGGATAACATGATCAGACGGCTGCAGATGTATTCCAGGAACCTGGAGTACCTGGTGGAGGAGAGAACGGTCCTCTACAAAGCTGAGAGGGACAGGGCTGACTGCCTCAACTTCATGCTGCTTCCTGGGTCTGTTAACACTTGAAGGAGCACACCACATCTTTTAGACACTGGCCCGAGAGCACAGACACCAAAACCAAACATGTACTCCAGTAGAGAATTGGTTTTGGTGTTGAATGCAAAAACTTGATCATACAGTAGAATTATAGGACTTTTGGGAACTGGTGGTTTAGCTCGAACTGGAATGAAGGCACATGTGGATCATCCTGTTCCGTCTGTCTCTGTACGTTTCTCTCTGTGCAGCCCGGTGGTGAAGAGCCTGAAGGAGACCGGCGTAGTGGAACCAGAACTGTACGATGAAGTGACAATATATTTCAGTGACATAGTCGGTTTCACCACTCTGTGCCAGTACAGCACACCGATGGAAGTCGTAGACATGCTCAACGACATCTACAAGGGATTTGACAGTATCGTTGACCACCACGATGTATACAAGGTATTGACACGGGTGGAATAGAAGGATAGACTGAAAGACAGCCAGCACAGAACGCAGACATCATCATTTCATCTATCTACCCTCAGGTGGAGACGATTGGTGATGCCTACATGGTGGCCTCCGGGCTTCCGAAGCGAAATGGGAACAGGCACGCGGTGGATATCTGTCGCATGGCGCTTGACATCTTGGCCTTCATGGGTACCTTCCAGCTCCGACACCTGCCTGGTATCCCTGTGTGGATACGCATTGGCGTGCACTCAGGTAGACAGCACAAAATCTTTGGCTGTACTCAACATCTGAAACGACTTGATGTGCTTTCATTTGATTTGAAGGTCCTGCATAGATAAGAGCATTCATTTTCAGAATCCTTGCACAACATCTGATCTTCTGTCTGTCTAAATTGACTGAATATTTGTGTGTTAATGTATGGGTGTCCAGGTTCCTGTGCAGCAGGTGTTGTGGGGATAAAGATGCCCAGATATTGTTTATTTGGAGACACAGTCAACACGGCATCTCGCATGGAGTCTACAGGACACCGTGAGTACACAAATAAATACATGCATACAAGGAGACATTTAATGAGCAAAGTGATTTACACTGACGTTCATGCTGCCAACTAGTATGGTCGAGTTGCAAAGAGCGATGTGCTGCTCATTACTCATGTGCAATTACAGACCTTACCAATCAACCTAATTAAATTAATTCCAACAGCCAAGCTTGGGTAAAAAACAAATGATGCCTGTTGTTTTTATCTTATAACATCCTCCAGCCCTGCGGATCCACGTCAGTCAGCCCACTATATATATCCTTCAGAGGACAGACTGCAAGTTTGAGTATGAGATGAGAGGAGAAACGTATCTGAAGGTAATAAGATTTATTAAATTTACTCAACATACGAGACAAATGAACCATTTTGAAATGAATCCAGAAGCACAGATTGTGGTGTGAATGGCTGCAGACTTGCACCGCTGAACATGGATGTAAAATGTTTTAATGTTTTAATGTGGGTTTTTTCCAAGGGTAAAGGCACAGAGACAACCTACTGGTTGACAGGTGAGACGGGCAAAGACTACGACCTCCCAACTCCTCCCACAACGTAAGCAAACCCTCCACCTGCTGAAATTTGTGGGATGTGTTTGAGGGTCAGTGTAAATGTCGCATTAGGATCATTGTGAGCAGGTTACACGAGGCTTTCTCTTTTCCGGGAATATATATAGATTTATATTCCCACTCTCCACAACATCAGATTTTTCTTTAAAGCTGAATGATTTGAAAAAAATACCGTCAGTAAAATACGGGAAATGTGCTTATTTTAATTTCTTGCCAATAGTTAGATAACAAGATTGACAGCACTCTCATGTTTGTACAATAAATATAAAGTTGCATCCAGCAGCCAGTTAGCTTAGCTTAGCATAAAGACTGGAAGCAAAATCTCTCTCTGTTCTACTAATTAAGATGTTGTCTCATTTGTTTTTATACTTATTTGTCCTGTTAAAGTAATATTTCTATATTATAGATAATAATCCTAGGTTAGTGTCTTATTTGTTTTATCAGCTTTGTACATTTCAACTTCAAATTTGACCCTAGGACATGTGTTTGGTATTCTACTGCACATTTACTGTGGCTTGACAGGATAATTGAGCCTGACTGGTTTAAACCTGCTTCCTGCTTTTCCAGGGAGAACTTCCAGCGGCTGCAGCAGGACCTCGCCCACATGATCCTTGCCTGCCTGGAGCGCCGCTCTCGCCGCTCGGTCCGGAGGAAGAGGCCGCTCTCGAGTCAGAGCAAGGAGGACCACAACGACCAAGAATCAGAGGTGGAGTCTGAGAGCGGCCATCCTGAGTACCTGCATCTCGCCACAGTGGATAACACCCTCAGTACCTTCCTGTAGTACAGACCTACTGTTGAGTACATCCCCGTCACAAATTGACTGATTACATTGTTCTGTAAGAGAAAGCAGGTAGATGCAGTTGAATACTACAAATTACGAAACACTTAATACAAAATAAGAGCCTTCTTTAAGAGCTCAAAGTCTCAGTTAGGAATGAATAAGATGGTCAAGGATGGGGAAGGTGATTGTCCAATCTTTTTCATTTCTGATATGCAGCTGACATCATTTTCTTCCTTGTTCTTTCTCTTTGTGCCCTATTGAATCCATTGAAGTGCAACAGCAAGAAACGATAAGAAGACAACAGGGCCACGACCTGTTTGTGTTAAATTGATCATTGATTGTTTAACTATGTACTTTATACACTGCTTGGTCTAAAACTGGGCCATCACCATGAGAGGCAAGATATTACCATTATTCCCAGTGGTTATATCTTTCACATTTGTGGAAGGAAATTGTGGGTACATCTGTTGATTCAGGAAGCAGGACAATGAAGGAATGAATTAGTAGCATAAAAATAGATCAAGCGAATTATTCCTACTTACATAAGAATAACTTTTAAGAGCACTTCTCTTATTACATGATTAATCACATCTTTGCTTTGGGCAGAAGCCAATCACACACACAAGGATTTAACCTTTATCTGCCATATTATTTAATCTTTAAAAACATGCTTTTTTTGTTCTGTGATGTTATTTAGCAAAAACATTTTTTATTTAAGTTTATTTTCTTTGTGTGAAATCCCCCAATATGTCCAGTGTTTTCCCAGCAATTCTCATGTGAAGTAAACAATCTAAAAAAGACATAATTTAGTACAATCACTCCAAAACAGATGTGAGCTAGTCTCTGTCACAGGATCTTAAACCACCTTAAGACACTTTGGGGGTCTGTTAAATTTCAGAGCATTTTTTTTTTTAGTAACTTGATAAATAGCAAAAAGCTTGTAAGTAGCAGTAAAGGTGAAGGATTTTTACTTCATCAATTTGATAAACGCAGGGCCTGTTTGTGTATATGTACTTTTATTCTTGTACTGGTTAGTTTATTTGCATTTATGTTGTTTTTACCCAAATGTCACATCTGGAGACAGCTGCATTTTACTCCAATTGCATCTCTAATGTAGCTCTGGCTGTACATTTCAACCACTGAGATTAAGATGAAATGGTTTAGGAGGTATCCACTGCACTGGCTGTGACTGTTGACTGTTTAACTGGCTTTGTTATTTCAGAGGTAACACCAGTGTAGATACGTGTGGACTCATGATATCATTGTTGTAACATACATCCGCCTCAAAAAAAACAAGACTGTCAAATCAGTATTTTAAACCAAAGGACAAAGATTTATTTTTGCTGAGAATGGTGACATTCATTTACATTAAATAAAAAAAAAAAAACACAATTCACCTTCTGTCACATTGTGGAAAATGTTGTATGTTGTTCAGGTCCTGATGAATACAGTTCAATAAAATCAAAACACAGAGCGTTTCTTGAAGCCTGTACAGGTTCATCTGAGGCGTTACAATGCATGTGTCACGTAGTTTAATGTATACAGACAGTGAGGCTGTACGGACAGCAGAAGAAAGAAACTCCAGCATCAGATAAAAACAGTTTTCTATCCACAGCTGCCTGGCAGATTTGTTTTTTGCACAGAATAATGAAAGAGGACTGCTATGTAGACTTTTACACGTCAAATACTATGGAAAAACACACTACTGTACAGCAGAAACAATTCAAAAAATAGTATACAAATAAAAAGAAAATCAAGTGTGGATCCAGCAAACCCAACAAGGTAACTGGACATGCAAGTGGAGCTTTATAAAACTGACCTAATATTAACACATTTTCATTGAAGAGGAAAACTAAAGTCTATTTGTGGGGAAATGTCTGTTCAACAGCATTTATGTGAACTAAGAATAAGAACTAGCATATTTAGTAAACCTGATGGATATATTTCTTTATACTGCTGAAGATAATCAGGTTAGTCAAAAATAAAAGCTAGTCGTCAAGTAGAAAATAAAAAGCAAAAATCCCCCCCCAAAAGAAATCGAAGCCCAATTCTTTTTACTGTGTAACATTCAAAAAGAAACCTTGAGAATAAATTACAACTTACAAAAAAATAAAATAAAAAAGGCATGACTTTTTACAAAGCCTTCAACAAGAGCTGCATGGAACAGCCTCAGCTCACACGTGCAGCTTTGTACTTTCTTTGTCTCGACTTAAACATCTTAAGAAAAATAAAATTCTGGAATATTACACAGATACTAAACCTGGACTCTCAGTGAGAATATAAACTACCCATTTATCGACTAACATATTCATACAGCTATTTTAAAAAATGCATGTTAATAACACCTATGACCATTTTGACGTGTCTGTCTTTCGACGCGTCGGTTTTGCTGCTTGAACTCAAGGCACCGAATGATCCAAGGTAAAAAGAGCCACGAGAAAAAGCTGAAGTGACAAAACAATAAACATAACTGTGTCTCTTTCAGTCTTCTCCCTCCTGCTAACATCACTGTTATGATTATCAGAAGCACGATGAGTAACTGTTTCATTACTAATCTAACATTTATTGTGTTCAGCTAATCCAGCTAATAAGATATTGCAATAAACCTTAAAAAGGTCCAGGATATCTGTTTCTGTTTCACACTTGAAATGGAAGAGACACATTTTATGCACGCACACACACACACACACACACACACACACACACACATTGTATCCACAGATTTTTTTCAGATTTAATTATCAAAGTTTTATCAAAAAAAGTCACCAACCATGATGTAATTCTCGATTGTCTCACGTTGTAACTCATCACTGCTTATTGCCTGTATAAAACAGCCCGAGTGTATTTGTGTGTTTCCCTATTGTATGTTGCTGTCAGTCAGGAGCCAAACAGCAGGGGAGGGGGGCAGACATAAGCTGCTGACAGCCGACGCTCAATATGGCTGCAGAAATCTTAGAAGCAGAAATAATCTCTCTGCTTGAGGTACCTCAGTGGGCAGGACCAAACAACTGCAGTTTTTAGGGTTAGTGCAGGATAGCTTTAATTACATACTTGAAAGGATAGGTCTAGTGATGTCTTATTTTTATTTTGTCAACAATTTGCATAAAAATAGCAAACACCAAATATGAATTTATCCTCACAATTGTGTTTTCATTTGTGGCTAAAACCCGAACATATTCCCAATTTACCTGTTTGAGTAATGTTAGCTATAAACTACAGTGCCCAGCTGTTTTAGGGAAATTGGCCTTTAAAAAAAAAATAAAAAAAATATGCTATATATATGGGTACTATAGCTATCTTAAATCCGGAACGTCAACAGGGATAACCAGCTGATCTGGATGACTGAGTGTGGTTACCCTTCCTTTTTTTCCCTTTTGTGTTGTATTGTTTTTTATTTTTGTTTGGCTCCTACCACTGCGGATGAACTCAATTATTTTTTGTTATTTATGCCTCCAAGAAATGCTTAACCTTAACCTTAAATCCTGCTCTGTTTCTATTCTATATCAATGTATTTTCGATGTTTTATGTGGTTAAGTGTTGTCTGATGAACTATGACATGACTTTGGACTATTATAGACTAAAAGTGTATGTACACATTTTATTACCTGCTGATAAAGAAAACACCCTGTTATTTTTAAGTTATGTATAACCCATTATTTTCCAGCAAGTACACCTCCAGAGTTTACCAGTAAATGCACTGCCAAAACCTTGGTGTGTTTGTGGAATGACACCTAAAAATTTCAATTCCTTTTTATTATACAAAGTAGTGTCAGGGTTTGTGCCACATACTTTCACAGGGGATACAAATTTGATCTGTGGTGCAGTTCCTACAAGTTGCCAACAGAGGTTGTTAAAAGTCATGTGTTCTTTAAAAAACTGCTTCTTCAAACCCTTTTCAATCATACACCTGCACTGCGGCAGATCTTACAGTATTAGTTTAGTGCTGTTCCTTATTTTCATAAACTAACGTGGTGACAGAGGACATTGTGTGACTACCACTATTACAAACAGAGACACACCTAGCTCTCCTGTCTCACCCTCTCCTCCTCATTTTGATCTCTCTCTTGCCCCCCCCTTCTCAGTGACTCTCTGTTAAAGCCTTTCCTAACTCACACCAACAGCACTCTGTCAGCTGGGGCCAAAGCTGGCTCTGGATCCCAGCCAGGGCGACAGACTGAGACGACGCTGCTGCTGAGGATGCACCGGCACGAGGTGGTGCAGGTGTGTATCAACACACAACAGGGTGTTGGTGCAGGGGGAAATGTAGAGCAGTGTGTGTGCGCTGGCTGCTCATGTTTTGAGCTCTGTTGGACAGTGACTGTTTCGGTCTGACAGTCTTGCTGTGGTCAGATGAAACCTCTGTAACATGACCAGTAAAAAATAGGATATCTATCCCACACCAAATGCCCTTGTCTGTCTGTTTCTATCTGTCAATTTAAAGCCAACCAACAAATACTATGAGATCAAACCAGCGATAACCCATTTGGTCCAATTATCTGAAATACACAGTTTTGGGAACAACTGCATCCATCATTGGGATTATAGTAAGTTTAGAATTATTTACGTTGTTTTTGACTAACTGATTAATGCCTCCATGCCATCTGTGTTAACATTAGGAAATGTAATAATCCACAACGTGGATGTAAACTGATCCTTGCACGCCATTCGCCATTTATCAGATCACTGTGACTCAGCAACAGCTCCTCACTGGCTAACAAAGACAATGTCTTTTCTGCATGCAGATTTTATATTCTCTGTCACGTTTTGGTTGAGCACCTTAGATCAGCAGGCTTTAATCTGGATCTTTGGTTATAATTTACTAAGCTCAACTACTTCCCTTGGCAATATAACGTTTGCACACACAAACATGATTATTTCTACAAATAAAATTAGTTTGACTGACAAATACTTTTGACGATATTGCTGCGACTGACTGAGATTTAGGCTTTTTTTTCTCTTTTTGGTCATTTGGTAATCTTTCTAACTGGCATTTCTGTCAATGAACGGATAGGAATGCTACAAATCTGTTTTGATGACGATCCATAGACGCAACACACACACATACACACATACCCCATGTACAGTGTGTTATAATAAGTCTAGAAAAAAATAACTTAAATTCTTGTGATTTCTACATCCGGGACCCATGGATCTGGAAAAGCTGTGAAATAAAAGAAACAGACATTAGGATTTTACAAAATCCATAGCAATCTAAATCTATACACATTTAATACAATCTAGGTTAAGATTTGGCTTTGATGTTGGTGATGATGATGAAAATGGTGACAGAATGAGAGCAAATGACTTTACTGACATGCATAATGGCTGGAAACATCAACAAAAACATGTCTTAAAAATGTGTGCCCTTGTAACATTTATGCCATTTTGTTTGTCTGAATGTCTTTATATGTGTCCATTATGTGTTGGGTGTAACTGTTTGTGACTCTACATTGAGATATACAATATGTACACAGACTGGGAAGGACATCTAACACTACTGCTGCACTGAAAGGTCAGAGATATTTCATGTCACAGCATTGGTAATGAGAGCCCATAGAGACACAGCGTTCGATCAATATCTGTAACGCCGTATCGGGTCACTGATAGACCAGACTGAGCATGTCCATGTTTACACACATATACAAGCTGGTGCAGGTCATTAAAACCCTTTCATCCAACGGTCAATTAGCAAAAGTCCTCAAGCATGCCAAGTGTTTTATCAAATGGGGTTTTAGATCACAACGTCTTTGATCAAAGGAGGACACGTGATACCTTAAATTATAACTAAAATCTCTTTTACAATGATGTCTAAAATAACACTTTAAATTATTTTAAAATACTTCAATGAGTATTGTAACATCCCAATATCAAGATAATTAATTTAAGTGCACCCACTTCAGCTCAGTCATCAGTTATGCCGCTAAGTGGGCCAACTTTGGGTGCAAAAAAGAAAAAGGCGATGCTACTCCCTTCCCTGTGTGTGGGCATCTCAATGTAAAAGCAGAGTACTGGATCTTATACAGAATTATTTTGCTGGCACAGAAAACATTTCTCGTAGCCACATGTTAAACACAAGCAATGTTAAAGCCTCATGTGAGCTGCAGAAAATGTCAGTGCTCACCACTGTTTGCATTTGTCTATTTGTCATATTTAGAACCTCACCAAGAATTTTTTTGTTGATTCTGGCGACCCCAGTGGACAAGAGTGGTAGTGTTTCTGCTGCATCGTTTGATTGATTTCAAGGGGAATCTGACCCAGTGGTGCATTAAGAATAACTATTGCTGAGAGTCTTGTTTGTTTATCTAGGTCACATAGAGGCATCAGTATTAAACTAACGCGGTTTCATAACCTGTTAAGAACTCCTTGTAGTACGTTTAATATACACTGTTCTCACTAAGCCCTGGGTTCACTGAAACAGAGGAAGAGCTTAGAGGTCATACACAATGCTGTGCCATGAAACACCCCAGATCTCTGTAGACATCACACACACATATATATATATACACATACTAAAATCTACCATGTCTACCCATTAGCACATCTATCGCAACAGTTCCTCACCCATTCCCGCCTCTCTTTGGAATAAAGATGAACAAACATGACTCCCTCATTCTCTAAGCCACTCATTTGGTGTGGTATCTCTCCCTCCCTCCTCCTCCTCCACCTCCTCCTCCTCATCCTTCGCGGCTTCCTCCTCCTGCATCTCCGCCGGCTTCATTCAGCATGAAGGACGGAGGGGAAAACACAAAAGAAAAGAAAAGAAAAAAAAAAACAAGACAGAAAACGACAAAAAGAATGAACACGCTAATGAGTGTCAGTGAGTGGACAGTGAGAAGCTGAGAGGTAAATATAGAGACAGATATATATCTATATATCCATGTGAAAGAGGGAGAAAAGAGATTATATATAAACAGGAAGACAAAGTGAGAGGTCGATAACAGCAGGAAAGAGAGGGAGTGCTGTGTGAATGATGGAGTGAATGATTTTGTGAATGACATTTCGAGGCAAGTGACATTTGGAGCTTTTAGCGGAGAGTGCAGGATCAAAGCACACTCGCTTCCTCTTCAATGAGAGGAGATACCCCCTTCTCTTTCACACACGCCACAACAAAACTTACATACAAAACAAGGACAGGACCACACATGGACACAGCCTGGCAGCTTGATCCTACAGTGAGTCTCTAAAACATACATTTGTGTGTTTGTGAGAAAAACAGACAAAAGATTCACCTTGGTTTTGTGGCTCTGCTCCGTACCGAGTCCAGATCCAGGAGTGTGAAGCTCCTTGGAAACGACACACAGAAACTCAGCCTGGTCTTCTGTTCCATAGCTGTATGATGAGCCGATGTTCACCATCTAGAAAAAGACGGGGACACAGATACAGAAAGATATACAGAGGAGAGAGGGACAGAGACAGAGAAGCAAAGCAAGTGTCAGGAAGAATTAGAGATTACAGCAGAGAAAACAAAAAGCAGGAAATAGAAAGTAATTGAGAGAGCCGAGATCCCAAACTAAAGCAAGGAAAGATTCTTGTCATGCATGGTGGGGGTGGGGGCAGCCTGCTGCTACGCACTCAGCAGTGGACTCAACAAAAAGTATCTTTTAAGTGTGGCAACAGCAAAACAACTGTGGGTCAAAGCTTCTGCAGGAAACTGTGCAAATCATAGCTGTGCAGCATGCAGTGGAGCTTAGTGCCATAGCAGTGGGGAAGGGGGGTCTAAATGGGATTGCTATGCTGACCTATTAAGACTCCATGAAGCTCTGAGTTGAAGGTCTAAGTGTCACTATTGGAGAGGGCATCAATGAACTAAAGCCTCTCAACTTAGGAGGACTTTTCCCTATTACTGACATTATGGTGACTGAAAAGATCAATACTGCTGTGCCTATTAGTACTGCGTGTTCACACTGTGAACAATGTTGCAGCGGGTTGCTTTATTCTAACAGACGGTCAATAGTGTGAGAGTAAACACTGGTCTGCAGCTACAACGATTTAAACATTTGTGTGCCACTGTTTAAAGTCTAGTAGCCTGCAACTCAGTGAATCGATTAATCCTTAAGTCTGTAAAGTGTCAGAAAATTGTTTTTTTTTTAAATCACAATTTCCCAGAGCCCAAGTTGACATTAAATTGCTTGTTTTCTCAGCCACCAAACCCACAGGTATTCAGTTTAGAAAACAGCAAAACAGCAAATATTGACATTTGAAAAGTTTGAACCAGAATTTTTTTTTTTTGCTTTAAAAAAATAACTATCAATTAATCAATTATCAAAACTGAAGTGAATTAATTTTCTATTGATTGACTTAATGATTAATCGACTGATTGTTTCAGCTCTAGTACAGTCTGTCCTAATATCTCTTACCAAGAAAGTAAAAATAAGAGAATATTATTAAGGCAAAAATGTGCATTTATCAGAATAAATGTTTGTAGTGTATGAGTCCCTTGCCGGTAGTCATATCAATGCATGGGCATTAGCTCAGACATGCCAATCATGATGCATCTATTACAGACGCATAAAACAGTTAGTTTGTTACATAGTTAGTAAGGTATTTGATCACATTGTAAACACAGCGTTTGTGTTATTAAAAGTATCAAAGACTTATTTAATACATAGTGGACATTTGATTGTCTATGACTTTGATAAACAGAATGGTTCTTCAACATAACTTTCAAGTCTAACAGCTGTAGACAAACGTCTTAGAAAAACCGTGACTATCCCAGGCCGCATCCGGTGCCACTCTAGCACCATCACAGGATATGGGCCATATCTGAGGTCTGAATCCTTCATAAAAAGGCTGAAGATAGGGAAGATTAGCGGTAGCATGATGTCTTTATGTATTTAGAAGTGTGATGGAGAAGATTAGAGTCGTTGGGACTATCTGTGAAAGCATGTAGGGACACACAAGATAAGTCCTACTTAAGGTAAATAAATCGAGCGAACTAATGCAATCTGGGAGTCCTAAACTCATTTTGGGAGTGCTGATAGCAGGGCTCAGGTCAGGGCCAAGGGGTCAGGCCAAGGGTCAAGATTGAAGGGTCAGCAGCAGCGTGAGTCCAACCCACAGTCCAGAGCAGTCCGGTGCGGGGCTTTCTGCAGGCGCGCACGCTGACCTGCTCAAACTTCCAGCCGTCCGACATCGTGGAGACCATCTGGGTCAGCTCCTCCTCTTGGCACTGCAACACTCGGTAGACATGCTTGGGGGGCACCTGCTGGGGAAAGAGAGAAGAGGGGGTTTAGGAGACAGCAGATGGATGAAACAGAAGCTACCTTCATCTTCAAAGGGAGAAAAAAAAATAATGTAGCAATAATGAAACCATTACTATGACTCTAGTACTGCCCTTAAATTAATATTAGTGTGTAATGTGATAAATATTATGTACCAGTGCTGTTGTTTACAAAAATAAAAACATAATTTTAATGATTGAAAAAAAAAGATAAAATATAATCTGAACTAAACTAAAAAGAAAGTGTATACTTTATATTTCATTTATATTGCCTTAATGTAAATGGCCAAAAACTCAGGTCAACACATCCACAAGGTCTCACAACAACATCACAGACACATAATGACCAGATGCCATTTGGTCATTGAACCTTTACAAAGCTGATCCTAGGTCACTTCTTGCAAACATATTTATCTGCCTTGACCAAACCTTTGCACCATGATATGGAGGCGGTGGACAGCAAAATCGAAGAGAAATACATCACGTAGTCGTGGGCTAGCTACACATCCAGCACTTCTATTTTCATATTTTTTCATCACGTTTCACCCCAGGCCGACATTAGCAGTCCAGTAAAATACAGTAGAACACAGGGAAAGTGGGTGTATGTTTGGGAGGGCAGTGGGATTATGTAAGCGTAAGTGCAACCATCCTGAGAAAAGAAAAGAGAAGAAAGGAGAGGGAAGCCTGATGTACAGCATGTACTCTCTTTAGAGAAGCACAGAAGGGTGAAATCACCAACAAAGAAAAGATGACTGAAAGGCAGTGCAGCTACACATAATGGTTGAAATATGTAGTACAGTACATTATGCTTTAAGAATATTAATATTACTGCTGTGTTACACTGGAGCTACATACACACTATATACTGTATTCTGTAGATTTGTTCATAAAAACACTTTGACAAGGTCTGTGTATACCTGCGTGGCTTTGGAGTCCCTCTCCACAATCCTCTCCTTGATCAGTTTGATCAGTGGGGTGATGTTGTAAAACTCAGCCTCCTCCAGGACACCTTGAAACAAAAGAAAGGCACCACTCAGTTCATCTGTGCATACTGTAGCAAAGTGGTTGTTAGACATAACCCAAACCCCAATCAACACCACCAATACATATATATATGTGTGTGTGTGTGTGTGTGTGGATGTGTGTGTGTGTGTGTGTGTGTGTGCATGGATTTTTAACCGGATAGTATTTAAATATTACTGATATAGAAGTGGATGTAATTTTTCATACAATTGAATTCCATCGATTTATACATTCCTTTTAGCCATTTCAACCATTTATCTACTACTTATAGCCAGAGAAGCTTAAGTCAATCGGAGTTGTGGGTGCTGAGAGAAAGTCAGTCTATAATGACGTCATATTAAATGGTGCAAGACATTCATGGTTTTTCCATGAATATGAATGGCCTCTTTATTAAAGACTAACCAAACACAGGCTCTAGATAGGGTATTTTACTGGAGTTTCTCAGCCATTGTAGTTTCTCCTACAGCTTGGAAGGCTGAGCTGTATTAAAATGGTTGTAATCTGTAACTTGCAGCCCCCTCAGCACTCCTTCCATTACTTTTAGCTTACTTGTTTAGTATTCTCTGCTTGCTTTCTAGCTGTTTTTCACACACCTCTTGTGGTGTTCAGGTGTTATAGTTGAGTAAATATGTAGACATGTTTTAATCAAATCAGTATTTCAAACTTGAGTTCTACTCCACAATATTTAAAACCCTGACAAATGCAGAACTACCCCCCATAACAATATTTACTAATTCCATTCAACAAACTAGAAACACATGTATATATAGTTTCCTTTTTTCCACCTGCACCAACAAATAAAACAACAACTCATGCACACAGGACCCATATGAGTAGATAAAGCATATGAGACCTTCTTCAGCCAGCTCCTTGTTGTAGACCAGTTTGCCGTGCCGCAAGTAGTTGAGGATGGGACCGAAGTAGGTAGGGTCTCTGTCAATCACATAGGCTCCCGTCTCATCCTGTTACAGAGGAGGAATAAGAGAGAGACAGAAGAAAACACTGTCCATTACACAATGTACTTAAATATTGCAGTAATTTTCTTTTCTTGTGTTTTTATTCATGAAACATGGAGAGTTTTTATTGACCTAAACTAGGGTGGTATTCACTGCAATGCTATTCTATTCTAAGCTGTCAAAGTGCTCAGCATAACTTTTTTAATGGACTACTTTTTCATGTATTTATAATCAGGATATAAATTTGACTACTTTAATTTTCCTTCCTCAAGCAATGGATCTCTTCTGTAATGTGAGTATTTTTAAACCCAAAAGCTCACATACTGGAGAATAACATCCTGGTTTGCTATTTTGATCTTGCAGTACTGGCGGCCCAGATCGGATGTACGTATGCAAGATGCATTGCAGAGGTCTCCAAAATAAAAGCCCCCCAAAGATTGGAGGTTCTGTTTATTTATGAAATATTAACAATATTTCTGTTTCTACAAAGGTAATGTAACAACAGGTAGTCAGATAGAAGAGTAATGTTTCAGCTTTTATTATAAGAAGTTCTGTTTCTCTAAAACCCTGTTGCTTCCTGTTTCAAATACAACATTGTTATTTGTGTTTCCCTTGAGACCCTCATGCCACAGCAATAGCTTTTTGCAGCTGGACACAGAAGTTAGTGCTTGCTGGTACTCCAGATCCTCCTAGTTGTTGGTGACTTTGTTATCACACGTGTGTCGACAGCCTGCTTCTCTCCCACCTCCAGGCTACTTCTGCCAAGCTTGCCTGGCTGTTATGTCATGACTACTGCCCCTCCAACACACACACACCCTCCCCCTGCTCTTCCTCGTGATGATCACTTGAAGCAGAGCCCCCATTTAGAGCTGAATTCACAAAATAGCCACTGCTGAAGAAATCTATACAAAAACATACAGGATACAGAGGGAGAAAAGTGCTGAATTGTTGGGAAGTGTGTGAAAGGGGAAGTTAAAGAACAGCATCTGCTGAAAATGTGTCATTAACACACAGTTCAATGGTCTCTGTAGAGAGACAAGCACGCAGGACAGCCTTGAAGACAGAAGCTAGGACACAGACAAAGTCACATTTTGGTTCTTAAGTTGAAAACCAGACTAGACTAACTACATGCTAACAAGTCCAAGAATTCACAAACTCTTCTCACCAGTTGACACCAACTGCACATTTAAAGATAGAACAGGCCATAAGAAATGTAAGAAAAGTTACACGATAATGACGTCTTTCAAACAATTTTCTCCTCTTGAAAAAAAAGAGCCACCGAAGGGTGGCCTTGTACAGCTTTAACCAGCTAACATTTGGCTGGTGGCATGCACAGTAATATTTTTGGCCGGGGTATGTGAAAAGACAAATATACACAGAGTCAAAGAATGAGAGGAAAATGTTCGGCTCAATAAAGAGAACCTGCTCCATTCACATGACTGATTCTTTTTATTGCTGTTTGCAGAAGCAGCAACGGACAACCTTAGCCTGCAGCAGCATCTTGTACAGATGCATGTTATCGCTTTTATTAGAAGGTCCTTACTTATTCACACATACAGTACCACTCACCCCAACTATGTTGTTAGGACCTTTTATTATTTGATTTTAATCTTAACCTCAAAGGCTGAATCTGGACAAAACATTTCTACAAAAAAACTGCCTCTAACACTAACATTCTTGGTCCTGTTTGGTCATGTGTTTCGTGCTGCAGGTAGACCTGATTAGAATTTTACAAATATTTAAGGGGCTTAACTGGACTTTCAGGTTGTTGTTTATCCCAATTTGTTTATTTGGAACAGCAATATAATCAGCTTCTGTCCCTGATGTGAGAGTTCCAGGTAAATGGTACAGTTGTCCAGCTGGACTGTAAACAAACAAGGTGGCTTACAGTCTGTTATTCTCTTGTGTTATTCCTCTTCCTGTATGGAGGTAGAGGCTTTTAGGTCACTCTGAGGCCAAGACCTGTAAAAGTGTCTCCTTTCACCCTGCTCTCTGCATATGTGTTTTCTATGAGGAGGTCAACCTGTCAAACAGCCTGGAAGGTACATAAGTCAAATATGATATGATATTGATATGATGATATTTCTTTTTGTCGTCATTCTTGGTGACAGCTGCAGCAGTGAGGCTCTGAGGTGTTAATGAGCTATAGGGGAACTGCCCCCACTCCCATCTTATGGAGCTAGAGGCGGTTGCACCAGCTCTTTGTAAGTTTAAACTTTATAACTTCAGTGTTAACCAAGTGGAGATTTAATCATCACTTAATTATTAAATAAGTAGTTTTTAATTAGTTGTTACTAAATATTTAAACCCAGTAACTGCCATGTATCACTGTTGCATTGCTAACTGAGCTAACCAGTGTGTAGGATTTAGTGGCATCTAGTGGTGTACCAGCAGATTAAAATGCCCTCGCCTCACCTTTCAGTTCTAAGCATGTAGGAGAAACGTGAAAAATCTGACAAAAACTATTGCTAGCTTTTGCAAATATATGACCTTTATGAGTATATGGTTGACACATCTGACTTTACACATAAAATATTGTATCGTAGACTGGGATGTTTTTTAATTACATTTCACAAAAATACCACTACGTATCTGAAATTACAAAACACTATGCCAATGACATATTGTTAAATTACCTAATAAAGTAACTAGTTTAGCATAATCAGATATGTCAAACTAATTTTTAACTGTATGAATACTAACTGAAACACAAATTTCCCCATCTATGCATATATAAATAAAACAAAGCAATGCCTAGATTTATAAAGGAATGGCATTTAAGCTTAAATCTCAACTGGCTCCCTTAAATGTATATATGTATGTATATTTTTCCAAGCACCCAGCGGTGTTAAAAGTTGAACAGATTTCAACTTGAAGCGCTCTGAGCGCTGCGCTAAAAAAGTATTTTCAAAACCAAACCATTTCCATGCCAGAGAGGTAGACCCACGTCTCGGCACTAAATCATCTGAAGTACCGGTAGCTTCAGGGACTGGAGGTGCTTGCATTTTCACTCTACCATCACAACGCGCTGCTAAACTGTTGCAAGGAGGATGCTAGCGAGAGGTCATGTGATCACGTCATGTGATCACGTAGGCCCACTAGTCGTGTGACTGAATCCTGCCATGCTGTAGAGAGCGTTGCTGCACCATGTTTTAAGTGGATGTGAGGAGTTTCCGCGTGCGTTTCAATATTTTTGGCGAAGTAATTTAAATACTCGATAATGAAAATTGGCACATCGTCAAAACAACAATGACGATATTATCGCAAACGATATATATCGCCCACCTCTATTTAGAACTACTAAAAACTATGGAAGGACTTCATGGAAAAACGTAATAATGGATTTACAAATATCTGGCGCAACCCCAGAGGCAATGACTGCTCATAATACACAGCTCATCCCACAGTGCAGATTCTGCTTGCTACATCGTTGTCTATTATGATGAGCTCTAACCCATCATTTCCAATATGACAGACTAGTAAAAGAAGTAATCCCAAAAGAAATAAACAGTCAGACTGACAGTCTGTAGAATAGGGACATTCTGCTAGCAGCAAGAAGACAGTTTTGAATGATGGTGTGTTGTCAACCCAATTTATATGAGGAGTATCGCTTTGTTCCTGACACTCATCTCTTAAAGTCCAGTCAATCTTTGCTGTCGTAGCGTGACAGCAGTTTCTGATGAGCCGTTCCCAATGTGAGACATGAAACAAATGCAATAAAGAAGGAGACCTACATACACAACTGGACAGACTGTTAAGTAGCCTGTAGGATGGAGATGTGGCTAAATGTAGGACGGATTAGTGGAGAAAAAGACAAACAAAAATGGTGGGAAGAACAATATGACAAATAACTTATTAGAAATAAAAGCTAGACGTACTTGAAGAAGCATAGAGGGACACTGCCATAGAGACGCAGCATGAAGACACCTGGGGTTTGTGTGTGTGCCAGTGAAAGAGAAAGACAGGGTGGAGGGATGGGATATAAAGACCAAAGAGGGAAACACACAGCATTATGTGTGTTTGCACTGAAAATCACTGTGATTAGAGTGAGGAAGGGCTGTGACTGCAGCAGAGAGCATAGACAGATGCAAACACACACACACACACACACACACACACACACACACACACACACACACACAAGATCGGAGGAGCTGCAGTAGAGGACAGACCGACGCCTCATCAACGTGACTTGACTTGACAGTGTGGGCATGACAACACTGGCAAAGAGCTTCCTGAATGTGTCAGAGCCCATTTTTTCTCTCTCACACATGCACGCACGCACACAGAATTAGTAGTTGTTTGGAACGACAGACCCTTTTGCAGCCGCAGTAAATTGACTCACAAATAGTATTTTCTGTTGTTGAGAGAACAGGGACACTAGTTGGTGAGTTAATGTTTCATAGAACATTTGTTCAGGGAAATAGGTTGTGACTCCACAACATCTCCCTGTAGAGGTAAGTACATCCCACAGGCTACAGTAACACCAATAGCCGAACAAAAGCCTTGTTCACTTCTCAAAACACGCACACACACGCCTGACTGCATACTGCTGCTTGCTCGAGTATGTGTAAACATTAGGGCTGAAGGATACTGAAGGAAAAACAAACAAAAAAAACCAAACCCACCCACAACATTACATTATCCATTGTGGCATTGTTTAAACATACCTGCATGTATGACACATGTAGCTCCTGTAGCACCATGTGGAAATAACTTACATACAGTATTTAAGAGAAACTAGGGCAGTCGTTCCAATTTTCTGGTTGATTCAACATGACACCTACCCAGTCAGTCTCATGTAGTCAATACTCATTGATTAATCCAGCTTTTCTTACAGTTACTGTTGTTCTGGCATGGAAACCTTTAGAAAAAAAGTGCATGGTGGTATTTCAGAGCATCCCGGCTTCTGCCATAGTGTGTTTTTTTACATAGTTCCTTGGAATCTGGGGTAAAGACTGTGGCTTATTCATCAGAACAGATTGGATAGATTGAACCAAGCCACA